AGGCAACAGTGACTCAAATAACCACCCGTTACAACCAAGGTAGGCAGAAGAGCATTTCTGAACGCACAGTACGTCGAACTTTGAGGCAGATGGGCTACAGCAGCAGAAGACCACGCCGGGTGCCACTCCTTTCAGCTAAGAACAGGAAACTGAGGCTACAATTTGCACAAGCTCATCGAAATTGGACAATAGAAGATTGGAAAAACGTTGCCTGGTCTGATGAGTCTCGATTTCTGCTGCAACATTCGGATGGTAGGGTCAGAATTTGGCATCAACAACATGAAAGCATGGATCCATCCTGCCTTGTATCAACGGTTCAGGCTGGTGGTGGTGGTGTCATGGTGTGGGGAATATTTTCTTGGCACTCTTTGGGCCCCTTGGTACCAATTGAGCATCGTTGCAACGCCACAGCCTACCTGAGTATTGTTGCTGACCATGTCCATCCCTTTATGACCACAATGTACCCAACTTCTGATGGCTACTTTCAGCAGGATAATGCGCCATGTCATAAAGCTGGAATCATCTCAGACTGGTTTCTTGAACATGACAATGAGTTCACTGTACTCAAATGGCCTCCACAGTCACCAGATCTCAATCCAATAGAGCATCTTTGGGATGTGGTGGAATGGGAGATTCGCATCATGGATGTGCAGCCGACAAATCTGCGGCAACTGTGTGATGCCATCATGTCAATATGGACCAAGCTCTCTGAGGAATGCTTCCAGCACCTTGTTGAATCTATGCCACGAAGAATTGAGGCAGTTCTGAAGGCAAAAGGGGGTCCAACCCGTTACTAGCACGGTGTACCTAATAAAGTGGCCGGTGAGTGTATATGCCTTGTTATGTTACCAGAGGAGCAGACAAGGTACCTGCGGTTGTGTTTTGTGCCAGAGAGTTAACAATGAAACCTCCTATACTGGCCTCGATAAGTAAGTCAAAGGCTAAAGAGTGAAGCTCGAGTCAGGTAAGAGAGTCACGATCGGCATAAACCACCCCTCTCGATCGGAATACAATTTCTTTCCGAATGAGCCAAATTGGATCAGAATCTTCCAATCAGCACGTTTACATGACGCATTTTTATTCCGATCGGGCATTTATTCCGATTATCTGTGCCCATGTAAACGCAGCTAATGTAAGAAATATGTTAATATGTTGAAGTATATTAATGTTAATAAATCAAACAAAAAGATTAATAAAGGCATGATAAAGCCATCATGGTTGGGCTAGTTGAGTCAATATATGTGTTTATAATGTTATTATAAACAGTTATAAGATACTCATGAGGATTTTATTAATGTTCGTAAGCATCAACAAACAGTTAACAAGTTTCTTATAAGTTATTATAAATCTCTTAAAGTCTGCTAATAACTGTATTATAATGAGACTATTAATAGATATATAGTCTTATAAACAAATAATAATGTTAATAAGCATTTTGTACACACTTATAAGGGCCTTATTACCTATTAACTAATGCTTATTACAAGGACCTTAATCTAAAGCGTTACCGAAATATCTAAATGTTATTTTAGGTACATGTCATCCTCAGGTTTTTGGTGTACGTACACTTTGATAAGGATTCTATTCCACAGGCCGCACATAAGAAAGTAGTCTGGAAAGGTCAAACAGATTGTATCCCCTGGGGTAAAGAAATTCCAAACAGTCTGTTACATGTTTCATATCCCATTCAGAAAAAAATTGCCAATTTGACCTTTTATTTTGAAAAGCCCACTCAGTCCATTCAATAACCAGCAAGTGTTTTAAAACGCAAAAGGCACCTCTAATGAGAAGAAACACCAGCGTGACACCAGCCACACAGATGAGTCAGCGTGTGTTTAAACACTAATGGCTGCGTATTGTTTTCCATCCCTCTAAGTGTGCACTCAGCTGTGTAGTAGTAGCAGCTGTATTTCAGCAGCTTGAAGTGTCGAGCAGCCATCGAGTTCATCTGGAAGTAGATGAAATAAGCACAGAGGTACAAAGATAATCAAAGAGCTGACTGCAACAACCTGAGCCTGTTCAATTAGTCCTTTTAGGAAACTTGACTGGGGAGTTTAATCAGCTATTGGAGCCTTTTAAAAACATAATCAAAGCCTTCGAAGTTTCGCCACATTCAGCAAGACCGCTGAAGACTTGTAACTCGGTTCGACCCCGGTTTATGACAGTCAATAACTGCCATCCTTTAACTCACTCACTCCCATCCTGCCAGCAACGGATCACATGACCCCTTTCTATTCTCCAATAAAATCTAATTATCATCGCCTAGAGAATAGCAGCCAGCTCTGGCCTCAGAGGTGACACGGTGGTTACATCATTTTATGGATTACTGCTAGTTCTGCAGCCATTTAATCACCTTGTACCATAATCTAACCATTCGTCATTCAGTTGTAGATCCCTGCATCTCCCTGTGGATTTGCCCTCTATTAACCACTGTTTGCAGGGGCTGAAGACTTCCCCTGACCTTGGTGGGACTGCCCAGACAGCAGCATAAAAAGGCAATAAAACTGTCTATTGAGGAATGTGAATCATAAGGGGTAAACGCAACAACAACAGAAAAGATGAACTCAGCTGTTTTCGAAGAGCTACTGTACAGTCGGTGTAAAAAGCACCGATTTTAACACACGCCGTCGCCATTTTTGACATTAAAATGACCTAAACAACACAGGAAATTTACAGGGAGGGGATTTTTTCCCCCGGCAAACTCTGCCTTTACTTAAACTGTTAGTGCTGCTGAAATTTATCATCCCCTCGCAGGCCACTGCACAGTTATGCAAATTGTTCAGTCTCAGCCAAAGATTTAGCAGCATCTGGCTTTTTCTTGGCATTTGTCCACCAATCTGATTAAAGCTAAAGCTATGTCCTGATATATGACGCAGGAATAAGTCACTGTCTCCGCTGACAAATGAACTCTTTCCTCCATGGATGATATGAGTGCTTTTTTGAGGTTTGCTCGCACTGACCGTAATTTTTCTTCAAAAATCTAAACGGAGGCTTTAAATGAAGGAACAGCCTGTGTCCAGTCGAGTGGAAAATGGCTTTCCTCTTGTCACCACCCGACTCTGGGAAAAAAAAGGACTCATGTTCTTTGGGGGGAGATCGAGACACCATATAGAAAGCACCACAGCAGAAGAGGCAACTGTTACTGGAATGGGTCAAAGGACTGGTCATGGTGTTGGACTTTCTTATGCTGATGAAATTTGACTCTAAATTTGCCACTTTTATGTGTTTTTAATGCTCTTGGTGCAAGAAAAATTCCCCCTAGGGCCGATTAAGGTTTCCACGTATCTGTTGCAGTTTATCCACTTTTTCCAAAACAAACTCATTTGCAATCATTGACAGTAGCACAAGGATGAATTTATGTACACCGACATGTTCCAGGGGTTGAGAGGGGAACAAAAACAAAGAGAATAACGCTGGGATTCCACCGCATGCAGAACCGCTAGCTATGCTCTGAAACGGCAGGCAAATTAAAAACGCAAGCAACTAAAGATATAAACACCCACATCCCACAACCCTGGCCCCTCCCATTATCACGCAAAGAACAGTTCAACGTATTGACTTTATTTCATTTTGAAAATTAACCGGATATTTAACAACTTTCACTGCCGCTCACGCAGCGCTGCACTGAATTGATGCGTTGTGCTGTGGTGTCCGGCAAAAAATAGAAGCCTTGCGTATCTGATCCGACCGCCTGAGCGGATCCGCAGCGGTGCCGGACGGCGGACGGATTGTGTGGAATCACGCCCTAAGATACACAATGGATTAAAGCTTAAATGAGACCTAAAATAAAGGATCAGTTGTTTTAGATCAGTGACTACAGCAGCATCGATCTGATATCTATCTGACGAGGAAGGTCTAACCGGCAATTTCCACCGCATCCGGAAAGGCTACGAAAAGGCCACATCCGCTGATCGTAGCTGATCGTAACCAATCAAGTTAATGTGTAAATTCCCACTGGCTTCGTTCCGTTCCACTGTGGATCGCAAGACTCTGCAGCTGATTTTCAGACGGCATTTCACCCCGATGACACCATGGATGAGGAGATGCTGATTTTAGAAGTCTAAAAGTTGATTTCCTCCTCTGGAAGGACACAATCTACTGCTTATATGGTTCGCCTATGTGGCTAAAGACGACTTGTTATCGCGCAACTGCATGTGAATCCGCAGGTTCTTGTGAGTTCTCGCGATTCCTGCTGCCCGTAATCCGCCACGAAATTCACATCACAAACGGACCGGGTAGGAATTGGCGTACGGTGAAAGTTCTGGATCAGAGCCATTCCGGATGCGGTGGAAATCCCGGGTAAAGCCGTGTGAACAGTGCCGTCAGGTAAAACTCCAGAAATCTTCTAGAAATTTTCCTGAATGCATGTCTGAAAACAGTGCTATAGTTGCCCACCCAAATATAAGACTTTGGAAAGTCCAAGAAAGAGAAATAACCAAATAACATCTCACACCAAACCCCTCACACAGTTTCACTACCTTTCATGGCTCAACATCCAGACCGATTCATCATATCTCCCTGTCCTCCTCTGCAGACAATCAAAACCTTGTTATAATATAGGTGCATTTTAAGTATCCTGTGACGAATGCTCACTGGAGGCCACCTGAGGCATCCGTGACGGTCTACGAAGCCATCAAGGTTAATTGGAACCGGGCGTTAAAAGACGTTCAATATTCCTAAAGTGACAACAAATTATGTTAATGGTGGTCCCAAGTCCTTGTTATCAAGGTGGAATCAATCATGCTCATGTCCCTCGAGGTCAGCAGCCATACATAGCAATTAGCACTATGTGTGTGTGTGTGTGGAGAGACTGTTAAATGTCACACTGTAGATTATCCTCTCTATAGAAAGGAAGAGGGTGTGCTTCAAGTCTTGCCAACTTGATAATCACTTTCACATTAATCAGAGTCCACGAATAGAAAATGAACAGACAGTGTAGAAGGACGCCTGACTGTACAGTACATGTCGCCTCTTTCTCTCCCTTTATGCTAAAAGGTGTATCAACTGTATGCAAATGAAGCTTGTGGGATAATGAGTTGGACACGGCTGTCGATGTCCTGCTGCAGCGCGCACACAGGAGCCACTTCATTATAATTAACAATAAACCGAAAACAGCGAGCGGCGAACCTGATGGCTGTTTTCTCTGTGGCATCTGGTTCGTCTGCTGCAGGAAGCTCGTCGGCCAGAATCTCCTCGGGGCTCCGAGGGTCATTCAGGGGGGCCTTCTGCTCTTTGCCTTTGATCCCCATCCCCGCCGTGATGGCATTCCACAAAGCACTCTGGGACTTTGAGCCTACAGGGGGAAAAAAAACAACAACAAACACGAGATATATTTATATCGCTTTGCATAAAACCATCAGTTACGGGGTTTTGTTTACTAGGTTGTACTTTGTTTACATTATCTCACAGAAAACAGGACTGTAAATCACCTTGGGAAGTACATGGTTTTTCAATGAGGGAGCCAAACTATTGAGTGCTTTTACAATGCTGCCCCCGTGTGGCTGTCTGTTGTCAGTACCAATGAGTCTTTAAAAAGCACACTCAGCACAGTGAGCAGATAATGATGGACCCTCAAATTTTACACACTCAGAATTTAAATATTTGCCAAAGGTAATGCGTGTTTTTAAGATAATAGTGCAAATTATCTATATTAAAATATCATAATTGATCATTAAACAGTCATCAGTCATTTCCCTTCATGCTTTTACAACAAAACCCATGTCTGCAGGATCTGTGTTTTGATGAAAAATCACTGTAAATGTATTTATAGAAAGTCTCGTTGCTGCGTTTTATAAGCTTTCTATCTTTCTGCGGCGATCAGAAGTTTCTGTAGCTAATATGCCATTAACCCCGGGTAAAATGACCCTTAATTACGCGCTCTGAGAGGTGAAATGGTTTGAAATGAATGAAGTGATAAATAATGAAGCATGACTAATAAAGAACGAACATTACACTCACGAGCAAAACTGGCTTGTGGTCTGTTGGAGCTCTCCGCGTCTTCATTTGCCACTGGGGGGGGAAGGAAAAATAATGAAAGAAATCAAGTGTTAGCAGGGATTGTGGTTCATAAACACGCTCATGTTGAACTCTTACATTATTAACAAGACAATGAATTAATAAGATTGACTATTATAGGTTTATGTGTTCAATTCACAGTTGACATGCAATATATTTAAAAAGATATATGTTGTTTATGCTACTGTATTGACTTTTCACAAATCAAACTTTTAATCAATATTATAAAAAATGTTTGAACTTTTGTCTAATTTGTCACATGACTTAATACTGGGCTTGTTTGTCCTCTAAACACACCAGAGTCTTCCTGCTGCCACTGTGAAGGAAAATAACAAGTGTGCTTTTGAAGAGCAAATTCAACTTTTTTAAAAACTTCTAGACAAGTCAGAAATAATCTGCCCTTTGTGTCAAACAGAATTAAAATATAACCAGAATCCCTGAATGAATCAAGTGAACAAGTGTAGCTATTTTGACTGATTTCAATGGTAGCAACTATCAGGGCAGTTTTTTTGAAGGGATATCATTCCTTCTTCACACAGTCAGAACAAATTATACATTATATACAGATATCTCCATTTAGATGAAGTTTCAACTCTGGCTCCAGTGTGTATTTTTATATGTGTATATGTCAGGCATTCACCCAAGGTTTGTGTTTGAGTGCGATTTTGGGGGACTGCAGAAGTACTATAATCTTTGTCGACACCTTGTACACACCTCCGTTTTATTTACTGCTGGTTTAAAATCAAGTTTAGGTTGAAGAGAAGTCTGTTTTGAGGAATATTTACCTCAACTGATCAGTCTTTCAATCCATGAACAAAAATAAAAGGTCCAACTCTGGATTTGTAGTTATCGCTGTTCTTTCAAGCAGCAGCCATTATCCATCCGTGAATAATAAATCAAGTTTCCCTCCCTGTAATTTTTCACGATTATCATTTCAAGAAAAGAGAGTCTGAGTCATCACAGGAAATGGGTCTTCATAAATGTCATCATTTAGATGAACTTCAAGGCTGGGGAGTGAAAGACTTGGCCCGTCTCGTTGAGGTTTTTCTTTTTACAGCACTGAAGACAAAGATGGTCGATTCTAAGAGACTCATTAACAGAGTTTCTAAGAGGTCACAGGTTTTCAAATTTGACTGAGAAATTAATCTGTGTGGAGGACTTGTGAGCGAAATGAGGGAATTATAATCTGTATATTTCCAAGGTAATTGGCTGTTCTCGGTAAAACCCACGTGCCCTTCAAAATAAATGAAGGTCACTGTCATGAAAAAGACGTCATTGTACGTCATGAATGTGCAGGTAACAACCAGGTACAGGCTATAATCTCCTTATGAAAAACTTTACTCCAGAGTGCACTAAAATAATATCTGCTGCCTCCTCTGAGCAGACATGGTGGAGTTCACAGCATCTCTGCTGTTCAAGCAAAAAAAGTCCATCTCTGTTTTTAAACTAAAGCACATTCAAGGATATTTTTTATTACTAAATAACTTAAAGATCCTTTATGATTGACGTACTCTCAGTGACATCAACCTTTTTGTTTTGCCTTGTGAAACATCGAAACAGATGTGTTTTAAAATTCACTTCCTGTTCAGATGTCAGGGATGAAGAAAGTAGGTAGAGAGACCAAAACCTTTCCTTAATACCACTGTAAAGATAATATTTTTAGTTGGGGTCTGACTGGGGTTTCCTTCACTTCACTACATCACAGTCTTTTAATATTTTCTACACAGGATCATAGGGCTGGTCGATATGGCCTCAAATCAATATCACAATATATTGAGCAGTTCACCTCGATAACGATAAATGTAAGATAACTACTCAACAAGCTGCTCACCCCCTCCCACATTAACTTCGTCTACTTTAGCTGCTACAACTTTTGAACCGTCCTCCATCTCCTCACCTGTCTTTCCCTCTTTGTTACAGATTGGATGGGGTGGAGTCACGTCTCTGACAGCGTCTTAAAGGGACATGAGACCATAGCCTACCTACACACATCCAAAACCAACTTTTATTTATCTATTTTTTGACTCAGAATATACCGATACAGGCAAAATGGTGTTGTTTATTGTTGTAAATTTCTATATCAGTTCTATATCAGCTTCCTGATATGGTATAATTTTACCCAGACACATATCATATACAGAGGACAGCAGTGAAATGTGATTTTACCTGCAGGGATTATCTTAATGCTTAACTTACGGACAGGTGCTGGACTGTTCTCCAACTGGGGGCTCACTAATGGACTCACCTCAACCAACTTGAACCTTGAACTTCTGGCAGATAGCCAAAGCAGCCGAATGTGGAGGATCAAGCCCAACATTAATAATGATAACACGTCTCTTAATAATCTTTAATAACTCTTGACTCTTAATATTTCTGGATGAGTCAGATGGGGAGATAAAAACACAAGTGAAACAGAAAGAGAACCCGCAGTTCCCTCATGATTAATCACATTGTTCCACAGGTGTCCGCCAATTACGTTTGTAGAGGATTTTCCTGTTACTGTAATCCATGTTTTTTTTTAACTGGTGGACCAGCGCCAACAAGTCAACTGAGGGATCAACAGGTCAAGGCAGCGTTAGGACCCATTTCAAGGTTCTGCTACAGGAATCAACTTTATTTATAGCTTCAATCTTGTAGAGAATCACACCATCTCCAGATAAAGCGGATCTAAAGTCGAAACACTGATGGGCCAATTTTGGTTCAGCCTGCGATAATACCCCCTGAAATAGAGCAGACTTAAGGACAAAACATGTCAGTCTCAGAATCAACATGTTTACAACCTGCTCCAACACCGTCACTACTTTCTCTCCCTTGAAGAGAACAAGTTGAACCTGAATCCATTGGATATATCTCATTAGGGATTACCTGTGATAGCTGAGAGTTTGGTAAAAAAAGAGAGATGGTGGACTTCCTGGGAGAGGATGTGTGAGAGCTGAATCAAAGGTGACAAAGGAAGTTCTGCTTTCAACTAAAGAAACTTTTAAGAAAAAAAAAATGTATCTAAGTTCTAGAAAAAACTTTCGCAACAGATTTCAGATGTTTCTTCCACAATGTGCTTGTATAAATAAATCTACATCAATCACAGATTCATCTTTTCATTTTGATCCAATTTTTTTTTAGTTGGAAAACTTGTTGATAAAAACAAGTTTTTTTATGTTTGAAAATTGTCTAGACCCTGTATTTCTTTAAAAATATAAAAAAATATAGAGCAAAGTCAACATACCAACAGAAATGGTTGTTTGGGGAAAAGTGTACGCTCCCTTTAAATTTGAATGCAGAAGCAACAAAACACTAAAAAGTTGTGTAATAACACCTGAAAGGAAACCCACCTCTCTGTGGAAAGCAATGTGAGAAAACAGCTATAATTTCTGAGTATTTAACAGCAAGGAATTCATAGGGGTCCATCATAAAATTTCTGAATTTCTGTACAAAATGGACAAAACCACAAGCCAAAGCTGGATAGTCATGAACTTTGGCACCCTCAGGCAGCACTCGGGGGTCCAAACAGATATGACTTTGTAGTGGTAATCACTGCATGGGCTCCAAATCTCTTCCAGAACCAGTTGTCTGTGGACACAGTTTATCACTGCGTCCACAAATGCTGGTTGAAATTGTACAATGTGAACCATAAACAACTCGTCTAGTGATGAACTGACATTCTTTTTGGAAATCATGAACTCTGCATCCTCACAAGGCTTGTCATCGGCGTACAGTTCAAAAGCGAGCAGCTGTGATGGTGCAGGAGAAGGAGAAGTGCCCAGAACTCTAAATCCTAAATCCACAACACACACAGAGGAACAGGCTTATCCACACTGACGCCAGATCTGAGGACTCGCATGGTGACCGAGCTCATTCTGCAGATCTCTCTCTTTAAATAAAATCTCCCAGAAGCTATTTTCTTTCTCATCCCGCTGTCTTTGAATAACAACAAATTTGTTCAGTTTCATTAAATTTACAAAAGCTTTTTTTTCTTCCCATGAAAATCCGGTTGATAAAATGCTTTAATATCCTGTTCCTGTCATTACCTTCAACTGCTCTCCCCACCACCTTCAAGTCATGCTCCTGTTCCTGTATTTCCACTCTTGTCATGTGATCACTACTTAGTATCTTTGCATTTCCCCCATTTATGTCAGTGAATAGACGCTTACAGGAAGTACAGGCAGCATGACCTTCAGTTTAGTGCGAGGCAGCTTCCTTTTCGTGTCTTTTCTGGCAAACGGCAAAAATGTTTTTGTGCTAAGAGGTGGATTGGAGGTGTGTGGCTGCACCTCATGAAAACAGGCATCAGTGATCTGTTGGAGGTCATGGACACGTTTGAATGTGGGCTGTTTGTAGGCCTTATTAAATCTCTCCCACTGGCTGAGCATGAAGCAGCTTCATCATTTTCTTGTGATGAATACAAGCAATATTGTTTGATTTGAGGTATTAAGTATTATCTGATTTTACAGCGTTTTTCTATGTGGAGTAAATTCAATCATCAGAGGGTTTTTTTAGAAGATGGTGAAGGGAGGAGGCTTTTTTCTCCGAGAGACAGTTTTATTTCATCTTGATATTATCTTTACAAATCCTGACTTAACCCTGAGTTATTGGAAAATATACGACTGTGACGACTGGGTGAAATATTTTAGAGACGTCTCTTTTGCTCTTTGGTGACCGAGGACACCCTAATATGTAAACTCTTAATCCAAACCCTGAATTGAATTAACCTCATGGCCTTGTTAAGTTCAAGTAAATGCACGCCTTGCACTTTTTAAGCTTAAAACTAGAAAAAAAAAATGCTGTCACTGCACTCCTTCTGAAGTTTTGGCAAAAACTTTTAATCTATTTGGAGTCACTTTGACATGTTTCATCGCAGGAATCAGTCAGGGATTACTGGCAGAGAGATTATGGATGGTATGTTGTGTTTCTGTTTCAATAATCATGTTAATTGTTATGTTTGCTGTTTTCTACAGACTAATGTTAATACGGCAACAGCTGAATGTAAACAGTGATCAAGCTCGAGATAAATTCACCAACAGGTACTATAAGGGGAATTGTATCTTACTGTAGAGACTCATACTGTATCATATCATACCATGACATATGCCTTAATATACTGTGGAGGCAGCTAGATGAATGCTGTAATCAAGTCTACGATCAATCTCCCTTCAGGGGCAATATATTGTATCATATCCTATTAATATAGTACTGTATTAAATACCATTGTTGTATCATATCCTATCATATCTTATCATATCAAATCACATTCTATCATAGCATATTCTTATAATAACATATCATACCATATGCTATCTTATCCCATCCTATCATATCCTATCCTATCATATTCTATCATATCACATCAAATCATATCATAACATATCATATTATATGCTATCTTATCCTAACCTATCATATCTTATCATATCATATCATATTATATCATATCATATCATATCATAACATTTCATACCATATGCTATCATATCCTATCCTATCATATCTTATCATATCATATCCTATCATAACATATCATATCATATCATATGCTGTCTTATCCTGACCTATCATATCCTAACCTATCATATCATATCATATCATATCATAACATTTCATTTCATGACATATCATGTCATGTCATGTCATGTCATGTCATGTCATCTTATGTCTTTGTTTACAGTGGAGGCAGTTAAATGAACACATTTACCAAGTCCAAGATCAATTTCCCTACTTTCTGTAGGGATGTAAACGTCTTAATTTTGCCACCAGTGACACTTTTGTACTGTTTTGACTGGAACACATGATTTCGTAGCCCTCTTCATTATCAGGGCCATCAAAACAACATGAACTTCTTTTCCTAGAAACCAGAGTGAAGTTATAACTATGTGATACTTCATAGTGCCAGTGCTCTAAACTTAGATATTCAGATGACGATTTTCATTATAAATTTCACTGTGATCCACATACTTATTCTCAGGCACAGCTCTCTTAATAAATCAGTGCCACAGCACTCTCTCATAAGTTTTCTGTTCCTCCACTGGGTTTCACTAACATGAATGAAAATCACACGCCTCATGCCAGAGCCAAGAAAAAAGTGGAATCCTGATAGGTAGCCTCAACATTTTCAATCCAAAGTTTTAAAATAATTTGTGTGTCAATGTCAATTTGTGTGTCAGTTTTAGATCCCCTTTCAGTCTTAAATGTACAGATAACAACTGAGTCATAGTTATAATAACCCCACCTACTGGTAAGTACAAGCCAGTGCCCGACTGTCCTATGTGCTTAACATTACTCATGCTGACAGCCCTGGCCCGAACAGATCCAAAAACATTAAGTTCAAGGTGACAGTACCTCCCACTGAAGCTTGGCCACAGCTGCTGCACCACCAATGACTTCTCAGCATCAGACAGTTGCAACACACCCCAACGTGCACAAAGGTTCCAGGGCCTATTCATCACTGCTCATGGCTCTAGTCAATATTTGTTGCTCAAGTTCATCTTTTCAAACTTTTTATGAGCTTCCAACCCACAGCATTTGCAGTGTATGAGCTGTGGTCAAAATGAAACCTTTTACATGAGTGTGAGAGAAAACTCTTGTCTTGATGTATCGACTTAAGACCTTTAAAGGTTTGCTACGAATTCTGCTTGATCGTATTGGACTCCCTCTTCCATTAAATCTCTCCCTTCCCAACACAGTACTGTGACCATAAAAACATAAGGGTATCATTTTTATCATAACAAAGGCATAATTACCAAAATGTTCAACTCAGAAATAAAATCATTTAAGTCATGTTTGTCAGATCGACTTCTTTCAGCGCAACCGCTCATGTCAGTGCCAATACATCATCCTTTAATCCGAATGTTTCCCTTTTCAGTTCTGGTTTTGTTTTCCATGCCAACATTCGGTGTTGCTCTCTTGGCTCACAAACCTGCTTTTGCCTTTTATAAACTGTTTTTCTCTGCCTTTTAATTTGTTCATGTTGCTGTTTTTAAGCGCCTGTGACTCCCAAACATTGCCCAGTTTTCGCAGCATCATCAGAACCAGCAGAAGTCTGAGGATTTATCTCTCTGCTTCTTAGGGCGGACACCCTTTAATTATAATATCTAGCTCAAGAGTTTAAATGCCAAAAACTCCCAGACAAGACTAATTATCACATCATCTGTTATAGTTAATGAGTATCTTCACTTCATATGCTTGTCTCTCTTGATTGAAGTACCATTAAAGTGAATGGATTCAGTCAGTTCCCTGGCAAAGAGGAGACTGAGACAAAACCAGACTGTCACATTTTAATCATAGTTATACAACAATCTGTGATAAGACAAGTTAACTGAATGTAATCCTATCGTGTATAATTAGGAAATATTTTTAGTGTCCTTTTTTCTTTTGGTTTGCATTTCTAATATCAGATAAGGATGCTAAAATTACCACACATCACAGATGAGCGGGTTCAAGCGGGTTCATTGTACGGTTGATTTTAGATTCAGTTTTCTGAAAACATGCTCGCACAATACTCATGTAAGGAGTATTGACATTGGTTGGTTAACTTAGTTTAGCTGATTGTACTAAAGCTGCAGTTTCCAAAAAATGTTAACTTTTGGTTAATGACAAAAAAGTTGCATAAAGGGATATTCCGGCGTAAAATTAAGTTAGAGCCGTAACACAGAGTTAGAGATCCCTTCGAGAGATGAATGTTGCCGACCGCTTGCTTCTCTAGTTATACCAATTTTAGTAACAACCGCACAATAGCAATACACAGCGGTCTGAGGAGTCATACACAAACCTCAACCAAAACGCCACTCTATAGCCACAAATAATGCTCAGAACAGCACCTAACTTCATCAACAGTATATATAGGGTCCTTATTAGCCACATTAGCATTAGCCACCAAACATCTTTTAAGCTTTGCCTAATTTCTTTAGCAAAAAGACTAAACACAACTCACCTACTCTCCTCCAGCAGCCGATTGTTTGTAGCGAGACCTCGAGCCAGTCCATTACGGACTATAGCGGAGTGACGCAGCTCAAGGAAGAACATTTATGATCATTTCTTTATGGAAATGCAATCAGACTGAGATGCTGAGGCAGAAGAACTACCAAAAAAAATTATGATGATTATTACTTCAAGGAAATGATCAAGTAATGATCATAAATGTTCTTCCTTGAGCTGCGTCACCCCGCTGTAGTCCATAAACACGATGTGTTTGACCCTAAATTAATTTTATCCTTTAAAGTTTCATTAGATGAAAATAATTATCAAGTCAGTGGGAGTTTTTCCATCATCTCTGTAATTTGAAGTATGAATCTTCATACTTAACGCCTTAGTTACAATAAAGTGGACCACGAAACAGAGTCTGTATTTGTTCTAGGTTAGCAAAACAAAGGAATTAATCAACCAATGTCGGTCTTTTTGGGTAATTCTGCTCAAGAAAGAGTAATTCACGCAACTGAGAAAACATAGAGGAATATGTACACGTACAGAAACGCTGAGGCTGAGCTGATAAGTTAAAATCTGCTTTTCCAAAATGAGCCTTTACAGCATGAACAGAAACATCACTGAGCTAACAACCCTAACACATAACTAAACAGCACAATTAGACTCAGGGCAGAGGCTGCCAGCTGCAGCGGAGGCTCCGAGTTTAATAGAGGAGCGAAACACGAAGGTGTCCAGTCAGGCAATGAGGTACCAGTGCTTAGGAGTCACGCTTCAGGGGAGGTGATTGGCAACACACTGCACAGACTGAAACCTGGGCCTGGTGAGCAATTGATTGTGACACTCACGGGTTACCATGACAACTGCCATGCTTGTGAATAGTGCGGCTGTGATATAGGCCATATGTGAGTAAGGCAGGTTTCGGGAGGTAACAAGGTGTATCTTTGCTAGTTGAAAGTCCAGAGTGTATTTCATGTGGGAGGAACAAAATTCATAAGGCCTGCTGAAAGAGATGGAAATGATATGAATGCAGCACTCTCTCCATTTCCAAGTTTAAACAATGCAAACACTGAAACTTTCCTCTCTTTATCAGAATATTTTTACCTTACTGATACCTAACAGCTATAGGGTGTAACAGCAGCTCCTGAGACAGCTGAGTATTGGGATGATTCAAAAATTAATTATGATGCTATTGTATGTATTTCATTTTGCTTTGTCTCATCAGTGACTGCATATATTAAATCCTGAATGAAACACCAGGTGGAGCCTTGGTTTAGTGTACATAAAGTACTCAAGGTGACCAGAGCCAGGTCTGTTTGGAGCATACTGTTTTTTGACAGTGTTACGTCGTGTTTAGAGGGGGTGCAACATAAGAGTTGATTGGTTTACATCTATTCTTTGAGTTGTATTGTTAGAAACCAGATATGACAGATCTGTAAATAAATGAATCAGAGAGTTAAACCAGGGTGGCATACTGAAATAGTTGCTCAATACACACATGATAGATTTGCTTCGGACAATATGTCATGGTTTAAAAAAGTCTCTACATCCTTTTTTTACATCAGAGGGCGCTACCTGCCTACGACCTTTTTATGCCATCTCTTCCGACAGGAGAAGAGGCTGTTACGGGGCTACAATCAGCACCGTAACTGGCGTTATCGACCATCAGACGACCCGCTACCACATTATTGGTATCGACGGTTGAAATATCGATAACAGTTGGCCACTTGAGTAACTGAACACAGGTGTAGTCACAGTGCCAGAAGGTAAAGATTTACACATGAGGTCCACTGCAGTATCCGCAAACAAACAAACAGTACCTGGGCAGCTCGCCATAGCATCTTTTTTTTATCCATACAAGAATCCCATCTTCTATCAATAAGCCAAAGTACAATCTCTGCCTGTCTCTTAACAGAGAGAAAGAAAAATGCAAGTAAATAACTTTAACAACTTGAGAGGTAACGCCTCTTCCAGGTTACTAATGCATCAAACCATTTTTTCTTTGAAATGTTTTTCTATTCCTATAATCGAGCAGCTTCTGCTTTTATTAAAGAAGCTTTTTCTTCAAATCATAACAGGAAACAAGGAAACCTGAATGCAAGGAAGTGAAGACAGCAAAATAAAAGTATCACAAATAACCATTTAAGGAGGTACTCTCTTTTCTCAAGCTCAAACAGAAACAAGACAATCTGCACCATTTAAAAACTGTCACTTAAAGCTACAGTAAGGAACTTTTAGTTTGTGTTAATATTGGTGCTCTTGTGGACAGAGCTGACTGTATTTTATGTGAAAATCATAAAAACAAGGTTTTTTCTAAAGCTGCTAAGCTCAGTCTTTTTCATACTCCACACACAGGAGCTTTAACTACGACATGATATCTAACCTTGGACCTTTAAGGTAGCAAAACAGGTTTTTTATTCTGTTTAACTAATTATAGCCGCTGTAGATTAGGGTCCAACCAATTTATCTGCGAGCAGATAAAATCGGCCAATTTTAGCCAGTCTGAGACTAATCCATAATTGGCCAAAATTCAATGATTATCGCCAATATTTTCAGAAATAAAATGCGGTGAATAAAATTCGGTTTCATTTCAAAAATGTTCCGCCATTTAAAAAGATCCCGCGACTTATCCTGTAAATGGCGCAGCGACCTCATGACAATCTTCATCCACTAACTACCTCACAGCACAGCAGAGTGACGGATCTGAAGCAGGCAGCTCAGGGACGCACGGAGAGTGGTCCGCCTCAACGGTAAATAAATCAGTTTGTGAAAAACACAATAAATCAACAAGTTTCAGTTCAACCCACTTCACGATGTTCCCCGCTGTGCTGGTCTCGGTCACGCCGAGGTAACGGTGAAGCACCATGTAATATTCAACCTAAAGTTAGAGTTAGCCATCTGCTATTAGCCCTGCTACACTGTTACCGTGCCGGTAACGTTAGCATAAACAACAGTACACATTACGTTATCGGACTACTTCTCTTACTGAGGCAGCTGCATGTCTCCAGATGAAACCGCACGGGAAATGAGTAACGTGAGTTGAGACGCGGAGGCACCGATCGGCGGGGGGATTGAAGCTTTTTGCACTTTAAACAAAATACGTCATTCTTTTTTGGTTGTTTTAGCAATAAAAAGGAACAAAATTTGGATTTTTTTCCCCCCTAATAATCGGTATCGGCATCGGTCGGACCCTACTGTAGATAAATGTGGTATGCCTGATATGGTCAAGATCTAGCGTTAAACGTCAGCGAAATAAAGACACAACTGAAATTTTACCATGTAAGAATAATATCTGCTCAAAAAACTCAAAAAAACATGGAGGCTCCAACAATTAACTTTGTTTTGACAACATGACTGCTCAGAAGTTTAATCTACAGCTAACACAGTCAGCCGCTTGGTAATTGTGTTTGTGTTGATGAGGCTACAGTTATTAATATTTAATAGTAATACGTCTTTATAATATTATGGAAATAGGAAGATAAATCTTGGGAGAAAGTCCGACATGAATGTTACATAATAAGTCAGTTGCATCACAACAGGATGATGCAGAAGTCACCTCACCTGCCTAGAGGGAAAAAAGCAAATTCAGGATTAGGTTTTGACCCGTGTTGTTCTGTGTTTTTGCCCTTGGTCTAACAGTGTCCGTTCCTCTGGTGGGTTCTTTGCTGATTCTGCTCTGTACCTAAGTGTGTTTAGTATTCTCTGAAGAACTCTCCTCCTGCCCTCTTTCACGCAGCCACACATGCTGGCGCTTTTCTTGTTGACAGTCTGGCTTTTGCAGGCAAAATAAAGACGTTAGTATTGAATTGAAAACTGTCTCACAGGCAGTTAATAACCCCTCACAGTAGCTTTAAGTTTGCAGCTGCACACAGACATCTAGAGAAGAGTCCCTGAATTGACTCTAATCTCAAACAGCTGTTTTTACTGTAGCTGGTGTGTGAGGCAGTCTGTATTTCAACTCTGCTGTGTTCTTCTGCTTACAAACTGTACGTCTCTGAACAGAATCAATCAATGACTGGATTCTCCACCTTACAAATCTAAATTAAAATTTCATTCATTCCTTTTGGCTCGATTCCCTTCTCCCACCAACTCCTGGGAAATATCTCGCTCTTCAGCTACTAAATTCTCCTCCATGTTCAACATTTCATCATTTCATGTTCACTTCTGCTTGTGGCTGGGCTGGTTTGCGTGGGTTTATCACGACCTTGTTATCCTGCCTGCTACATCTGAAAACAAGGTTTATAAGAGGAGAGTGAGTGAACCGAAACAGCCCGAGCTGTAGGCTGTGAAAACAGATCAATGAGCTTAAAGCCACTGTAATGCTCTTTAAAGCTCAGACAAGGTATGGAGGTAAGTGGTCATTACCTATGGATTTGTTTTAGTGAGGGACCCGTGTCGCACCACAACTAGACATGTTGACACTGTTGACATGAATCTATGAACAAATTCTGCAACACAGTAAAAAAGACATTTGATAAGCTCTACCATACACTGAATGAAAGCAATTAAAGCTCCTGTAAGGGGGTAATCAACTCGCAACGTGACATACTGAGATTAATAGTGACGGACTTTGGATGTACTTTATTTCCGTTTCTGGTTTTTCAAACACCTGCTGCCTGCTACTGGGTCAATATATGGTGAGGCAATTCACATTCAGGCAACAACTTCTGGTGTCAAAATATAAAGTCAGAGCTAATGTGCTACAAACCACAGTTTCTCGAGTCGCCACTGGAGGGTCACTTCGAATTCTATGGAGCTGTGCGTAAGCCTGACTGTAACCTTACAGGTCCTAACACACCGGGAACGATGCAAATTACGAAATATTCTGAGGCGAATTTTGACGCGCCTGACTATACACATCAAGCACGATGTGATTTTGCGACTTTCCGGGGGGGGGGGGGGGGGGGGGGGACGCGTCCCGGGTGGAAGCGAGAAGACTGACACAACACCAGACTGTCTGTTTTTCAGTTCTGATTAGACTCTAGTGTTGAGATGTCTGTCTGTCATGATAGCATGTACTGAGTCAGGGCCAGTACCAGATAAGTACATTAAACTATAATCCATAAACGTAAGGTAACAACCGAGACCTAATGGTGCTGTGACAGCAACGCGATTGAGTTTGAGACAGTGAAAATACAAATGGTATGTTGTATCTGAACACTTACTTAGCACAGATGAAAGTTAAAACAAAGACGTTTAGCAAACTGTTAAAGCACACAAACCATTGTCATATGTTACCTTTGTAATGTTTGTATCTTTTATCAAAATGCACTCTGTTCTCTGACACGTAAACAATCAGCCAGTTGGCCATGTTGGATATACCGGTGAATCAGACGTTGCAACGACGCGCAATCTGATTGGTCAGAAGTGGACACACAGTATGCAAAACTTTAGAAAATTCGACCGTGATACGAAAAAATAAATGCCGCAATATCGCAGGACGGGAAAACGTCGCTGATGTGAACGCTTGTAATGACAGGATGCGGGTTCGGAAAAAAATATTGACGTCGGCAATAATCGCACGAAAAAAACGGTCCCAGTGTGTAAAGACCTTACATCTCACCTACAGCTGGGAGTTAGTGAAAGTTATACCCTGTGCACCAGAGAACAGTCTGACAAAGAGACCTAATCAAGATGACAGATGCAGAAAAAAGAACTTTTAAAAACACACCGGCACCAAATCTAATAACTTGATTTATACAAGTGTGCTAGGATGAGGAAGAGTAAAATCAGTGCTACACTACCCAGACAAAAAGGTTGATTTTAGCTTTTTGCGGGGACATTAAGCCGTATTTGAAATAATCAAACAGCCTTTCTCTTAGTTTAAGAGGACAGAATCATGGTGTTGTTCCTGCCCTACAGCTATTGATCAGTCCCAGATTTTAGATGGAGCTGTCAGCTCTGAGCTGTCAGTGACGCCCGGTCCTGTGAAAGTGGGGAATTCTTTCCTAGTACGTCAATGATTAAGCTGCTTTCTAATGAGGGTTTTGGCAACAAGCATCCCCAATTTATCTGTCAATACAGCTGATATTTATTTGTGCTGAGTTTGTTTTTGTTTACACATCTCTATGAGTTTCATACTTCCCTGTCCAACCATATAAAGACCCTGCTGTGTAAGTTTGGGTGAAAGAGTCAGTGGTAGCTGAGTCTGATGTTAGATAGGACTGATTTAGTGCATGCCGAGCTGGTGCAGTCAGCCCCCTAGAGATTTCTCCAACACCCAAATTAAAAAGCCGTTTTTTACAGTAGGAATAAACATGTTTACAGCCTGGTACGAAAACGATGTTGGTCTGAATGTTCAATTGCTTTATTTGTTCACACAGTAGGTGAATCTTTTTGATTCATTACTGATTCAGATTAGGGCTTCAAGTTTTGCATAATGAGGCATAATTGAGTGACCTCAGTGATGGGAGGGGGGCACATTGTAGGAGGTTAATGGCTTGCCGAAACTCAGCCTCTTTGGCAGGTCGATGGAAAGTTTGGGTGAGTCAGTAATTGCATTACAGTCATCGCTCGCTCTCAAAACTTTGCCCAAAACCGATGGGTGATGTCACTTAGACCCGGACCATGTTTATTAGTCCTTTTACTACATATTGACTTTTTTTTTATTATAGATTAAAACCATAGACTGCAGATACTACGACCAACTTGGTTCCGCCTTCCGTCAGTATACAGATTCGAAGCCAAAAAGCTCTCAGTAATTCCGCGTTTTTTCTCCACTTCCCAAAACCAACATTACGCAGTAGCGTTGTACACACTCAACCACTTGCACAGTAACATTGTGAGCTACGGGTGAGCTACACAATCCTTGTATGCTCATAGGTTGTATCAGGTGTCAATCATAGAAAATATGAATCTCCTAATAACTTTTAAAAACGGAGCTTCACAGAAAAAAGAGGACAAACCAGTCTTACAATAACTACATGTCAACATCGCAAGCAGGGGGGAAAAATATTATGTTCTGTGTAATAAATTTCTAAAGTTTGTCCACAGCTCCATAAGCTTTGCTGGCAGAGGCGGGATTTATGACCTATACTGCAGCCCGTCACCAGAGGGTGCTGTTCTCAGAGCGGCTTCACCCAGCGAGGAGGCAGACGGCGTCCATTCTACATACAGTCTATGATTATAACTGAACACTTGTTGCTCATGTAAATGCTGGAACACTGGCACAGATGTTAAATTCCTTCCTTTTGAGTAGCTTTACAATGTTATTCAGCATTGATGCCGAAGCTCCTTTCAGTTCACTGGAACTTAAAAGCTTGTCGGCTGTTCAGCCTGGACCCGGTGTTGTCGCAGCAGGTGGTAACTGTCAGCTGTGGCAAAAAACCCCTGCTGTGACAACACTGATTGGGGTGTGGCAAACATTTCAGTGTGGGCTCTCTGCTCTCTCGTTATATGTTTTGATACACTTAAAAATTTGTACTTTTTTCCTCACAAAAGAGAACTTAACCATTAACGTGCAATGAAATTTTGATGAATAATTTTCATTAATTATTAATAGGGTTTAAATACTGGTTGTAAAACATCTAGATTTAAACGTGTGTCAGTAGCACTTTGTAAAAGGTTAATATTTGGTTTTTAAACAATCTATAAACATCACTTAGATGTTATTGTAAAGTTGCAACTGATGTTTGTAATACTTTGTAAATGATTAATAAGTGGTTTATAAACCACCTATAAACATTATTTAGATGGTCATTGTAAAGTTAGGGTTAGGTTTTTAAAATTAATGGTATATATGCTATTTATAAATGATTATAAACCATCTGATTAACATTCATAAATGGTCTATTTACCTTTTATAAGTTCTGGTTATTGTAAAGTGTTATCAGAACTTTTTTGTAGAAGTTTAAAGAAACTATCCATTTTCAAAGTGTTGTTTATCATCATATAATCGTGATATTTCCACACAGATGTGTACATGACAAAGCTGTCACGGCTTGCCATAAACTCCCATATGAAAGCCCACGGATTCCAGCACAGCATATCCTCACATCCCTCTGCTTTTCACACTGGTTCAACACTCGCTCGAGAGTTTTCACAAGCGCTGCAATTAAAAAGAAAAAAAGAAAAAAAAGGAGAGCCCAGCCAGCAGCACATAAGTTAATCAACACTCTGACAATAGACTGAATACCCGGTGACGTCAGTCGCACACACAGCGTTACTCAGAAAGCCCTTGTTTCCATGGTGTAGTTGCATTACAGGGGAAGGCATCAACTTCACTAGAATGGACTAATGTGGCGAGTTGTGCAGAGAGGCTGAAATGTGATGCGTTTAACGATGCCGCCGCTGTGTGCAAAACGCCTCAGTAGCTCTGCCTCACTCTCTCACTCTCTCGCACACATGTACTCTGCTTCTTCTGTCACACACATGCACGCTCACTTTCATGTGTGTGGCTCGCATGCAGACACACTTAACCTTTCTTCTGCCCTGCCTACCCTGCAGATTCCTCTTACCTATGGTGATGTTAAAGCCATCGATGCTGAAGGTGGCACTCCGACCCTTCCTAAATCGATGCTTCTTGGAGTTAGCTTCCATGGCTTTGGCAAACCGGCAGCCACCCTTGCGTCTTTTAATCTGTTTTAAAGCCTCTTATCAGTTGTTTCAGTTTTCCTGTGGGAAAGATTCTCCTATTGGACAGAACAACAAAAAAAAAAAAAGGCAGTCCCTTCTACTTCGCTTGGTAGTGCTGAGCGCCGGAGAAACAGTTCAAGACTCACCACTTCTCGTCACAGTCACAGAGCTGGAGAATTTCACTCAAGTCCTTCTCCGCCCTCTTGTCTTTGTTGTACATGTCTTTTCTTTCCCCTCTCTCCGTTTCTCACACCTCAACAGGCTCATTTCTGGGAGCTTATGGCTCTTGATTTGTTTTTCTTCTCTCTCACTCTCTCTCTGTCCCTCTCTCTCTCTCTCCCTCCACCCCTCCCTCCCTGCTTCCTCTCCTTGTCTCTCTTCCCCAAGAGGTACAGTAGGTGTGTAGTGGGTGGGTGGTGGTGGTGGAGGTGGTTGAAGGGAGGAGAGGACATCTCTAGAGGTCTTTAAATGAACATGACTCCTCCTACTGTCAAGAATTTATAGCAAAAGCTCCGAGTTGGTATAACACTTGGCCTATTGTGATCTATTCTAGTTTCGCACACACACTCTAAAACAAACAAACAAACACTGGCTCTAAAATCATTTTTGTCATACGCGCATCGATGCAGGAGAGAAAATGCGGACAGAGAGATAGAGGGAGAGCGATAATGTGTATTGAGTTAAACAAGCCATTAAATCAATGCCACTGCTTTTCATTTTGCACGAGGTATTTAGTGAGGCACGAAAAGAGAAAGCCCATTAACAGCACACACGCTGTTCTTGAAAAGACAACACCAAGCTCGACTTAACTCCTAGTTCAATGATTTCATTTAATTTGTTATAAAAATATGCATGTAATCCTTATTTTTTATAACTGCATGTTCATTACTGCAGGACTAAAGAACAAGGACGCTGCCATTTATATTTTGAAAGTATTGATATTCATCCCTGGTGTGTCCCCACGCTCTACTTTACCTGTACAAGCTAAATCAACAAGAGATAAAGAGCTCGCCTTATTAGCGCCACCTGACATTTAGCTATGGAATTTAACGTGTTTCCTTTCCCCCCTGATTAGTCTCTGAGAGCACTCTTTATGAAGGCTTCGGGTCTGTTCTCACACTTCCTCTTAAATCCGATCGATGTTTCAAACGGCACACAAGGACCAGAAGACATCACCTCTTTTAATTCTTAGTCTCTGTTTAAATACCGCTCTGTTTATTGATAAATAGGGATGGGGATTTTAAAAAAGTTATACTGATAGCTATGCCAATATCAGTTCTTTATCAATTCCTGTGGATTTTCTAAAAGGGAAGAAGTAGACCGTTCGGTTTTTCTGTGTCAACAATCACAAATTTCATTAAAGTTTTATAACCTTGAATGCTCTGCTGAGAGAGAGAGACAGAGAGAGAGAGAGAGAGAGAGAGAGAGCGAGAGAAGCCTGACTCCTGATTGGAACTTTACAGGTCAGCTGATCGCAGATAAAGCCTCTGATTGAGCGACAGACCAATACAAAGATAGCAGTTTTCAGTTCGCATTAAAGCACCTGGATGTAACACGGACACACACTCTTCATCTTGAGCCTTCAGTCTCTTGAAGCAGGAGGTTTTTGTTGCTGGAAGTTGTATAATTCTATTTGAAAAAAGAGGTACTTTAAACTCAACAGTATTAGGTTGTACATAGCAGCTATTTGTAACGCCCCTCTCTCTTCTGTCTGTCACGATTTGACTCCTTGTTGTCATTCCCGCTGACTGCCTCCCGGTATGTGTCACCTCATTGTTTTCCAACTGGAAGGCATCAATTAAGAAAGGCAAATAATGTCAATGGCTCAAACTAGTTGGAACCGGTTCTTGTCTCTAATGATAAATCAGAAAAACACTTTATTTCTCCTCCTTGTACCTATACAACATGTGTCAACATTCAATCTTGCATTAGACGTGGTTTCCTTTTTTCCTTCTCTTTTCATGTCTTGGTTTACTTTTTTAATAAAAGCCCGAAAAGTGATGCCATTTAGTTTGAGGATCCTCTCAGTTCTTGTGCAGTGACATTACAATTTTGTCTGAGCCTTGAAAATCCTATAATGAAAAACATCTATCTATTTGACTCCCGCCTACATTTATACTGCAACTGACACTCTTTTTTTATTATTTCTGCATCATTTTAAATCGAGGTGAAACACTAAAATGTCCATGCATGTCTGAAAAAAATCAGAAACCACAGCTTCAGTAAATGCTCTTTACAGACCATAAATTTCAGCATATGACATGGACTTTTAATTTGAACTTTTCTGACTATGGGAGGTCGGGAAGGGGAAGGTAGGGAATCTCAGCAAACTGGTTACAGTAGGTGAGGATACGACTATGCGGGGGCGGAGTCATGGAGTCGCACTAAGTTAATTTTGACAATTTTTGGGTCGGATTGAGTGTCTTTTACGTGCTTCTAACTCTCTAAGTCCATGTGACACAAATTCAAAATTTCCATACAATACCGCGGAAATTTCAAGGATTTTATAAACTTCCCCGGACAAAGCCTGACAATGCCAGACAGCCCCCCAAAAAGCAGACATGTCCGGGTGAAAGAGGACATATGGTCACCCCAGGTTACAGGCATTGAGTTTGTCCTTACCTCAAAACTAAACTCACCAAAGGCTGAGCTCAACTACCCTGTGCTGGATGGCAGTAACAGTATAAAAAAAAAGCTACACACCCGCACATAAACTGCACATTGCTGAACACTACAGAAGATGTCATGCAGGAAAACATGCTGTCTAAATGCAGTCAACTTGAAATCTTTTCCACAAACTCAATCAAATCAGCCAGATCCTTGTGACTTACAGTCTGGACTCTACGATATCTACTTTGGACTTAATCTGAAACTTATTTATTAAACTGATGCAATGATAACTTCAGGCCTGTCATGAATATTTGAGTCTAAACATAATCCTTTTTAGACGTCTATTTTTCTAGACCTTATTTCTCCGTCTACATTCTGTATATTTTTAGATGGAATTTAGACGTTGCACTTTAACTATTTATTTCAAAAAGCAACTGTGAGTTGCATAACTGATCTCCAAGTACTTCACCAGAATAATAATGATAGCTGTTGAGCAATATAGAGTGTGGTATAGATATAGCCCAGATTTCGTCTTGGTCTAAACTTCTTTTAAAAAACTTTCAATTTTAGACCTGTGGTAGCCTGATTTTAGACCAGTCATCTAGGCTACATTTAGACGTCTATTAGACCTCTTTTAGACCATAAATTGCTCAGTGGGATTTACTGATTTTATTCAACAATCTTTCTAGGAATATGACACGTCACAAAATATAAGCTTCGAGATAACCAGGACAAAGATTAGATTTATACGCATTAACGCATTTCCATTTTAATAGAGAGCAGCTAGTAAATGTTACAAATCTCTGTAATGACTGCCACTTTAATAATCCGCATGCCAATTATATACTTAATTAAGCACTGGTGAATACTCATACTCTGAGATTACACGCTCATCTCAGTTGATACTATTCCAAAATCTGTCACACTACGGCAAAGTCAAACCGGGACGGCACATTAGAGCACCACAGACAGTAGTAATTAGTTCAGTATTTAGAAGTGATGCAGCGGTTAACATGAGGAAAAGGAAATTGATCACAATCAGGAGTTCTATCCAATTATGTAAGCGCTAGTTTGAGTCACCCAGTGCAGTTCCAGTGGACACATTATGCACTTGTTGGATAATTACGCTCCATCTCATTTTGTTTTGTGAGCTACAGTCAGGGCTCTTTATCCTCTTCTTCTCCTGTCACCCCGCTCTCTCCGGCCTTCAGTTCACGCTGTATGCAGCAATTTGTGAGGATCCTAAATTTGTAACCCTCTCGCTCCGCAACATCAAGTACCCACATGTTTCAGGTCAGCTTTTATGGTAATCAGGCCATGTGTGGGAATACTGCATCTCTTTCATTCTTTCTTTGTGTCGGCAGAGTCAGGCAACCATTGGTTTGAAAGACTAAAGTGGGTCCTTAAGCACTTGTTTGCTTTATTCAAATTTGAGTACTCTTCTGAGGCCACGCTGCCAACATCAGTTATTAATGTATTACCTCTGGTTCATATCCTGCCACTGATATTAATCCCATCTTTGTACTGTGAGACTAAAGCAGTGTGTGTCATTACCATGGTATTAATTAAAGGAGAAGAAATGTGCCAAAGGGCAGCATATTCTTTGAGAGGTTTCTCCCATTAGAGTGGGTGTGGGTTCAAGTGTCTATAACATGGCCACAATTTGCCGCAGTATGTTCGAAGCTTCCTCTTTAATGCATTTGGGGTTATGGAAGTTAGAGAGGAGATTACATAACACACTTAACTAAAGAAGTGTGCCTCTGCTTTTATTTTCATAATGCTTTGGAAAGCTTCATGATGTTCTGCAACTTTTTATATTACCTTTTAAAACCTAGCACTGCAGGCTTTTTACAGAACATCCTGTTTGAAAGCTTCAGAAAATTAAGGACTTTGTCTGTTTGTCTGGTAAACAAAAAGATGTCACGTACACTGGCTGGTTTTTTAAATTAATGTGATTGGTTATTTTGGGCACCAGAGAGGATGATTTAGTGCTTGTCACAGAGAGAGATCATCTGTTACATGAAACTATCTGGAAATGTCAATTATACGTACACAACACTCAATGACATGAATTATTTTATGGCTCTGTAGCGAGAAAAGAAACTTATTCAATATTCAATAGCCAGAATGGGGACCTAAAATCCTACATGATGGCTGAAGGTCTGCTTAGATATTATTCAAGTTGGTGCAATAAGATCTAAGTGAAACTCACTTGAATTGTTTCGTGTGTTTGGGAGGATAAGGTCTGTCTCTGTATCTACCTCTGGATCATTGCAAAATCTGATGAGTGACAGCATGTCATCATTTAAGTGCTGCCTGTCAGGTCCAGCAAACGATGGGGACTTCACATATAATTGGAAGACTTTCTGGAGTAGACCTGGTCTGATTGGAAGAGAGAGCATACATCCAACTTTGAGTGTGTTTACGAGACCCGAAACCCAACCCTGAGTGAAGATCAGGGGCGGTGCTGCAATATTCAACTACGGCAGATTAGCAAGCCCCCCGATTTAAAATGAATGTAGCTCATATGAAACTCTGGTTCTTAGTCTTTCAACACTGACTTGTTAAGATTTAACGACCTCACACACCGAGGACGACGCAAATATAGGACACGAAATTACGAAATATTCAGAGGCGAATTTTGATGCGCCTGACTATACACATCAAGCACGGTGTGATTTTGCGAGTGTTTTCAGTTCTGATTAGACACTAGTGTTGAGATGTCTGTCTGTCATGATAGCATGTACTGAGTCGGGGCCAGTACCAGATAAGCACATTAAACTATAATCCATAAACGTAAGGTAACAACCGAGACCTAATGGTGCTGTGACAGCAACACGATTGAGGTTGAGACAGTGAAAATACATATGGTATGTTGTATCTGAACAGGTTAGCTTACGAGCTAAAGTTACTTAGCACAGATGAAAGTTAAAACAAAGACGTTTAGCAAACTGTTAAAGCACACAAACCATCGTCGTATGAGAAATCCGACGTTATGACTCTCCACAAGTTGTCCTTCAGGTTGTAATTTTTGTAATATTTGTGTTTTTTATCAAAAAACACTCTGTTCTCTGACACGTAAACAATCAGCCGGTCGGCCATGTTGGAAATCCACGAAATCTGATTGGTCAGAAGTGGACACACAGTTTGCGAAACTTTAGAAAATTCGACCGTGATCCGAAAAAGAAAAATGCCGCAATACCACAGGACGGGAAAACATTGCTGATGTGAACGCTTGTTTCGACAGGATACGGGTTTGAAAAAGAATATTGACTTCAGAAATAATTACACGAAAAAAACGCTCCCAGTGTGAAAAGACCTTTTAGTCTGTCAAACAAAATGACTTTTGAAGATGTTCAGCTCTGCATGTATTGTACTCTCTAAATATTTTTATGCTTTTTTTCTGTATTTATGATTGTGTTTTGAAGTTTACAGTGAAACTTTATACCGCCTGTATTAAGTCTGCTAAACAGGAAACTGTGACTCACGATTGTTGATCCAGTATGATGACACAAATCCCAAGTATGTGCTACTCAGTGTTCACTCTTGTCTAGCATAATGCATAACATAGGCTGTGTCATAGTAGGTGTTTTAATAGTAGGAGTGCATTTTAAAGAGGGGCACAAAGTACAACAAATGCTCTGAAAGGTGTTTCCTACATCCATACGTCTGTTGAATCTTTGTCAAGATCCATTTTCTTCAAGGGTCAATACCGAGGCAATGTCGCTGTCACTAGGCAACAGAAAGACCTTTCAGACATACATTGCATACATTACACCAAGGACGACAAGGGGTTATTATGGCAAACAGCATTCATTACTGCATGCATTGCATGTTTTCTTTTTTTTTAATAGCTGGGACACTTGTGTCATATCACTGCATTCGTTTTAGTTTCTGTCTGGCTCACCTACACCTGTTCAGAAAACACATGAACTCCACAAAATTTATTCTGTTTTAAAATGATGGATATCCACATTTAAACATTTATGATGTATTCTTTTAAATCTATCTGTTTATTTTTGGAGAGGGGAGTCCAGGAAATAAACTTTATCCGTTTTAACAAACCAGTGCTACAATGGATTGTAGGCACAAAAACGCACCTGCTTGCTTCTGCTGTATGTCCATTTGGTGTTGCTCAACCTTTGATCTGGCCATCAAACACCAGGACAGGCCATCATCAACGGACATTAATCAGCCATGAGAATAAAGGGGAGGTGAGGACTAACTTGGGGGATGAGAAAAAGCCTCTTGCACCAAATTAATTCCATTGCTTCAACAGCCACATCAATGCTGTGGTTAGAAAAGGACTCCAAAATTCCACTTACTTTGATTATTTGTTTTTAGAAAACAGATAATCCATAAAAATCTGATTAAATACAAAAACAAATGAAAGTGTAATGTTTGCATGATTTTTAAAAAATGCTTCAAACTGACATTTAACCCTCAATTCATTGTGCGATTCAGGCAAACATAAACTGTGATGGGGCTTTATGATTGAGTAATGTGTCCCAGAAGCACAAAACGATTCCTGACAACAACTACGCAATCAGAGAGAAAAACAAGCTCATTAGAGGTCTCCCCTAGACTGTGGAACGACATACACTTTGTCAGTCCCCATACCACTGTCACCACAGTGACACAGTCGTGTAATTAAGACACACAGGGTGTCAGGGAGCTCGGCTTTTCCCCAGCTAAATACTCATTAGAGGCACCTTTAAGGGTAATGTTAGCCTGTGTTGGAAACCTGGGGGAAATGAGCTGACAAAACAGAGAGCATGAACTGTCATCTGGGTCTTGGCAACAGCGAGAAAATTCAAGAACTTTATAGTCCATAAGTTTAGCTAATGATTTCTGGGCCAGCATGGTTCCATATCAAAGGGATGAAAGTGGTCATATCAGTGTTGGGTCAAAAGGCCAGAGCAATGTAGACGTTTATTTAGCATCAGGCATTAACACACAAACAAACACACAAATCCTCCGAAGAGAAGTCAGAAGACTCCACAAATTCTGCATATTTATGACAGTGTCACATACAGTGACATGATGTTGGAGGCTCAGGGAAAGCACAGCAGGTTGTGCTAATACCTGCATGGTCACAGATGCTACATAACAATAGAGGGGCTCATATAGCTGAGCTTAACACCTGCCAAGGGTGTTAATTGAAAAAAAAAGAGCACTCAAATTTAGAAAACCATATGCTTGGCTGCCTTTTTCCGTGTATGTAAAAATAGAAACAATCTCATATAAGATCATTTTAATTCAAAGAAATAGTATCTTTGCGAACACAGCTTGGTATGTGCAAACAGTAGAATATTAAATAACATTGCTGTGGTAAATTCGTTCCAAAATGTTCTGCACAAGTGTTCATGTATCCTGTCCTACACTGCCTGTACTAACTTTATAAAGGGAAACTGAAGGGTCTCTAGGATCAGGACCAGACTGTTGGCAATAGTGCAATGCCATGGATGTTCAGTAGAGGATAATGTTTAATGAGCAGGTTGTCATAGCGGATTATTACCTGTGTGTGCTAAATACTTCACTCTGATTTGTCAAAACTCAACAACAACAGTAATCAATTCCCAATGGCAAAGACAACACTAGGGACAATTTGATTCTACATTTGATATCAATCCAGTCATGGATGAAGAGTCTGGAACATTTCACCTCTGTCTGTAGCCTCTTGGGCAAAAACAAACATTGATATGTTGGCACTCTGGATTTAATCATTGTAGGAACGTTTGTTTTTATCTAGGTCTTGGTAGTTTGAAAATAATAATACGTGGAGGAGCTAGCAAGCCCCAAACAAGATGAACCACTGATAAACAGCCTGTAACACTCACAGTTTGAGCGGTCTCCTTGGTAACAGTCATGTTAGCATTAGATACAGATTCAGACTTTATTTTTCCACTAAGGCCAATTCCGTTCACACTTACCCTGCCATTTGATCCGTCCAAACACACAGATCAGCAGACAAACAAACCAGACAAGTGCAAGACATTAATGGAAGCCAGTAGACAACCACATTCCCTTGTCAGTACTCACAGATCAGCAGAATCAGCAATAAATAGCTAAATAAGTACAATAAGCAGTCAAGTTCCACAGAGCAATGGTTAAACTACAATAAGATCCACAAGTATGAGACACACGATAAGAAATAGAGCCTTTCAAAACCATCTTAGCGAACTGTTATGACTCAAACTGACCTGAACATTTACATTCGTGGTAAATGTAATTGAAGCAAGTCCGCTTGAGTCTTTTGCTGTGTTCGAGTCACCTCAGAAGTCAGAAGTTCGAGCTGACAATGACGTCACACCAAGTCTGAAAAAGCAAAATCGGAGGCCTGCAACAAGATGGCTACAGCCATCTACAAAACATTTATGAAAGTTATTTCAGCACTTGCCTCATATTCGGACAAGGCAAGCGCTAAAATAACTTTCGTAGATGAAGCCATCTTGTTTCCGCCTTCGATTTTGCTTTTTTCCGACTTGGTAACCGAAGCGCTGGGAACTTGGGTGTGACGTCATTTTCAGCTCCGACTTCTGACTTCCGAGGTAACTCGAACACAGCATTTGACTAGAGCTGTATCCATGACAACATGGCATAATAGACCATTGTTATGGAGAACCGACTAGTCAGAACGAACTATTAAACACATTTGTGTACTAACAACAACTAGATGGTATAGACAATGTGATTGTAAATGGGAACCACAGTCTTCCACTAACACCCATAAATCTCACCTCACAACTTTTAACTGTATTACTTAAATATCGTACATCCTCCTGAACTGAAATTGATATTCAGGCACATTTAACCTTCCATTAAGACTAGCATAATTCATGGTGCTTGGGGTTGCCAAATTCTGCGCCGATAATGGACAATACTCTTTTCTGATTTCTTGTTTATGCTCCTCTCTCACTACACTTGCATCTCTTGTCCCCCAATAGGTCCCCCTCTCATTGTGAATCAGACATGAAAGGGTCTGAAGCTGAAGGAATAGATGAAAAACATGTTTGCCATATGGGGCACACATGCTAGATCTGATGTCATTTTAAATTGGTATGAATTACTTATGACATGAGTCACGGCTACATTGCATGTCACAGCTCTTGTATTAGATTTCTGTTTTATTTTCTATTTTTATTTTTGATCAAATCGACACATTCTTATTTTTTACAAACAGAGAAGACGCAAGTCCAGTCTTGTGAGTTTTCAGTTTGTGTTTGACCCTGTTTCCCTTTTGTACTCTGTGTTTTATTCTTTATATCTGCTTTTATTGTTTCCTATTTTATTTCGTCGTAGTTGATTCCTTGTGTTAACTTCCTTAGTTTTCCCTCCTTTCTTAATCACCCATGGGTCTCACCTGCGTCTCATCTGAATCACCTGTTACTCGTTTCCCAGTGTGTATATAGTCACTGTCTTCCCCTCTGTTCTTGTTGGTTCATTGTATGTTGATGTGTGCATATGCTTGTGTCCCCAGTTGTTCCTTGTGGTATTTTCCCCCAGTGACTTTTGTTGGATTTTGTCTTTGGATTTTTTTAGTTGGACATTTTTGAAGAAAGTTTTTGTTGCTTTTTATTTCGTTCTTTGGATAGATCATTTTTTGTTCTGCATTTGGGTTCTTTTTCCGTTGTTCAACTCTGCCACGTGACTCCCCGATTGCACACTGTTCCCCATAATATTATGTCTTTTTGAGTCCCTGATAAAGACACCTTCTCAACTTTGTTTGTCCTTTGATGTCCTGCTCAATTTTAATTTTCAGTGTATAAAGTTTTCATGAAAACTATAAGTTGCTGTACTTCTGTTTGCAACTTCATTACAGATTATCACTATTTGGTATGCTCCAAAGCGAGTGATGTCCTTGTCGTTTAAACAAACATTTCAATACTGACATACTGGCAAGTCTGAAGGTTAGAGAAAAAAATACAGAAAATAGTCAAAATCTCTGTAAAACTATGTCAAATTAGTTTGCAGAGCTCCACCAGCCTTCAGTCCTCCTTGGAGTTGAGTGTCCACATACTTGTGGTGGCAGTGGCACTGTCTGAGTGCTTGTCTGTCCGTCGAACCAGACACTGCTTACACACAACTTGATCTTCCTTACATGAACCCAAATACTACCAAACCACAACATGATACAAGAAAATCCTCTCTCATCTGTGCTTGTTTACATCCTGGTGGTACAGCATTTTAGCACTGTAAATACTGTGCTTACACACTGAAGGCAACAGCCAAACATTTGTCTCCTACCTTACGCAACTTCATTATGTGTCGTTCCTGTTTTTCTTCCTGTTTCCAATTCTATTCCTTGTCCTTGCTATGAAAGCTTGAAAAAGTCAACTTTTTTTAGGATGGCACACGATTGGAAGGCAGCTCATGTTACAAGACAAGAGTAGACATGAGATTTGGTTCACGAGAGCAATTGGAAATCTTAACTCTATTTTTATGAGTATGAATTACCAATCACGACACAAGACATGATTCTCCCTGCACCTGTGAAGCTGGGGGAAGTTTATTTGTTCATCCAAGCTGTCTTTACACACCCTGACTGCTTTTATTGTTTTTATTCTCTGTGTCTCTTTTCACTCTCTCTTCTCTGTCTCAGTGACTATTGGTGATCATGGCTTTTTACCTTTTTATCCTTTCATGAAAGACATGTATTCTGGACAAAGAAAGGAAGTGACAGACAGACAGACAACATGAACATGACTTCAGTGACACCCTCACCTGAAGAAGAAAACTTCCTTTCCTTGTCTTTGGCACTTTAGGCAGTGCCTCTTCTTATCCCCTCGATAAGAAATTTCATCACACTTTCGCCACGAGAACTCAACATGCCCTTTGAATTACATAACTTCGAGAGTGATTTGGCACAATCTTTTTCATTTATGTCGATATGCAATCTCGAATGCACTTTACTCCACTGTTTCTGGTCCGAATGTAAAACACTTATTAAATACCATCCAGTCTGAGTAGTATGAGCTCAGAGGACAATGCCAGCTACTTGTAAACCACAGGAAACCCTCTGAATATGACCTAGTTCTTGTGCCAATCAACGATGAAGTAATTGCAGCTCTTCAACATCGCTGATTGTATCCACACTCTAGGGCAGTTCCCATGCCACCCTGGTTTTGTAGCCTTGGGAGCTGTAACAGCCCTGACGGTGATTCAAATGACGCACTCGTCCAAAGTGAAGGTGAAAGTGGCTTATAGTTGTCAGAGCTGATTTCAAACTCTTTTCTGCAATTTCCTCACATCAGGACTCAGCAGTCATTGAGATCCTTTTTATACCAGTGGATGTGCCAAGCATTGAAGGGACTCAACCACATGAGGTGGTGGGTGTCTGTACTTTGTTCCTCAGGAGGTAGCAGTTGAGTGTGCAGTCAGCTGAGAGTCAGGGGGGAGACTCCTGAGCACACATGGACACCACTGAGGACAAGAGAGGAAACTCGACGGGAGTCTACACAGCCATACGGTCATGGAAACGCCCCAGTACAGATGGTATTTTAGGAGTCAGCCTGGGATAAGTTTATTCCTCTGGGCAAGACATGGAGGGAGTTGGAACTACAGGAGGCAGCTGTGGTGACGGCTGACGATAAACAGGTTCAAGCAAAGGAAACACTGACCAAACGAAGGATATAAATAAGGAAAGGTAAAAAAAATTATGCTACATCACTGAATCAAAGTTATAACTGCTCTCTGGATCACTGAAGACAACCTCTTCAAATATGTCACCATGAAACTAGACGACTGAAAGATTTTGGATGTACATTCTCAGCACAAGAGAGGCTTATTCATGGGAGTGAAAAAAATACGATGCATCCAAACTAAAAAGCAGATCCACATCCAAATGTGCGAAAATTAATAGGGCTGTAATTTATCTGGGTGACACCTCAAACATCAAAGAGATGTTTTGGGAGTGGAGATATGTTGCATTGAGGCTGGCCTTCAAAGAGCTCTGCATTCATTAGGTAAATACCTCTTTTCACAGTAATCCTCTGAAGTGACCAGTTGCTCTCATCTACAGATAAATCCATGAATTGAACCACAGAGATGTGCGGTTTTAGGTGGCACACCAGCTGCGTCAGACGCCTGGGTGTTTTAAAAATTAGAGGGAAAAGTCTTGTTTTACTCAAGCATAAGAAAACGTTTGTCAATTTGTCAATCTGCAGCCATAAAACATTTGTTTTATCTCATTCACTCCGGCGTTTTCACCTCGTCAGAGCAGTACTTTAGGTGATCATCAACTCAAACAAGAGCAAAACTAAACAGTACACTGTTTATAAGCAATTGAGCTGCTATACATAGAAAACTTTTAGAAACTTTGCATTAAATATACTCACATAGTCAAAACATTAGCAGGACATGATAAGATAAGATAAGATGTTCCTTTAATAGTCCCACAGGGGGAAATTCTAAATCTACAGCAGTATAGTATAGATACAAAAAGAGAAAAATCAAAAGGTAAAGAAACTTTGAGCATCATATACATAAATATAGCAGCAAAGTAGTCCCTGCCAGTGTCAATGTTACTTTAGCGTCTCACTGTACCTATACATCGCTTGTGCTTTTGGTTCAATTTGTGTTTTTTTCCAGCTTGAACAAGTTACAAAGTGTTTAAATGAGAAAATGTAGCTGTAAAGCTTAGAAATAGTTCAATTAAAGTCTAAAAATTAAAACAGGACTAAAGTAAAGACAGTTAAAGTAGGCCTTTTAGCAGTAAATAAGAGAAATGTAAGTTAATAATTTTGGAGGAACATCTTTCTTTGGAGTACCTTTATTTTTTTAATCTTATCTTGAGTTTCTAAGTTGGGGAATCTATCACAACATTCAGTTCAGAAGCCTAATGCAGTGGTTCTCAACTGGTCTCACTCAGGGACCCATATTTTCCCGTGGTCCTTTAGTCGAGACCCACTTTTATAGAATTCAAACCAGGCAAATGTATTTTTTATATATAAAAAAAACCTTTAAAGACTCTAATCTTTAACATAAATCCACTTGTTTTATTGAGTAAAGTGCATTTGCAGAGCACATGAAGGGGACAACATGAGGACGGCAACTACTGAGGTTGCTTGTGAAAAAGTAAAATATCACATTAAATATTAAATTTTTTTGACCAGCTGTTCGTGACCCATCCAGAACATGTCGGCGACCCACTTTTGTGTCGGGACCCACCAGTTGAGAACCAGTTGAGAAGGGTCATTTTTACAGACAGAGTGAATTTCCTTGCCTGTTTTCAGCTAACCTGAGTTTCCACTAGTGCAACAGGTGGGTATAACCTCGTCCACGTTTCACGCTCCACTCACCTGTCTGTGGACCCTCAGGTGTCTTTTTCCTCGAAGTTTGCCTGACGCCGTCAGAGTCCTGTCTGCTCAGCACCTCGGACAGCGACGGGCGTCCGGAACCCTGCCGTCCGGTTTGGCTCGACACGTTGAACCGAGAGTTCTTCTTCTTAGCCCGGTCTGACTCCGGGGCGGACTGGCTCCTCTCTGGGTCATGGTTTTCCGGTTCCGAACCCACTTTCACCAAGGCGTTTCTCGTCCTTGTTAGAGCAGAAGTCACGGAGCCCATCACCAAAAAGCTTCAGTTGGAGTCAGTTACGCTTGACCTGTTGAAAGTTGACTCCATGTTTGTTCCATCCTTCTTTAGAAATAACACACAGTTAAAACACCTCATTTCTTACTGTTACTTCCTAGCTATTTGTATGTTCATTTTGACCGAAATTAACCTATCAAATCAGAGAATATCAGAAAAACAAAACGGTTCATGTCTGCGTCTCTCTCGACTTGTTTCCTCCAACAATCACGTCACATGGAGAAAGTTGCTCCGCCGACAAACACGCTGATCTCCGGGGGCAGCCCGGCGAAAACAAGCCTCATGAATAAACTAAAGGATGTTCTTGAGCATTTAAATGAGCTAAAAAATACGACCAAATTGCCTGAAACTGCTCTAAATGTTGTTTAAGATAAAAACAAAAACACTACTTCGAGTTTCTATTTAAAATCGCGTTCGTAACGCCTCTATCTGTTCTCGCGAGGTTTGAGTCACGCAAAATAAACTGTTCAATTTTAGTGATTTATTAGACTAGGACGGCTGCTGCCCGAGTACAGCCTGCTGTGCTACAGCGGTTGACTGAATGTGACCTACAGCTGGAAGTGGTGCAGTTAGGGTTGAACACCGGCAGATGGCAGTAGAGCACAGCAGAGTGAATTATGCGCAGGCACGAATACGGCAGAGTACCCCACTTCAGAATCCTTAATGACCATAATAAGAGAAAGTAATGACTTTAGTATTAATTAAACAGACCACTTACCTTAATCTTACTCTGAGTTGCATTCTGGAGCTTGTAGAAGAAATGGCATTATCCTCATTGGTGGACTTTAAGAAGTTAACAGCGTTAGGGGAGAGTGGGGTAAGTTGAGTCAAAGGATAAGTTGCTTAGAAATGGTAAAAGAAATTGATCATGTGACCAAATATTTAGGAGATGGGCATCAATTCATGGAGTCTGTGAAGGTTAGAAGTACATGGGTGAAGGGGTTAGACATTATTTACAAAAATAAAACATTTTTCACTCTTGAAAGTGAATTTAGTCTGTCTTAAGTTTTATTAGAATTGTGTTCAGACCAAAAAAGATCATTTTAAATTAGTTTTCTACATCAATTGTGGTATCTATGAGCTACAACATGAGGTCAAAAGCCTAGATAAAAGTCCACCATTTTAGCTTAGAGGACTAATAAAGTCATAATAGTAGTTCTGCTCAACTGAGAAGCTAAAGGAGTCTGATGAGAGGATCAAAGTTTCAGTTCAGATTGTTGAAATGTGTTACTTTTTCTTGACAAAAATACAGCTGTGAATGTTCTGAATCACTTAAAGACATTCTCATGTTAGAACGGCTTTTTACAAAACAGATTGTTAGCAGTTATATGCAATAAAAAGAATTATTGTACTAGTTGAAAAGTGTATAATAGATAAAAATACACATGAATGTGAAGAAGTGAGTTATGTAGGGAGAGAGAGGGTAAGGGAGGGCTGGGGGGGTAGTGGGGATACCACTCAACTTACCCCACTCCTATGGTCAACTTACCCCATACACGGGGTAAGTTGACCATAGGACACCCCTTTTTTTTGGCGTGCTATATTATCAAGACAGTCATGTTTACACTCATTCTGTTGGTTTGCAGGGATGTACAACATCTTGAAATATATGCAGATACACTAGAGACAAAACTATGATTGACTTGATGTAGTGATCAGAAATATGAAAAATGGCTCATCTTGAGTTACCATATTTAAATGTTTCATTACAGTAGCTTAACAGGAGTTTGGAGAAATAGATGGGCCAAAGGATGTGGATATGGGATAAGCTTGTTCAATACACCCACTTGTATTACATTCATTCGTTTACAAGTGTTGATATTTTAGCTGCTATGCATTGATTTGAATTTTTGAATTGCTTGTTTGATGTGTGTTTACTTTTTTTTCTGTGCCTCTTCGGTGTTATTAAAGTTTCCTGAGTCCCAGGTTTTGGTGTTCTGACAAATTTACGAAGAACAGCCTGAAGTGTATAATCTTGGGTAATACAATAAAACCCTGTTGCTGAAAAAAAAAAAGAAAAATTGTGCATGGCATGAGGAGTAAGGTTCACATTGATGATTTTGTCCATCTTTGGTGCCCTATATTTGCTTCAGGTTGCATAACAGACAGCTGAAATATTAAACATCATGAAAAATGTAGTTTTGCTCCTTGAAACAGCATGTTTATGTAATGTTTGTACTTGTACTATTGAAGGCAAAGTATTCCACCTTGTAGACAGTATTGAGTTACAGTCTCAATGGTTTATTGCTGCATACAGGCAATTGTGACATCTTTAGCATACAGGTTTCCTGGAGTGTGCATGCTGTATTGATTGAAAATACTACTTTGGTTACAAAGAAAGAGATCTGTAGACCTTAGAAGGGATTTCTATGTGTGCTGATTTCATTGCTGAGTCTAACAAATGTGACAAAAAAAGAATACTTTGAGCAGAGTAGTGGAAGCGAATACAGTCTGTGTGTCAGCTAACAGGCTTACTGGATCATCACACATAAAGGCACTTTAAGAAGCTGTTTGTTCTGATGTGTTGTTGGTTTTGTTCGCTTGCTTGGAGCCCCAGTGAGTTGTGTTTTCATCTTATTGCTTTAGTTGATTGTTTGGCAGAGACAGAGACGTTATTACTCCATGTCGTCGTGGTTCTGGGTCGACTCGTTGATCACCTGAATGAGGACAGAGAAAAATTGATGAGAGGAAGTGTGTGCCGGATGAGGGTAGTGTCAGAAAATTCCTTTAAAGATGGGAAATCGTTTTAAATGATGTCTACCTGACCATCCCTGGTCTCGATGGTCTTAATGAGAACCTTCTTGGTTGTTGTGGTTTCAATGTGAGGTTTGGAATCAATCATCGTTTCTAGGGGGGAAATAAGTGTTTTGTAGAATTTAGTGGCAATAAAATAAACAAAACTGACCTAATTGCTCAAAAATACATGAACAAAATGTGGCAGTACCTCTCAGGTTTAGAGTTGAGAAGTTTGGCAGAGGGGTGGTAATCCTGGAAATAGAGAAATTGAAGTTTAAAAATCAACCGGTACATTTTTTTCCTATCTACTTCATAAACAAGGACATATCTGTCGGACAGAATTAGAGGCCACCTGCTCTCCTCTCCTTCCAGCAGCTTCCTATAGGTAGCAATCTCAATGTCCAGGGCCATCTTGACATTCAAGAGGTCCTGGTACTCCCGCAGGTGGCGAGCCATCTCGTCCTTCATGTTGTGAATGTCGTCTTCCAGACGCCCGATGCTGTCCTGGTAACCATTCGTTTCCAGGGAGAAGTTCTCCTCCATTTCTCTCATCTGACGCTCCAAGGACTCATTCTAGGACAGCAGCCAAAAGACGGTCAAAATGACTCTCAGGCAGAGAAAACAACTTGGTTCATACAAAGGCTCCCTGTGGCTGGTTAGAAGGAACTTTCCCTTTTATTTATCTTTCTCGTGACAACTTCTTTTGTTCGTGTGATGAAGTTTTTGTGCTCTTTTTGATTCCAGTCCATAAAGACCATAAAAATGTCAAACCTGTTTGGGGTTTGGACTTTAGTATGAGAAGTGTTTTGGTTTCTGCATACATTTGAAGGTCACATAAATGTTGATTTCCCACATACCAGCAGGGAAAACTGAGAGGCAAAAATCAAGAAATCATCTCCAATGACATCCCCTACATTGGATGCATCTCTCCATTAATCAATATCTGATCGCTAACAATTGGTTCAATATCAAATATTTGAACTTGGGGCTATAAATCTTTTTTCTCTTCTTGAAGACGGACTTGATAAAACTTTAATTTTCACTCTTGACAATTTTGGTTTCAGTTACTATCAGCTGGGGTAAGCCAGAGTTAAGCCTCGGGGTAACTTACAATTTACAATGAAACTGAGACTCACCAAGAACAGATAAATAGATGCTTCCAAGGAGGATGTATCAAACCAAGTAACAATGGCCTTTATTTGATTTTGCAGAGATAAGTGGACTGTTAGCATTGCTGATCATGAAAAGGGAAGTCTTGGTTTGAAGTCATTTAAATGCTACCACTGGCTACACTGGTACACCTGCAAAGTTGGCCACCATTTATGTAAATATGTAACTGTATTTTGTGTTTACTGCCTTTCCCATCTCCATCTGATATTTCCTGGTTAAATAAAGGTTAAATAAAAATAAAAAATATCACCTGAAAATAACCACAGTTGTTATTTTTGTTTGCAAAGTAATCTTGTATTCCACGCTGTATATTCAAAGCTGCGTACTCACAGTTCCTTTGAGAGCATCCACTTCACAAGTAAGTGCCTGAACTTGGCGCCTATAGTCGTTGGACTCTTGCTTGGCCACTCTCAAAGCGTCGTTGTTCCTGGCAGCCGCATCAGTGAGGTCAGCGAACTGGCAACCAGCAGGGGCAAACAGAAGGATGAGACAAGAAGAAAACAGAAATCAACTGTTCAATAAATGATGAGTCAGAGGGCAAGAGAGAGAGAGAGAGAGGGGGAGAGAGTGAGTTATGAAAGATGGGGTCACAGGGGAGGCTTGCAGACATTACACAGCAGTTTGGTGGTTGAAACAGTTTTGAAGAAACACTGTTTGTATCAAGTGACCGACCAAAGGCCATGCGGATTATGATTAACTGGCCTGCTTTTGAGTACTTTGGCACGTTTTAAAGCATTTTAATTGTAATTTAATCTTATTTCTAATCTGGAGGATTGTTTTTGGCAAGGTAGAGTGGTAGAAACATTGTGAAAATAATTGTGAAATATTACAAATTTTAAATTGATAACATAAACTTTTTCACAAACACTGCCATATTAAAAGATCTAGATAATTGGGGGCACCCTTTAATCTCTTTAAGTAGTATTTTTGGAAAGTGTGTGCACTATCAAGGATGTTTTTGTGTCTACCAAGTCTTGAAGGAAAATTCAGGCATCTTGGCCTGGGGTGGTGCTTTTTAAGAAAATAAAAAACAACACTGACCGAAATTAAAGGCAGGAACCAAAATAAAGACCTAAAAACCTTTCAGCTATCATCATCTTATTGTGTTGTTCCTAAACATTCTTCGAATTCAATCAAATACTTAGTCTTTGTTGAAAATCTTCACCTTGGATTTGTACCAATCCTCAGACTCCTGGATGTTTTTGGATGCCAGGTTCTCGTACTGCAGGCGGACATCTCTCAGAGCAGCTGTCAGGTCAGGTTTAGCTATCTCCATGTCCACCTGCACATGCTGCTGCTGTATCTGGTTCTGCAGCTCCAGTAATTCCTGCAACAGAAACAAATGGACTTGTAAATCACTATTGTTTCTCCAATGCCTTGAACTCATTTTGCACTCTAGGTAGATCAACAAATACCTGAAATTATTTGGTATTTATTAGGTGCCTTCATCTTGTTAGGCAACACACACATGCTTAGTGTTTCCACAACATACCGGGCCAGCTTTAGCCACAATAAGAAGGAAGCTTACCTCATCATGCAGCTTCTTGAGGAAGTTGATTTCATCCTGCAGGGCCTCCACCTTCCGCTCCAGATCCAGCCTGGCCAGAGCAGCATTGTCCACATCCTGCGTAGCGACACTGACTCTTAATAAGGTGACTTGTGAAGGTGACATGATTTCAAGCACTGAGGGTTTGCTGACACAGTGAAAAAAAGATCTTCCGCATGCAGTACAGGCACCCCCACACGGCTGCCACATACACAACATGACCCATTGTGCAGCAAAGCAAGGTCACACATACGAATGCATCTAATTAAATGAAGTGTAGCCACGTGAGCAATGTCACTGCAGGTAATTTCCACGTTATGTTCAGTGCGGCACCTACAGACCATTTCAGAGGAATATATCATGTTTCTTTTCTGCATTTTTGGCATTTACTACTTTATACAATTGTGTTTGTACTTGCTTAAATTTGTACTCACGGCATCCAATGACTGAAGTATCAATTAAACACTCTGCTATCAGTGTAGTACCAGAGAACTTACACCGACACGAGGTGAGAGTGATCCTGTTTTTAGGGCAGGTTACCTAGCAATCCAACAAATCATTTCATGCCTCTCTGTCCTGACTTTTAGGGAGAAAGTTTTCCAAAACCCCTGTGAGACTTTCGGCCTCTTTCCAAAACAAAGGAATGTGATCTTATAAAGAAAAGTAATGCCAAGAACACCCAGAACCACAAAGAGTTATTCAAACAGTCCTTAATCTCATTTGTTATTTCTTAGCTGCATGCCTACCCTGAAAATCTGGACTGTTTCTTTTGGTAGAAATCTGGACATTCCCCTGAGAGCTCTATCACTGCATAATAAGATAACTCTCTATCTGACCATTCTCTGATTTTACACAAAAGCTTTTAATCTTAGTTCATGTACCTGTTTTTTTAAATATCCTTTCACATTCTTTCCATTTCCTTTCTACCTCCTGTACTCACAAACTTGTTGCGGTGCCACAGCTTTGTCAGGGCGCTGGCAGGCTGGTTAGTGAGGTATCAGCAAATGAACAGCTTTGCCCCTGCTCTAATGCCACAAACAAAGTGAGCTATTCAACAGGGTTTCCCAAATCGGCCCGCGGCTGGAAGAGTGACTGTCTGCCTGACTGAGCGAGAGCCGCTGTAGGCACAGCATTGTTGTCTGAGTGCCACCATGGAATGCCACACAGGAACTTCCTTCCTGTCATTCAAGCACATAAATAACGATTGTGAAAAGTATCGATAACCAAATGTAGTCCCTAAAAAGAGCAAAAGCAACTTGAGAATCGTGTGTGCCCCTTTAAATATCCATCCACAATTCATTTCTGCGGGTTTGTAAAAGTGCCTAATTTGGATTTCTGCCTCTGTTATCTCATGACACTCATTTGGAACCATCTGCAGCTCTCATCATCTCTTCATTATCCAGCATGAAACTCAGTGATAGGGAACAATCTCTCTGACAGTCCCTCTCTGAGACTGTGAGCTCATGGCCTCCCAGAATGAGACAGTCGGATCACATGGTGGCTTGTCTTCTCGCTCTGATAACCACACTGGATCCGCACCGTTGTTGTGTTTGTGTCCGTCTCATTCAGCGTGACCGGTCAGACTTAAAAAGATCTCCTCTCACTACAGGCCTCATTTAACTCAACAGCCACAACTTGGCCTTTTGTACTGGGACGGGGTCAGTTCTGCTCTGTAGCTATTCGGGCCCATGTCTGAATCTGCTGTTGTGCCATCAGAAGAGAGCGTTCCTGTCTCTGCGGCTCTCATGAGCAATAATTAGATTGAGATCTAAGGAAGGAGAAAGGCGACAGTTATACCACTAACCTGTTAGAAGTGAGACTCATTGAGGTTAAAAAGGTTTATCCAATCTTTTTGTTAGCCGCAGCTCATGTCTTATTTAAGGCACTACACCCCTACTCAAACAGAAATAGCTCTGAGGGTGCGGCTACAGTGGGCCCAGAAGTCATCCAACCATCATACCCATGTATATTAGGGCCCGACGATTTGGATTTTTTGGGGCCAATGCCAATTATTAGGGGGAAAAAAACAGATTACCGATTAATCGACCGATTTTTAATTTTTTTTATTAAGTTATAATATATATATATATGTATACTGTAGGCTACTGCTCTTCGCGCCGACAGGAAGACGTACTGATCAAACTCGGACCAGAACAGCGTTTTCAACTCAGAGCCTTCACTCTGCTGTGCTGTGAGGTAGCTAGTGGATGAAAATCGTCATGAGGTCGCTGCGCCATCTACAGGATAAGTCTGGGAACTTTTCAAATGGCGGAACATTTTCGAAGTGAAACCGAATCTTATTCTCCGCATTTTATTTCTGACAATATCAGCGAAAATCGGTGAGTTGTGGCCGATACCGATTACTGGGGGGGGGGGGGGGGATCCAGTTACCGATTACCTAGCCGATTTTTTTACATTTTTTATGAAGTTATTAAATATATATACTGTAGATATACTGTAGGCTACTGCTCTTCGCGCCGACAGGAAGACATACTGATCAAACTCGGAACAGAACAGCGTTTTCAACTCAGATCCTTCACTCTGCTCTGCTGTGAGGTAGCTAGTGGATGAAGATTGTCATTCGATCCCTGCGCCATCTACATGATAAGTCGGTGAACCGAATCTTATATCAACGAAAATCGGCGAGTTTTGTCCGATTACCGATTAGTCTCAAATAGGCTAAAATTGGCCGATTTAATCAACTTGCCGATAAATCGGTCAAGCCCTAATATATATAACATAAAATATGACAAATGTGAAGATATACCCTGTGCAAACGCGCTTGATTTCATTGCATGAGTCATACCGTACCTGTCTGAAGCTCTGCATGTTGCTCTCCGCCTCCTCACGCAGGGACATCTCCTCCTGCAGTCTGCAAGGACAAACAAAAGCATGCATTCGAAACTAATGAAAACTTTCAATCTTTACACTTTCAAATTCATTGTTTTGTTCATGCATAAAACCTTAGAAAGAACTCCTCAGACACAAAAAGCTGCAGCAAGTTTCATACTTAGGTTTGGCGCAATGGACGGCCCATATCAGTGCCAAAAAAGTAGAGTAGTAAACACTGATTTTAAGTCATAGAGACAGGTTAATAATCATTATTGTTAACTTATTAACATTAAACTGAACGTGTATGACTCTCTAAAGGTGATATAAAAGTGCCACGCCCCCTACTTCTCTCTCAGGCGGTCGATATCGTCCGCCAGGTTATCCCGGTGAACTTCCACCCGGGCCCTCTCGTTTGTGAGCTGGTCCACCTGACGGCGCAGCTCCCGCATCTCATCCTCGTACAGATCCGCGACCCGGGACGTGCCTTTGCCCCGCAGCTGCTCCAGCTCGGCCAGCAGGATCTTGTTCTGCTGCTCCAAGAAGCGGACCTTCTCGATGTAGCTGGCGAAGCGGTCGTTGAGGGACTGCATCTGCGCCTTCTCGTTGGTGCGGTTGGTGATGAACTCGCTGTTGATGGCGTCGGACAGGGAGAAGTCCAGGTTCTCGGAGGCCAGCCGGGGCATGGCCACGCTGCTCCGGAGCCTCTGGGTCTTCGTGGCGAAGACGGTGGGAGCGGAGGAATAAGAGTAGGACACCCGGGAGGAGCGCACAGGGCTGGAGAACTGACGGCTGGAGTAGGTGGTCCTAGAGGTGGACCTGTCCCCGCCGAACATCTTCTTGTAAGAAGAATGTGGAGCTGATCTGTAAGACATCTCTGCGTCTCTTTTCTGACTCTGACTCAGTGTTAGTCCTGTCCCGGCTGCATCCGCGAAGTGAGCCTGAAAAGGCGTTTCCTGAACCATTACTTATTTATAGTCTCCCCCTAATGCAAATGACTCACGGTGACTGGAGTGACAGCTCGGCAAACCAATCAGAAAGCAGAATACAGATGCTTGTTTTAGTGCTGATATGAGTGACCTGAGAAAACAGTCAAGTCTAAATTATTGACCAAGGAGGGAAAAGTACCAAAATACTTTTACTTAGAGCTCCTGTGAGGACTTTTTGACTATGAAATTGACTGAAATGTTAAAATATGATCCCAATTTGACCTACAAAACAAACTAAACTATCGTCAAAAAGATTTAAAAATCACATTTTGTCACTTTTAATGTCTGTAAACTGCTATATGAGAGTTGGTTTTACATTAGATGATATATAACTAGGATTTTTTAATGGCAAATACTCTCAATGAGTGAAACATTGGGTAACACTTTACAATAACCATCATTTATAAATGGTAAATAGATAGTTTATTAATGTTTAATCATCATTTAAAAACAGCATATAGACCAATTATAAATGGCAAATAGATAGTTTATTAATGTAAGTTAATAGTTACTTTACCATTAACACGCAATGAAATTATGATCAATAATCTGCATGGACTATTTATTAAAGGCCATTTATAAATGGTCTATTAACTATTTATAAGTTACAGTTATTGTAAAGTGTTACCAAACATTGAACCATTTGAAAAAAAGAGTGATTTTTTTAGGGTAAAAAACACTTCTAGCATATGTGTAGGAGAAGATCAGCAGCTGATCAAGTGTCATTTTGCTCACAAGAGGCACCAAAATCAACTCTGACAGAAAATTAAAGGAAAGGCACAGTCATTTAAAGCTCCTGTACAGAGTTGTTTCAACCTTCATGAAACAGATTGACATTCATACTGATGCCTTTTCATGAGATGCAAAAGCAAAGAAGACCATCAGTGACAAGATTAACAACTTTTGAATTGAAAATTTTGAGGACTAAAACTGGTAGAAGGGGGTAGGTGCTAGATGAGCATCTGAGGAAACAGCCCTGTTTTTCCCACTTGTCACAATAAATGATAAATGGACCTGCCAAAAGTCAGAATGATTTTTTTTTTTGCCAGGAGACCATACTCAGAGTTATAGAGGACAGAATAAGTAAACACTGTGTTGCCAAAATCGACCCAAATTGAAATTCCTCACAGTTCTGAATTTTACTTTAGTACAAATAAAACTACAAGAATTGATCACTCTTTTTGATATGTACTTAAAGCAACATAATTACTTTTAAACTACAGCAAAGGAGTGTAGGAGTTATAATCCTTGCTGAAACGCTAAAATACTATCTATATCATGAGTAAATCCGTACCTTTCCACATCAGTAATCGAGTAGTAGTTCAACTACATGGAGGTGGTCTGATAACTGGCCTTGACTGATTACTGGGGATATTCCACATTTTTCTATTACCCATTATCAAGGTTTCATTTTATAGATAGCTGTTAAAATGAAATTTTAAAAAAGGATATTTTGACTTCACTGGCAGTGCCAATTTTCTTCTGGATCTGTTTGCACTCTTCTGTCTGTCCCGCCCACAACAGTTTCTGATTGGCTAGAAGTCACGTAACTGTACTGCAAGTGTAAATGGTGAGCTTTGCACTGCTGTGTATGATGTTGAAAGTGTCAGTTTCTATTAAACATTTGATAAAGGCTTTTCATCAAAACTTTTGTGTTGGAGTTTGTAGTAAATTCAATATGTTACAGAAAGTTTTTATTTCATTTCTGTCAAGTTGTGACACAACAAACAACCTTAAATTTGACTATGCATGGACTAAAATCACAGTTGTCTAATATCACTCAAGTAAGGTATGTGAAGATGAGGAAACCTAGAGTATGCTGCTGGAAGCTCATTCAAGGTTTCTGGTTAAATGTTGGTACTTTCTATGAATAAGAAAGAAAACAATGAACAAACAAGATTTGTAACATCCTCAAATCAGGATGGAGGAAATTATCATTATAAGGCCTTTAAGTGAGTTTTTGAGGACAAAGCCTCTTTCAATCGATTTCTCTCTCTTGTCACTCATAATGAGTCAGCTTGTGTGTGCATGAATTTTATTTTTTCACATTATATATGCAGCCTGTAGAACTATGTGTGAAATGTTTGAGTGGAAAAGAGGAGTGCAGGACAGTTTGTGCAAAGTGAGCACAGTCAAAACCAGGTTTAGGGTAGAGCATACAAGAGAAAGAATATACTAACACTACCAGGATGAACACTAATCTACTCCAGGCACGCAGGTCGGAGCAGAGTGCAAATCAAAGTCATCCAATTCCATCAGGTCAGACACAGTTTGTAGTTCTGAACTCTAAAAGGTTTAACCTGCAGAAGACAATAAACATATCAGGTATATCAAAAGGGGCTCAGTCTGTCTCTCTCTCTCCCTGTCTGTCTCTCTTTTCTCCTCGTATCTGCATACAGAGCTGCGTGTGCTGCAGTGCTGCTGACTTGCTGAGATTCAGTATTTCTGAGGAGAGTCTCAGAGCAGCAGAGCTGAGCCAGTGACACCCTACACCCCTAAACCACACTGCACTGGTGCTTAAGGACACTCTGCTCTTTAACAAATATAAAAAAAAAAGGTCAGTTAGGGAAGTCTGAATTTGTCTGATGACGCTGGGCGGGTAGATAACAGCTTAGATGCACAAATATTCCTTTCACAGAGAATTTCACGTTTTACCCTTCAGGGTTGGGCGGCTGCAGTGATTTGACGTTGGCTTGTTGCCCCTAAAATGTGACTTTGTAGGGAGGAACCCAGACCCTGAACATCACAAGCTGGAAAAAGACTGCAGTTTTAACTGGAGTATGACATTGTCTGAGAATACTTACTAACATTCACTTATCTGTAATGTACTGTATATAATCACACATACAACTATTCTGTTGTGTTTTAGCTTATGTAAGATCAACAGACTCTTTTGTAGATATTACACCTAGATGCTTATTCCTGTAAATGCAGTGATAGATGAAGAGATCTATCATTTACTTACATAAAAGTAACACCAGCCTGAAAAATACTAGACAGAATTTTTTCTACTCCATGTGTTTTGATTGTTGATAGTTTTGTGAAAATGAGCTAGTAACTGTAATTCCAGAACAAATGTTTCATTCACCATTTCATTTGAAGTATTGAATAATAGAGATGTGCATATTTAGTCCACTACACAATGAAATGTCGGTCATATGCTTTTTCTTAGCTCTAGCACAGCCACCTGCTAATATAGCTACCTCCGTTATGCTGTAATGCTTCACTTACTAGCTTAGACAAGCACATAAGACAGATGGCACCAAACTGCATGGCACAGTTTGTCAGTATTTTCATCTGGACAATGAAAACAGTGACGCATTTAGGGTGTGTCTGGTTAATCTGGTATATAACCACTCAATAAGAGCAACTCAAAAACAGCATATGTATGTTGTTTTTAACCAGCAAGGTGGACCACAAGCGGGTGGTCGCTAACTAGCTCTGTTAACATCAGCCATTCTCAGCAAACCAATATGACATTGTTTACCCACAGACTCAATGTTCCAGTATTTAGAAGGGTTTTTTTTTAATGCATCTTTGTTAACTACTTTCTGAGTGTTGTCTTCTCTGTAGACTAGTTTGTCAGTCAGAATTTAAATTCAAATCAATTTACAAATTAATCTAACATTTTTTTGTACATTTTTAAACTTCCTAACTTTGTACATGGTCAATAAAAGTAAAAGTATTGATTACAAAATTCTACAAAATTAAAGATATACTGCTCCCCCAAGCACTAAGGTAATATAAATAAATGTATAATCAAATGAATGTATTCATGTGTACGTGGCATTTTACTGCTATAGCTTGAAGTGGTGGAAAAAGCTTATTTCATTTTTTAATTTTAAATTTCAAACTTTCAACTTTTTTTGTAACTTACACATAAAAGCTGTGGTGAAAGTTTAATATGTACCCTTTAATTGTTCAGGACTAGAAGAATTGAGTACAATAAAGATGAAATACTTTAAGTAAGTGACAATAGGCAGGTGCTTTAAAATTTCCATTTGGTTACATGGCGGACATAGCGGGGGCCATAAAATTGAGTAAACAACAGACCCCATCGCCAAAACTTTGAAAGAAAATTCACATGATCAACCCCGGCTTGGAGGCGAGGGGGGGCTGTTAAAATTCCTGCTCCCAGGCCCATTATGAACAAGCTCTGCTGGAGCTGGCCACAGGGACAGACAGAGGAGGCCGGGATTGTCACAGACAGAGCAGGGATTGTGTATTGCTGATCTGTCACCTAACTGCAGCAGCAGAATGCCGACAGTGGGCCGTAATTATTGTTTTGAGCCCAGTGTTTGTCACTGCCATGGTTTGGGCCAAATAGCTCCCATTCCTGGTAATGTTTGGAATTTAACATTCAGGTCCTTTTATTTTTGTTGCTGAGGTTCCCTGTTTCTTTCTGAAGCTACGGCGCCACAGAGGGAGCTAATTAAAAACTTTGTACAAAAAGATTAGAAGAGGATTCAAATAAGCCCAAACATTATTCAGAGTTGGTCAGCCTAATTGGACAAGGCATCAGATAAGTTAAAACTTGTTGCAAGGGTGTCATTGCTCCAAAACCACAGGCACTAGGCAGCAAAAAGGCATCTTTTGTAGCATCTCCCATGATGGTGAATCACCAACCCGCAGGCCCAGTTACCATAGCAATCATCCAACACGTTTTGTTTGAGTTGAAACCAGAACAGAGACAAAATCAGGGTTGGTCCAATTTATAGTAATTAAATCTTGGCGACAAATTCTAATTTATTCCCCAAAAAAGAACTGAAATTTGACTTTATAGTATTCTCTGTTTGCTCAGCTTTTCTGTTGCTTACATTTAGCTATTCTTTCATCCTGCTCTTAATTCGGAGAGGGAGTCCAATAAATTGGTTGCCGTCTTTGTTGGTCATTACTTGGCAGATTTAGAGGAGGAGGGAGTGAAGCAGCACAATGCATTTTTTTGCGCTTCATCGGTCACATGGAGATCAGACTGAAGTAAATCGAAATGAGAGAAAAAGAAAGGCTGTGAATCTGTGCCAGAGGGCCCCCAGTGAGCTTTTGTCAAGTCTGTATGAAATGGACAGGTTATTAGCACTGCTAGAACAAATACTGTACATAAGCAACTCTCTAAAAGTCTCTAAAAAGACTTTGGCCTGTTTTCTACAACATTTTGAATTTTAAAGATATGAAAGAGAAATACTTTTTACTTAAGTAGTTTTCAGGTTGCAATTGCTTCTAAATATACCAGGGATGTTGAAGGCCAAATGAAAAAAGCTCACTTAGTGACAAAAATAAATTCAAAACTAAACACGATCATATCTACAACTTTTTCTTCTGCATTTATTGTCTTACAACCTTTCAGACTTGTGAGACCCTGGAGGGGATTTTTGGTCACTTTTTTTTCCAGCACACTTCTGCTTATTTAACTTGAAGACTTTTTTTTATCATACTTTAAAATTCTACAATCTTTATTCTTCATAGTTCAAGCCCCGCAGAGGAATAGTTGCTTCTCCATCTGCTGTGAGTAGTTTTTGGCGCACTTAAACCTAAGCTTTGGCTTCTTTAGTGAAACGAGCAGAGTAAGGATAGGCGCTCTTTCTAAGAACGGAGCTTCTACTGGATACCTTTTGACCATTACAACAACAGAGGAATTAAACTGCAGGGGCTTTTTTTTCCAAATCACCATAGAGACTGACAAAACCCTTGGAAAGGATCCAGAATGGCCACTTTGAAAAGACCTCGCTCACTTGCTTGCTTTCTCCCTCTTTCTGTCTTTGTCTCCCTCTCTATAGATGTGTGTGTGTGTATTAGAAGGAGGTGATTGGTCCAAAGACAGGGAGGGGAAACAGGGAAAAAAAAAAAACTCCAGTTTTTGCCTCTTTCATTAGCATAGTGTAAGGCTGTGTTATTCATATGTCAGACTTACTGCATTAAATGCTGAAATGGCCTGCTGTCATCTGGTTACTATTATCAATAGTAATACCCTCTGGTCAAACATCACTTCAGCCTGTCTGTCAGTGACCATCACATCACGAGTGTCACTCCCATATGCTTGACTGCATCAGGGGTCATCACCCAGACTGACTGACAGCTGCAGTTGACGCTTTCTCTCTCTATCTGCTCTACACTCACCTGCCAGAGGATGAGTGGACCAGAGAGGGGTGAAACCCACAGATATAAAATAAGAAAAAATACATCTATCTATGAAATGTCGTCATAAGAAAGCAGAGAAATATTCTGAACTTGTTTGACACTTAGACAGCTTTTGTGACATGAGAATTAAAGGCTTCATCTTTGGGCTGGGCCAGGCTCTGTGACTCCAAAAATAAACAGAGTACTGTCAGCCTCAGGCTTATTCACATGCTTCTTTTGTTAATAACCTTATGAATGTTAAATGCCACCACAGAGTACGAACGCCTCAGGCCGATACTTGTAATAAATGGGGTTATTTTTCTCTAGTTTGTAGAAGTCCCCATAACTTAATTTCTATTTTATTACAAACATCTGCAATAGCTACAAACTTTTGATTGGGCGTCTGTGATCAATTTACAATTTGAATATTTAATCTAGTGGCACAAACAAATTTCTGGAAATTAAATTGTTTTTTTTTTTTTCTTTTTCTTTCAATGTAATATCCGTTTTTCTAACTGAGAATGACTACATTGTGAGTGAATTAAATGCTTGTAGCAGCACCTCTTCACAAAATGGTGCAATAAAATAAGTGGTTCAGCAGATATGTTTTACATGATTGTAAACAGTTTGAAATCCACGTAAATTATTTTCCAGCATTGCAATAAACTTCTATTGGAGTTTTCTGAAGGAACTCTCAGAACTATGTTAAGAATTGGCTGCATGGTCACACCCTAATATAGAGGCTGGATGTAAACATTTACAGAGGGTTAAATTCCATTCTTCAGAATTCAAAGTTTGCACCAATTTTTCACACTTCCCAAAAAAGTTGTCCAAGGACGTCTCAGACAACAAACTCTATGGCTTACAAAAGTCTATTTTGGAGTGTTTCAGTAAAATAAAGATGAAAATACAGTTTGCCAATTTGCGAACCAAACAGACGTTCAGGTAACCATGAGGACGTTCAAAAACACTCACCTCTGATTCCGTCGAGTGTCTTTCAAGCAGCTGGATGACAAAATCGCCATTACCGTCACCTGTTTAGGTAAGTCGGCGGCGGCGCCATCTTTGTTTTGATTTGGTAAGAGCGGTGCACGCTGGGAAACTGTTTAAAGCGCTTTCGACGCCTATATTTTGGCGGGAATTACAGTTGTTCGTAGTTAAGAAGCTAGTTAGCGGTGAAACATGTTTTCAAACGATCCTCTTGAGTCCCATAGTTACACTTTTTAGAACAATAGGGTAATTTTGACAGCAGATTGATTCAGAAAAGTAGCCTAACTGCCGGACAACCTTTAAAACAGCTACCTGTATGAGGCTGAAAGTAACATTGAGAGAGGTGAGTGAATTTCGGCCTTTAGGTCCAAGATTTAAACCACCAACCAAGTGTAAAGCTTCATACTACAGCAAAAAATATTTTCAGAAGCTGTGTGTAAACATTAAGTTAAAGTAACGTACTTAGAGACAAATGTTAATGTATGTCCATGAGTTCAGTCGTTCATAAGATAATATAAAGTTATTGAATAATAACTTTTTTGGTAAACTTTTTACTCAGATTGGATTGCCTTGCCCTCCTCTTCAGTGAAAGGTGACCTTCTAGGAGAAGAAGCTCTGTGATGCATGAAAGGTAGGGTCCCCCATTTGTCAAGTTTTTAGTATAAAAAAAAACTACAAATTTTTAAAACACAACGCTGTTATTTTATGTCTTCAAGCTGGTGCGTTTGTGTGGACACTTCTAAATACAGAAACTTGTAGGCCTTTGTGTGTGGTTTATCCATTCTGTGCTACAGAGCAAACGTAGTACAAGATGGCAGCCTCTATAGGAGGGAGCCAGTCCTATTTAAATATAAAAGGCTGGTTATGACCTATTTAGGTTACTAGACACTCATTTTAAAAAATGTAGAAATGGATAGGTAATTGGGCATAAATACATGCAAGACATTTCCTTTTGCTGAAAGCTCCCCCATGTTCGTAAAAGTACAATTACACATCCCTGAGTACCTTTTTAGCTCTTACAGTATGGTATACAAACAAAATTAAAAGTAATACTGGATCGCTTCAAAACGATACAGTTTGCAAGTCAAAAAACATCTCCACAAGTGTCATAAAATGATTCTGTTTTTTTATTAAATAATCTCTTTGTTATCCTTTCTAGCTTAATAGTGGATAGTTTCTTTCATTAAAACCCTGGGAGGATCTGCAAAGTGCCTGTCCTTTGCAGATGTCCTCTGATATGCTGGATTTTTGTCCACCAATGACTTACGGTGCTTGTTATCAAGAATAATAATACAGTGTAGATATTTACAGATATTTTGAGACATACAAATATTCATGACTTCATTCACACAGAATTAAGAGGCACAACTTTTCATTTGCTGCACTTTTTTGTAGGTTTGGTGAAGCTGCAAGAAAAGTTTTTTTGTCCATGATTTTTTTTTTTTTTTTAACCAAACACAAAGCAAATTATACAGTGTAACCACAAAATAGTCTTGAACAACACTTAAATAAAATGACAATCATGTCTGTAAAGCATAATGGTCTGCTTCTATAATATTGGACAGTATTGGCTACATCTTAAATACAGTGTGTCAACAGAGTCCTGCGCTTGCACTGCCCTCCCTCCTCCACCAGATGTCCTTCTTGCCATTGTCATAGATATAGTCTCGCCTTCAGGGTGCACTTTTCTATCTGGTATGTTAAACTCAACGGATGCAAATGAAGATAGACTGCCATTTTTATTTGCCCAGGTTTGGGAAGTATTAATAGTAGGTCCCACTCTGCCGCCTCTCCCTTTGGCACTGCTTCTGTCTTTTTTCCCACTTTTAAAACTGGAGTCATCCAAAAAGGGATCAGAGTCACTCCCATGTGGCATGTTATAGTAGGTACACTTAGGGGTTTTAGGCTTTGCCATCTCCTCAAGCTCTGTTGAGGAAAGTGCTGCCAGAAGGTTTTGCTGGGTTTTGTAATGAAGTGGGGAATCATCACTAGACCTCGTATCTGAGGATGTGCTGTCTATGTTACTGTACATTCCCTGTGCGACAGGAGGAGAAGTTCTGATGAGGTGATTCTCCTTGAGCAGCCATCTACCTTGATCGATCAAGACCCCGTCTTTTGAGTCTTTTTCCGAGTGGAATGAAATGCACTGTGAAACATCTGGTGCAGCTTCATTGTCTGCCTTTTGTGAGCTCCCACCACTAAAATAAGACAGATCCTTAGAGGCTCGAGTGCCTGAGTTGTTGGAATAGTAACTCCCTCCACTTTCCGTATGCGAGTTTTGCAAGACTTTTGAATGACTTACAACAGGGAGCTTGGACGTATGGTTCTTAGGCTTACGTTTGCAGAAGGGGAAGTGTTTCTCTTGACCATCTTCTCCACTCTCTGAGATAACCTCTACAGATTCTTGAGACTGGTATCCACCACTCTCTGATGTTTCCGGCCTGTAATCGGACAAATCAGAGCAGGCTGGGCTTGGGAGACACTTCACACCATATGAGCTGTCCTTTCTCTTTTTTTCTTTTGGAGTTTTTGCACCTCGAGAACTATCTGGCTCTATTCGGATTTTCCCGTGTGCATCATATGTGAAAATAAGTGAAGCGCACTGTAGGGCGGTGTTAATGAAGTCGAGTAACTCCTGGGATATTTCGACTGGATGTGGTAGACTGCTGCCTTGCTCTTTTTGGCGTTCACCTCCTTCTTCTGTTTCAGTTTCAGTCGCTGTTTCTGCTCCGTCACCCTTTTCATCTTCACACTGGACCTCAGAGGAATAAGTGCTCACAGATTCACGATTGTCTTCCTCACGGCTACTCTGTTCTAGTTGATGTTTCCTTTCTGTATCACTGACATTTTCATCCTCAGCCTCTGATTCTTCCTTTCCTTCTTCAATCTCTATCCCCTCGACAAATTCTACTTCAAGATCTGATTTGTCTTCATAACTATCTTCGGTTTTCTCTTGATTTTTCCAGCTCTCTTCACCCTCATCCTCCTTTTCTTCTCCCTCTACTTCTGTAACAGTTTCTTCTACTTCTTTATCTTCCTCAACCTTATCTTCCTCCTGAATGATTTTACCAACCATCTCAGTTATACCCATTACCTCCTCCTTCTCTTCAGTAACATCCTCCTCATTTGTACCGTGAACCTCCTCTTCCAAATCTTCCTCCTCAACCAATTCTCTGTCTTCTTCAACATCCTCGTTTACACCCTCTGCCTCTTCCTCCTCCTCCAATTCAGTGATATTTTCTGCTTCCTCTTCTTGATCCGTTTCCTCCCCTCTTACTTCCTCCTCTACCCCCACATCATCTTCATCCTCCTCTTCCTCCTCTTCCTCCTGATCAGTCACTGTCTCCTCGTTTTCTTCCTCTGCCATCTCATCTACCTCATCCTGCCTCCTTTCTTGCTCTGCTGTCTCCTCATCAACCTCAATCATCTCCTCATTTTCGTCCTCCACTGTCTCCTCCTCAACCTCAGCGTCCTCGTTTTCTTGCTCCTCTGTCACCTCATCAGCCACAATCGTCTCTTCGTTTTCTTCTTCCTCATTCTCCTCATCCTCCTCATTCTCTTCCTCCTCTGTCTCCTCATCAACCACAGTATCCTCATTTTCCTCCCCTTCACTTTCATCACCACCCTCATCCTGCACTTCTTCTTCGTCCGCTTCATCCTCTCCTCCCTCTCTGTCATCCGTCTGATCTCCATCCCCATCTAGTCCTTCTCCATTCATATCTCCCTCTCTTTTCTCTGTTCCACCCTCTTCTTCCTCATCCATTGCTGTCTCCTCCTCTGTACCTTCCTCTAGTTTTACCAAATACTCTTCCCCCTCATTGCTGCCATCCTCTCCTTCCCCATCCTCTGGCCTCTTGTCATCCAGTTCTTCTTCTGACTCTCTCTCACTCTCCATTTCTTCAGCTCCACTCTCTCCATCAACCTCATCTCCCTCTTTTGTATCATCCTCCTGCTCCCTGTTTTCTCCCTCATATTCCTTTTCTGTTTCCTCTCTACCTTCTTCGTTCCTTGACCAATCATTACTCCCTCTCCTCAAAATGCCTGAATCTTTGTTCTTATTGTCTGTTTTCTCAACTTTAAGTTCTGTCTCTGACTCGATCGCCATGGTGGCACTGTCTGTCTCAGGTGATTGTTTTTCTGTTTCATCGTTTTCTTCTTCAACAAATTTTTCTACATCTTCTTCTGAGTCTGACTGGTTCCTTTCAGTTTCTACAAAAGTGCTCTCCTCTATCGGATAGAAGAATCTAGAATGCTGCATTGTAGAAAAAATCTCTGCCCTTAAGTCTCGTGGCATATTCATTTCTTCCATAAGCCCATCTATCTCTAAATGCTGATCATCAAATACATCTCCACCCTCAGAGACAACATCCAGGGCAAATTCTGTTTCTGAAACTCTGGGAGACAGCGGCTCACTTTCAAGTCTTTCTCTCAGAATCTGGAAATCTTTCCAGCGTGCTCTGAGCTGAGAAGACGCTCTGCTTTGTAAATCTGTTAGACTTGCCCGCTGCTCCTCCGCGTCCTCGATGGCAGAAATTTTCTGGAGGGATTGCATCATCAGCATGGCCTCAGAATCGCTTCTTGAGGTTTCACCGATATTCATCTCAGATCCATTGAGGTTGTCTCGCAACGTCACCACTGATAGGAATGACAAGAAGGCCTTACAAGAGGAGCCGAACACTGACGCTACTTGGTTTGGGAAATCTGGAAGGCTGGTGGACTTTTCAAGATTGGATGCTGTGTTGGTGGTGTCGGACGCCCCTCTGATGCACTGAATGGATGAATAAATCTGCTTTAGGACCGGTTTTATCCTTGTGTGGGGACTTAGAAAGTTTGATGATGATGATGGTGCTTCATTGGTAGCTGGACTGATGGCCTCTTCAGATTTGTGCGGTCTCATTACATTCTCCATTTTTGAAGGATCCACTCTGACACTTGGCATTGACGCGCATAAACCTCTCGCATACTGTTCATTGTGCAGAAGACTTGGATCTGCGTGATGTTGCGGTACGGTCAGGCAAGAGGCTGACTTTTTGACATCGCCTGGAGGTGGTGGGATACACTCATCTTGACTTATCTTGCGTTCAGTCTTGTTATCTGATTCAGAATCGTCTCCTATTTGAAACACAACCTTTGTCTGAGTCTTTGATTCATCACTGGTGGTCTCCTCGGTGTATAACACCGGGTCTGGACTGACTTTTTCCAACCAGTTCTCAACATATTGATGAATTTCCGAGAGTGAAGGTTTGAAAGAAGGTACTGACAAACTCTCACTCAACTCTACAGATTTCTTCGGCGTAGATAATGTATGGTCACTCATGGATTTTGGCCTGTTCATTAATTTTCTGGCAGGCAAAAGAGTTTTTTTAGGTTGTAAAATGTCTGAAATGTTTTTCTTCATCTGAGGCCTTGCGTGTACATGATGACCATTATCTAAGTTTTGTCTCAAAGTTAGGTTCCTTTTCACATTAACAGCATTGGCTAATAAGGCTGGCTCTCTTCGGGGTATCTTCACATCCTTACTTGCTTTCTTCACTTGAGACTTTTCTGCTCCATTCGTCTTTTGAAGACTTTTCGCACTTTCGGATGAACTCAGACTCTTTTTTCCCACACTTGCATTACTGCTTTGCTTTTCATTGGATGATTTGACTCTATTTTTTGGAAGGCTTTCTCTACTTTCCTTTTTCTTTTTTTCTGAATTGTTTGTAGACATGAGGTTCTTCAGACTCCTATGAGGCGGAACCACTGTTGTCTTTTTCTCATTTTTCATAGATTTATCTTTTGTTCGGGCTCCATACCCATTCAACAAAGACAGATGGTTTGTTATCTCATGCGTTTGAGTTATTGGCTCTGATGACAACGATAACATCTCTTCTTTCTGTCTTTGTTGTGAGTCTGTAATGGCTTGCTGACCGCTAAAATCTATATCACAATCATTGCTGGATGAAAGGGGCCCCGAGTCAACAGACAGTTTGCTGTCCAGCACAGGAGTTGAAGAAAATGAATGTGCACCATCTGCGCTGTAGTCTTCATTTGCAAAATAGTTGTCGTAACCGCCTTGACTTTCATAAATGTGCATTACAGTCTCGGTAACTTCCATGCCATTATTTTGTATCTGAAGGACCTCAGCCACTCCTGATGATCTGATAGAGGAGTGGGAGCCTTTGATGATCGCTCCTGCAGATGCAGTTTTGCGAGGCTTTGGGATTGGCCTGTTGCTGCTGCTGTGTCTGACAACTCTATATCCCTCAGTCTTCTCACCACCAACTGTCCTCTCCATGTAGGAGTAATGTCCCAGGGTGCTCTCTTGAACCCCCGATTCTGTCACCATCTTCACACTCTCGACTGATGCCCTCTTGACCTGTTGAGCACCAGGTGTAGGACTGCGTCTAAAACCTGATTTTGCTCTACCCACCACTCGTTCGTCGTTAAACTTGACTCCCTTCCCACCTACAGCTGGATGGTTCCCTTCTTTTAATTCATCTCCACTGATACTAGTGGAGTTTTTGGCAACAGCATTGTTTGAGTCAGTTGAGCTCTTCCCTGACTCAGAAATGGAGGCACAAGCTGTCCTCTTGCTAAGGCATGTGCGGCTGAGTGTGGTAGTCCAATGGAGCATCTCCTCCTCTTTGATGGTGAGACGAACCTTCATCTCCACCGTCATGCTGCCGTCCTGATTGACACGGAAAGACTTCTCAATGTCGTCATCCTGAGGCATAATGGAGGCATGCTGCTCAGCGTTCACCCTCCCAGTTTCGCTTGTTTCATAAGATGTGCGTCGTTGGTTGGCCTCTGTTTCAAATGATCTGCTGTTTGTGTGCAGATGGCTGTTAGTGCTTCCGTATCGAGACTTATTTATTTGGTTGACGATGTATCTCTCCGATGATAAGGAGAAATTCCTTGAGCCTCTTCCACTTGATAAAGATTTGTTGTTGTTGACTTTTGATGTTTTTGGTGGAAACACGGGTGTTGGTAAAAGCCAGGGTAGGAGAGAGAGAGAAAGAGAGGGAAAAAATAAGCTCTTTAGAAAAGCCTTTTACTTCATATTAGTTTGCTTGAAACAGTGAGAATAACAGTTGGGTGTTTTAGGAGACATCTTGAATACTGTTACTGTTAAGCTGAGTGTAAGATGTTTTGATTATTACTGCTCTTAAAAAGAATATTTAGCTGCTGATATGCTTAATTTAACACAAAGGCTTGAAGTAGTTACCCATCATTTTAACTGGATGTGTTGTCTTTTAATAAGGATGGAAGAGAAAAGATTGAAGCTGGTCATTTGAGATTTGTAAACAACACTACACATTTTTTGTGGCATCCAGACAAGATAACATATTAATTACATTATATAGTTTTTGGAATATTATTTCTTTCAGCAGGGGGATTATTTTAGATTGGGAAAGAGCGGAAAAATTGTTGAATATCACCAACCCAAGATGGACATTTGCCAAAATTGACAGCTGTAGAATTATGTACACTTTTTATCTCAAATTAAGGTCAACCATCCTAGCAACGGTAAACACCTACATCATTAAATCAATAAGATAATCTTGAGTCTCTTACTGATTAGCCATACATAAATCTACAAACTGCTGTAATCGTCTTAATTCTTAACTGTCTATCAAGTTTTTATTCTTTTCTTTTTGTATTTATATCCTCCAACTCTGCTGAGACTCACATAAACTTCCCTCAGTGGCACTGCTCCAGAATTAACAGTTGCACTCACTAATACTTACAAGCTCTGGGTTGCAGCATGGATGGTTCTGCTGTATCCATGTACATCGGTGGTGCCGCCTGGCTCACTCTGTGAAAATTGTAGTTCCCTAATCTGAATGGCTCGTTTCCCGCCGCCACGACAACCCCAGAGCAAAGGATAAGTCCTGCAAGACCGTCAACCTGCAAGAGGAGCAGAAATGCTTACTCAGTACTGAAGTTACTAGTTAATGAAAATATTTTCAAATAGTAATATACAATGTATAAAAGTGCAGTTCACATCTAGTTTGACCACATATTGTCTTAAAACAGAGATCACAATACTGAGGCAATCCCATGAAAATAAGTATTGGCACCTACAATATTAATAATGATGTCCGTTTCAGCTAACTCTTCAATAGTCTAAAAACGTAACTGTTAGTTGATGCATTAAATTTATTTTAAACTGACTTTAAACAGAGCTGAAATCATCTAACCTTCTGCATATTTTTATGAAGGGTAAAAATCCAAAACACAAATCAGTATTTAGTATTTATTTTGCTGCTATCACAGTTCACTCCTAAAAACAGTGGTGAATTTTCTTATCAAAGTACTTGAGTTGGTTGTGGTTGTTTTTTCTTGCACTGAATCTCAACTCTGAAGTCAACGAGAATACCGAAAATACTATGTAAGCTGATTGTTTTATCTCCTGCTAATTTAAAGGCCAGGGATAAACTATCAAATTCCAAAAAGCGATCTAATGGTTCACATACAAGTCCTTAATCGCCAGAGGACTATCCTATTTGCGTGACCCAGACAAACTTCTCCTTAAGTACCCTTGGATGGAAAGTTAAGTCAGGGACAACAGCAGAGGTGCGATGGATTGGTAAGGCATTGTGCCAATTGGAAGGTCACAACATCTCCTGAAAAGAGGTTCTTAAAGATACAGTGCAAAGAAAAATACGTCTACACAAGTCGAGTGTCATTGTGTTACTAAAAAGAATAAAGGTGAGAAACTGTTTTTAAAATACATTTGTGTTTCCTTGACCATCAGTTCCCATCATGACTGAGTTAGCAAAACAAACCACAATTAACAACATGCTTGTCATGCGGTTAGCCAAGCCTCTATTTTTTTAAACATTTCTAAGGAATTTGCTTTAAGGCACGTCCCATGTCACACATTTAACAACGATTTAACAACACTGGCGAAGCAAGCCTGCGAGAAGGTGAGAGTGTCTAGTCACCTAACCCTGACCAGGACATTATGTGTCTAACACAAGTCAATTTGAAGACACTTTTCCAGTCTGGTATCCATTTGTCTTTGACTTGGAGGAAATAGATGTGGGTAATGCACTACTTTGTATTCCTGCTGACATTAAAGGGGAGACAACTACCTGTTCAACCCTTGCTGGAGCCAGCAACTAGTGAGCCAAGACAGCTGGCCTGGCTCTTTCTCAAATTCACAAGCGCAGTCTCTCTTATTTGTTCAGAAAACTACTTGTCGTTTGACAAAGGTTGTTGTCCATAAGTAGTATCCATCCTTAACGCGACCAGCTTCGGCCTTATAGTAACCAGAAACATAAGAAAGTGATAATTTCACTTGACTCAACAAGAAAGCTATTAAGTTTAGTTTTCAACACTGCAAACTGTGATTTAGAAAGTTTCACACAGTTCACCTAAAAAAGCTTTCAACAGACCAGGTAAGGCCAAACCTATTTATGTTATCTCCAGGAGCTACCTCCACAAAGCATTCCTAACTTTCAAGTTTACCCAATACTTACTCTTCTGCCATCTGTAGAGAAGAGCTTCAGCACTGGGAACTGCAGGATCTGGGAGAGGTAATCCAGTAAAGCATCAAATGTCGGTGCTGTCCTTCTCTGCAGCACTATTGTGCGTTTAATAGTGGGGTCTCTGTTCTTGATGACCTCAAGTCTTTTTGGAGTCCGTATTGCCACCCTCTCAGCAACCTTTGTTGGCCTGCTGGTGACTTCATTCCTCCTCCCAAACTGGAGTCTTTGAAACTTTCGTCGCGCTACGCTGAAGGGTCTTGTGGTATTCCATGGTACCTGCCGCCGGTTTACTTCCTCAAGGTTCAGTGGCTTCACCCGTCTCTGATCAGAACACACATATGATCCCCCATCATGTAGATCATCTAAAGCTTTTACCATGTGGGTGCCACGAGGCGTGGTTATGGTCCTAACTCCAAATGGCAGAGGCACTTTCTTTGACAGAGCATCCAGGAGAGCGTCAAATGTCTTGAAGGTGCGGGCATTGATGACCATGCGATGCCCGCTGAATGTGTAGTCACCGCTCTTGTAGAAACATACTCTTTTGGAGGCCGAGGGATCTGAGATTGGCTGGAAGGGTCGGGAGGGTAACGTCTGCCCGCTGCCACTGGAATCAGCAGCCGGGGCTGGCTGCTCCTGGACTGGTGTGTTGCTCATATTGGCTTAAATTAACTGGGAAAAAAGGAGAGAGAAGAGTTGATCATTAATACCATTGTCATGTTTAAATTATAGTTAGGTGTCTTGCGATCTCTGTGCATTAGATGGCCCAAACCATTAGCTTCTTGATAACATGGCTGGAAGACATCCCCCATGGTACATATCTTCCTATTCTTAGCTCTTATGCCACATCAAATCAATTTCAAATGTATGATTTTAAGCTGAAACCTGTCCAGGTTTACTCTTCGAGTTCTTTGTCTTCTGTATTTGATAAGATAGTCTGCTATTTTCTCCATGATTTGATGTATTCAACAAGCAAAAATAACCTACTCTTTGTTTTTCTTGAATTCTTTGAATCACCTTTAAAATGTTATTTAAAAATCAAGTTATTGACATCGTTTGCAAAGATTTAGAACCCAGATCTCTCGTTCATTTCTCCTTCCAGCAACACCCTACTGAAATCCCAGGGTGGGTTGAATTTTTAATTTACTTGTCATTAACCATGTGAGCCACAAATGCATCCTGATAACTTTCCTCACTGAATTCATTTGTTTCTTGGGTAAGCCCAGCTGGTTTCCCTTTCTTCACAGCTTATTTTGTTGACTTTTTCTCAGTGTAAAAATAACTTTCATTGCCCCATACAGAGGAGATTCTACGAGCTTGGATCTGCTTAATTACTTTAAGCAGCCCTCTGGCCAAAGGGATTGCCTTTTCTTCGGTTTATACACGGTTGCGTGGCTTTCTAATGCAGCGCATGTGTTTACATTTGGATGCATACAAAGTGTTCAAATCAATCTTTCTTAAGATCTGAGTCACTCCGTTATCTCGAAAGCAAAACACAGCAAAGGAGTATGTAGCGCATGTTAACTATGTCATGTTGGATTTAACATGCATGAGATTGCAGCACATTAAATTTCACTGAGGACAGACTTTCATACTGTACAGTCATACTGTATAGTCATTTAAATATGCCATTAAATCTATATTATTATTCTTATCTTGTTTTGCATCCACACAGTTCTCTTGCATTACACTATATCATCTATGTAGATTTGTATAAATGCAATAACTTATACAATAAGCACATTTTTCTTTGCATCAACACAAGTATGCAAATTTATAACATGCACAGTAAACATAGCCTGCAGAACAATGTCTCGGAGCACATTAAAATTCATTACTGTTCAAATAAGAACCCATACTGTAACCAACGCAACAGGTGTAGCAACCTATCCACTACGACAAATGTAGATCAAGGCCACACACAACTGAAGCTATCAACTATTTTGAAAAATTGCAGCCCAGAAGTTAAACAAAATACTGACTACATGTTGACATGAATGTTAATGAACGAGACTTACTGTGTTCCCCACATTCTCCTTTTATTATAAAGGCAAAAACAGCAAAAGTGTGCATCCGTTATTCTTCCGAGCGATAGTCAAAGCCTCTCAGCAGCACTCTGGGGCTATTTTGGGACAGGCGACATCCTGGCTAATTTGCTTAATCTTTGCTCACACTTAATCAGCATATCAAGGTAAGGTAACCAATGCAGGTAACACAGGAAGTGATCTGCAGAAATCTTGACACGACTACCTGAATCAGAATGAAATCTCATAAACAAAATCGATCAAGATCATTTTATTTGAATAGATCTTCAATCCAGCTTTGTCAACTGATAGTATTACTTCCAAGCTGATGTACCTAAAATGTCATAATAAGATATGAAACCAAATATTCCATGAGTTGTCCCTGCCTGAGAGGTCTTTAAATCTCTAATTTGGCTTTTACACCAGAAAACCAAGAGAGAAAGTAATAGACTGAACAAAGAATTACTGAAATGGTACAGTAAAGAGCTCTGCGTATAAATGATAAATTAGCTAAGAAGGAGACTTAAAAGCCCATCTCCATGAAGTTGTTTGGACACTTCAGGAAATATATTAAATCTGCACTGCTCTGAACATATACCACAGGTGGCCAGAACTCTTTCTTATTTGCAAGCAGCCTGCATAATCTGATTTGAGAAGTCTTGGCCTAATAAGGATTAGTGGAAAGATTTTGCGCACTTGCTGACAGCATCAGGCAGGAAAAGGTCTTAAGAGCACACTTTTACCTCCCAGCGGGCGTTGGATGTATGCCACCACATTTCAGAACACACAGTGCATCACTATTTATACCTCTCTAATAACATGGAAAATTTGATTAATAATGTGACGTAAACATAGCACTTATTCTTGGAATACTGCACCTTTGTTTTAAAACACTGTATATCCAACAGTTTGTATCATGCAGTCAACTTGAATGTTCTTCAGAGATTAATTATTTAATTGTATCAGGAGGTGAAAGCTGAGTCACTTCACTGCAGCTAGCAGACAGCGTTCCAATTATTAATTGCCTCTTACTGTGTAAAAGACGCTAATACCTCCCACAAGCACGTGCAGCGTTCTGGAAGGAGAGTGGCTCCTCGGGGGGTTGAAGGAGGGGCCTGTGCGGGTCAAACAGAGGCCAGGTTGAGGAGATATTAGTGTACCATTTAAATGACAGCAATTTCTATGAAGACTATATTCCAGTATAGACTGTGGCCATTGTTAAACAACTTTTCAATAGATGTAAAAGAAAAAAATGTTTATTTTTACACTATAGTTGATGGGGTTTTTTTTACAGTTAAAGTGTAAACAGTGAGAAGTTTAATCTTTTGTTTAGATAAATACTTGGAATCATTCACATTGGTTGCCTTTTGTTCAGTCTCTTGAAGGTAATGTCAACAGCTGATCTATTTGGATTAGTGAGATCCAACTAAGCAAGTCAATCAGTGCCACATAAATGCAGTGTAAGGTCAGCGTAGGGGCATCATCACGGCCAAGGTGCCCTGATTATGTTACTGAAAGGCCAAAGGTTTGATTTTCACAACTTTATCGTGCCATGAGTCCAACCAAGAGTTCCTGGCAAGACAGAACCTCTTTTGTTGAATGTAGTGGAGTAAATGTGGTATTATGCTCAGCTGCTCAGAGTAAACCTAGCACCAGCCTACTTCTAATCAAATTCAAATTCAACTTTATTTGTATGGCACTTTTCAGACAAAAAGATGTATTCCAAAGTGCCTCACAGAGGCTAAAAACAACAATTTAACAACAATGAAACCCAACCCTCCCACCCACACACACACACACCCTCACTCACCCACCCACACAAACACACACACAAATACACACAAATTGAGAATTCAAGATATATTGTTTAAGAAACATGGCCTAACACCGAGACATTATGTGAGGAAAGAGCTACCTTTAGGGAACACTGGAGATAAAGATAAAAATGGTAAAAAGAAAGACTAAAACCTGATGGACTAAAACAAGAAAATGATATGAAATGAACAGCTAAGGAAGAACTTTTTACCATGTAAAAGGGGTAAAAGAAGTAAAAACCTCAATGACAGGAATTAAGAAATAGACTTACAACAATAATAATTATATGTATGACTTATTATCCAGTCGGCAGCACTGCAAACAGAAAATTTTCAACCTTACAGTTTTTCAGCTGTTTTGGCTGTCTCATAGATTTTACACCAATGCCTTTTTTTAAATAATTTATTGATATTTGTTTTTTTCAACTGCTTTTGTTTAACCTTTATAAGATAGATTTCTCTAAGCGCCCATCCTGTTTTGACTAAAAGCCAAAAACTGATGAACATTTTTTCTTGTTAGAAATTTCCTCTTTTTTGTGTGTATTTCATCCATTCATTTACTTTAGTGAGTTTACCTGAAATATGTGTAAAGTTGAGTCTATCAGACATAGTGTTGCCGTTTATTGGTATTTTTCATCCTCTCAAATAGTCAACACATACTTTATGCTTTTATATTTATACTTAATGCGAGTCACTGTGAATTAAAGCACACGAAAAGACCCAAACTTGTACTTTGAGGTTTTAAACACGGCGTGTATTGTTGACCCACGAATGGATAGAGTGGCACTTTGGCGCTATCTAACGACAGGTAGCAATATGGCGACGTGTAGTAAAGGTTTGTTCCGGCAACAGAAGGACTCATCATTAAACTTACGTTAAACTTACGATAACATTAAGTTATCGACATTTGTCACAAAAATAATAAGGTGTACCAATTTAGGACTAAGATGATGCAAAGTTACTGCCCCAACAGTCGTTCAAAACATATCATGGGCTCTTTCTCAATTATTTTGCCTGAGCGTATCATGCATCGACTGCTCATGTCTGCTAAAGAGCGGAGGATCCGTGTGCGGTCCCGGTCCGTCAAGTAGCCGCCGCCGCCGCTGCTGCTCTTACTTTAGTGGCGTGGTCTTTGTCGCGGATTTTCTTTACTTTTTAGTTCTCGATCACCCGGATACCTCGGATCAGTCAACATGGGGAAGAAGGAAGAGGAGGATATCATCAGAATCGCGAAGAAGATGGATAAAATGGCGCAGAAGAAAAACGGGGTGAGATGTCAGGAGAATGAATGCCTACAATGGGGATGTGAGTGGGGTTAGCTGCTGGCTCTCCAGCTATCCGAGCCGCTATTCATTACACATCATTGTCAGAGCGTTAAAGCATCACGGTGGTGTCTTTTTAGGGGATGTTTTCTAGCAGGAATGTCAACATTAAACCCTTGGCTGCTGTATTTGTTAGCCTAAGACAGCTAGCTGCACCTCTGTTGTTGGCAGCTCTATGAGATGATAGCAGTTAGCCAGTCTATGTTAGCTTTTTACCTCGCAAACTAAATCCTAAAGGATCTTGTCATTATAGGATTCTTACTATTAATTATCAATGTATTTAAATGTGAACTATGATGATACCTGATTGGAAACGTGTTGTTTGATTTTACAACCGGCATATTACTGAGCGCTAGTGCTTTAGCTAATTAGCTGTTATGGACACTACTGTACGCAGCACTGACACTGTAGCTACTACAGGTACATAAGCAGGATCTTAATATATGTAAACAATAACAATGGCGCAAAGACCTACAGTGGTTTAACCCGAGAACACTATTGCTAACATTTTTTACACGAAATAATATACCTAAGAAAAAGTGCTTGTCTTCAAAATAGGAGAATACATGACAAATTAAAGTAGTTGTCTTTTATATACCATATAAAAATGCAACAAAATAACTGAAATTAGGCATTTATGAGCAAAAAAAAAATTCCTAAAATTAATAAATAAAGTCTAGAAACTGTAAACTTAGTTTCTGATCCACTCATTTTCTGGGGCATGTGAGTCTTCTCTGGTGAAGACGCAGGGTCTGTGGCACAATAACAGCTGCAGGAGAGAGAACTAAATTATGGTAGATTTTGTGTGAATGAAAATGACCAGCTGACTAAAATATTTCTTATCACCATATACAGTACAGGCCAGAAGTTTGGACACACCTGATTCAATGCATTTTCTTTATTCTCATTTCAATTTAAATTGTAGATTCTCAGTGAAGGCATCAAAACTATGAATGAACACGTGGAAAAATGTGCTTAAGAAAAAAGTGTGAACTAACTGGAAACATGTATTACGTTTTAGATTCCTCAAAGTAGCCACCCTTTGCTTTTTTGATAGCGCTGCAAACTTTTGCTGTTCTCTCAGTGAGCTTCATCAGGTAGTCACCTGAAATGGTTTTTACTTCACAGGTGTGCCTTGTCAGGCTTACTTCGTGACTGACAGTCGGTCACTAAGTACTTCATCAAGAGCAAAGAGTGGCTATTTTAAAGAAACTAGAATATAAAACATGTTTTCAGAAGTACAAAATTCCACATGTGTTCATTCATAGTTTTGATGCCTTCAGTGATAATCTACAAAGGAAATAGTCATATAAAAAAATAAAGAAAAGACATTGAATGAAAAGGTGTGTCCAAACTTTTGGCCTGTACTGTATATTCCCTTGAAAATCACCACTTTGGGGGGTGGCACGGTGGTGTAGTGGTTAGCACTGTCGCCTCACAGCAAGAAGCTCCTGGGTTTGACTCCGGGTCAGGGTGTTTCTGTGTGGAGTTTGCATGTTCTTCCTTGTGTCAGCGTGGGTTTACCCTGGGTACTCCTGTTTCCTCCCACATACGAAAAACATGCAGAAGTGGGGTTAGGTTAATTGGCCACTTTCAAATTGCCAATAAGTGTGAATGTGAGTGACCTGCAATACGTGCCTGAAGGAAAAAGCAGGTTTTGGATCAGGGAAACAAATATGCCTTCAAAGATGTCAAAGGCAATGCTGAAGCTACCCAGGGACCCATGATACTCAGACAAACGCAACATAATGAAAATCACGTAAACATGTTTGGTCAGGGGAAAATCACCCAGTGATAGTATTCTAGGGTTAAACACTCGTTTGGTCTGCAAAGCATTCTGGAAATTGGAATAAACACCCATCACAATCCCTTATTATCCATATTAGTAAAATTTCAGATCGGTTTAAATGGCAGAATAAACCAAAAATATCTCATGTTGTGCAACGAAAACCCGGTAAATGTAGTTAATCATGGCATCTGAAAGCTTAAGTTTGTAACTTTAGCATGAGAGTGGACTGAAAGAAAACATGAGATGATTATTTCCACAGTATGCATGTTGTACCGTTTATTTACATTAGAAATATTACTCTTTAAGAAGATCCGGCTGAATAGTTGAGTATGTATGAAGAGGAATAAATAGTCATAGTATATAAAAAACCGTGATTATAAAAACAACAATGTGATCAGTAAAGTTCTTGTATTGTTGTGTTGTATAAGTAAATATTTATCATGTGATTGCAGGCTGGGGCATTGGACTTGTTGAAAGAGCTGCGCAGTATTCCCATGACTCTAGAGCTGCTTCAGGTATGTTGTCTTGTCTCTGCTGAGGTTACCAGCGACACAAGCAGTGTCCAAAACCCTGATCCACCCTGACTCAATTTTTCCCTACAGTCGACCAGAATTGGGATGTCCGTTAACGCCATCCGTAAGCAAAGCACAGATGACGAGGTGACATCCTTAGCCAAGTCTCTGATTAAATCGTGGAAGAAACTTTTGGGTAAATATTTCTTTTCACTTCTTCTTTCGGGTGTTCGTTTGATCTTTATATGATATTTTCTGGAGTTTGTCTTGTGATGCTTTAGGTTACTGTGTTTACCGCCAACAATTTTGCTCTTTTTTGATACTGATCAGCCAAAGTAAAAATAGAAAAGGGCTGTAAATAACCTTATAATATAAACATGTTATTATATTATGATATTGTTTTTAATCTTATGACCTTCAGTTTTAGTTTTTCCAGGTTTATGAGTTGTTTTGGGTTTTGTGATAAAAATGAATACAGTATTTGAGAAAGTACAACTCAAACAGATCGATGACATTACTCTATTTTGGTGATATTTTACAACTAAATTCTGTTAAAAATGTTCAAATTTAGTTTTAATTTGTGCCTCTCCTACAAGTGATGATAACATAAACTCTTATGAGTCCTTGGTTAGACTCTAACATCAGCATTGTTGCCTGTATCCCCCCACCTTTACCCCCAAATTCCTGCTTGCCATGTTAAGTGCTGAGGCTAGACAAATGCATAGGTATTATTTAGACAGAGGCTACACAGTGATTTCTCACTTTCACATTATGTTACTTATACTCCAGATGAGCCTGGAGGTGGAGACAAATCATCAGACGAAAAGAGAAAAGAGCAAACAACACCGGTCGTTTCTCCATCACAGGGAAGCCCGGAAGCAAAAGAGGAAAGGTGAGAAGAAAAAGGAGAATATCTAATGATGTGATATTGGTATTGTCTTTGAAGCATGAACATCAGGCTCCAGAAGTTTCCAATTCCCCTCTTTTCTTGATCTCACAGCAGCTCCAGCAGCAACTCCAGCAGCAAGAGCGAGCCCTCTGAAGTTACATCTAACACGTTAATCAACACCTTTCCTCGTGCGCCAAGTACCAGCGACTCTATCAGGCTCAAGTGCAGAGAGATGCTGTCAAACGCTCTGCAAACTGGAGGTAAAAATATTGAACTGTGGCACTGAATGATTAATTTTCCTCATCAGCTTATTTGCAAGTTCTGACTGTGTATCTTCTTTTCCCCCAGATGATTATATCGCTATTGGTGCTGATTGTGATGAACTTGGAGCTCAGATCGAGGAATATATCCTTTACATTTTGTGTAATGCAACACGCCATCATAACATTAATTATATGTAGCTGATAGTCATAAATGAACATATTGAGCCTTACCCCATTTTTTTTATTATTCAATCAACCTTCAGTTGTACTTAGGTCAGTAAGTTTGTTTAATTGTCTACAGCTTGTTATGATTCTTGACTAGCTTTTTTATTTGTTTGTTTTGTCTAATAGAAAGTCTGCACCCTATGAAATATTAAAGATAAACAATCAATCAATCAACTTTATTTCTATAGCACATTTAAAAGAACCACGAGGGTAGCCAAAGTGCTGTACATAAAAACAAATAAAACAAAGAACAAGATAAAGCGAGCAAAAATACATTAATACAAAAAAATAAATAAATAAGCAGGCAAGTGCTAAGGTGATAAACAGAATAACACTTCAATGTATCAAACGCTAAGAAGTAAAAGTAAAACAACAAAGAAATCCTCATATCCTGTGAATCCTGTGAACCTAATAACCAGTGCAGGTTATTTATTTTTGACAAAAAGCTATAAAGTCCTTTTTTTATCATCATAATCAATGTGGATACAGTTTTAGCTGATTAATTGATCAATAAAACTACTAATTGTGGGGTTTTTTTGTGTTTTTCTCTCTAATTGCAGAGAAAATTACAAATCATGTAATGTGAGATGAGGCTTGTATATCGAGAAGTAGTGACAACAACTGATATAATTGCTCTTAATAAGCTAAAAAATCAGATGCTGTGTTTTTTATTTTTCAGCCACAATATTTAAACATCAGTTGGATGAAATTGATGCTGTCTAGTTTTGTTTTTGTGTGTTTGTTACACTTTACAGATGAAAAATAAATTCATATGAAATTCCTTGACCTGCTTTCACGCATCTATCAGGAGTTTAAGAACACAGACATGAAATACAAGAACCGTGTAAGGAGCCGAATCTCAAATCTAAAGGATATGAAGAACCCGAATTTAAGGAGGACTGTGCTGTGCGGGAGTGTAACTCCTGAGCGGATGGCTAAGATGACTGCAGAGGTGTGTTTGCTGTCCAAAGCTTAGGATTGGCACAGTCAGCAATAGTTACTCTAACACCTTTCTAAGTATCAGCAGCTACGAAGTCTTCATAAATCTTCAATGGCAGCGTTATTTAGTTATTATATGTACGGTTAATTTTACTGCCAATTGGATAGAGCTCGCTTGGATGCGTCAAAACTGACTTTCCCCTGTTTTTAGGAAATGGCCAGTGATGAGCTGAAAGAAATGAGAAAGAATTTGACCAAAGAGGCTGTCAGGGACCACCAGATGGCCACCACAGGAGGCACCCAGACTGATCTGTTCACCTGTGGCAAATGCAAGGGCAAATGCTGCACCTACACACAGGTACAAACGCCGTTGATGCTTTGCAGCCGACAAGGCAGTAAAATGTGATTGTCATGGCTTAACGGAAACAGTTTGTGTCATAACTTTAAAGCGCCGCATTGTTGCTTGTCAAGCTGATAAATCCAAGTGTGGGAATTTTTGGGAAGTGTTGAACTTTATATTGAAATAACTGTTTATGTTTCTGTCATTCCCAGGTTCAAACTCGCAGTGCTGATGAGCCTATGACCACGTTTGTTTTTTGCAATCAGTGCGGAAATAGATGGAAGGTACGTTTGTTTGCGTGGGCTTTTATTGACTCAGTCCTGCGTGGGGAAGGTGTAGCCCCCTTGTTCTATGCCAAGGCCTATGCTTTTGTGATGCCACTTGAGCTGTTTCCACTCCACACTCACATGAGAAGCATCAATACTTTCTGAGGATATTATTCAGCCAATTTGGGTCTTGGCCCACTCCACTGGCAGACTGTTTACTTTCACACCTGTATTTAGACAGAAACCTTTTCCAAACTCACCAGTGCTCTCCAGCCTGTAAACAGAAACCCTTATTTCTCATGCTTCAATATTGTTGCTCACAAATTAGAGCTAAAGTGATACTTATCAGACTGTGGAACCACAGAGAGGAGCAACACTTATGCTTATTATTTTGGTGTCTTACAAGCACAACATCAAGCATTTTCTGGGTTTGTTGTAGCTGGTCAGATCATAAAATGAGACATGAAATGAAAACTGAAGTGAAAAATTCTATTTTTAGATTTTCAGATGTTTCCATCATTTCAAAGTCCAAAATATCTAGCAGATGATTTCATTGATTCAAGGAAATTATAGAACAGAAATAACTCTTCGTTGTTTTTTATGTCTTAACCATCGTGGTGTGATTGAAACTTTCTAACTAGTCTTTGTGTTTTTGTGTCCTAGTTCTGCTGAATCGGCGGGTGTTTCCACAGCACTCCGACAAGTAGCAAAATTCCCGGACCAGGTTTTGTCTCTCTGCAGCCGATTTGAGCTTTGCGTTGTGTGGTACATGGTGCACAACATGCCAGACACGGATGCCACTGCGGTTACCATGAATAAATATACTGTTCATAGATTGAGCTCGTTGTCAGTCCCCCGACTCCCTCCCCCCAAAAAATCTTTTACTATTGTTATTAGTTGTTTCTCACTGTCAGATATATGCGATCAGTCTTGTCTCATTCTCTTTTATCTACATTTTTTTATATGTAGTTTTAACACTTTGGATAATGTTGTTTTGCTTTCCCCTCACAACATTGCATTGTTTTATTTAATTTCCCAATAAAAGTGTAATCCATTTGATTAAAAGAAGTGCTTTTCATTAGACTGAAGTCTCCTGCTTATGTGAGCATTATACTTATGCAATTAAGGATCTGTGTGAGTGTGTGTGTAGGAGTGTACATTTGTTGTTGGTGGAATATTCATCACATCAAAGTGAATACTGATGAATGCATATTAATCTAGGGGCGACATAATCTCATTGGCTGACACAGGGAAGACACACAATTGTATCCCTTTGCTCGAGGTTTTTTTAATTGCCAGGTGCAACCACTCTGTTGACTAGCTGCTGTGCGGCTTTCTCTCTCTCTCAGACTGAACCCAGACCAGCCACATGTCTGTTTATCTGTGGAACTGAGGAGAGTGTGGGGTGACTGTGAAAGACAATATGCTGCTGCATGAACAAATGTCCTTATTTAGGTTTCTTTAAAGTGACCAAGCACTCCTCATCTCACTGATTATCTAGTTTCAGCTCCACATTAACCCCAATAATCGTCCAAATGGTAAGAAAGGTTTGGGTTTTCTTTGCATTGATGTGTTGATGGTGTGTGGCCTTTTATTTGGAAGTAGCTCCATCTTGTCATCGTATGTAGAGTCAAATTAGGACAAATATTCTATAGTTAACTAGTGGAGAAGATCAGGACAAAATGAATACCGTTTTGGGTTCGGTCGGCATCTGTTTTTCATCTTGTTGGGAGTTCCTCAGGACAAAAATATCAATTCTAACTAATAATTCCTTCCTCTTAAACATTACAGAGGTGTTGATTTCCCAAATTGGCAATTAGCGTTGCCTATAAAAGCATTGAACCAGCCCAAAAAATATTTGTATCCACCCTACATGGCTTTCAGAGTTTACTTTTATAAAGAGAAGTGAACAGTACAGGTTGAATAGTTCCACAGACCACTTAAACAGGATTAATTAAGGTCAACCTAAAGTGAGCCTCCTTAAATCACAACAATCCATTCAATGAACAAAGTGGAAATAGTCTGTGATTTTTCTTTCTCTTTTTTTAAGTTTTTTTGCCTTCAGCGCGAAGAAAGGAACCTACATTTAGCTGAAAACTCAGGACTGGCGTGCAGCTGGTTGGAATCAGAGCCAAGCCACCAAATTCAAGGACTGTAGCGTCTTAACATGAGATGTGCAATGTAACCACTCGGCCAAACCAGTTAAGTCCAGTTCCTTTTTTCATTTATTAAACACACTCATTCTGACACATAACCTTTTTCTCCATGCTCACCTTTATACTAATATTCAAACTTATCTAACTCTAGAGGTGAAGTTACTTCAGTTAAAGTGTGAAGCATGAATTATCAAGTTTGTTTTGCCGTCCACAGCAAAGTTTAATACCCTCATGTGGTTTTGTAATGAAATCACTCTGTATTCAGTAAAATTATTGTGCTTTATTTTATCTCAATCTCAATCAAAATGCCCACAGGTCATTATTTTCTCGGAGAGTAGCAGAAAAGAAAACTAAACCATATACTGTAAACATTCACATTATTTGTCATTTAAAAATGTATTCTTCAGTAAACTCAGCGCAAAGTAACACATTTCATATAGTAAACAGAAGAAGAAACAACATTTATAGGCATCGCTCCAAACCATTGGCTTAGATTGTGTTTTGAGGTTGATCTGCGCGGTGTACCCAACAGCTCAAATTGCACATAGTAAGTTAAAGTTAACTCTAAGACAAGTACAAGTGCCACCGTGAAGCACTGGTTGGCAAGAAGTTCAGATCAACCAGCCCTATCATTGACCTTGGTTTGCCCTCAGCAAATAAAGACGTGTCATCACTGCAGTCCACCTATTGGTTGGTAGCACTACCAAAAATGGACCGATGTCATCACGACTAAGAAATCAAGTCAAAACACATGCAGTAATTTGGCCAAAGAGAGGGACAACATCCAGTAAACTGGCCTCGTACTCCGGTATCCACCCTTACGGCAAGAGTCCAAAAACTGTTGCCCATGAGAAAGATGTCATAAAATTGAATGTCAAGGCACTTCCCCATGTGGGGATCTTGTCTTTGAGTGACATGTTTGTGAGGCAACAAAGTAATAAAACTAAAACTACATCAGCATACATAAAAGTATTTATAACTTGGCAACTCCAATTTTCGTCAACAGAGACGCTCTCAATAATAGTATGGATACAGTTTACATCGTAGCTTTGGTGTTGCTGCTAACCTGGCCTGACCCCCCCATGTCAGTCTCAATTGGAGCTGAATTTCATATTGCAGGAGAACATTTGAAACAGGATTTTAACACATAAATCGTAGGATGATAGACACATACGACTCCACCGTACTGGGAATGATACAATTGTTGATTTCACAAATCTGGGAAACACTTTATTTTGTACTTTTTGGGTAATTTCCAAGAAATTGATACCATAAAAATAGCCAGCTGGTCTAAGATAATTCAAAATCAGCAATCCTAACCAGCAGCTCTGGTAGCATATATATATCAGTTTATGTCTTACAAAGTAACATGTTTGGGAGGGCTATGTAAAGAAAACTTGGGCGGACTTCTAGAGAAACTCTGGCTATTTAGATAGTCGTTTTCACCTTATATTTGTTACCAAACAGGAATACTTGTCGTTGTTGTACTAAACCGCCAAATTACAGAGATATTCAAGACACACAAAATAAAGTGTTTCCCAAACCTCCTCTCTGTACACAGGGACCTACGTAGAAGAATAGTTCACACCATATTTTAAATAAATAAATAGGATTTGTACTTGCTGTTTTTCTGTATTGGCAATAGAGCAATACTCTCTCTGGTAAATAAATCACTTCGGCTCTTATATCATACTGGTTAAAAAATATATTCTACATGTGAGGTGGGTAGTGAGTAACACTCGGATCTAAAATAGCAGTTTTCAATCGGCAGTCTTGTGTGGTTAATATCAAGTAAAGAAAAGCTTAAATACCCTTCTGTTATTGATTTCAGTTCCTCGAGAAGACAAATTGCACACTATTACAAGAGCAATCCTCACTTTCACTGATAACCACACCTGCAGATGTGTCACCCTCACGCATTTTCTACATGAACTGGAGTTGCCAAGTCGCTGTCACGGGTACCAAAGTGTGAGGTTAGATAACGAAACAAGGGGAAACCAAGGTAGAATCATACAGTACCCCACAAAGCTGCCTGCAAGTAGAGCTAACACGTAGCCTTTGACTTGAGCTTTGATTTTCATACGCAGTAAATAGAACCAGGCGTCTCTACATAAAATACCCACAACTCCATTTGTACTATTTACAAACTCATAAATATATAGTCTACGGTAGGAATCATTTTTCCCCCCAAAACAATCATACAAAAAAACAACAGACCATAAAAAACTCTGAACACAAATAAAATAGATTATTTCTATCATAAGAAAGAAAACAGAAACAAAATGTAATCATATTCCTTTGGAGTGTTTTGCTATGTTGATCTGTAGCAGTACTTATGATGTCGAGCCCTCGGGTTTTGAGACCTGAGTGTCTTCGGTCAGGTGCAGATCACAATAGCGCTGATATCCCTGGGAGGGGCCAGGCTCGAGGCCCGGTCCATGTAATCCTACACTGGACATACAAAGAAAACTTTTTTTAAAAAATGGGTAAGGAAGAAGGGGGTTTGGGGGGCTGAGAGGGATAAAGAGAGTTAAAAGATCACAGGTCATCACCACCCTAAGATTCAGGGGACTGCTCTGACAGAGTGTTGAGCAGGTTTTTGTAGGCTGGGGAGTTCATATAGCGCGGATATGAGTCTCTTTGCATTAGTGTGTAGATCTGAAGTTGGGCATCGTCAAACGTGTGCAAGGTGGGCTCCTGCATGTTCCTGTTGATCGTCTCTCGCACACGGGAGTCGAGGCTCACCTGGTGGTCAAGAAGAGGGACGAATGAGCAAGAATAGTTTGTGGACATTTTCCAATTAACAAGGGATAGCTTTGACAATTGACAGTATATTCTTGACCATCAGCAGTCTAAAGATGACAAAATTCAACTCAAATCACCTCTAATATTATTTCTTTTACATCTTTTGTCTCAGATCCTTTAAAAAGAACTGTAAGACAATTATCTTTATCACAACAGGTTATGCTCTGACATATTATTCGTCAGGGATAGTTAACTTTCAGCAGGCTTGGCTGTTTGCCTGGTTTAACTGCTCAGAGCTGGGCAGTAAGTCAAGCCTGTAATTGCTTGTAAGATGGCAAATTTATGTCTCAACGCTTAAAGGTTTTCGGGCAGATAAAGAAACCAGTTCCAACATGTCAGGAAAGTGCAGAGTACAATGTTAACACTTTGCCTCATTCAGCTGTTTGTGTAAAACTGGTTGCAAGCTTTAGATTCATACATACATAAGATTTTGAACCTCGTCTTTCTCTGGACATAAAATCTCAATCTCAACCCATTTTAGTAACAGTGAAATAAAGCGAAGGCAGACCTCTTTAGGCGAGAGAATAGAGATGTAGTCCTCGTAGATGATCCGAGCCTTCTCCTCTATCGCTGTCTTATTGGCCTCTTTGCTGAATTCCTCACAGGCTAACCAGAAGAGCATATTCTCCTCGCTGAACTCAGTGCGGAGAAACTGTCGGAAAGAGTTCCTCCCTGCCGGGCAGCACATCAGCTTGTCGAACGACTGCCCCCATGAGCGGACCTCCTCCAACGTGGGTTTAGGACTAGCAGGACGGGAGGACAACATGAGTGTGAGGAAATCCAGTATTTTATCTCCACAAATATGATAGGTAGGAGAAATCGACATACCAGTCTTCACAGTCTGCGGTCCCCTCTTTGACGTCGTAGGAAGCTTTTCGATTCCTGTCATCCCGTTCTTCATTCCTGAAAGTTGCAGCACGCAGGAACAAAACCGACGATGAATTGCAAAAACACATTAACATTAACATTTAACCATAATAACATGATAATATTTTTTCTATTGTTTTAAATGTAACATTTTCTACACGCCACAAAGAAACGTTTTGTAAAGCAAGTAACTTTTACTGTTTGTATTCAAGCCGTCATGGTTATTATTTACTTGAATGATGTTTAAGTAACCGTCACATATTTTCACATCAATTTTATACAAAACTGACAATATTTTTCAGGTCCCAAGTTCTCAAATCCAAATATTTCTGGCATTCGAAGTTTTCTACTTGATTTATCTTAAGATTTAAGACCATAGGTGTGACAAATATGCCCCTTTAGGATGCCACCTTGAGTATCAGAAAGTCCAATGAACATTTTACAAACTTTTCTGACATTTCAATGCCTAAATGATGAGTCAGATATCAGTAGTTCTCATGATAAAGTTCAGGTAGAGAAATACCAACTACAAACATATCTTAAAGAAATTTATAAGGTCCTCCGGTTTTACAGAGTACAAGAGAAAAGCGTAGCCATTTTTTTGAGATTGTCAAATATTGAAAGAGTTCAGTTTCCTGGGCAGACCATTTGGCTTCTTGCTTGATTAATCCACAATAATCTCTGATATTTCAAACACTCACATCTCTTGAATTAGCAGCAGAAACATATCAATTATAAGGCATTTTTTAAACTGTAACACGACTGCTACAGGTCCAAATACCACGAGCAAAAAGCATCAACCAACATAACACAGTAGCTGAAGCCTGCTGCTGAGACTCAGTAGCTCAGGCTGTGCTAGCCTGTGTGCAGTAATGTCTGCCATGCTGGGCCACAACGAGTGACTTCTCAGCTGGGGAGAAGACCTACCAGGAACAGCTACAGCAGCAGCACCAGCAGAAGCAACACGCGTTTGAGCCCCGTGGATTGGCCTGGCCCGGCTGGCCCTGCTGGGCCGGTGCAGTTCCCCCCGCTGCCGACTCCTGCTGCACCGACATCTGCCTCTTTCGCATCTCCATCCGCTCTGATCCCATGGGCTGCAGACGGAGCAGAGAGGAGAGGAACTGAGGTGAGTGTTAAGATGTCAGGAACAGTGGTGAGCTAAGAATTTTCTTCCAAGCATGTCACTGATACAGAAAGAGGCTTCACATGATGTCCTGTTGTGTGAAATCTGGACAGTGCATCCATTTTTTTTTACTCGGACTTTGATCACTCTCACCATGGTAACTATGAATTAGATATTTTTAATTTTCCACGCACAAGTTGCTGTATGTATTGGTTGTGTGTGCTGGTGCTGTCTGGTCTGAGCATGTGCTGGCATGCTCAGAGGTCATGCAGCAAAGGAATGCTGTTTCCTCTTTTTCGTGCAAAGTGTGGAAAAATAATTTGCTTATTAAATTTCCCCTTGCATTTAAATATGCACCCTCCAAAGCACATATCAGACCCTCTATTTACAACTTGCTGCATGTTCCTTCTTACACTCTAACTGCATGTGTGAAAGAGACAGATGGTTGACTATGGGCTCAGTGTGCCTTATCTAAAACTTACAATTTAACATTAGTGCAGACTGAGGTGCATTTAAGGATATGCATTGATCACTCAGGCAGGGAGTCTGTAGGCAGTAAATTACATCCCCCTGAGAATAATACACATATATTAGGATTTTTATTCCTGAGGTGCCCATTAAGCTTTATAGGCCTGAATGGACAACCGACAGGCTCCACTCACAGACTGACTTCTTGCCTGTATTTAACAAATGTGTCATCACCGGGTCAGACACTGACAAATCCTGTCAGATCATTTATGTAACAGAGCATCATCCAGCTACTACACCTGACACTAGAAACGATGCTTTACAAAAAAAAAGGGGGGGGGGGGAATGTCAGGAGATTTGGTCCATGGAAGGGGAGGGGAGGGGAGGGGGGCCCGAAGGCGCAGCTTGCAAATCTATAACCGCAGCATCGCTCTATCTATCACAGCCTTTCACTGAATACAATCCCATTTGGTCATTTCTAAAATGGATCCGCGCGCGGGTTTTTCACACTGATCCCGAGCTGCACATCTCGTGCGTCTTGCCAAATGGCATATTTTACGCGTTGGGTGTCGGGTGCTTCAAAAGCTGACACAATTGCAGTACGCTATGGCTTGACTCAACAGCTATAGACGATGAAATGGGGGGTGGGGATGGTCGTATTCATTCAAAAGGAGAAACCACGATAACACCAAATAAAAACCACCATTCTTCCAACAACCTCACTGTAGCAGAAAATGTCATCGACACTTTGGGATTCAATGGCTTCTCAATATGTGAACGGCAGAGAAAAAAACATGACATTTAGCAGCTCGTACATCACATCAATGGAAAGTGCCACCATGAAGAACCGTAAGAGCTTCATCGCCCTGGACAACCACCGAAAAGACACTGCCTAGATCTGTTAAAAGCCCACTATACAGCGCAGATAGTGACATGCCCATTTAAAAACGCTTGGAAACGCCGTCAAACGCTCCGATCAGAAACTGTCCGTGCAATGATACATCTGTTTGCTACCAGTACTTACAATTTCACCATGTATGCACAGCGAGAAGAGGTAATTCTTTGCCTTGATTACATCCGATGGCACATAAGGCTTTTTTCCCCCCGACCGGCTGCTTCAAGTCAGTACGCATGCGTCTTCTCTCTCAACTCGTAGTAGCCCAGTGATGAGCGTAAAGCCCGGCAGTCAGTGAGGCACAGGTTGACAGTGCAGGTCCTTTAACCTGTGCCTTAGTATGTGAGAGACCCTTAAACTGGACGGCCAAGCCAAGAGTCATGTCATGGAAATAGCAAAAAATGAGTCCCTCTCACTTTTTAAGATGTATTTAATCTAATAGGTCACCAGAATTTATATTTAATCAGCTTTACATGTACATTAAAATGTCTTTCTTAATACTGTGTAAAAATAAGAATGAATTTTTTTCTTTTTTTTATTTCATATTGATATAACAACCAAAAAAAAAATAATGTTTTCTCCCTCCCAACCCTCCCCATCACTCTCTAGGGACAGAACAGAGAGACAAAGAAAAACAAAACAAAACAAAATAAATAGGGTGGCACAGTGGTGTAGTGGTTAGCACCGTTGCTTCACAGCAAGAAGGTCCTGGGTTTGAATCCAGCTCAGGGCGTTTTTGTGTGGAGTTTGCATGCTCTCCCTATAGACTGTATATACTATGGACAACTTGGACAACCTCCTGCCTGTGTACGGATTTGAAGCCAAAAAGCTCTCGGTATTTCCGGGATTTTTCTTCATTTCCTGAAATCAGCGCTGCGCAGTAGCGTTGTGCGCATTTGGCGGGAGAGTTGCCGAGAGTCGCTGTGATGACGCTCGGCTCAAACATTGTATCCCCCCGGGTGAGCTACGCAATCCAAGAACGCTCATAGGCTGTATCAGGTGTCAATCAAAGAAAACATGAACCCCCCTAATAACTTTTAAAAAAACAGAGCTGCACAGAAAAAAGAGGACTTGAGCACAAACCAGTCTTACAATAACTACATGTCAACATCGCAAGCAGGGGAGAGAAAAATGTATGTTCTGTGTAATAAATTTCTAAAGTTTGCCCACAGTCCCATAAGCTTTGCTGGCGGAGGCGGGATTTATGACCTTTACTGCAGCCCGTCACCAGAGGGTGCCGTTCTCAGAGTGGCCTCATCCAGCGAGGAGGCAGACGCTGTCCATTCTATATACAGTCTATGGTTCTCCCTGTGTCTGCGTGGGTTTACTTCGGGTTAGGTTATTTGGCCACTTTCAGATTGCCCCTACGTGTGAATGTGGTTGTTCATCTTTGTATGTCAGCCCTGCGATGAACTGGCGACTTGTCCAGGGTGTCGCCCGAAGATGCTGGGATAGGCTCCAGCCCCCCCAGCGACCCTTAACGGGAGCAGTAGAAAATGGATGGATAAAATAAATAAACATATCTATATACCAACAAATAAAGAGCACAGAATCAGACGAGCACATTACAAAGAGAAAAAAAAAGAAAAGTAGGCCAACAAACAAATAAATAAATAAAAAAGAAAAAGGCAGCAACAATAACATCAAAGAACTGTATCCAAATGTGCAAACATACAATATAGGCCACACATGTGAACATATCCATATACATGCACATACAAATAGACACCTAATAAACCACAAATAGTCATCGGTCCCTCCTGAAGAAATTGTCCAATTCTGAAAACAATGGAGTCCAAAAATCTTGAAAGATATGAGCCCAATTGTATTTTTTTCAACATTAAATTAACTGTGAGAGATAATCTAATGTTTGTTGACTGTCATTTTTGTATTTAAAATTGTTAAAATAGTGTGGGGGACACCTGACTGATATAAATATATTACATTCTTTGAAAATATATATTTTTTTATCATATTCAGAGAGCTTACGTATTGTCCGTAACGGTGTTGAAGAAAACCAGTGACCACATCTCAAAATAATGACATATTATAATATAAAACTAATGCCTGAGATGGGAAAATATGTTTTTCTGAAATTTAAAGATGTCCTTAATGCTGTGGGATATCCAAATAATACATTATGGTCAAAAATGTGAAAATGTCTAGGTCCAATTTGATTTATTCTCGTGGAATGACTACTAAACAAGGCTGCATGAAGTCAGTTTAAAAAGAGGAGAAAGAGGGGCTAAAAATGACGCCAAAACAGTAACACATCAGGCAGACAACCGAGCTCCTGTTGAATTTCAGACTCTGAGGGAAAATCTAGTTACATATGTAGTTTTTTCTCTTTGCCCCAGTAATGGTTTGCATGCAATTGCTGTCCATGGTGCTGAAACAGCCACAAGCTGAAAGAGGGGAGCGATCGGTATTTCCATTGAATCTGACTGAAGGATAGCATGACTTTCACTGACAGCGTCGAGTCATTTGTAAATCTGAGCCTTACATTTCTGCACTATGAGTGAGTTTTAATCTGCTTGTCACACAAATGTGCCCTCGTATCCTGTTTGCATGTTCCTAAAGTCATGCATAACGAGCCTTGGATCCTCCAGACTGCTGATTTTTGTATTCATGTATAAGCTTAGCTTTATTTCTGAGTTTTCAGAGGCAGCTTAGGGATCGGAGAGATTTGTAGCTGCAGTGCCACATTACATCTTTGTTTTTTCTTCATGCAACAATGATGATCTGTAGTGTCTCTATTCCATCAATTATTTATGCCAAAGATTGCTGGATGTATTGGTTTATGTGCTGATTATTTTTACAGAAGTTTATGTCAACCAATTTTTCAATCAGTGCAAGTAAAGAAATAAATCAGAATTAAGATAAGGTTGAAAAAGTTTGAAATCAATTCTCTCTCAGCCCTACAGTCAAACATCAGTTTAATCAATGCAGCTTTAAGAACATTAAATCAAATCATAATCTTTCATAATAACCACATAGATTACATTTTGGCACATTGCAGTAGTTTATCATTTCATTTCCCTTATAAAGTGCTTTGTGAGTCCCTTTATGTGCTCTGTAATCTACAGTAAAGACCTGTAACCTGTGTTAAAGCAGATGACAACACTGCCATCTAAAGGTAGCTTTAACTCCACACTATCATGGTGTTCTCCATGCAAATGGCAGTAAAGCATCTGCTCACCTACAAAGCCTTTGTGCTCTTCTAAATTTCTTATGTTATGCCCATGTTTGAAGATATAATCTCCACAACAGGATCTCTAATCTCTGACATAATTCTGTGACATAATTCTGTGACTGTTTGCTGTAAAACTAAGCCAGAGAAAGTGGAATATCCATTTTAATCAAACCTTTAACTTCAGTCTTCTTTCAGCCTTACTTTGCTTCAACATACACATCATATTTTCCTTTGTTCAAACACCAGATGGCGCTCACCCTATTCAGCAGACATCTGCTACACTATAATGTATATTATCTAATGATTCACCAAATTTGTACATGTGACTATGGCAAAGAGTTATTCAGGATGTGCCTTGAAACTAATCTTACTCCTCCTACGCTGTTTAAAGAAGCAAACTAAAAACGCCTGTAAGACTCGAGAACAGCTCTCAGTGTCCACACACAGACCTTCCTCTGATCTATGATATGGGTGAGCGTTTCTCTGTGCTGTTATCTTGTCAAAACAAGGGGAAAGGAAAGGATTTGTGCTCAGCTACGTCCAGATGAATTACTTTCTCTCTGTGCTGAACTGGGGGCTTGCCCCGAGCATCCACGCATCTTTATCCCCCTCCAGAGATGTGATCATGTGACTTTCCTCTACAACACTTCATTTAACACCTTCCCCTGTGTTCATGTTATGCAACACACAGCCCACAAATAGCCATGTAAGATTGATACAAACACACGCATGCCAGAAAGCAACAAATGATACTCTTTACTGTTGTAATTCGACAATTGCATACACACAGACTTTTCCCTGTGAGGGCACAAAGCCACGAGGAGGAGGGAGTGTACACACACAAGGTTATAGTGAGGAGGAGGCCAAACCTGGGTGACTTAAATAAAGTCTTTGCAATGTATGATTAAAGGGGACTGAAAGCATTGTGAAGCTCTGAGGAAGATTGAATTAACTGTAGATTCAATCACAGTAGCTCAACATGCTGATAGGCGTATGTAGAGAGGAAGTGTGTTACCGACTTAACACCTACACAGATCACGCACAGCCTCTGTGAGCATTTTGAAGGGGAGGATAAAAGTTCAGCCATGGCAGAAATAATCAGATTCCTCCTGTTTGATTTGATCTTCTGCTTATTTTGTTGGTAATTGCTTTAAATAATCTTTCTCTTTCTTTGAACTCTCTATCTGTTTTACGTCTTTTTTTTTTCCAAACATCCCTTTTGTAAATGACTCTTTAAGTCGACTTTGACATTTTTTGTTCTTGTCCCACAAAATGAAAGTTGAATCTGCAGAATAGGTGTTGAAACAGGATGACAACACTGACAGCAAACAGTACCATCGCTGTTCCTGTTCAAATAAGCTCATAGAAGAATAAGGACACTAATTCATAGAAAAATGTACCAGATCTAATGTACCCAGTGCAATTTCCCTGTAAATAGAATGTAGATGAACTTATTATTGAAAGTTAAACCACTCAAACTTGAATAGATGTGTGCAAATATGCAGGATGATACAAACAACCCATAGATGGCACAGTGCAAGATGAGGCCAAGGTTGTGCAGAGGGCAGATGACAGTCTGCATCACTATTATCAATGGAGTAAAATGACATTTTCAAAGGTCTTTGTTATGAGTCTTTGTTTTTCCTTTTGTACATTCCCACATTTCCTGATAGTTTCTATTCAACGAGAAGAAACTTGCTGAACCTTCCAAACTGCCCTAAGGGTCACCGAACCAGGACGTAGACTCTGATTATAATTATTTCAAATCATATCTCTGAGCATCCTTAAAATTACACGAACACACCTGACAAGACAGTTCTCCTTTCAAAATGTGCTCCCCAGACTATCGATGGTAATTAAGTGGAAGTGAACCTCGGGGTCTCTTTGCACCGCTGACAATTACTTTGAAATTAAGGGTTAAGAGGCATGCACTTTACATCGCCATGGCAGTTATCTCTCAACCAATGTCTGGATCACACTGCGTATTAGATAACAACTAGAAAGGCCTTATGATGCAATGGCAGAGCCTCATATGAATGCATATATGAATTAAGTATGACACAAGAGACTGTTGGACCGTCGGGACAATCTCATCTCTTACAATAATGTATAAAAGATTATAAATGTTTTAGGGTGAGACCTCTTTTAATTGCATTCTCTTTGCTTAGTCTATAGGATACCAACAATTTAAACCTTATATACAGAAGGATGTTTTCAAGAACAGAAAGGTGTTTTCATTACACTTACAGGGGCTTTATGTCCTGAAAGTGTACCAAAGGCTCAGACAGCGAATCAGTATTTGTGCCATGATGATGAAAGGTACTCAGGTCCTTCTAGTAGTTGCACAGCACCTCCTTTTCTCTTACTGGACAAACTAATTTTAGACCACCAGTTGTTAGTGTGATTTATTACCTGTGTATACTTTGCCATGAAATATAATATTGAAAAATTCTGCAAGAGTTTCAGCCTCAAATTTAAGTAAATGAAAAATATCATGTTATAGTCTTTCTCATCTGAAAATCATACAAATACCACAACAAATACAACTGACTTTTTTCTCTGTTTCAAAGGGAACTCAACAAATTTTACAAATTTAAGTTTCAACTGGAGTCCTATTTATGTTAAAGCTCCAGTAAGGAGTTTTTTTACATTAATGAAATAAGCTGAAATTTATTTGGATGCCTACAAAAGCAAACATGCTCATTAGAGACATATTTATCTATTTTTATTCTGCAATTTTTAATGCCTCAAACCAGTGTCAGGGGGTAGGTGTCTTTATAGCAGCTGAAGAAAAAAAAACAGTTTTTATATTTTACTCATCAAAAATGAACAATAAATGATACATTTGACTGTTTAAGTAAGCAGGTTTTTATGAAAAGACCCTATGAAGAAAGAGGACTGCATAAAGACTGCTCTACAAAAGTTTCTCAAAGGAGCTTTAAAACACTTCAACAAAGATGTTTAAGCTCAAAAGGGGGGTGCACAAAGTCTGACAAATCCTTCATGTGATGTTACCAAAGTTGTTGATAAAAACTTGAAAAAAAAGAAGTTGTGAAGTTAAAAGCAGTTTACCTCAGATGACCTCAAGAGCTCACCTCTAATCTCTGCTTGAGGCCAACTGAGTGATGCTATATTAGCTGCTACTAGCATAATACACCTGAATCTCAGACCACTTTGCTGTTGAATTGCATTGTGTTTGATTTTTAACATCAGATTTTGCTGAAAAAAGTTTGGAATTAAAAAGATAGTTATCTGCTATCTTTAATTTTTAACTTTTCATCTAAGTCTTAACTCTGCTAACAGGACGTGATGCTAAATTGAGGTGATAGTCATTTCATGTTTGTGTTGCTAGTTGTGATTTACAGTATTTACTGTTATTTCTATGAAGTCCTATGTTTGAATGCAGAAGAGTGAAACAAGATTCTCATCCCTGCTTGTGGACAGCTGGTAAACAAACATTTGTGTCATGTTTATGTCCTCCTCTGTCCTCAATCTCACTTCTCAAAACAGTCTCTCTGTTTACTGATGACTCTTTCAGTCGCCTCTCACGCTGGAGATAGTAACAAAGTAGAGACAGCTATTGGAAGTCTTTATTTATCTAATTCTCAGAATAATTCTGCTGCCAAACTCTGAGCAAAATCCCAGCCTATTTTTAGACTGAGCGTATTCACGTCTCCCTCAAACCATTGTTTACCATTCAGCTTTGCATTGGGATGTTAATCACGTATCATATCTGTCTGCAAAACTGTCTGCAAAACTGTATTTAGAATCTCAATCACTGGCATCGCACTATTTAAAGACAAACCATGTTCTCTTAATCTTCTTAAGCCTCATTCAGACAGGTAGTACTTCCCTGAATAGAAGTTTGAGGAAGTAGAAAGAAGCTGCTGCCTGAAGAGGAGTAATCTAGTTTTAATTATATAACAAACACAAACATGATGGATGCCTCATTTAATGCACACAGTTGATGATAAAAACCAAGGAGAGTTTCACAGATGTGTATTAGTATACTGCTACTGCGCCTCAGATAGTAAATCAGGCTCCTTTATTTAGCATTTTCTGAAACTCACTTGTTTTGTTTTTAATTCATGGCTTCATTCTAGAGCATCAGCAAAAAATATCACTTCGCTCAGAAAGTTTCTTAAATACGTCCCCAGGGTACTACAAAGTGAACTTTTTGCCTCTTTTACTTTATAGTTTGGTGACTTTTATTGTTTTTGCGTCATCAAGTATTACAGTATGGTAATGAGGATGTTATCTTTTTATCACAGAGGTGCAGATTGGAAAATAAGAAGTTTTTGGCCATACCTCAAGGCACACCATTTCCTGCTCCTCTTGGACGGAGTCATTGTAGTTCACCCTGTACCCCACACTGTGTCTGCAGGCCCGGGCCAGTCCACGCATCTGCTGCCACATCAGGGCCCTGGTGCGTCTGATCCCCTGCAGAGTGGACGTGGGCCTGACCTCCCAATGCCTCAGCGCCCTAACACATGGCATGCTCCGGCCATGAGCCCTCACCCGCCACGTGAGGTTCAAGTCTTCATGGGATCGTAGGAAATCCGCACACCTTGATCCTTCTTCTATGTTTTCCCAATATCACTTCTAGAAGACATCTTGGCGGAGATGGATGGAGAAAAAATACGCATCGGCGACCCTGACGAAGAGAAGAGTGTTTACAAAGGAGAGGGCAGAAGAGGATTAGGACAATGTTCCCACTGGATGAAATCCTGATTCCTCTGTGCTTTACTGCGTCTCACCAGCTTAGGCCAGATTAAGCCAGGAGGTCTTAGTGTCTGAGTGAGATGGACAGAGATAGTGTCAGACGTGGATTCATTTGTGATGTGCTCCTTGATGAATTCTAGTGTAATACTATGGATTAGTACACATCGTTGAATGGACTTTAGAGGGGGAAACATATGGCCACAATGTAAATGCGGCATTATGAGTATAGATGTAGTGCCGGCCTTGAACCTTTGACATGTTGTAGTATCAGGATCAACTCTGACTAAAGCTCCTCAGTGTGAGAAATCAGCTGACCTCCGCTCTCTGCTTTCTTTACAATCATCACTGTCATCTGATTACACTGCTGATTGAAATTGATTAGCTGGAGTAAAATGTGCTCTTATCTTCCATCTTATCAGGGTGTACAAAAAAAAAATATTTCTCAAACATGTTACATTTGTCTGCCTCTCACCATCTTTCTCCAAGATTTGTTTTGGATCGCTTTGCAAACCTGCCGGTGCTTTGACGGCTGAACAGATGGTCTCTTGGTTGTATCAGGCTGAGGTAATAAAGGGAAAACAAGGGAGTCAAGGGAGTCTTTCTTACTCTCTAGACACTTTTTTTTTATTGAAACTACTGACTTGTGCCCCTGTTGGTGGGACATATTGATAAACGCAGGCCTTAAAACCATTTTAAGCAACTTAAATCTGTAAGTATCACAGGTAACTGATAAATAAACTCTAGTTACTGCATCACGTCCTTCACATTTACTCAATTTTTATACATTTTTCAAAATACTCTCTTGTGTCTTTTCATTGTCATTATTTTTAACTGATCATCTTAGAAGTGTGATAAACTTTAATGTATTATACGACACTAGGCTGCAGAGTGTAAATGCTGCCAAAGCTGCTGAAGGCTATTTTTGTTACTGTAGGAACTGTCTGCATGTCAAGCCTAAGAAATGAACTTCAATGGCTTCAGAGAACATTGAATTTTTTGCAGTCTTTGTTTTATTGCAAAGAAAAAAATTTAAGTTATCTGAAAAAGTTATATATAAATCAGATATTAAATTTCAACTCACTTATCTTGACTCACAAACTGACCATTTGTTTCTACAGTTTCTTCATCAACCTTTCTCTTGTGTTAGCTTTTACTACACATCCACTATGTTAAGGGTCGGTTTCGACCCATGTCTTAAATCAGCTGTAAATTACACTAAAAACAATTCTCTATCATCCAGTTTGGTTTTCATCTCTAGGTTTCCTTGTTAGGTTTCATTATCCATGAAAATATTGCTTATAATAGTTTTTTGTTGTGGGCCTCTTGGCCTTTCTTTGTCACTACACTACGGTGGCTGAGAACCGCCACTGCTGCAAATAAAAAAAAGAATGCAAAAAAAAAAAAGAACAGAATTTACTGATGCAAAAACAAACAAAAAAAAGGAACCAAAGCCCACTGCTAAAAAAAAAAAAAGGTGCAGATGAAAAATTCTTTTGGGGAGGATGCCGGTGTAGTGTTAGCTTCAGTTCAACTTGATATCAACTCAGGCACAACATGGCCTAACCAAATGACACATTGAAAAGCACACAAAGCGTAATTAACAATAACCTTTCCACTTACTTCTTTGCTCATCTTCTCGCCTTGTCTTCTGTGCCTAGATCATAAAACATGCATCATCATTATTGGTCCCGGACAGCTCACTTCTGTTGTGGCTTTTTTTTTTTTTTTTTTTTTTTGTGCATCCTTTTATTTTGGTGGTAATTTTTTTTTTTCCATCGCCACTTTTTTTTTGTGTGTTGATAACTTCCGTTGTGGCTTTTTTTGTCTGCACCGTTTCTTTTTTTATTTGCAGTGGGCTTTGGTTTCTTTCTTTTTTTTTTGCATCAGTAACTTGCGTGTGACTTCTTTTTTTGCATTCTTTTTTTATTTGCAGCAGTGGCTGTTCTTGGCCACCGTAGCATACCCCTCACACAGACATTTATACTGAATTGAGCTCACATGTCTGGACATGCCGATGTTGTTTTTTGTGCAGGTAAAAACATGGCAAAATGAGAATTTCCTAAATCTCAGTAACCCAACATGACAAGTGCCATAATTTTAATAAGAGCATTTTATCATTTAGTCAATTTATTATTTTTATTTTTATTTTGTTGAAGTAGAGGTTCCTGACAAAGTCAAAAAGTCTTGATGCAAAAAAAAAAAAAAGCTAAGTTAAGTGGTTCTTGTCTTATGATACAGCTCTCTTGCTGGGACATATATTATAATGAATGGCTAATGTTCATTTGAGCTCTATGTCCTAACTTTTCATGTTTCTTGTCTGGTTCAGGATTTGTTTCTGTCCTCTTAAATATATCAGGAATCACTCAGTTGCCCAATTAGTTGTTGTTTACACTTAATGTGTAAATACAAAAGAATCATGGGTCTACTATCAGTATTAAGGGTAAACTTGTGTGTAACTTTTAAATTCGCCCCCTCTTCTTCTTCTTCTTCTTCTTCTGTTTCCTGAAGTCAGACTGAGTTCATGTGACTGTCACATGATTGCGCGTGACGCTGTGTTGTAGTCAGTCAGCTGTTCACTCAGGACAGCGACTAGCAGGGTGAGTAATATAACAGAGCCTTTTCTCTGTCACAAATGATACACTCAATACGAAATTTAGATTTTAATAAGTGTTATTTTAAGATAGTTAATGCGGTATCATGTTCAGCTGTTGCTGTTTCTGCACGGTGATGAAATGGATCTGCAGCTATGTTAGCACAGCTAGCTAGGGTTAGCATCCTTGGCTTATGCTGCTAGCTCTAGCTAACTTGGATTGTGTCGCTGTAAATGTAACAATTTAAAGGTGGTAAATTGAAGCACATGCGTGGATAAATGGTACAAAATGCAATTTGAATATGCTGTGAATTGCTCTGCCGTTTTCCCTGGTCGTAGAAAGATCCGCTATGAGATGTCGTGACATTGGGTTAAGCTAGGTATGAAGGAGTTGGTGTTAGCATCAGCTGGTGGGGTCTGTTTGTGAGCATTTACCTTCAGTTTGGAAGATTATTTACAGCTCATGGTTAATTCTTTATTTTGATACTGTCATAGTAAACTATTCTGAAACAGCTGAACTTCCAAGGTTGTGAGTTGAAGACCTTCATCTGTCAGATTGTGGTACAGACCTGTAGTCGTCGTACTGATGCTTACTTTCTTGTTTTTCTTCCAGGGGGTTGTTGAATCATATCAGTGTAGTAACAATATTAGATATCTGTCAAAATGGATATTCGCGGGGCTGTGGATGCTGCAGTCCCCACCAACATCATCGCTGCAAAGGCAGCAGAGGTCCGGGCCAACCTGGTCAACTGGCAGTCCTATCTGCAGTAAGTCACCTGTAAACACACTACACAGAGCAGAAATATACACCAAATATGCATTTATTATCATTTGGTAAACCTGTACAAACGTGTGACCATGAATTCTGCTTATAGGAAGCTTCTCAGCTTTTGTTTACATGTTTGCCACAAATAATTTTGCTTGTATGATATTATAATGTTTGAAGTTGTTCATGATATCAGTTCAACTTCCTAAACTTGTCTCATACAAACTTTGTTCTTGTCTCTTGAATCTGTCTGTCTGTCTTGGTGTTACATTTGTGATTTTGAAAGCTTTAGGCAGATCTACAGTAGTTCCTGTGTTGTGATTCACTGTCTGGAGTAATACTTCCTCTTTGGCCTGAATGAGGAATCGCAAAAGAACTTCCAAATATCAATTTTTTAATCATTAAAATTTCCATCACTATTATTTTATTATGATTTTATTATCATTATTAATATCATCTTTTATGTTTATATTTACTATCCTGTTTCTTGCTCTCTGCCCCCTTTTCTATTACATTTCTTCTTCTTACCTATTTTATGTTTTTATTTTGGTCCTCATGGTCTCATTTTATGATGTAGGGTGCTTTTATTGTCTGGGTTTCTTATGAAAAATGAAATTGGTCTTCAATTCAGAGGCCTTGTTTTTCACTGAGCTTTTGTTTTTATTTGTTTTTCTATTCATGTGCTGATGTTCTCACTGTGCTTTGCAACTGTTTGTCAAAGCACTTTGTAAACTTCTGTTTTTAGAAGTGCTATAAAAATAAAGTTATTATTATATTAGTTATTATTAACTTAATTTTCATTAAATTTTTAACCACAACAGTACAGTGTATACATCTCAATACAATACATTTCTTTTCCTTTTTTTCAGCTGTATGTGTATTTTTACAAACATCCACAGATAGTGTAGGATTAAATCAAAGAGAAAAATCATGATAGTCATCATAAATAAACAATGTCCACTCCAAAGTACAGATTTATAGGCACAGATTCTAGTCAGAGGCAGGATGACAGTGTTTTGATATGGATAGGAAGTTCTTACACCATTAACATAAACTGCCATTACATCAACAAAGGAACCACAAGTTCCCATCTTTCAATAAAGGAGGTCCTTGGTGAAAATGTGATCTGCTCCGTTTGATAAATAGCCAGTACTTTTTGAATCCAGATATTGTATGAGGGAGGTTCTGGTTTCAACTAAAAATCATCAATTTATATAATATTTTGTATCATTTAGAGTTCATATACAATAAGTCTGTCCTTGGTATTACAGTTTACCTCTATGGACTGCTGATGATGTGTTTTGCTTTAGCTACAACATGCGGCATTTCCAGATTATTTGCCATTATAGTGCAGGCTGCCTTTGTAATTAGTAGCAGCCTGTTAGTGACATGGGAAAGCGCAGTCTGTCAGTGCTGGCATATATGTGCGTTTCCTCATCCATCTGGGACTAATGAAGTATTACACTACACGATTGAGCTGATTTTTTTTACTCTAAAGCATCATAAAGTTGTAGTTTCCAAGCTTAATACACATAGAAGAATCATGCTACAAAGTCATTTCAGTGGTGCTTTTAGAAAACGTATTATTAAATCAATCCATTGTGTTTACAGCTGCTCAAAGCTTACGGATAAAGACGGTAAATTGAACAGAATGAAGTGTAAATGTCTTGATTGATTTTCTTGTAGGAGTCAGATGATCTCTGCTGAGGACTGTGAATTCATCAAAAAGTTTGAGGTGGCCAACTCTGAGGAGAAACAGGTCATTCTAACCAATGAAGGACATCAGGTATCACACCCTTTATTTCATTTTAGTATTCATGTGTATTCAGTTGAAGCTTCTATGCATTTTATATTGCAGCAGTCATTGTCAAGATTTACACAAATGATTTCAGTTTTGGTATGAATCATCTCAAAGCAAATTAGACAGCCAATGTCCTCCTAAAGGGATTAGTACCAGTTGAAGTAAATATTGGTCTTGCAGCCAAAAACTACATTATTTTCTTGTGATGCCTAAATTTACAATGCTCATACTTCTGTGCATGTGTACACTGAATCATTCTGCATACCGCTGGACAATTAACTTTGCAAGTACTGAGTTCATCTTAAGCTCTGCTGTCAACATTGTAGAGAAATGAAAGTCTACCTGAAATGACCGTAAACCACTTATTTCATTCCCAGCGCTAACGTGCCCAACCTCATGCTGCCACTTCCTTTGCTTTGAATGATTTATCATTCCAGTAAATCTCAGACACTTCACCTCGCACTTCGCTGATCTGAGTCAGTCTAACTATTTTTAGAGGTGTCAAAGAAAAGCAGCGGTGGTTTTTCCAATTTGTCAATAAGCACACAGACGCTGTTTCTTTTTGAGGTTGTTCATGTTTCTATTTTGTTTCTGCTCAGTGTGCAAAGACCTTTCTGAACCTGATGGCTCATATCTCGAAGGAGCAGACAGTCCAGTACATCTTGACTCTGATTGATGACACTCTGCAGGTACGGTAACGGCCCCACCAACTCTGAACAAATCAGACATGCACACATTCCTAAAGAGACAATTTGAAAAGATGACAGAAAAGTCTGTTTTTATTTGTTTGGCCTCAAACCACAAAACTCTGTTTTCTTCTACCTCTGTCCTTGGACCTGCAATGAAAATGAAAAACACATCAATTTTTTCCCAACAGAGCGAGAGTATTGATAGAGATTTTGCCTCAAGATTCTTGAGCGGTATCATGGTTTAAAAAGAAAAAAAAGACAAAATTATAAACTGTATAAAGTCAAGTTTGGGTTCTCTGTTTTACTTGGACGGTAGGAGCGGAGAGTGTAGGTGAAGTTGTCATTGCTCTGAAACAGAACATCAATCAATTAAGAACATTTAATTTTAGGATCTAAGCTGAGATCAAAGATAGTTTCTGTTAGTTTGTAGTAAATTCTGTGATTCATAGGTGATCCGATGCAGCTGAATTTATACGTTCTACTGTAATTAAAGCATGTAATCGTCTTAAATTTGTTTGACATTAATTTGTGCATGGGAAAAAAATAACATGTTCATTTTTCTGTGGTTATTTCCTGTCCGGCTCTATCTGTAGAGTATTTCTTGCAATTAACCCTCATGAAGTCCAACAGCTATAGAGACAGAAGAAAAGTAGTAGACCAGACTTTGAGGATACAAAACATTTTTCTACCCAAACTACTTAGGCAAAGTTTTCCATACAATCACTAAACATTGTTTACCCCTTCCTGAGGGATGATATTAGTCACTTCAGCTGAGTGGAAAATACGCTTCATACGAGGTTCACAGTCCGAGAGCTCATCTCATATCTTTATTTTTACTCAGGAGAACCATCAGCGGGTGAGCATTTTCTTTGACTTCGCAAAAAAGACGAAGAATACCGCCTGGTCCTATTTCCTCCCAATGCTGAATCGTCAGGACCTGTTTACCGTCCACATGGTGAGTAAATACACACTGATAGACTTGTGTGGAAAAATGCAACTGTAGGGATTAGCTGTGAGATATCAGACATGGAGCAATGCCACAACATTTTATTGGGATAAGTTCCGTATATTTGGACATTAATTTTAGTTCCATTCAGTTGAACATAACGGTGACCAGTGCAAAGTAATTTAATCGTGGTTATTAATTTTTCACAGACTTAACCATAATCATAGCAGGGCATCAATTATTCCTCATAAAGCAACCTTTCACACATTCCTTAAAAAAACGGGTAATTACTGTAATGATTAATACCTGCCACCGCTTTTTGAGCGCTGTCAGGGGCGCTTGATATTCAAAAAAAATCAAAAAAACATCCAGATGGCATCCAGCAGGAGGGCAAAATATGACCCCAAGTCTGTGACAGTGCACTTTAACTCAGTCCAACTGTCACACTGACTCTTGATTTTTAATTAGGTCCTTGACATTTCTACACATCATCTCCCGGAGAGAAGCAAATTAGAGGGCACAATTTGTGTCTGTCTTATCTCGGGTCTCAGGTCACAGGAGGTTGTTCAAAACCTGGAGAGATAGCTGCTGTGGTTGCAGGTATTATTATTGTAGCTCAGACAGGATTACAGGTGTTGTATTCTGTTAGTTATTTTGCAGAAATTGCCAAACAATGTTACGAAAATGGACTTTTAGCTCAAAACAGACATTAACTGTATAATTATCCTACATATGCTCCATAAGTCTATATATAAGGGACAAATGCTGTACTTTGTTGCTTCGGCACAGTCCGTCACATAAACTGTCCTTGACTACATGTTAACTTTCCACGATATGAATAAAGAAATCGTGTTTCTTCTTTATTAGGCAGCGAGGATCATCGCTAAGTTGGCTGCCTGGGGCCGTGATCTGATGGAGGGAAGTGACTTGAACTACTACTTCAACTGGATTAAAAGTCAGCTCAGCTCACAGGTGTGTGGATATGGAATTAAAAGTATCTTGTGGAACATAAAAAACCACTCCCTCTGTATCTGGATTACAGAAATGGTTGCACAGGCTGCTGGCGTTTCCTTCATGACTGTATTTCCATGTTTATTAGACACTATAATGTCGACATGTGGCCTGTGGAAGATTGTCTCATTATTTGGTGCTTTTTGATGATAAATTATGTCGTGTTTGCTTTATCCAACTTTTAAACAGATGTGGTGTTTATTCTCATTGAAACGTCTGAAAATGAAAACTCATCACGGTTGCGTTGGAAGAAAGGAGTGAAGATACACATCAATCAGCCATAACATTGTGACCGCTGACAGGTGAAATCACTGATATTGGTCTTTTCACAGTGGCACCTGTCAGTGGATGAGATAAGATATTTTGAGCATCGAGAGTTTTTGTTTTCAGAATTGGTTTGTTGGGAGCAAGAAAAATCAGAACAAGATTGTGGTGGCCAGATGATATGTTTACATCTCCAAAATTGCAGCTCTTGCGGGGTGTTTACATTTTTATGGCCTACCAAAAGTGGTTTAAAAAAGGGGGAAAAAAACAGTAAAGTGGTGATAAGGTCATGGGCAGCCAACACTCTTGGATGCAGCGAAGTAAAATGTGAGTGGTCCAGGGCTTGACACTAACTTTTTTCACAAAGAGCACATTTGCTCCTAAGTTGAAAAAGTAAGGAATACACAAAGACCTTTAGGGGAACAATGAAAATGAATCAAATAATGTTTGTCTTATTGGTCGACATAAGTTCTATTATTTGAAATCAATTTTAGGTCTTTCAGTCACATGACATGGAAGCTTTTAAAGGAAAACAGCCTTTTTTAAGAACATCAACGGGTAATTTATTGATGGTCCCTTAATCAAAACCCGATGTTGACAGCTAGGATGCAGAGTAGCTTTAACCGCACTGCTGTTGCTATTCCCGGTTATGGAGAGTGAGAAGACACTGGTAGATCGGCGGTGAATGTCCGTTGGATATCCAACCTAAAACTAACTTCACCGCGGTATTTACAGGAAAAAACATATGTTGCCTCAGCGGATTTTTTTATGCGCACATGTGCCCCTAAAAACATTTTACAATTCGCACACATCTAGTTCTAGTCCCCAATTCAAGTGCAACGGTCGCACTGTCGAGCCCTGTGATCTAATCCAACACAGGAGCTACTGGAGCTCAAATTCCTGAAACAGTTCACGCTAGTTTGACAGAGAAGTGTTTGGAGTGCTGTGTTAGGGTGTGTAGCAGTTGTATGCTATCAGGATACTTATGCAGACCCCTGTCCACAAGCTGAACTGAACTGAACAATGAAAGGATAAAATAGTTTTGACTTCACTGCCAAATTCCCCAAATTGTAATGAGGGGTTTGGTGCTAAAATCTTGGTGTTGGATACCACTGCAGTCTCCTCAGGTCAGGCCTGAAAAGAGAGGAGTCTCCCAATATTTTCCAGCTGGTCATCATGTTATGGCTGATGGGTGTACCATATTAATACCAGAGGAGAGATTGAATTTTTTATACTCAAGCAACAAACAATCTGAAACCCACACTCATTCACAAAAAGAGAGAAGGGTGTCAGAGTGAGGGGGCTTGCATGTGGATGAGGACCCTGAGCAGTTTGGGGTTCATTGCCTTGCCCAAGATCACCTCGGCAGCTCCTAAGAAGTAAGCCGGCTCCTCTGTGTCAATAGACTCCATTGCATAAACCAGTATATATATTTTTTTCTTTGATGGGTTAATGTATTCTTAGAGATAAGAAGAACTTGCGCTTCCTCTTACTCATGTTGAGATCATCTCTCTTTAGATTTTATTCATGATATTCTATGGTTTGGGCTCAGGGTGAAAGCTCGACTGAATGAATACTGTATCTGTGTAAAGTGAGTTTGAACAGGCTCGTCAGACCTTGAGATGTTCTGATGAAAGCTGCGCTGAAGGTGCTGGCTTTGCCTTGGCAGATGTATAAAAACTGAAGAGTGGGCTGATGATAAAACAGTTGAATACTGAGTCACTGTTTTTTTTCTGTTTCTGTGGAACAAACTGGATTATTTAGAAATATTCAGAGGTTAGTGCAGTTGCTGCCAGCCCTCCCAAAAGCCTGATATTAACAATCTGCCCATGATTTAAAATGTTATCCTTTTGTTGTATGTGTCTCTTAACATGAACTGCTTTTCTTTCCTGAACAGCCAACCACCGGATATTTGGCGAGCTCGCTGGGTATACGATTACATCCAGTGCCTCTGTAACTGTAAAGCTGCACAGATTGTGAACATTTTTTTGCACTTGTTTCTTTTGTTTATCTCTCATTAGAACCTACATGGTACAGGTCCAGAATCAAGCTCAGGAGCAGGAACTATTTCCCCCAGTGAAGTGAGTATGAGTGAAGTGCATCCTCAGTCCTCTGGAGCTTCAAAAAGAAAAAGCAAATGTCGGGATTGTGGGAGCTGCGCCCTGTCAGCTGTCACTGGACCTTCACATCTTTTCTTCCCCCTTTTTTATCTCTCTCCCATCCTGTTCTTGCACTCAGTAATAATTGCAGATTTTCGAGGACCCGAGTTTTAGAGCAATTTTAGAGGAACTCTCCATTTAGTCAGCATGGTGTTTGCTGCCACTGGTTGGTTTTAATCGTACAAGTGGAAATTGCATGCAGTAAGGCACTTTTCCTTAATGCTGAAGGCGCATGACCAACACAGCTTTTCCTGTGCATTAGGATAACAAGAGAAAATTGGAATAATACTTTCACAGCAGCAGCATCCTACCATTTAGATCCCATATTTTCTCAAGCATAGCGTGATTATTCTGAGAAGCGTGCTCAGAATACTGTTTACAGAAGCGCTATCTAATAACCAAACATGGTATTTTCCTCTGCATTTTCAACCAGGTAACCACTCCTCTGCTCCTCTGTCGTCACTGCTGCCTGCTCTCTATGCTGGACTTCTCTGCTTCTCTTCAATTCTCTCTCTCTTTTTAATTAACAGATTAATGTGATCTATTTTCTCCTCTCAGCTTTTTCCACTCTAATCTCAATTTACATGATTCTGCTCAGGTCTGGGGGGACACTTTAACCCACTGTTGCACCGTTTTGTACTTTTGGGTCTGTGATCTAGCATGAATTGATGTACACTTATAAACACTATAGGCTGCATGTGCAATGCGTCAGGTTTTGATCAGTGACAATAATGCAAGTTTTGGACTGGCCTTCTTCTGTGTGCTCTATCTGCTTGTCAACTACTGTGTGTGTTTCAGAACCGCACTAATCGTACTTGACCTTCTAACGCTTTGTTTTCCTGAGCAAAGGTTCGCCCTTCTGTTTGAGTAAATGTTTACCTCTGTCCTTTGCAGAGCTCTCAGTATGTCCAGTGTGTTGCCGGCTGCCTTCAGCTGATGCTGAGGGTCAACGAGTATAGGTTTGCCTGGGTGGAGGCTGATGGAGTCAACTGGTAAGTCGCGCTTGTCCTTTGTTTTGAATGCTATTTAGAGGACAAAGATGTCATTCTTACTACACCGTCAATAGCCACGTTTACGCGGGCAAAATTTCTTGATCTGATTAAAAATTTGAGGGATCGGATAATCTGAATCCAGTGTTTATATGGGTGCAAAATCAAATAATTCGAAGCTTTATTCAGATTAGAAGCATTTGGACATGCACAGAGTTGTCCGATTTATCAAAAACAACCGCAGAAGAAAAGTTTTTCCACCTGTACTGTCAACAAACCAACAAATGCAGTAGTGGATCACTCCATCCAATTCAGGAGTTTTCCCCCTGTTCAATGTTGTCACTAGATGGCGCCCTTGCGCACTTATTTTACTGTTCTGTCAAAAGTTGCTCTGTGCGTGCAGATGTGACTTCATTACGCTGTACGTACGCCTTGTTATGTTATCGGAGAAGCAGGCACTGCACCTGCGGCTGTGTTTTATGCCAGAGCGTAAAGAGTGAAGATCGAGTCAGGTAAGAGAGTCATGATCGGAATAAGCATTTACCGTATTTTTCGCACTTTAAGGCGCACCTGATTATAAGGCGCACCATCAATGAACGCGTCTATTCGATTAGCCAAAAGGGTTTTAAGTGCGCCTTAAAGTGCGAAAAATACGGTACATGGACACGTTTCGTAATAACGATCGGCATAAACCACCCCTCTTGATCGGAATACAATTTCTTTCCAATTAAGCCGAATTGGATCAGAATCTTCCGATCGACATGTTTTAAAGGACACATTTTTATTCCGATCAGGCATTTATTCCGATTATTTGTGCCCATGTAAACGCAGCTAATGTTTTTGTTCCAGTTGTGATTTCTTTAGCATCAAATAGAGGTTTGCTTTGTAAACAAATCCCAGTGAACTGCACCACTTTAAAAGTAAAAACAAATGTACCTCTCATGATCAAGGGAGGAAAGACAGAGAGACACAGTGAGCAAAGTAGCACATGATTATTTATCAGCTGAGGGTGAGCTATGACACTGATTTTAAGATAAAGTCGTTTAAAAACTGTCAATCAGCTAAAAAAAAAAAAAAAGTGTCACAGAGACTTATCTGTGAGGCCTAAAGAGACAAATGCAAAATCTTTACAGTCACAGCAAATCTTAAAGCGATGGCTACCAAGAGACTGACAGGAATGTGTGTGGGTGTATGTCAGTGAAAAATGGAATGAAAGCATGCTCATTACCAGAGCTGTCAGCCATCCAATGGACTGCAGGTGGTTTACATCTTTGTGGTCTTAAAATACAAATAACACAAGTATATTTCATTTGTACATTTTATTGCATTTAATTGCATTTTAATGTAGCAATTTGATTTAAAAGATATTAGTGATGTGATTCTATCTGAAAGGAGGTTACATTAAAATTGTTGACTTATTAGCAAAGATTTGGTCTCCAAAGTGCTTTCTTGAAATGAATCTTGAAGAGCAAAGGTTAGAGAGAAGAGAAAGCAAAAAAGAAGTGTATTTCAACTGCATCCATTCTCATGGCCAGCAGGGGGCAACACTTCTGGTCTCAAAAAAAAGGAAAAAATCCAGTCCTATGTAAACATTCGGGATAATGAACCCTTCCTCTCATTCGATTCATGATCTTAATTAACATTTCCCTGCTGAGTTTATGGTCTCAACTGCTTGTGTGAAGTCTATCTCAAAATTGATTATATGTCTCTTTTTTTTTTTTCTTTTGCGAAAAATTAATGCTGTCATAAGTAATAGAGGACATGCTTTGCTGCATGTTGGTCTGTGATTAACAAACTGTTACCATGGCAACCTGTCAACCAACTAAGCTATTCATATCTCTACATTTCGAACCAAATATGGCCACAAGTTGTTTCCAGGAAATCAATATGACATGATGAAAATGTGAAACATGTGTTATAAGGCCAACTCCACTTTACATATTTATATATAAGTGCAAACTATTGATGCAGGAGCCTCATTAAAGCAGGGAAAATATGACCCTCATTTCCCTCATTTGTACAGACCTCGAAGGTTATGCTTTGCATCTATACCCATTAAGTATGGATGAGTTATGAACTAAGTACATTTTTAATGTCCACCCGAAGCATTTTTGCAAATTTGCAGCCATTAACTTAATAGGATGTATAGAAAAGTGCAGCAAATTGCAAAAGCAACTCTCACAGGTGAACTAAACTTTTGTCATTATTCCACATCATTAGAAACCGTCCGTAGAGATCTGCAAAGACTAACAAAATTCTAAAAGGGCCAAACTGTCAGAGACATCACAGGTAACAGGCCGTGTCTTAAAAGAGCCAATTACTGAAGGAGTAAAAGTCCTCATGGATCTGTCAGTGCTGCTCGGAGGAAGGTCACTGTTGGAGGCAAATTAACCTTACTTTGTCAGGGCTGCAGGGTGTCCACTAAGAGAACCGGAAACAACCTACATTACACCTTTAGTTTGATTCCGGCAAACTTTACCGGAAAGATTTATTTGGAAAATTGTATGAAATTTTCAGACTAGCTTCAGTGTTCAATTTGGCTCAGTAATTATTTTGCATCCACTAGCTCAACACCCCTTCACTTACCAGCTATTTCTGTAAATGGCGGACATGCTGCCTCGCCTGCTGTCATTAGTCCTCTGTATTTTTCCTGTTTTCTAAAGACCCACTGATGGCGGCAGTGAATGAAACGATGAGAGATAATGGAAAAGCAGCATGAAGGGAACCATATTTGTTAAAAGGTGGTAGACAGAGATGTTTGTCTTTTTCCCAGCACCCCTCCTTTTTACAATTTTAGACATTCTCATTAACATTCTTTTTCTTTTTTTGTAGCATCACCGCGGTGCTCAGCAACAAGTGCGGCTTTCAGCTCCAGTACCAGATGATCTTCTGTGTTTGGCTCCTGGCCTTCAGTCCTCAGCTCTGCGAGCAGTTGAGACGCTACAACGTGGTGCCTGCCCTGTCTGACATCCTGCAGGAGTCTGTCAAGGAGAAGGTCACTCGAATTATTCTGGCTGCCTTCAGGGTACGTAGAGGATTTCTCAATCACTCTGTATGTCTCCCAAATGCCAAAAATCTCCTAAAGTTGAAGGAAAATGTTAAAACCATACGGCTGAAATTACTTTCCATTAATGCGGCTCTGTATTTTAAATGCCTTGTCTTGATAGGGACAGGTTTAGGGGGCACAAAATTTATCTCTGAATGAAGTAACAGGTGCTCACCTTTACTTTAACTGCTTCTCCCTAAAGCATCAATTGAAAGAAACGACCAAAAAATACAGTTTAACAAGCAATACAGGTTCTTTAAAAGTTTTCAAGTAAACATCACGACAGCGCTTTTACACAGTTATACTCCTTGGGTATTTTTCACAGTCTTGTATAGCACTAAATCTTGCATTCAATTAGGCTTCAGACTTATCACAACAACATTAAACCAAAAGAGAAACCCTTAAACATCAAATGTGACAATCAATAAAACAACCCATCCCATAAAACGTCTGTGATTTATGGGTAAGCTGCCCTTTCAGCTCCCTGCTGATATTGCTCAAACCGTCCGTTGAATATTCAATGTAGTCTTAAAGCTGCGTTCCAGCCTCGCTCCGCCGAGTTTGAGTTTATGCCAGGTAATGAATTCCTCATTCTGTGTCTCGACTAAATTAAATTATTGGCAGAGGCGTTGTCAATCTTCGTGTGCTTTGATACTCGTTTAACTAAAGGAACAGAGAGAGTCTGACACACGGCTCCAGCAAACTTCTGAGAAAGTATCAGAAATGTATCTGGAGATTACCAGGTCCTCAAAGTGCTGATTAAGTTTACTGAAGAGTTAAAGTTATTGTTCGGTCCCTGGACTCAAAGGCCTTAAAGCGTGAAAAGCTAGATTTTGATTTGATGATTGAAACATGAGCTCAAACATCTCTGGATTAAATTTAACTCTGTTTCAAGCTGGACTTCTTTTTCACTTCCATATTAACCCCAGTCCAAAGGCTTCTCTTTTCTTTCATCAAATGAAATAAACAAAACCAAGAAAAAGGTTTGACACCAGATTTTCCAACAAATAGTTTGTGTTATGTTTGTCTCCATTGACTGCGCCCGTTCCCAGAAGCTCATTCATCACAGCTTTAATGAAAGCAAAGCTGTCGCAGAAAGATTTGTGAATGCGCTTATAAAGAGAGAGGTGTTCGGTTTTTAATTGGCAGGACAAGTTTGCCGCTCAGTTTTTACATCACGGTTAATTAAAAGCGATGGCGGGCAGTGAAGGGAGACCCCGGTGCAGCTTGACATTGTGAGTGGGTTTTCCCCAGAGCTATTCGAAGTTACTCAGAGCGGGTGTGTTTGTCATGTGTCACAAAAACATTGCTCCACACCAGCGCAGAGAAAATTGTTTTGATGGCGCCCAGTGGCTTTGAACAGGGTGTCAAATGTGGGATAGCAAAACAAAACTGATTTTCCTTTTCACCAAATCCTTTTATTTCCTCTTAGACAGATTTTTGCAATAATCATCAGTTTTGGTGGATAGTTCCTTTACATGAGTTTTGATGATAGGTTGAACATGATGGAACAAAAACATATCAGTGCAGTGAGATGATATGACTGCAGACAGAAACATTATGGATGCACTCATTTCGCAAAAGTATCCCACATTATGCTGCATGAAGCTTATTTCCTAAATGTCCTCATTATGCAAATGATCCTGCTCACCACATGGGACATGAAGTGCGGCTTAATTTATCCCAGCGATCTGTAAGTCCTTGAACACATCCTCTTAGCCAACACAGCTGTGTTTCCGAAGAGTTTTCCTTCACTTTATTCTGGTTGTTAAAACAATTATATTTTCACATGGAAGGTCCCCAGTCAGTTTGAAAAGCAAGCAAGCCCAGTACATTTACTGTTACATGGCACCGGTAAATACCAACATCACAGGTTTCTGCAATTAAAGATATTCTAAGTTACTATTTGCCATGACTGTAATGAGGCCTAATGTCGGAATCAGAGGTTGTTGATGGCCCTTAAAAGTGTCCCTGTGCCGTTTTTCAAACTCAGTCCAAGCTGTTTTTTATTTATTTTTTTTTTTTGTTGAAAGTTTTGTTTCATTCATTTATTCAAATCACAACAATTCAATACATAGTGTACACAAACATTACCAAATATGAATGAAAGGGAGCAGAAAGAAGAATAATGCTGCGTTCCAGTTGTACTCAGAAGTCGGGATTTCCAAGCTCCGAGTCGGAAATTCCAAACGCCCCCCTGAAGTCGGATTTCCAACTCGGAAAGTCAGACGATCCTCACCAACCCCAATTTGACAACAACATCATAAGTGGGATTTGTTTTACTGCTCAACGTCTAACTGTGAACATGGTGCTTTGGTGTTTGTAAGTTAAATACTGTGTTATGCGTTGTTTACAACTGGTATAGCTAACGACAGCTGACAATTGTTAACAACAGCTAACAACGGCATCCATTTTGGTTTTCCCACTTGTTTACTGGAATGTCGTCAACCCGGGTGTAGCGTCATTCCCAGCTCCGACTTTCGAGGTAACCGGAACGCAGCGTAATCTTCCATAATCTGCCACTTAACTCCAAGAAATCAAATACAAAGATGTTAAAAAACAACAACACAATAAACAGCAAAATAAGAATAATAAAATTGCTGACCGTCACATTTCCTGCAAAAAACAGGAGTTATAATTTGCCGAGCATCCAGTTCATGATTTTCTCATCAGTAAACAATTTAATGTCAATGAAAAAAGATTAAAAATACAAACAAAAAATTTAAATATAATACCAGTACCTAATACTAACATGTCTGCACCCACTTAACCCATTTGTCATCGAAAGCTGACTCTCACTATCTCAAGATCAAAATGCAAATTTTAAAATATATTAGTATATTTCCACACATTACCTGAATCTTTATCTTTAGCCATCTCTGTCTCGATTCAGTCGAAACTTCCACAACAAGATGCTCATTTAGATTCAGACCGCTCAGTTTGTTCAATCCTGGAGCATTGTGTTCTTTTGTAGTACAGCTCTGCGTTCTCCCCCTCCACACCTCCCTCACAACACCTGAAACTGAATCCTGATTAGAAAGGGTTGTTTTTTTTTCTGCAGTACCTACCAAGCAAGAAATTCAGTACTTGAACAATGTACGGGTGATTTGGGTGAAATCTTCCACCGCAGTTTATTTAGATAAATTACTGTGGAGAAGAGCTTATTTAAAAAGTGATTTTTACTTGAATAAAACAACCAATTATCAACTATGTCGCCTCTCTGGCTGGATGAGTAGATGGTAATTCACATTATAGTTTAAAAAATTGTGTCACATTTCTTCTTATCACTATTTTTTTCCCCTTTGACAGAATCTCCTGGAGAAGTCAGCCGAGAGGGAGACTCGTCAGGAGTACGCTCTGGCGATGATTCAGTGCAAGGTGCTGAAGCAACTGGAGAACCTGGAGCAGCAGAAGTATGATGACGAGGACATCACAGAGGACATTAAGTTCCTGCTGGAAAGGCTGGGAGAGAGTGTGCAAGATCTCAGGTACTCAGAGAACTTCCCATTATTAAATAGGATGCGGTCGCTTAAAGCAAACCATTTTTTTTAAAGTACTTCTGCTGTCAAGAGAGTAAAACTTGATTATACTTTCCTGGAAAAGAGCTACCGTGTGTTTCCATCCTGTCCATGAATAGAGTTCTGTACGGATGCTTTTATTTTTCAAAGACAGGTTTCTTTTTATACTGAATGCCACATCGATTTTTAGTATAGGTGACCTTTGAAGATGCCCCCTCTTGCATTCACTTGAAAGCATCCTGTGGCTTTTTAAGCATTGCTCTTTGCAGGAAAAGGCTCCTCTCCTTCCGTTGTAAAGAAATGTGTAACAATTACAATCCTTGCGCCGTCCTCCTCGCTCGCTGGAAAGAACTCCTGTCCTGAGTGTTTTATTTTTACTTCAACAGCTCATTCGACGAGTACAGCTCTGAACTCAAGTCCGGCCGACTGGAATGGAGTCCTGTGCACAAGTCTGAGAAGTTCTGGCGTGAAAACGCTGTCCGCCTGAATGAGAAGAACTATGAGCTCCTCAAGTAAGATGACACACGATCTGTTGTGGAAAAAGTTTGGTCACTCAGAGTTTAGTAACAGCGATGGGTTAATTTTACAAATATAAAACATGCAGGTACAAGTTAGGTTTTATTTCGAGTGACACATCGGCACCGGAGGAATATATTCTTGTAATAATTGGTCATGTGTATGCATGCGGCAATTGAGTGTGACAATTGAAATCAAAATGGTATTAAGGTTTAATTAAATTTCCATGCTGCCTGAAGGTTCATGTGAATGAAAGCTCAGGAAAATAATTTAGTTTGGAAACTTGTTTGAAAAACGACCAAGTAAACCAGGAAAGCATTTCTAGTTTGCAGAGAACACAGAACACAGTCTGAGCTCTTCTATATTTACCTTCATTTAACACATAATTTAATTACTGACTATTGCATATGTCTTTAAAACCCCATTATAAACTATACTTTACAAATGACAGCACTGGTTGTCAGTAGAACAGATTTTGCAGCCTGTTCAAACGGAGACAGAACATCTTCATTCAGTGTTTTCCCCACTAAACCTAACGAAGATCAATAGAGACGAGGTTGAAAATTTAAGATCCCTTCAACAGCTACTGAAAAGACTCACTCTTACCAGCGTCCTGTTTTATGATTGCACCTGTCAGCATTGTTTTTCTCTCTGTTTATGCACATTCAATATAAGGAATTAGATCAGAGAAGATAAAACATCAATTTGTCATTCCTCTCTCTCTCTCTCTCTCTTTCTGTTGGGCCTATTATCATTCAGGAGGAATCCCGATCTACCCATCTCATTGTCTCACCACTCTCCTCTCTCTGTGAAAAGCTCAGGCATCATTGCAGCTTAAATCACCCTTTCTTTTTTATTAGCCTCTTTCCCCTCATCCTCGTCACAGAATACTTTGTCTCATGCCATCGGATTGAGATCTTTAAACTTTCCCCTTTAAAGCAACATCAACAAAAGACATCCCAAGAGATCTGACCATTCCTTCATCGAACCCTTGACTCTCCTTTCTTCCACAGAATATTGACGAGGCTGCTGGAGGTGTCTGACGATCCTCAGGTCATCGCAGTGGCGGCTCATGACATTGGAGAGTACGTGCGGCATTACCCACGTGGCAAGCGGTAAGGCGTTTTCTGCATACAACAGTTTAAGTCAAAGCTGTAAACTGGGGACCTTAGTAAGTTATTCAAATGGATGCACAGTTGGGCTGCTTTGAATAACAACACTTTAGTTTTTATCCTGAGCATGAAAATCACTTTGTGAATGTGAACACAGTCTTTCCAACAGATGTACCCTTTAATTTGACTTATCACGCCCCAGCTCCAGGACTCTCCATGGTGGCGGTCATAGCTTTAATAAGGGTCACATGAGTAGAAGTTATTTGCCTGAGGAAAACCCTGACAGCAAAATAACAGGGGGAAAAAAAAAACACAACAGGATCATTACGAACTGTGGTGAAAAGAAGTTCAAAGATCTGCGAGCCACTTTCAGACTGAAATGAAGTCAAGAAAAGATATTCCAGCTCTTCACGCTGAGATGAAAGGAAAGGTGGAGGAGTCAGCCAAGTCTCCAGAGAGTTTTATTTTCCTGTGATAGTTCACTAGGAAGAGGCAACCGCTTTTCAGCATCATCAATCACCGGGGCTTATACTCTGCATTTGACCAATTGGTGTTTTATTCCAACACTCTCTGATTGACTTTATGCCATACGATTAAAAACTGCTGGTGCTAATATGGCGCCGATATTGACATGCAGGAAAAAAGAAGCAAGAGGAGAGACTTCAGTTTAGTTGTTAGAGTTTTAAAGGGTTAGTTACAAGCCTCCACAGTGACGCTGCGTAACACCACAATCCTGCAGTCTGCAGAGCAAGCATTTATAGAGTTTTAAATGATGTATGGAGGATCAGCTAATGTTGTTTCTTTTAATAACTTTGTGTCAGTGCATAAGAGTCGGGCTTCAGCTCCCACACTGCAAATGAAACATTACACAATCATACAAGACGATGAGTTCACGTGTTAAATGTCATGCTGACAATAATGTAAGCTAATGTCTAATCTCTTAGCGCTAATGTGAATGTGTTAGCAACTGTTTATTTATTCATTTGCTGGTTCATTATTTCTCCAAATCTCAGTCTCATCCCTTGACTTGTTGAGTTACTTGTTAATGGCGCTATCTCTGAAGTTGTTTCCTGTAACGTTATAGAGATGAGGGAAACCGCTGTAATAGACATTAGACATAATAATCAAGTGTATTTACTTCACTAATGTCCTCGTAAATTCAAGATACTTTATTAGTGCTTTATGAGTTTTCGCTTGTCACTTTACCCCGCCAGATTTCTGAGCCTCCTTTTTACTCTTAAACCTTGGTTCCTACTCTGTCCGTTTTGAGGACATTTGTCATTTTTTTCATCTTTACTTTAAGCTGACAGTCACATTTTTAAAGATTGGGGCATCAAATTTGGGGAGAGTTCTTATTTTTCTTCTCATTTAACAAAAAATTTGTTGCTGCATTTTAGCTCCATCCACCCTCCTTTGTCCGCAAAACGGACAATAGACTTCCATTAAAAACACCTTTTTTGACCGTGTGCTTATGGCACCATAACAACATATTTCAACCTTTTTTTCACAGTCACTCGATCACCAGGGCTCTAAATTTTACTTTCGGACAGTGATACAATAGATTGAGCTAGCGCATAATTTTAACCCCTTCGACGCCGCGCATGCAAGTCCTCATTCATGGACTGAGCGCTGATTCATCCACCAAACATCATCAGAATTGAATGAAACTTTACGTGCCACTAGATAAGGATGCCTAAAAGTGGGCTACATGTGTAAGGAAAAGTTTGTGTGCTCCTGCGTGTATGCACTGGTGCAAATCTGCATCCACGTTTATAACCGGGCGTGCTGTGAGCAGAGTTTTTACATTTGAAAACGCGACATCCAAGTCCTGCAGTGAGGGACAAAGAGAGGAGGACAATTGGACAATTGGGTGCAAGTGGATTGACATGCATGAGGATGCACAGGTCCTTTTGATCATTAGGTGAGAATATATTGCATCTCAAATATGCAGTTGATTTTTAACTGCAACATCAAAAAATTATTTTTTTATAAAGTTTATCTGCATGTCCGTTTTGGGGACAAAGTAGGCTGGATGGATCTTAAAATTAACTGGAACCAAAGGTTAAAAAAGGGTTTGACTGAGATGGAGAATGTTATATATTCTTTTATGTATGGGTGAGCAATATATCAGTTATCCCAGATCTGCTGTTTCATGATCTAATAATTGTGATTATGATATAAAAATTATATTCTATCATACTGTGACTCGCCCAGGGACAACCACTCCTAAGTAATGATATGGTTGCAACATCAGAGTGCAGTCAACAAACCAGCTGCTACTGTTTGCTGCTTATCATGTCAACCTGCTCTTGAGTCTGTGATCCGTGCCCCCGCTCCTTGTTGAACCCTCGCTGGATTCAAGCTTGGCCACGAAGGAGAAGAATAAACAAGAACCCACAAAAAAGACATCATGCATTCATTTCAGAGCTCTTGTGGAGCAACAGTTTTGATAAAATGTTTTTCTTCTGTGTCATGAATGGTCTGAAAATTTTCAAAAACACTCTTCTGGTCTTGGCTTGCCCCCATTTTTAATACAAATGTAGAAAAAGCGGACCTTGTCCTGTAAAAGCCTGTGGGCTCTTTTCATCCCAAACAATAACTCCACGTCAGATCCCATAAAAAACAAAAAACAAACCCAAAGTGGTGTGAAACTTTTGTTCTCCTTTGCCTCATTGTTGTGAACATCCATTTGTTCCATCCTGTGAAAATTTCTGATCAATAAGCAACCATGCCCCTCACAATGTCTCAAAACTGGATGTGTAATCTACCTTTACAAATCATTTTGAGTGATCAGCGGATGTTGATGCGCTCCATTAGAGCATTTTCACCATTTATATTGATATCATTATCCGTATCCACCAAAATGAGTTTGAAAAATCTGGAAAAAAAACGATATTTCTGCTCGTTTTGTCAGTTCAGGGTGGGATTTATTTTAAGTGTTGTCTCCCCTGGTTTACCTCAGTGAATCTGTGACAGCAGCTTTACTCTCCCTAAAGTTGCTTTCCTTTGGCTACATCATGTACTGTACCATCAGGTGCATTATGCGGGTCCAATTTTGCCTGCACAGCACCACCACCTCTTACGGGGGCCGGCGAGCTTTCATCAGATATTCAGAAATTTTCAGTTCGGGCTGGATGCAATTACCTGCTGAGCCACTGAATGACCTGAATGTGGAAATAATACCCGTTTCCCGCATGTTTACAGGCTATTTTTCATTCTTTCCCTCTTATTCCCCCTATTTCAGAGTGATTGAGCAGCTGGGTGGAAAACAACTTGTGATGAATCATATGCACCACGAGGACCAGCTCGTTCGCTACAACGCCCTGCTGGCTGTGCAGAAGCTCATGGTCCACAACTGGTATGATGCACTCATGTTTTATATTCTGCCCCACTAACCAAATCGGTCCAATACATCAATTTAAAAAACAATTTATCACAAACTGGAAGCTCCAATGAGAAAGGAGCTAAGGTTTTGTATGCGCATCCTTCACATTTGCATACAAATTATGAAAAGACCCTTCACGGGTACTTTCATTTATTTTTCTCTGATTAGACGTCTTCTTACATGAAAGGGGCCGAGCTGTGTTGGATGCTATGTCAAGTGAAAGGATTCTGGGCTCTGATAAGAAAGTCGAAAGTTGAATTTTCTTCTAAAAGACATAACTCAGACTTAAACTGCACTCTCCTCAAATAACCCCTGCACCAAGTCGTAACAAAACCGCTCCTGTCAAAACGTACCAGCTTTCATCCTTTTGTACCAAAATCTAGAGAAAAGCAACTATTTTATCCGGGTTTTTTTTTTTTTTTTTTTCTTATAGACAGACCCTGCAAGCTTTCTTCACTTTGACACAACCTGTTATTGGCTGTCTGATACAGCAGCTCAAACTGATCCAGTCTTTTGTTTGTTTGTTTGTTTGTTGAAGTGAATTTGAGTTTGCAGCTCATTCAACCAAAACATTTCAAAGTAAGGCTGAGCTTAGATTCCCCCCGACACTTTACATACGCATTCATTTGACATTTACTTTTCACATGCTGTTTAATCCCACTGTTCTTTCTCCAAGTATACAACTCTTCATGTAGATTTATTTTGACTGCTTGGGTTTTATTATTCTTTTAACAATACACCCAGCTGAGACAGGATTTCAAGAGCGCCGTGATTTGGACAAAGAAACCAGAAAGTAAAAGCTGAGACATGATTGAGTATGATAGACTGAAAAATAGAACGTCTTGATGGAGGGTTTTTAGGGCTCTGGATACAAAAGCTGGTTTAGGTAACACTTTACTTGATCGCCTATCTCTATAATGCATTATAAATACATTATAGCAATGTATAACTATAGTTATAAACACTCATGAATTATCATAATGCTTTATAGCAATAATCATACATTATAAAGCATTTTATCACGGTATTATAATGTGTTGTAACTGTTAATAACTAACTGGCAATGCCCACATAGATAATGCATTATACGTATATTTATGATGTGTTATAATTTGCTTATAAACTTGTAAATAACTATCATTATAAACACTCATTAATTATCATAAGGCTTTATAACAATAAGAATAACACATTATAATACCTGACCTTGTAAGTCATAATAAAATGCTTTTTAATGTGTTATGATTATTGCTATAAAGCATTATGATCATTTATGAGTGTTTATAACTATAGTTACATAGTGCTATAACATGATTATAACGTATTATACATATTTTTATAATGCGATATAGAGATAGGCGTCAAGTAGAGTGTTAACCTGGTTTGCAATGTCCAAAAAAATATAATTCAAAATTAAGAATTAAATAAATGAGGGATTTATTTGTTACACAGTCCTTTAAGTTAATGAAAGGATTGTGTTATAAGGATTTACAGGTATTAATTAAAGTAAATAGTAGGGCCCGACCAATATGGATTTAATTTAATATTATTAGGGGGGGGAATCCGATTAATCGGCCGATTTTTAAAAAATTTTTATTGTTATAAAAAAATACATATATACTGTAGATAGACTGTAGGCTACTGCTCTTCACGCCGACAGGAAGACTGACTGATCAAACTCGGACCAGGAAAGCATTTTCAGCTTCCCCCCGCCCCTCGGTGCCTCTGCGTCTTAACTCACGTTACACAGTTCCGGTCCGGTCTCATCTGGAGACATGCAGCTGCCTCAGTAAGAGAAGTAGCTCGATCATGTAATGTGTACTTTTGTTACCTCCACCAAGAAGGTTATGTTTTCGGTAGCGTAGCGATAAATCGGTCAGGCCCTAGTAATAGAGGATAATTCGATCACTGCATGTGTTGATTGCATCTTCTGAGAAAAAAAATAGTGACGAATCTGACTTTCCCACCATCTTTTTGTGATTTTATTTCTACTTGCTGCTTCAAAACACACACAAAAAAATGTATTTTGTGTTGCTGCCATCATCTAAAACACATTCTGCTCTACTGAAGAGTTAATACATTCACTGTAGCACAAAAGCCTTTCAGTGTGGCGCTGTTAAAAAAAAGAGAGGGGCTGATGGTGACTATCATGAACTGGTCAGGATCAGCCTCCTGTGATAGTGGTCTTTTAAATGTCAGGGATGGCATCCAACACCTGCTTTTAACATGTTCCTATTACACGGACATGGATGTTATCAGAGCCTGCAGCTTTACTCATATCGCTCTCAGCAGGACCCCTCCATCATCGGAGGCTGAAGTCTGTGATGTTATGGATCACTTAGTCCACATCTTCTCTCCTGTTGGGATTGGGATCTCACTCCCATCTCTCCTGGTGAATCATCTTTGACTCCATCAGGAGAGCTATAAATCACATTCGACTTCCTCATCACCTAAAAGAGACGCTCCTTTTCCAGTCCTTTCATCCCGGTCTGGGAATTACTTCATTTACTGCGTTTTTCTCCCTTGAGATTGACGCGCTTTTCTTGGACGGAACAGTCTTTCATCATGTGCCAGTAAAACTGTCAAAGTTTTAGATATTCTTCTGAAAAACCACGACTCTAAAATGATACCAATCTCCATTATTGTTATCATTTTTACCAAAGACTCTCAAATAAAAAGATCTGATTTCATTTTAGAAAATTAAATGGAAAAGAGAGGGAGAGGCAGCGGTAGAGCGACATAAAGACCAAGTGAATAGAACAAGCATGAGCGAAAACAAAGCAGAGAAACAGTGAAATGAGTCCTTAAAAAAGTCCAAACTACTGCTACACCACCTCGCAGAAAGGTTAGTTAAGATGGAGCCACCACCATGTTTCCTCCTGCCCACTGTGTTTGCCTCTGCTCTGCCCTTCACACCTGCAGCTCTCATACAACACCAGAGCGAGTGTTAAAACGCTGACGTGTTTCAAGGTCCATATGGCGTCTTATAAGGATGCACAAGTTACATGTATTCCCCTCACGTACAGAGAGAGACACCAATGGCCCCCCGCTGGTCCTCTTACAGTTTCAGGTGTTTCAGAGGCATGCAGACTTTGTACAAGGGACTTTTTACCACAGCGCAATAACTGATGGTAGAAGATGTCCAGAGTAGTAAGAGGAGAGCACGCTGTCTGCAAATCAGGAATACATTCATCAGGAATATACAGGACGATAACCTATGATTCGCATTTAAGCAACTAAAAACCTCTTGAAAAACTGTGTGTCACTTCTTTATTACGAAAGAGGACTAGGACCACAAGAAGAGAAAAAATGTACAGGAGGAAGATCTTTTTAATTTCTGTTTTGGGGTTAAAGTAGAAAAGTAGAAAGTCAAAATAGAGAAAATTAAGATTTCGAGATTAAAGTTCTCCAAGTTTGTCTGTTTTTTTTCTTCTGTAGAGTCGTAATCTTCGGCTCAGTCTTTTCAGAGTCCGGATACTTATGACCGCACTGTGTTTGTGTGCTAAAAGAGCAACGATTATCTTGTTACTAAATCCACTTCTTAAGTACGGCTTTACAAACTGTTCTACGAGGACATGTTGTCGAGTGACGAGCGACAATGTTGTTGATTCATTATCATTAATCTCAACATTACGAACATCATGAAATTTCATCTTTATTTGTGTCGACTTTAATCTTGTAATTCCGACTCTAATCTCGAAATTTCGTACTTTGCCTAAATTTTGATGCTAATACTCACTAAATGAAATGCCAGATTCCACTTATATAAAAGTATTTTCATGCGTGTCATGAAAAAAAGAATTGACTCAATCTTATTTACTCCTTACACTCAATCACAGACCACAGATTAAACAGATGATTCGGTCTTTTCAAGCTTGTATATTACATCCTTTAAAGCCTTCACCTGCTTGTTATCGCTCGTGCGCGCTCATGATCACTCCAGTCTCTCCCTCGGCATGTTTCGATCTGTCACACACCGAGACACACACCTGCTCCTCTCCCTGCTCTCCTCTGTCCACCTGTGGCTGCCTGATAGTTTGTAGTGCAGTTTCACAACATGTTGAAGATACAGCAGTAATTCATCACGCTCTGCTGTTAAGGAAGAGAGGTACGGTGTGCTTTATTCAACCTATAGGACGTTATGGGGCAACACATAACTGTTATCTTATTTATCATATTCTGTGATTTTGAGGGGACAAAATAGTAATTAAAACTAATATCCGATTAATCGCCCAGCTCTCTGCAATGGTAAACAAATATCTGTATCCCTTGATTTTAACAGTGACACAGATCTGCTCTTGCCTCATGTATCAACACATTAGATATTAGACCTTAACCATTATTAATTATTACGATCAGATGTTCTTTTATACAGACAGGTTTTTATTTACCTTGCTGACATGTTTCGACGTGCTGGCAGCAGTCTTCCTCAGAGCGCCACGTGATGGTTGTGTGACGCGTCCTAAAACAGCTGATGTTTCTGAAGGCGTGACCTTTCCATCATATGACACCCTGAGGAAGACTGCTGCCAGCATGTCGAAACATGTCAGCAAGGTAAATAAAAAACCTGTGTCCGTATAAAAGAACATCTGATTGTAATTTATCAAAAAAGACACAATGAACCTAATCCATTATTAATCATTTTAAGAATAACTTAAAATAAGTTAGTAGGGGTGGAAATCACAAGTGGCCCCACAATACGATATTATCACGATACTTGAGCCAAGATACGATATTGCGATTTTTAACATTTTGCAATACAGTGATTATTGCAATACCATATATTGCAATTTATACAATTTTTCAACTGTTTAGCTAATTTAGTATTTGTCTTTCCTTTATGTTTGTCTTATTTACACTGTATTTCATTTTCATATTGCACATGTTAAAATCCTATATATTAGATTTTTTTTTTTTTTTTAGATTAGTTTATTTAAAAGGGGGACAGCGCAATTTCATAAAACACATGATTACACATGGTCAAAAAAAGCCAGAATTAGCCATAAGGCTAGTTTTCATCTGTAGTCCCCTGGCCATGATGTGAAAAAGGCAGTAAAATTACAATTTAAAAAAGAAGAAAAGAAAAGAGAAAAAAAAAATACAACGCAATACATGTACACTATAATACAAAATAAAACACTCACTATACAATTAAGAAAAAATACATCACAACATAATTTATCATAATATCAAAACATCACAACAGGCCTATCTTTTAGCGATATTTGTTGTACTAACTTTCTCTTGCTCTATGATGTCGCAGTTGATTTTATTTTCTATTATCATAGATCTGACCTTATATTATTATTATATTTACTGTTGTTTGTTTTTTTAACGTTGTTTGTTTTTATCTTTTTGTAAAGCACCTTGTGTTGCAGCTTAAATGCATGAAAGGTGCTACATAAATAAAGTTTGATTTGATTTGATTTATTAGCAATTAATTTGAAAAGTCAATACTTGGTTAATAAGACGATACGATATATCACCAGACAAAATATCGCGATACAATGCTGTATTGATTTTTTCTCCCGCCCCTATAAGTTAGGAGGGTAGGGTTCAATAAAAGAAGACATTTTTGGAGGATGAAATGCCTCAGTATCAAAGATAGTTAAGTTAAAAAGTCCCTGTGATAAAATTGTTGGTTTTGTAGGTTTGGGGTGGTGGCATGAATTTCAGTTTATTTCATATAACCAGGTAAAATCTCATCAAACATCAAACTTTACCTAAAGGAGAGGTACGAACAAAACTTGCCAACAGACCGTAACCTGAACAGAACCCTTGCGTTATTAACACACGTCTTCATAAAGGGGCATGATGTTGGCGTGTTGCTTATGAAAGAGCATATTGTTTTTCACAGCTTGTTTCTTAGCAGCCTTTTCCATTTATAACTTCTCGAGACATTGATCTTTTCTTACGTCTTCAACATTGACTCTATGAGTTTTGATTCGCCCACGCATGTAACCAACTGAGCTTCAGGTGATGATGTGCTGTACTCTGTTTACAACAAAAGATTAGAAAGAGACAATAGTGTAAATACAGGAGCGGTTGGAGCTGACAGTTTGTTGATTTTGATTGGACGAGGAGGACCAGGCGGGGTCACGGTTGTTTAACTGCTCTCGGATGAATGAGTACCGCCGCTGCAGAATAAAAACACACTTTCGTTATTGCTTATCGATTGAACCTCTTGGACGATTCATTCAATTTGTACTGAGGATCATATCGAGGATCTTCTCAAAGAAAACCACCGAGTCCCCATTGAGTTGCTTGCGTCACCATCGTTCCTCGCTTGCTTGTGAAGGATCTCTCGTCCCTAACTACTAAAAGCCCTCGTTACCGTGACAACAGCCCAGATGAACATGTAGAAATGTTACTTATCGTGCCCTTTGGTCTACTTTGAAAAGCCTTTTTTCACGACAGGTTTGTAGAACTTGAATAACTTGCGAAAGATCATCGTTCATGCCTTTCAGCTTCATATAGTAGATCGTTTTTGGCTGTGTAAGTCCTGGAGCTGCTGAGAGTCGCTCTGTCCTTGCGCCGTTTGGCCCCTGAGAGACAGTCCTTTCAGCTAAGGCCTGGAGTTTAATGATATATCATTAGATCGCAGTTCAAACACAAGCCTGGCTATTTGGCTCAGCAGAATACCCAAACGTCGATTAAACATCATCACATACAACTTTGAAATCGCTGGAGGGGGGGAGCGGAAGAATGGATATCGACCTTGCTGAGAGTCTCATGAAACAAAATGTCTCTGAAACTCGTGTTATCCTCAGTGGTCTTCATTTTACCGCTGTTATCACTGATTAGAGGGTCCGTTTTGTCTTTTTCCAGAGCCCATCTATCCTCTTTGTATTTTGATTGTAACACCAGAGTGAAGAACTTTCAGAAGAGACTGAAAGATGTTCAACTTGTGAGGTTAAGAGAACAAAAGTAGAACTTGAGTATCAGTGTAAGAGACATTGTTACGGCAATAATCCTAAAATCTGGAGCAGAAATGACTCCTGCTACCACCTGTTTTTTCTATTTTCTCGTTTTTTTTAAAACTTCTGCTCTTAGCTTGCTGTGTTGTTGTAATTGGTTTTATCAGCAGCTGCAGGTGTGAGCAGGAAACATCCTTACTGCAGAGTTTTGATTTCATCCTCCCAATTATCACCAGCTGCCTTTTGCAAGAATCAAGCAACACTTAGTATTAACATATAGTTTCTGTTTGAGGTCCAGCCAAATGTTATCAAACAATATGAATCTAACAAAGAACTGTAAAAAGTGAAATTATTTCTGTATGTTTTCTTTCATTTCTTGCTGTTTTAAATCTTCTGCTCTTAGCTTGCTGTTGTAATTAGTTTTATCAGCAGCTGCAGGTGTGAGCAGAAAACATCCTTACTGCAGAATTTTGATTTCATCCTCCCAATTATCACCAGCTGCCTTTTACAAGAATCAAGCAACACTTAGTATTAACATATAGTTTCTGTTTGAGGTCCAGCCAAATGTTATCCCCAACAATCCCCCAAAAAGATGTATTTTAATCCCCTTAAAAATCTTCATTTCTTCATTAAACTGTGAATAAGTTGTGGTGGTTATCTAAGGATACAGGGTATGAGAAAACTAAGTGCAAAATTCCATTTCTGAATATTTCTGCATTCAAATCGCTGTGAACCTCTGGCGGACCCGAACACCAGGCTCAGACACAGTGAGATTTACTGCGTTAGCGCTCTACATGTTCATATGGCATTTTTTCTACAAGAGAGGGTTAGGGCCACAAGAAGAGAAAAAAAATTAATTACACAAGCAATTTTGGGCTGCAAGCTAACGCGAAGAGAAGTGTGCAGAGCAGCGCTGTCTCCGCCTACGACTCAGAGGCGAATTGCTAATGAGCTACTGGAGCTCTGCAGAAGAAAAGACCTTGAAAATGACACAGGTAACATGATTTTGGCTAAAAACTTCATAATCACAATTTAAAGACCACTGAGAACACTTGATCGAGGGTCGGGGTGGGACTTTAAAGGAAGCGCAGGTTTTCCCATATGGGTTGAGTTTAAGAATACTTAATTGGAAGCTTGAAATCTTCAGGTATGGATGCAGACTCAAGGCTCTTAAATCATTGTGTATTTCAGCTGGATCTGTCTATAATACTTGACTCTTCATCGAGATAACCAACGATGAGATACGGAGAGCTAAAGTGCGGGCATGGAGGCTCTGTGTGAAGATGATTAATGGTTGGGATTTGAAGAGGAAGAGACCTGAGATAAAAATAGAAACACACACAAAAATAATAATAATTTCATCCCTGTGAGTCAGAAAAGGTTGTTTTGCAGCCTCCAGTGACCCCTGCATTAACTCACTGCTGTGAATCATAATAAGTGCAAACATAGTATTATAATTACACCTCACAAAGAGATCCTCCTCGGTTTGTTTCCATGCAGAAAGATCCACACAGGTTTTATGTATTAGCACTCACCGGTGTGGAGTTTTGATTTCTAAAGAGGGTCGTTTTTTTTATCATGGTAGCCTTTTACATTTAAAGGTTTGAGAGAGGAGTTAGATTTTTTTTAAGATAAGTGTCATAGTAACTCATGTGTAAATGTTACCACCAAAAAAAAAAAAACCTGAAGGTCTATGTGACCTTTCAAAATAATGACGATATATCTCAACTCCCCTGGACGAACATCATGTCTGGGACAGGATTACCTGGCGAAGATGAGAGACCGAAAGAAATGAAGTCAGATAAAATAACAAGTGCTCGGTAATATTAAGAGATAATTAAGTTCACCTCAGTTTCACCGGACTGAAATGAAAATTCAGTTTATTAAAGGAATAAATCTTCACTTTTGTGAAGCTACAACACAGGATTCATGTCACTCTTCTGTCTGTCTCTTGAAGATAACGAAGATGGTTATCCTCGCATTAATACGGGAAATTATAAAACCGAAAAGTTTGACCCTCAGTAACTTCTTGTGAAGGAAACCACAAACCCAGCACCACCAAAATTGACCCCTCTTGTTATTTTTGAGCTTCTTTGTGCGTGTCCAGGTCTGATTTCTTGTGCTTTGTTTCACAGGGAGTACTTGGGGAGACAGCTCCAGTCCACCGACCAGCAGCAGGCTCCAGCTGTGGCGGCTCGAAGCTGAACTGTTACCGTGCACGCGTGGATGAGTGTGTATTGTCCGAATAGTGGTCTTCATTCTCTGTAATGACTCGAAACTCAGAAACGCTGTAGTTTCCCTCCTCCACCTTCTCCCCGGATGATCCTCGATGTGTTTTGATTTGACCGTCGTGATTCGTGTCGTGCCCTCGGCTCAGTGATGTGTGGTGATTGAAGTCGCACTTTATGTCTGTGATAATGTACAAAACTGCAAGTTATTTAAGTCTTAACTGTAAAACATTGTGTGTAACCCAATAAAGATGCTTGTCTACGGTGCTCCTGTGTGGCCTCAACGTTATTGGGGTTACAAACACAGAAAACCAGATAATTTCAGTCTTCATTTCGTTTAATTTTCTCGCAACGCAACCGCACCGCAAATGTCAAGGCCGAGCAGCGACATGCGGTTTGAAGTGTTTTGTTGACATGTTGACTCTCATTTGCTCTCAGGCTCAGGTTGAATGTAACCTTCATGTTGATTAATCTCTATTCAGACCAGAATCTGTGCCTGTAATGGAGAACTAAAAATAGCCAATGAATGAAATCAAAGAAACTATTTCCCTGTAATGGTTTCCGTGCTATTTCTGAACTGAAAAGCATATACTGACATTTTTTTTTAATAATGTTCATTTTCAAATACGCCATCAGTAATGCAAATCACCGTGTTGGATGTGCAACAGCATGGTTCCTACAGAGAAATCAATTAACTCAGAGATTGTATCAGAGAGAGATAGATGTTGGTGTCCACTGGTGGAGCGGACTGCATTTTAATGTCGCTGCTCAGCCTCAAATTCAGCCCGGTTTATTCGTTTGGATGTTCACAGTTATTGAGGTCACTTCTATCTGATGTGGCGCTGCACTGTTTTTTTCCCCACTCAGAGATGTGTCCTCAAAACACCTTTAAAAAAAAAAAGTTCTATTAAACTAGACTTTCTTTATACAGTACTTTTCCTGGAAGGGGGTGAAGGTGCTTCACAGATAAAGAGAAGAAAAACAGCACAAAAAGAACAGCAGTCGGAGGAAAATGCACCGATAAGAACAACAAGAGAACATAAAAAGAGTCTGTAATGTTATATTCCAGCCACTTTAGATCAGAATCCAGCGAGTTTTTACAAAGTTTAAAGAAGGATCAAATAGTGCCTGTCAAAGACGAAGAAGTGGAAGTTGATAAATGAAAATATGTATTTGAAAAAAAAGACACTGAAAGCAGCCAGATGTGGCTGTGTGATTACAAAAGAAAGTGTAGAGAGTGTTGGCAGCTCTCATTTAGAGACTATCAGAACAGCAGCTTATTGCAGATCGTGGTCAACTTGACGGTTACTGACCGTCTTTGTCACATTTGGCATCTTTCTGGAAAACTGCAGTGAGCAACAGCAAGATCAGCAAGTTTTCATCTGTTTATTGTTTAGTGTTTTGGACTTTATAAGACAGAATAAAGTCAATTGGACTTTTGCCACGTTTCTAACATGAACAATTCTTTCCACTCTTCTCCAATCTTTTTTTTTGTTTGTTTGTTTTTCAATCATGATTCAGTCTCTCCGGTCTCATCCAGCTCCCATCTTGTTTGATTGCAGACAAAACAACACTGCAGTCAAAATATAGTGTTTCTGAATGCAAAGTGCAGTCATTTCAAAAAGGACAACACTTTTTTAATACGAGCACATTATAGTTTCTACTTATGTCTGATGACTATGCAAAAGTTTCCAGATTGGGAAAATATAACTTTTTTTATTGTCCCCAAGCAGCTGCACTGCAGAGCCAAAACCTTCGGACCTTAACTCGTTATTTATTACCTCTATCTACAATCTCCCCCAAAATTACACTGACCCATTTGTTGTGGATGAGTGGCTCTTTAAGGGGAACTATCCTGGACTCTCTTATTCATTCAGCAGCTTATTTTTCAGAAGGCGATGTGTTTTTGCCGTGTGCTCCATCAGAATTCAAATTAAATCGGAGGCGTTTGACCTTTATTCACCTCACCTTGACTGTGCAAATGCTTTCCTGACTGTTCCTGTAGTACTTCAGTTTGTTCAGTTCGCAAGGTGGAGGCGGATGCAGGATGTAAACACTCCGGTTCTTAAGCTCACAGGAGGAGGAAACAGGTGTTAAAATTCATCTTTAATAGCAGGATGTGAACAATCAAGTTGAACACCGTTCTCTAATCAACAGTTTGAGCCTGTCAAAGTAAAGAGGTTTGAAAGGAAGGCCATGGGTGTAATTACTCTCCTTCTTTTCGCTTAAATACTCAAAATGACTCCCCCTTTGTTAACTTGACTCAGCTCCCCTGACTCCTGCATGAATTTCTTAACAGAGGAAGAAAAATAGAAATAAAAAACTTTGTACACTCTTAACATGGACCAGTACGAACGAGGATGAGGGCCACAAGAAGAGAAAAAAAAACAACAGTGGGGGGATTTTTCTATTTTACATCTCAAGGTTAAAGTCGAAATTTCGACTTCATTCATGTCGATTTTAATCTCAAAGTTAAAATTTAATCCCAAAATTTTAATTATTTTAATCTCGAAATTTCTACTTTAATCTCAAGATTTGAATTTTTAATCTTGAAATTTTGACTCCATTCATATAATGCCGATTTTTCAATCTCGAAATTTCAACTTCGATCTTGAAGATTAAGATTTCAAGATTGAAGTCAAAATTTTACAAAATCAAAATGAAAAAAGTTGAAATTTCGAGATTAAAGGCGGAATTTTATAAAGTCAAAATGAAAAGTCAAAATTTTTGAGATTCAAGTTGGAATTTTGAGAATTCAAAAATCAAAATTACGTGAATAAAGTCAAAATTTCAAGATTAAAAAGATTGTGATAAAATAATAAGATTAAAGATGTAATAAAGTAATTACTAACGAGAATAAAGTCCAAATTTCGTGATTAAAGTCGGAATTTTGCGATTTAAAAAAAATCAAAATTACGTGAATAAAGTCAAAATTTCAAGATTAAAAAAGTTGTGATAAAATAATTAATAACAAGATTAAATTTGTAATAAAGTAATTACTAACGGGAATAAAGTCCAAATTTCGTGATTAAAGTCGGAATTTTGAGATTTAAAAAAATCCAAATTACGTAAATAAAGTCAAAATTTTGAGATTTAAAAAGTTGTAATAAAGTAATTACTTACGGGAAAAAAGTCCTTATATTCTAACCTGCTGTTTAAGATGACAGTTGTTGAAATGAAAGCCATGGAGCATTTCGTAAAAATGTACTTCAATATCGGTTTCTCAAACAAGCAGATACTTCATCTTTTGGCACATCAGCACCACATTATCATAAGTCTCAAAATGATTTTACTTCGACTTTATTCCCGTAAGTAATGACTTTAATCTCGAAGTGTTATTCTTTTTTTATTAATGTGGCACTAATACTCCACCGTAGATCAGGGAGCTCGGCAAAGTTGGGAAACTTTCCACAAAGTCGTCCTATAACAGCCCTGCTACTATACCGCCTTTGTATTTCTACACTAAATCACACAACAGCATGATGTTGTTTTCCTCCTATACAGCACTGCAGAAACTAAATAAAGAGCACAAAGCCTCACATATACAAAAGACTACTGCTGTTCCTCTCAGCTGTTCCCGGTATAACATTAACATCGCCTCTGTTACTGCCTTGGACAAAGGCAGGGAAACTTTGCAGCACTTTTATGCCTCTGTGTCTTTTATATTCAAGATTCAAGGCTCCACAGAGGGCTTGATTCAGACCAACACTGTTAAAGGTTGCAGGGAAGGAAGCTAAAGAGAAGGGACATAATTAGCTGTAATGCAATTATGGATCCTTACAGCAGTGATGTGGCTCTAATCAGCCTCTTTAAACAGATATCTATATGCAAATGCAGCGAGTAGATCTGCTACTCATCTTATATCCAACTCTCCAACTCCATTCTTGCATGTCAGATTTTTCGATGTGCTGTGAAGGATGGCCACTGCAAAGTAAGAAATAATGATCATTCACTACGGATGAACAGGAAGTTCTGCAAAGTTGACTCACCATGAGAGGCTTTTACTTAGTTTGATGGTAGCGTGTGGGGGTTACACATGAATTCTTACCAACAGAGTGTTAAAAAATGTTTAATTTCATGGATGGATAGCAGTTATATCAAAGTAGGTATCAAGAATAGTGACATGAATCTGTATCTGGGGTAACTTCTAACCCGCAGAAGAAGCATGTTTGGTTTAAAAAATCTGCGGGTGGAAGAAGGACTGCAGTGTTTGTTCAAAGTCTGATAATGAGCCTCAAGGGGGTGTCACTGAAGTCAGCCAAAGGGCGGCAATGCCCTGAATCTGATTAGTCATCCGGAAAAAACCTAAACTCGGCTCCTGTTTTAGTGTTTTATGGTTTGTTTTTAGTTATTTGTTTCTATGTTTTTTAATTAGTTTTTAAAAACATTGAAACTATATTTTATTTTTTTTTGTAACCCTTTTGTATTGCGCGTGCTCTGCCGTGTGGCGATGCTTCTGATGGTGAAAAAGATTTGAGGTATTCCCCAACTTTGTGGGAACATGTACTCGACAATATTTGCAGTGCACATTACTCTGCCAGTGTTGTCGACGATGTCGGCTTCATGTGTTAAAGTGCTACGGTTGTGTGTAACTGCAGCCTGATACTACCATAGACTGTATATAAGATGGACAGCCTGGTTCCGCCTTCCGCCTGTATATGGATTTGAAGCCAAAAAGCTCTCGGTAATTCCGGGTTTTTCTCCACTTCCTTGAAACCAGAGCTGCGCAGTAGCGATGTACACAGACGTTTTTGGCTGGGCGGGAGACTCGTCGCGACCAAGAATAAGTAAGTTCCACTTCTCCTAATATAATGTGAAATGTGTCAGCGGTCATGTCACATGTCGGTTAACACAGTTTACTGCAGAACAACTCATTTTTCCAATGCAACAAAAGAGAAAAATGATGGAAAAATTTAATCCTCTTCTCCGCTAGCAAACCCGATTGATCTTGACGATGGGGGGTTTATGACTTGTACTGCAGCCAGGCTCTAGGGGGTGCTGTCCTTGGAGTGGCTTCACCCGGCGAGGAGACAGACAGCGTCCATCTTATATACAGTCTATGGATACTACACAGTTGTTTGCTACTTGGTTCTAATCCAGCACATGATTAGTTCAGTGTAAAGCAAGTCCAGAGAAACTCCCCTTTTCATTTGCTACTCCTATAGTCTAACAAAACATGTCAGAATGCCGGCTAACGAAAAGCATGTTGACCATGTTTCATATCAATATCGAGGGAAGTTAATTTTTGACATATATCATTATCATTTTATCGCCCAGCCCTAATTTCTTCTCATTCTCATTCAGTCAGAGTGAGATCTGCCAAATCAGAAATCATTTCCCCCTGCTGTACTTGTATAAACAGACAGAAGGCCATGCCTACAGCAGCGTACCCCAGAGTAAACTGCTTCCAGATGCCTACAGGGCTTCAGTGCTGCTGTCAAACCTTATAAAGAGGAAAAAACATGTTTTTTTTTTGACGCTCTGAATCCTTTTGCAGATTCCACACCAACACACTCACTCCGACTTTGAATGTCCAAACACAACTAAACAGAGGACTTTCAATGTCACAGAGAGAGAGGAAAAAACGAGTCCTCCTCTTTTTTTCTGAGTATCACTTCTTAACCTTGATAGATAGAGAGTGCATGCACAATATCCACACCTACAGTCTGTCGATCATGTAACTGTCCTTCAAAATTCTCCGCGGGCATTCAAATCAGGCTTCAATCTCTCGAACTGCGCTGCACTCAGGCCTCCAGCTTTGATGTTTAAAAGGTCTTGAGCGCTGGGATGTACACAGAGTCAATATTTATGTAGAGGCTCACTGCCTCTGGCTGCAGCTGCCGGGCTCTGCTTTGCCCCCCTGAGCAGTATTTGCAGTGCACTGGCTCTCTGAACTCCATAGAGAGAGGCTTACCTGCAAAAACCCAGTGAACCCTGGACCCTGAAACAGATCGTTTTTCTCCCCTTTCCTCCTTTTTTTTCTAAAAATGCCACCCACGATTGTCATTCAGAGTCACAGAAGGGGGTAAACTGGCTGTTTGTGTGCATATTAAGTCTGTGAGGTTTACTCGTCCCAACTTTTCATCCTCTGGAAGTGTGCTCGGTCTGGGATGTGCTTGTTAGAAGACAGGGTTTGTGCTCGGCTCTGAGTTGTTTGTGTTTAACGTCCTCATCTGTCCTGCTCGGTGGACTTTTATATGAGATCACACCGAGGAGTATTGTTGCCCCGCTTCATCGATCAAATCCCTTTGCTCTTGTAACCACAGGTCAGAGACTGTCTGTTTCTATGGCGACAATCAAAACAAATCCCTGCCTACAGCCGCGCGGCTTAAAGCTCTATTCAATGCAGCATTCAAGGAGAACCACAAATACCAGAGTGTTTACAGCTCATCCTCTCGTAGCATATGGCACCTGTGTGTGTGTTACCTCATGCTGAGATAGGAACTGTTTGATATGGACACTAGAGCAAGCCGATTACAAATGTTTAAGTGCCGGATTTCATGCAGGTGCACAATGATAGTTTTCCTTCTGGGCCCCGAGTGCGATGAAAGTGCCGTCGTATGTGTCCAGACTGTTAAAACACATCCTCTTAAACCTGGTTTATGACTGTTGTTCCTGCAGTGTTTTAAAGTCATGGTTATTGTTGCTCTTTGTCAAACCTACAGGAGGATTTCAAACCTCATGCAACCCCTGAGAGGGGCCTTTTTTTCTTATGGTTTCAATTCAAAACGCTCATTATCTACTGAAAACCGAACCATGATTATTCTGTCAGACCTTAAGGAAATACTTACACCAATTTCTCAAATTGATAATCAAAGGGATTCAAACTTTTTAAAGGGACATTCCGGCATAAAATTAACACACCGTAACACTTTCTAACAACGTTTTTGTTGTTGCTGTTGCTATTGTAGGTAGTTATTAACAGGAAACGTCACCTCAAGTATTTGTTCCCCCCTTAAATTGGTTTTAAGTCATTTTCTTCGACACAATATGACCTTCTGGAGCTTTTATTTTGGCACTTCCGGTTTCCGACCGTGAATTTGCATATTAGCTAAATATTTAGTTTCGCCCAACACATTTAGATTTAACATTTAGATTTATATTTAACATTTAGATTTAGATTTAACATTTAGATTTATATTTAACATTTAGATTAAACATATATATTTAACATTTACATTTAGATTTATATTTAACATTTAGATTTAGATTTAACATTTAGATTAAACATATATATTTAACATTTACATTTAGATTTATATTTAACATTTAGATTAAACATATATATTTAACATTTACATTTAGATTTATATTTAACATTTAGATTAAACATATATATTTAACATTTACATTTAGATTTATATTTAACATTTAGATTAAACATGTATATTTAACATTTATATTTAACATTTAGATTTAACATTTAGTTTTAGTATTTAAATGTTGTTGTAAATGTGCAAAAAAATGACTGCCGAAAATTCACATCACTTTTTTAAATGCTGTTTGAAGCTAAATGTGACCAAATCTTGCTGTTGTTTTGCTAAATGTGACCAAATCTTACCACATTGAAATGACCACAAATAATGCTCAGAACAGCAGTGTCTAATCAGAACTGAAAAACAGTCGTTTTGCTGTTGTGTCAGTCTTCTTGCTTCCACCCCGGACGCATCTTTTCCCCCCCGGAAAGTCACGAAATCGCATCGTGCTTGATTTGTATAGTCAGGCGCATCAAAATTCGCCTCCGAATTATTCGTAATTTCGCGTCATATATTTGCGTCATTCCTTAAGACTTCGACTCAAGTCGAATTTTCACGGGAGACTTTCACTTTGACTTGGTAACTATACTTCAACTCAAGTATTTTTGTTTAGTACTTCATACAACACTGTCTGTGACGCATTCAAACGTTAAAAGTCATCAGGATGAGATTACTTGTCAAAAGTCATAACTTAAGTATGTATTGTCATGTTTAACATGAATAGTGGAGACAGGAAGAGTCAGTGGATATTTGTTACCTGTTTGTCTGCACACACATGCTTCATGTGTGTCATATAGGAGGCGATACACCAGCTGGGACATACACTCAAAGGCTAAAACTGAACATCTCTGATACTTAACATAAGGGTGTGCTAATCACAGATATATTCAGAAATACGTCTAGATGTAAGTTTCATGTTCTCATTAGTATTAAAAGCTTCATCCACTGAGCTGCAAGCATGTGAGGCATGTTTATGCAGGTACTTAGGTGATTGTGACATCCATGCTATGATCTCCACATAAAAGCATTTATGGCTGGACAGATAGGGCTATTTTTGTTCAAGAATCAGCCTCTGGCAGAGAGAGACTGGACAATACAGGAAATTGGTTTCTTGATTGACTCTTGGAAAGCCCTCAGAGGTAGAAAAATATTGTAATCTTCTTGGTGCTTGACCTGCAAAGAATTCAGGCTTGCTCTTGTTCCTTCCTCTTTTTTGTATATGTGAGTCACGACTGTCGCTCCTCAACCAATAAATCCTCAGAGCAATTTCTCAACAAAAGGATGTATCAATCTTAAACTTCAATTTACCTCAGAATAATGGAAATTTCAAAAGTATATCATTATATAAGCTTTCCAAATTATGACAGCGAAAAGCTTGCTCAAAACCCCAAAAGATCATTTCACCGGTGTGTTGTCACTAAACTTCAAACAGCCCTGATTTCTCTTTGTTCGTGAACAAGCAACAACTTGATGAAAATGAACATGACTGGACTCTGAAACAAAAGCACTTTTTCCCTCTTTTCCTCCTTTTTTTCACCTTCTCTGGGGGACATCAAACAAAGCCATGTGATGAATATCAATCTGACAGTAATGAGACATTATTATGGACTGAATGCACACTGACCTGATGGATATGATGTGCAGTGACGAACTCGAGAATAACATCCCATTTCAAGATTACTACTGTAAAAAAACACAGAGATAAACCCTGTCATCTCAGCAGGACTGTCGGACGATTCATTCCAAATCGCTATGAAATCCATCATGTTTGCAGTGTAAATAAAGTCTTACCGGTGTCTTGATTTGTGAATCAAATGATTGCGATGAAATGTACTTTGTGGTCTTGACTCTTAGATTTATCATTCAAATAAAGCTGCACCAGCAGAGTCAGAAATCATGACTCAGAAGAGGGAGACAGCTTTAGAGTGCTCATTTTATAGTCTGTCGCAATTTATTCTTGAAAATAAAATGATTTTATTGGCATAATTAGGACCGAACAATGATAAATCACATTTGTATTTTCTGCAGAATTAAGAGACTTCCACGAAACGACCAAAGAGACACCCAAAAAATGGCCATCCTAAATGTTGCATCATGTGTTTTCACAGTGATCCCTTTTAAAGTATCTCACCCCCAAACTCTGCATCAGTCTGCAACATCTGGAGTTTTGTTTCTTTGTTTGTTTGCAAATGGTCTTCGAGTGCAGCTCTGAGTGCATCATTATGTCTTTGCAGCCCAGTAATCATGCTCAGGGTTAATCTCCATCCAGTAGAGAAGTCTTGGATTAGAAATTCCAGTTGTTGTCTCTATTTGTACTTAAAAGTGTCCTTTGTTATACCTGGTTCAACAGTGAAGAAGTGCAGGGCTTCTGTCTCTCTGCCTCCTGTATGGCAGGTATGAAATTACTGACAGGCGCATCTTTGCCTCCACTGCTGTAGACGATGACATGCTCCCTTTCGGCCTGTTACTATCGGGTCATTTCCATAGATTGTATATACTATGGAAAACTTGGCTTCGCCTTCCGTCATGATACGAATTTGAAGCCAAAAAGCTCTCAGTATTTCTGGGATTTTCTCCACGTCCTGGAACCACCACTTGCACAATAGCGATTTAAGCATTTGGCGGGAGAGTTGCAGAGATGTTGCTCAGCTGAAACAGTGTGTCCCCCGGGTGAGCTACGCAATCTCAGTACACCCAATCATCAACCATAGAAAATATGAAACCCCTCATCACTTTTAAAAATGGAGCTGCACAGAAAAAAAAGAGGACTTGAGCACAAACCAGTCTTACAGTAACTACATGTCAACATCGCAACCAGGGAGGAGAAAATTTTATATTGTGTGTAATAAATTTATAAAGTTTGTCCACAGCTCCATAAGCTTTGCTGGCAGAGGCGGGATTTATGACCTATACTGCAGCCCATCAACAGAGGGTGCTGTTCTGGTGGTGTCTTCACCCAGCGAGGTTGGCAGGTGGCGTCTGTTCTAAATACAGTCTATGTTCATTTCCTGGTTGACCTTTTACACATCAAAACAATCGATGAAACACGTTTGCAAGAGGCCTGAGAACACTGTCACTTTTACAGCTCTTTGTGTTTCTGGTGTGATGTTTTTTGTGACTGTGCACTGCAATGGAGAGCTAATTGTAAATGTAGACTCCAGGAAGAATAGCAATGGCCTTCGCCAAAGCTAATGGAGATCTAACTAAACTGAACTAAACTAAACTAAACTAAACTAAACTAAACTCTTTTACCCCAGTACTTGATCTGTCTACTGTCCTGTCTTCTTTGAATTAAGATGTTAAAAGACTACAAAATTAGCTTTACAAGGTTTGATTTTAATTAGTTACCTGATGCTATAAAAAAGCTACGATGCCAATATTTGGACAACCTAATAATGAGTGTCAAACCAACACAAGACACTACCTGCACCTCAGTTTTCAATGGCTCCATCTACTTACCACCAGCGCATTTTATATCAAAGCATACCTCAGTAGAGGATGTTTTGGCTTCACTTTTGTATGTATGGAGGTAGAGATGCATCGCCCATCTTTATATCTAGTCAGGAGAAGCTAAAACCCACAAGTTAGAGGTTGCAAAACCAGCAGTAAGTGTAGATGTTCCAAATGCCAGTACAGTCGTTTGGTATTTTTCTGAGCATTTTCTCCTGAGAACATCATGTTCACATTTCACAAGGTCACTCAGTCTATTGTGCATAAACAAATAATGTTTGGCAGCTTCAGTGATGTTTACATCTGCATCAGCAGATGGAGTTTGCTCTATTGTCAGTAAGTTATGGGTCTATGGAGCTGCATCGATTTTTATGAACGACTGTGAGGTTTAAAATATGAGACTGAAAACTCAAAGTCAGGATTTCTCTGCAGTGACAGACTCGCACGCTTCAGGGGTTAATTTCTGAAAAGTTGGGGAACTTTAAATAATTTAGTTTAAAGAGCAGAGTAGATTTTTCTTTGTCTTTCCATTTTGTTAATATAGCTGCAGCTTATTCTTTTCACAATTACAATTTTGGCTTTTTGCTTTAATTTGAAGGTGGTTGGTGACTGGCAATGTGGAGAAAAGAGGGCAGTGATGAAATGCACCATGAAGCCAGGTTGGGGGGACACAGGATGCTGAGGAGATTTTGCATATAAGCTGTTGCATGTGCTTAAACTACTGAGCTGAACTGACTCTGCAGCTAGTTTTAGACATTTTCATTCAGAATTGTTATTTTACACAGCAAGTCTGAACTTTGTCTCTTAATTATCTGCAACCTTACAGACTTGGCACATGTCTACTCCAGCTGAATATTTAATAAGTTAACTCTGAGTCAGGCCATTCTTACATATCGTGACATCAGTTTTCTGCCTTTTCCCACCGCCTTGGTCCACGTCTCTCCCTCTTAACCAAAAGAATTTGTAAACCAACAGAGATGTTGCCTCATGGCCTCTCGACATGCCTGCACCCACTCATTCCCCTCTGCTCACCACCTCTCCAGAGGGAGGCGCAGAGTGGTAATCTAGGATCGGCAGTGATTGTTGGGTTAGGAAGGGAAGAAATGTGTGCATGGGTTTGAATTCACATCCTAGATTTTTAAAGTCAATGTTTTCATGCTGAAATGGCGAGTTATGGTACCCCAGAAAAAGAAGACTGTTCATCATGTACTAAGGAAGACGGGCTTGACCGATGGGTGGAGACTGACCTTCATAGTTGGACTTACAGTGGCCTACGTTTTTTTGGGGTGTTTGCATGCCCACGCTTCAAGATTGAGGTTGAACAGCGTAAATGTGTTGTTAGGAAGTTAATGAAACCTCAACAGACTAAGAAAGGGTGTAAAGAAGACTAAAACGTCCTACCATACAAACAAACTGTATACAGAACTGTGAAAGTGACAGTGTTTTCAGGCCTCTTGCTAACGTGTTTCATCGATTGTTTTGATGTGTAAAAGGTCAACCAGGAAACGACGAAATGACCATAGATTGTATATAGAGTGACTGTATATAGAACCGCGAGAACAGCACCCTCTGGTGACTGGCTGCAGAATAAGTTATAAATCCTGCCTCTTTCCAGCAATCCCTATGGTGCTGTGGACAAAGTTTAGAAATTTATCACACAGAATATACATTTTTCTCCCCCCTGCTTGTGATGTTGACATGTAGTTATTGTAAGACTGGTTTGTGCTCAAGTCCTCTTTTTTCTGTACAGCTCCGTTTTTAAAAGTTATTAGGGGGTTCATGTTTTCTATGATTGACACCTGATACAGCCTTTTGGGGTTCAGGGATTGCGGGGGATACGCTGTTTGAGCCGTGCGTCATCACAGCGACTCTTCCACCGAATGCGTACAACACTACTGCGCAATGTTGGTTTCAGAAAGTGGAGAAAAAAAACGCAGAAATACCGAGAGCTTTTCGGCTTCAAATCCGTATAATGACGGAAGGCGGAACCAAGTTGTTGATAGTGTATACAGTCTATAGTGCAGCCCCTTTCGCATTGACAGCTCTCCATTGATGCATGCCCACAGGATCCTTTTGGTGCATATCTGTGTGTGTTTCTGCATATGTCTTTGTAGCATGTTTACACCAGGGTGAAAAACAGGACTGACCCCCTGGAGGTTTATAAAGGATGCACATATACAGTATACTTTCAGTATAAAGTCCGGGGGGTCATTTTGACAGTTAATCAATAGCATGGTAGTGGGTTTTGATCAGTGATGCATTCAAGATGGATTTGATGTTGTTTTTGCCTCTGTTGGAGGGAGCGTCTTTAATCCTGAAAAGCTGCGGGGAAATCAGCGGCTCTTTCTCCTCTTGTTGCAATATGGCGTTGAATGTTCAGGGAATTCCACAAGGCCCTGACAACGCATGAAGGAGGGCCCTGACAGGTTTCTAATCTAGGAGGATGAATGCAAAAACACCAAAATGAGACACTTATCAGTCGGTAAAGTACTCCTGGCTTGTTGTCGAATCATTTGGGAAAAGTTTTTTCACATGGTGTCCTATTTTCCCCGCAGATATGAAATGAGAACGCTGTAATAATCCTCCTCTTCATCGTGAAGCCATTAATTGAAGCCTTTCACAGAACAGACGGCACCTCGGGTCATTTCACAAAGGGCGATAAAATGCAAAAGGGACTTTGTTCTCAACCCCATCAAGTGAAGGTTGCATGTCAAACATTTCCTGTCCTCTCCTGAAACTCAGCCCATCCTGGTTCAAGTACGAGAGGAAGAGTGAAGCTGCTCATGCACAAGCAAGCTGTTTTATTGGGGCTATAAAGACCGCAACCATCTTTTTTTCCCCTCCGCTGCAGCTCTCATATAAGAAAAAAAGATACAATCCAACCTGTAATTTCCAGATCTGCTCGCTCTGTCGACTTGTATCAAATATTTGTAACAAACACAGCCAGCTCACAGATTCATACTGGCCTTAACAATAGCAACACACCTACAAAAAGGCTTTGTCACTCAAGTAACACCTGGCCATGATGGGTCTCTAAGCAACCGGAGTTAGTGCACCAAAGCAGGAAAGGCAACAGCAGCTTAATTACTCCGCTGGCTCAAATCTGTTGGGGGAGAAAAAAAAAAAAGGGAGAATGGTCGAGGAGGAATAGCTTGTCATTTTCATCAACAGGGATGTCATTTTTATATTTAGAAATATGTGTTTTTTTATTTATTTTGGGGCTCCCTCTGCAGCTTTTGGGTGAATAAAGTGTATATTCTAGTTTAAAAAACAGACACTGACCAGGCTGAATGTGTGATCAATGTTTATGCAAAGTTTAAAAACAATTAAAATGTTTCCTTCATTGAAAACTGCTTCAGATCCAAATCAAAATAGCGAAATAATAAGTGGATATTATTATTTGAAGGGTTAAAAGAAGCTCTTCTGTCCATGTCATTGTACACAGAGCTTGTCATCTGCAGCTGCTGGCATGTCCAGATGCAATCATCAGAAGGTTGCTGTTGAGTGTCCTTCTTACTTCATGCCTCTTCAACATCTGAGTGAGAGGACTCGGTGTGTTTGTATTGCAGGGTCAGTTCTTCAGGGAGTTGCTAGGGAACATCTGATTGAAGCGTTTATGGGGGTTTAAAAGATTTTTAGCATTTTTTTGTACACAGAATTTGTAGCATATTAAAAGTCATTTTATTACAGTTGATTGATGGACTTGTGTGAATGTAGAATATTTTGATGAAGGGTTTATTATAAAGAGCAGGCAACCAAAAGCTTTGGGCACATTTGTGTCTTCTGCCAGGTTGAAAAAGTCTGAATATAGTTTTATTTTAACTACTACAGATCTATTTTGTATTACGCTGAGATGCTGATAGGGTCAGACCCGATCTGCTGGCTGGATCCTGTCACATCTGTTGCCTCAGCCTCTGATGTCACTGAATGAGCAGTGCGGGCTTCCAGTGCGCACCTCCGGGGACGCAGCGGTGGCACAGGCAAAGAATTCACTCCTCGAAACCTCCTGTTTCTCCCGTAATCCCTGCATCCCGATTTCAGTCCGTGGCTTCGCTTCTCGGGGGAAACTCTTCATCTGTGTTGCGGCATTTGGATGAACTTTTTAGAGGCGGAAAAGGCAGGTAAGGTAGTATTACGCCGAGGTGGTGATGTCCTTGAGCGCGGGCTGTTGCGCTTTCTTTGTATACTCATTGGAGGCAACGTCTCCAATCTGCTGTTTTAATTTCGCAGCGGTCCATTGTCATCAGCTGTCTCAATCGATAGAAGTGCAAAAAGTCGAGTGGTCAGTCGTCTCCGAGCAGCCGCAGACGCAGCAGCAGCAGCAGCAGGTCGGCCGGTGCAGTCAGCAGCACCATGGACAGCTCCGTGGTGCACATCTACAAAGAGGACAGGTGTCAATCAGAACAGCCGGAGGAGTGCATACCAAACTTCACTTGGCAACCCGGCGCATCGGACGGCTTCAACTACAGCACCAATGGCACCTGGGACTCCGAACCCGAGCCCATGTCGCCCCTGATCCCCATCATCGTGGCGGTTTACTCCGTGGTGTTCGTCGTGGGCTTGGCGGGCAACTGTCTGGTGATGTATGTCATCATTCGGTGAGTTTCAGATCTAATATTAAAAGATGATCATCTCTTTAAAAGTGTAAAATAAGACGCATGCATGTGGCCGAGGGAGCAAGTTGAAATTCATTGAGCTCTAATTGTGAACAACTGGAGTTAATAGCAGTGAAATTGCTTCACGCAAGTGTTTGTTCAGCTGCTGTCACGAATGTAATGACTCTAGGGTCACTTACGGGTCCCTGCAGGGGCCATAAAAAAGAACAGTGGCTCTGTGATGCTGAAACTAAAGAAAAAAGTCTCCTTTAATGCGTTTTTGCCTCTTTATGGTGTTGTGCCTGTGCATATGCATATGCATGTGCAGTTTCAGACCTGAACTGTTTTTGTGGTAGAGAATATAAGCAGACTGTCAATATTTTGATTATGTTAATATATACCAGCAGATGTTAAAGCCTCATAAAGGTCTTTTAGCCTCACAAACCTGGGTGGATTCTGTTATGTATAGGGGAGACCAGGGCTTGTTGTCACATTGCAGTTATTTTTGCCACCAGGGGGCGCAACTAAAAAGTGGAATACTAGTTTTCTTCCTTTACATGGTCAGGGGTCGTCCTGTCTGAGAAGAGAAGAGAACATTGTGAGCTGAGATGAGCGCAAATTAACCATTTCGCACAACCCAAAGTAAAAAAAATTAACTTTATTTTTTAAAATAAGGTTCTTTCAGATAAAAACCATAGCAGTGATACATGTGGACTTCTTAGAGGGGAGATTAAGGCATCCTGTCATACCTCAGTCATTGTTCTGTTTTAAGCTAACTTTAAGATAGAACTCTAATCAGCAAACATGGTGGTTTAGGAGTCATTTTGGAGATAGTTGTCACATGTTTAAAAGGGATTAAAATTGACACAGAGAGTGTGTTCATCAGCAGTTGTCATATTAACTTAGACTTTATCTTTACAGAAAAAAAAGAGTGGTTTAAAGGAGAGGAGAAAGCGAGAAGACATGGTCAGGAATTTCAAAAGAAAAACAGTTGCATAATATTTGATATTAACGTTTGTTCAATGACTTTTTCTTCATTTTCTGTGCCTGACTTTGTTGTTCACTTTGAAGTGAAAAAATGAGAACAACAATAATTTTGTCTTTGTTTTATTAGCTGCAAAATCCACTGTGACATCTTACCCCGTGTAGTGAGACAACTTACCCGATGGTGGGGCAACATGTCACATGTTCACACTCTGCTTATAACTCTGCACTGACACAAGATATGAAAATGACATGAAAACAAAATATATACCTGAGACTTTGTTCTTTCATCTGGTACACATTTTGTTTATATATGACGTATTGATTCCAATAAATATGTAAGAGTGTAAAAAGTGTGACAACAAGCCCCGGTCTCCCCTACTAAACAAGTTAAAACAGGAAAATCAGAATTAAAGTTGAAGAAGTAGCAGCCATATTCCCTTTAGTTCCCCTGCCTTATCTTCCTTCCTTCCTCGTCTGAAAAAGTGAAAGGATTGTAACAACAACTAAAAATCAGCCCTGATGGACAACATCGACATGTTTTCTTCCATGACAGATACACCAAAATGAAAACAGCCACCAACATATACATCTTCAACCTGGCTGTAGCAGATGCTCTGGTCACCACCACTATGCCCTTCCAGAGCACTGATTACCTGCTCAGTTCATGGCCGTTCGGCGAAGTGGCGTGTAAGGTCTTCATCTCCATCGATTACTACAACATGTTCACCAGCATCTTCACGCTGACCATGATGAGCGTGGACCGCTACGTGGCTGTGTGTCACCCCATTAAAGCCCTGGATTTCCGCACTCCAGTGAAGGCAAAGATCATCAACGTGATCATCTGGGTGCTGTCGTCTGCCGCTGGGGTCCCGGCGATGATACTGGGAAGCACCAAGACGAATAATGGTACCTCTAGCTTACATAAATTCACTCATATGCACCTATTTGATGAAACTCTTTTGTCTCTCAACCCACGTTCTTTTAATACTTTTGTTTTGCCTCAGAGACAAAGACAATCTTTCAGCCATAAAGGGAAATTTTCACTCAAACGTCACATGTGTTATCTCAATTGGCTGCAGGAAGCATCTTTAAAGCATCTTTAAAGCATAGGTGAAGCATAATGGATCCTCGTAAAGAGAGGAATTTTTTTCAGGGACAGTCTGACAGACATTGCATTCACAGGAAGCTTCTGTTCAATGAGCAAAGTGCTCTTTACTCTGGTATCATATAAGTCTGGATTCACAGCTTTTCATTTCTGAAAAGACCTCATTGTTGTGAGAAGATAAGATGGAATAGTTTCAGCAATTCTGAGTCAGTTCAGGTGGATATGTGTGAAAAAATATTACTGGATGTATTTTGACTAGATTAGAAACAAACGTTTATGGTACCCTGGATTAAAATCTACACTTGATTTCTTTTGTTTGGGTGTCAAATATCATAACAACTGTTGAGGAAATTGCAGCATAAATCCAAGGACCCAAGTTTGCTGTGTGGTCAGAGAGGTTTTTAATGGTAGCAAGCCGACAAGCGGTGAATTCACCCAGTGTGACAGAATGACAATCGTTGTGATCTAACTGATATACCATTAGAACAAAGACTCTGAGGTGAGCCAATAGAATGACAGACAAAATACCAATTGACCAATGGGATGACAGACTAGCAAATAGCATACTCCAGGTGCAGAACAGACTGAATTTACACACAAGAGACACACCTATGTTAACTATCAAAGGAAGAAAGGCCAGGTGTTAAGTCCAGGTAAGTGGAAGACAATGGAACCTCCTGAAGGAGTCTCCGATTATGGCGGGGGTCCGTCCAGGGAAGGTGTCATGCCTTTTTACAGAGGAGACACCTTTTGTTCTGAATGCAAATTCAGTTACAGTTTCAAGGCATCCCCCAACACAGTCAGCATACAATGTTATTTTTCAATTTTCAACACAATTATGAGATGGTTGAAAGTTCAGACAGTCATGTCCCCAACTGATGAGCTACGTCACATTTTCAGAAGTGATTTTTTGGCACAATTGTACCCAACTAAACATTACTGTCATATAACACATGATGAGTTATCACATGCCTTATGAAAAATATAAATTTGGGAATAGAACAACCCCTTGTAAGTAACTTTGATTTGGTTCGTGTTGATTTTGGTGCCCCGTGTGAGGCAAACTGAAAATCTACATGTAAGTACTGTCTTTTTTTAAATTAAACTTTCCTCATGCTGTCTTTAACAGTCAAATGTAACATACATCAGTGAGTTTTGCTGAGGGAAATTTGTAATCCTACACCTACCCAGCCGAAGCAATGACAAGCAACAATCATAACTCTGTAGAAATCATCACTCTCAATACCCACAGACTGGACTGCTTTTGTGACTCACTAGTAGAGCACAAGAGAAACATATTGTGCTAAAATGTTACCATCTTGTGCCTACGATATAAAAAATAATACTTTTTGGGTCTTCAGGAGCCTCAGGAGCCTCCTTTTGGATATAAGTATGACTTTCATGAGATTTTAATGTGGCATCAAAATCTGATCTTAATACCTAAGACCACCGATCTAGCTTGTCTTTACGTTTTATGCCAGCTTATGTTAGTGTGCTTGCATACTTCATTATTACAGTTAATATTTCAAAAATTTACGAGATGAAGAAACATCTCCATGTTGGCGTTGTCAATTTGAGCAAGTTAGACCTGAGCATTGTTAGGATGGGAGGAGACAGTTGTTGTTTTTTCTGAACAATAGTTTGAAACCTGTCCTTCTTATTCTGCTTCAACAGGAACTACAGAGTGTGCCCTACAGTTCCCTGAACCCTACATTTACTGGGATACCCTGATGAAGATCTGTGTCTTCATCTTCGCCTTTGTAGCTCCTGTCATCATCATCACCGTCTGCTACACACTGATGGTCCTGCGGCTGAAGAGCGTTCGCCTGCTATCCGGTTCTCGAGAAAAGGACCGCAACCTGCGCCGGATCACACGCCTGGTCCTGGTGGTGGTCGCCGTCTTCGTGGTGTGCTGGACCCCAATCCACATCTTCATCTTAGTCAAAGCTCTGTCAACCAATGTGCCTGACACCACCGCCGTTATGGCCGCCTACTTCTTCTGCGTAGCACTGGGCTACACCAACAGCAGCCTGAACCCCATCCTCTACGCCTTCCTGGACGAGAACTTCAAGAGGTGCTTCAGGGACTTCTGCTGCCCGGGTGCCCAGGGACATGGAGACTGTCAGGGGGTAAGCCGGGTGAGGAGCACCCTGAGGGATCACTCGTGTCCCACAGAGGGCCGAGGAAGTACTATGAGGCAGGCAAAACCCGTATGACTAGCCATGGGTGTGTCCTCAATGCCTAATCAGGGCTGGGAGGACTCCAACGATTTGGGATTGACTCAAATCACCACGGCCATCTGAGGGAGGGGCGACAGAGAGTACAACATTTTAATATATAACTCCCTGAATCAGTTATTTACATCATTTTTGTCTAAATAATTAGTAAAATATGTGAGATACTAATCCAAGATAAAGACAAAAGTTATCCTTGTTTGATGATGTCAATTTTCACCACCATTTTTCTACAGCACACATAAAAGACGAACAGCCTTGGCCTCCAAACTTTAACTTTTAGAAAGTCAGAAGGAGAGGAGCGGTTAGGGGCAAAACCCACAGGATCCAGGACGGCGGAGCACAGCGCATCAATTCAGTGCAGCGCAGCATGAGCAGCAGCGGAAGTTGTATGCAGTTACAGAGTCCCGCCCTCCTTCGCCTCTGATTGGCTAGAGGTGCTGGGCTCCGATTGGTTATTCCCTAGGCTGTGAAACTTCATGGTCTGTTGGGTTAGAGTTAGGGTTAGGGTGAAGGTTAGGGTTAGGAGACTGAGAAGTGCGATAATGTTCTGTAATGTTCTGTTCGAATTACAGAGCTGACAGCCCGTGTTTGACTTGAGTGTATGATGACGTTTCCAGCTTTTCTAGCCAATCAGAGGTGAAGGAGGCGGGACTTTCCCCTCCCGCCCTACAAAAAAAAATCACCTCCCGGGAAACTACGTGAGCCCTCATGAGATATCGTCTAGTCTCGCGAGAAATATCGGTAATCTCGCGAGCGCCTCTCTTCTTCTCTCTTGGATCTGGTGGGCGCTGTATGCTTGCAGATCTGCCTGCCAGTCCGGAGCGAAGCTGAGCCGTTTCGGATCCAGTGGGATTCCCGGGTTAGACAGTTGTCATCTGATTTTATCCCACGTGGTGACCAGTAGATGGCACTAAATCCTGCAGATTGAGCCTAAAGTATGTTGCTATATTACAAACTTTAAATCCTGGATGCCCCTGCGAGAATATTTCATGATGTATAAATCCTGTATAAAGCTCGATGTTCATAAAGCTTAATCTTGTTTAATTTGTATGATATCAGTGTCTACAGCAGTGTTGTCATGATAGTAAAAAAAAAAAATCCACAAAACCACCAAAAATATTTCGTTAAGCTGCATAATTATATTTTGTTCACCTGACCTGTAAATATATGTACAATATGAATCAGATAGTGAAGATCGTATGAACAGATTGTACAGTAATAGACCTGCATCAACAGGCTTATTTCACATTTATTGTGTTTATTGTTTTATGCTCTGCCCCTGTAGAAAAACTTAGTTAATGATCTTTATCTTTCAAGATTTTCTTCTAAGTAGCAAACTCATGTAAAATATTTAATAACCTCTCAGGGATCCTCCTCTGTATTCTCTCCTTAACAAGTGGGCCGATTTTTAATGAGGCCTGAGACGACAAACATCAAAGGTTTCTGTACTCAAACGCTGAACTCTGAGCTTTGAGACACTATCATTACACCTGACACTGCTCAGCTTTTTACACATTTCCAGCTGTGATCTTTTACGTCTCTTCGAGCAGACGTCAATGTAGAGTTGTACATAGAGCTGTCATCTTGTCAGAGATATCGACACATGTGAAAATAGGGCAAGGGGCTCTGAGGTAACATCTGACAAGACAATGATTTCATTCTTCAAACAGGGCTTTTGGTGTTAGTTTTCACTGCACATCACAGCCTAACATGTCATCTTCGATGTTTTAGATCTATGCATTATTCAGTTTTTATTTTATATTGACATTTCATCAGAAAAAAAACAATGCAGTTTCATACCGTGTCTGTTTTCTGAATTTTTGTAGCTGTCATATAGGAATCAGCAAACAAATGGATTAATAAAGGAACAGCTTTTGGGAGCTTGTTCTTCGGAAAAAGCAAAACATTTACATATTTTTTAATCTATATCTGACTATTCTACTGTAGTTATAGAAGAAGTGTATTTTTGTGCCTTGTTTGGTGTGCCTTATCCCTGGATATTTAAAGCTCCTGTGAGGATTTTTCTGTTTGTGTGGATTTTGGCGCCCCCCTGTGGACAAGCAGGGTCAGTCCTGTTAATGCTTGAGTCGTGATTATAACAAAAAAAACAATCTTATTCTACTTTCTTGTTCGTCAAATGTGTCTTTAATGAATACGCTAGGAAAACTGCATCTGTTCGTTTGACGCCTACCCCGTAACTACGGTTTAGAAACAGATTAAAAAACCTACGGAGAATAAGCTAGTCTCTCGCTGATGGTCTTGTTTGCTTTTGTAGCTCATATTAAGGCATTTTAACCTGCTTCTCAACCAGCGAGAACATCCTCAGAGGAGCTTTAACCTGATGATGACATGTGATAAAACTCATTAACAGTGCATCCAGTAGTTACGGCTTACTGCTTCAATTGTAGCATAATCTTTAAAAGAGTGTACGTCTAACTCTTGTTTTTAGCTTGGTTACATCGTGTGTCTTTTCCTCTAACTCTGTTGTTCAAGTGACTGACATGAATGTAATTAAAATCACATAATTAGCCCATTTCAGTCTGGGCCAGACCACGATTAACATGTAACACTCTGTAAATTCGTTCAATCTGATGATATTTTGCTGTATCTCTGAGCTTTGAATGTTAAACATGCTTCAAACACACGGAGAATAAAGCTGTCAAATGTCAGACTAATGAGACGGGTGTCATTTCTGTGTGATGATATCAGGCGGGTTCAGTGGAAAACATTTAAAAGAGAATATGCCTCCGCTCTCCACGAGTCCTTTTTTTCCTTTACAATCCATTTTTTTCTTCCAGCTTTAGACTCAAAGTTAGCGTTTCCATGGTGAGCGCACGCACGGAAAGTAGTGGTTCAAGGCTTGTTTCAATAATTACGAGATGTTTTGTGTCTTTGGCCTTGCAGAGAAATTTGCATTGACTCCAAATCCAGCCACTACTTAAGGACTTAGGTTGTTTTGTTTGCTGCACTGTCTCTTTTCTTTTACTTAGTTAGTTTTATTCAAGGGCATCACCAGAATAAACGGGCACCATGCAAAGGCAGTAGGCGCTGCTACCACAGGCTAATTAGTATATCAACACATCCCCTACATTTATGACACAGGGAAAACAATCATAACGATAATTGACAAACCCTTTACGTCGGTGAGTATTCCTGTGCGAACAATAGAAGAAACCTAGAGGACCGATGATTAGTTCCTTTTAACCAAGAAGTTTCTCCGACTAAGTACAGTATGAGGACCATGAGGATTATAATTTGCATCGAGAACTGTTCACTATGTATTAAGACTGACATGTATGCAAAGCACTTCAAGGGAAAATGTTACTATTTCATTTTGCAGACCCTTTTGTCCAGAGCAATGCACATCAGAGAGTAAGTGCACCACAAGCAGAGATCTCCACAGCGGGGAAACAACATGAGTAAGCACCACAAACTACCTCAAGGCTGATTGGACACATGGTGCTCCCGTGAAGTGCTGCAGGCATCGCACAGAGTGTATAGAAGCAGGTCTTTTTCTTTATGAGTAACAAGAGAGCATATAATCAGAGAGCTTTTTTCCCCTCAGTAATTACCATATCTACCTTCTCAGAGGTAAAGAGAGCTGCTCCTTTGCAGGTCTTTCCTTGCCCTGTCTGTTCTCTCTTCGCTCCTCTTTCTAGATAAGGGAAAAGCTGGTATCATCCCAGCTAGAATCGAACCCTGAACCAGCTGTGAGCGGCTAACCATTACACCAGTGGCGGTTTGCACTTGTCATGTTTGAAGTACTATCACAGTGGTAAGAAGTGGGGACACTACACAAAGAGTTTGACACTAACATGCTACAAAACAAGGTAAAACTTGACAATAACCATAATTTATAAATGGCAAACAGATAGTTTATTAATGTAAGTTAATAGTTACTTTACCATTAACAAGCAATGAAATTATGATGAATAATTTTCATTAATTATTAATGGACTATTTATCAAAGGTTTATATAGGGTTTAAATATTGGTTGTAAAACATCTAGATTAAAATGTGTGTCAGTAGCACTTTGTAAATGGTTAATATTTGGTTTATAAACCATCTATAAACATTAGTTAGCCGGTTATTGTTAAGTTGCAACTGATGTTTGTAATACTTTGTAAATGATTAATAAGTGGTTTATAAACATTATTTAGATGGTTATTGTAAAGTTAGGGTTAGGTTCAAGGTTCAAGGTAGCTTTATTGATACCCGTAGGTAGATTTGTTTTGCAGTCTGGAAAGAGGCATTTCAAGCGTTATGCACAAACATTAAAAATAAAGGACACATGCAGCAGACAGGTTAAAAACAGCACAGACCAAAGACACTGACAGGTATTCCCAGTGGCTCACTGATCGTGGTCAAGAGACTAAAATAGATAAATAAAATGAACAAAATAAACAAAAGTAATTGGATATCACTAAAATGTCAGTATGACCCTGTTAAGAGCATGCTGAAAACAAAAAAGCATGATACAAAGGACAGTAACTACTAATAAATAAAGGAACAAATCTGTTTCTGTAGCGACTGGTCTTAACTCTCTAGACTTTGAATCCCTGTCCGGATGGTAGCGGCTAGAACTCACTCGCTAAAGGATGGGAGCCATCAGCGGAAATGGAGCTGGCCAGTCGCTGTACCTGATCTGATCTGGTCAATTGTAAAATTTCCAATTAATTAATGGTCAATATGCTATTTATAAATGATGATTAAACATTGATAAACTCTCTGCTTACCATTAATAAATGGTCAAGTGAAGTAAAGTGTTATCCAAAACAACACTTTCTTTATCAGATATTCAACAGTCAGGCATAAAATAATAACCTCTGATAATAAGCGAACATTACTGTGACAGTTTACTGTAATATAGTTTTATTTGGACCCGGGAGCAACACACAGATTAAAGGGAAAGGTTTGCAAGGGGTTGAGTTGAAGGTGGAGGTTGAAACAGGCCCCAGATGACTGAGTGGTAGAGCCGTATCCTGCAGTAACATTCAACTAAAGAGAAAAACAAGAAGGAGGAGGATGAAACCAGAGCTTACCACCACACCTTATTATGAGATGAACCATTATCCAAACACTCTAACCTCACACGAATGGGCCCCCCATTAAGATTTCAACCTATAGGACCTACTTGTTGCATGACAGCAGTGCTAACATTTCCTATATGTGCTGCTTAACAGGCCCTATATGTTAATGTGTGTGTGTGCTTTTGAATGCAGTCAGTCAAAAGCACATTCATTACCACATTCACTACCACACTAAGACACACGGAAAGCCATGCAGCACCAAAATGATGTCTAAAAAAGCTGATATCGGTTTTGAAAAGTGTCCTTTTTGTTTCCTCTCTTTTTCCTGTCTGTCTTTTCTCTCTTTCATCTCACAGTTCATGTTTTTGTCATGACAACAACTTGGTTTTCATCTCACAGTTCAATTTTGTATGCTCGTCAAACCTCAACACCATTAAGTCTGCTCTTGTGCCTCATGTGATATCTATGTGGGCCAAATCAGGGCTAGCATAGAGTAAATTCTGAACCTATAATCATAATATAGCTTGAAATAAATCCCACAAAACAAAACAGCAACATATCAGGGTTATGAAAATGTAATTAAAAGAAACAGGTAAAATGAAAAAATGCCCAAATATATCATTGTTGCAGGTTTATCCTTATAAAGTTAACTTTGAATAGAACTTTTAGTACTTTAGAGGACTTTCAGTGCTTTCGCCTTCATGCTGCAGTCACAGTGGCGTAGATATCCTCCCTCACAGACTTCTCCACTGTCTGCAGTCCCCACAGCTTTGTATAAGGACCAATTGAGCATTAAATTCTAGTGTCAATTATGCAGGAGACAGTGGTTCAATTGTGTTTATTGCAGAGGAAAAAGACTTTTTCTGCAGTTGGCATTTGTCGTACGCACATCCATTCAGCCCTCTGTTCTGCAGCTGACAGCCCAAATGATCTACAGGGATTTCCAGAGATTTGAGAGGCAAATTAAATCAATCAGTCCTTGTGTGCATTAATGAGACTGTTAGCAATAATGATCAAGATTGCCTTACTTTCTCTTACGCTCTGTTCCTGCCTCTCAAAGGAGGTACTTGGAAATCCATTAAAACAACTTCAGTAAGAGGTTCTTGTGTCTAAAAAAGACTCTGATGGACTTCTTCTCTCTTTTTTTTCTTTTTTTGAAAAGGAAAACTGTCACTCAGCATTGCCTTTTTAAACGAAAACTGAAGCGAGCAGATTTTTGAAGAACTATAACTGAGTATGATACAAATATCATGTAAACCCCTCTATAATTTCTGACCATTAAACGATTTGAATTAAAGGTGATCATATGATTTCTCAAAGCTTCCCTGGTTCTGACTTTGAATGTGAGTATCTGATGCCTCTAAGCTGTGTTTTTTGTATATTTGATCGTAAACTAGATATCATTTGGTTTAGGACTGATCGCTAGACAAGACTGTGAAGGTTGTTGGAAACTATTCTGGAAAATTTTCACTGACTTCTGTCTCTGTACAGATGACTATTAATCACTGACTTGAGAAAATAGTCCTCAGACCAATTGATATAAAATAATTTGGAGTGTTTTAGTCTTATGTTTGGCTGTGGGTACAACTGTTTAAAGAGGACAAAGTATGTGACTAACTCAACTATAAATGTGAAAACAAAATTTTGAAGCAGAACTTACAGAAGAAAATACACTCCTTTTGAATTCATGTTGTCAGTCCTGAAGGGGGCCTTGGGGTTGCTCATAGACTGTATATAGAATAGTATAGTATAGTATATACAGTCTATGGGGTTGCTGCACTAAATTACTTAACCGTATAAAAATTGGTCAACATTTTACATCTGTATAATCCATTAGTGTGAGCAGTGTTATAATGCTCCATATTGTCAGAGAAAAGACATAAGTTGACATAAGTAACTGATTTATTTATTTATGTATCTATTATTATGCACAAATGCTGCCTTTTTATAGTATATGTAAATATGAGAAACAAATTATATCGACTCAAATGTGATTGAATAAAAAAAATGTGCTTTTTGACTATTTAAAAAAAACGTTTTAAACATTTAAAATCTAGATTCACACCACTTTTAATTTGTCTTTACAGTCACTTTTTCTGTTGTATTGAGGTAGAGAAAACAAAGAGTGCAGATGGGACAAAAGCCTTTATCCACATATGCATTCTTTCTTCTCACCACAAGAGGGCAGGCGTGTGTCCCAACTCTGATTGGTCAGCACTGTTTACGCCAGCCAATGAAGACCTTTTGCGTCTGCGCCGTTGCTTCCGGGTGTCTCCACTGTGGAAATCCGTTTGCATTTCTAGTATTTTCTAAGAAAAGCTCGTCGCTAGGTGCTCACAAACGGATCCAGAATGAATAGAATATTTGGACGCGGGAAGCCGAAAGGGCCTCCTCCGAATCTGTCGGACTGTATCAGTAATGTGAGTAACTGCGGGGGCGGCTGTGTTGTTGTTTGTGTCTTTATTATGAGACATAACGGGACCTGTGCTGAGCTAATGTGGCCACGAAATGACTCTCAAAGTACAATACCGCTCTAGTTAGCTCGCAAAATGTAGTGTTTAAGCACTTACCATCATGAGATAAGACATATATCCCCTGTAGGTCTCATTTCTACCTAACCTTAGAATGTTATTTGTTTATGATGTCCGCCTGCCTGTCTCCACCTCTCTTCTCCATCATCACACAAACAGCAGACACACAGGATTTCATTTCACCTCTTAACAACTGTGAACCTTCTCCTGACTTAGGTGGACGCCAGATCAGAGTCTATAGATAAGAAGATTGCCAGGCTGGATGCTGAGCTTGTGAAGTACAAGGATCAGATGAAGAAGATGAGGGATGGGCCGTCTAAGGTAACTCAAGAAGAAAACATAAGAAAGCTGCGAGGTGGTTACACAATCATAGGAAACATTAAAATCCTTTTCTCTTTCTTTTTGTCTCCTCAGAATATGGTCAAACAGAAGGCCATGAGAGTCCTGAAGCAGAAGAGGATGTGAGTGAGACACTGAATGAATGTTAGACTTTCATATGTTTGAACACAGAGTCCCACTTTGGATGATACCACTGATGACAACTTAAAGGGATATTCCAGCGTAAAATTCATTTAGGGTCAAACACACTGCAACACCGAGTTAGACACTCCCGCGAGAGATGAATGTTGCTGACCACATTTTAAATCTTGTAATCAACGCCTCCATCTATGACGCAAGCTCAACTCCTTTGGAATGAGTAAGAACAATGAGAAGAAAATGAGAAAAACGCTACTCTATAACCACAAATAATGCTCAGAACAGCACCTAACTTCATCAACAGTACATATAGGGTCCTTGCCACAGCACTAGCCACCAAACATCTTTTTAACTTTGCCTGATTTCTTCAGCAAAGAGACTGGACACAACTTACCCACTCTCCTCCAGCAGCCGTTTGTTTGTAGCAAGACCTCAGGCTAGTCCATTATGGACTGCAGCGGGGTGTCGCAGCTCAAGGAAGAACATTTTTGATCATTTCTTTATGGAAATGCTAAGGCAGAAGAACTAGATTTGTAATGTTCAATCAGTTTTATGTAAATCAAATGTTGAATAAAATAAATAAAATATTTTATAAATTTGTGTAGGCTACCAAGAAGCGTTTTTCAACCAGTTGTGTTTTGTCTTGAACAGGTATGAAGGTCAAAGAGAGCAGCTGGCTCAGCAGTCTTTTAATATGGAACAGGCAAACTACACAATACAGACACTAAAGGACACCAAAACAACAGTAAGAGCCACTCTGATTGATAGGAATTCTGATTTTGGTGGAGTTAATTTTACATATCCAACTTCAATTGTATTTATTATTGTCATTGCTGTCTTATAAGATATGATTGTTTAGAACAGCACATGTACTTGAAAAGACTACAGATAGAATATATATATTTTCAGTGATGACGGAGACTTTTTTTTTCTAATTAAATGGTTTTACTTTGTGTTTCTGTCTCCAGGTGGAGGCCATGAAGATTGGTGCAAAGGAAATGAAAAGAGCTTACAAGGATGTCAAACTTGACCAGATCGACGTATGTTTGTTATGCAACACTTTAGTGTTTGGAAACAGAACAAAATATTCACAAGCATGTCTAAATTAAGGAACAGGAACCTCTTCCACGTAGGCAGCCATCTTTCACCACAGTGTAGCACAGAATGGATAATCTGTATGCGCTACATGCGTTTGTGTAGTCAGTGAGTGGCCAATGGAAATGCACTATTTGGGAGACTAAGACAAAGAAGAGAGTGGGTGATCTAAGTTTGCATGCATCATGGCAGCTTGTTGGCCTCAAAGACCACTGATGCTTCCTGAAGATCCCCAGCAGGGGGAGTGAACAAGGGAGCTTTAATCTAAAATCTGTCTACTTGATACACAATGTATTGTACACACTATATCTGAGATTGAAAATTAAAATCACACAAGGCACATGACTCATAAAGCAAATTTACTGATACAACAGAGTTAAGAATAGTGCTAATTTATCAGAGTTTTAAGTACACCATAGAAAAAATCTATATTATGCATATTAAATCTGTTCTTTTAAGTGAGAGATGTTGGGCATTAACATACTGGTCATGTCTGAAAATGCAGGATCTTCAGGATCAGCTCGAGGACATGATGGAGGATGCCAACGAGGTACAGGAAGCCCTGAGCCGCAGCTACGGCACTCCAGAGATCGATGAAGATGATCTCGAAGCAGGTACGCCCCACTTTTTTTTACGTCTATTTCTACATACTGAAGTTAGAGGAACATAAACTGGAAAAAAAATCACCAAAGTTTAGAAAAAGAAACTGTAAAAGTAGCACGATCAAGCACAGTATAAAGTTGTCAGTTTGATGGCACATCTGTTCATAAACGTCCGTATTTCCTGTGACCCTGAGGCGGCCCTTAACTTCATCTGTGTGAAGTCCTGCACTGACTGTGTATCTATGGTTTCAGAGCTGGATGCACTGGGCGACGAGCTGCTGCTGGATGATGACAGCTCCTACCTGGACGAGGCCTCAGCTGCTCCGTCTATCCCCGAGGGAATGCCGAGTGACAGCAAAACAAACAAGGTAACAGTCAGGAGAGCTCAGGCATCACTGTAGCTGACTCTGTACTCAAGACAGGGTACAGTGTGTTACAGGACTGGAAATCAAGGCTGCAGAAAACCATTGTTATCACTTAAAAGTTCAATTTATGATCATTTTTAAGTTATATTTTGGGCATGTGTCGAGTTTCTCAGAGTCAAAAACAATTTTATAAAATGTCTGGTTAGTTCCACAGATAAATTTATCAATCAGTCTTCTATGTGTAGTGTCAATTCAAATAAATATGATCTGAAACACTTGATTAAAAAGGCAGATATGTACTGCACTCTTTATTATACTTTTGTGTGCATTTGCTGTATGTCATATATGTCCAGGTTGATGTCCTACAACACAACTTTCTTTCCTTTTTCAGGACGGTGTTCTGGTGGATGAGTTCGGTCTGCCGCAGATTCCTGCCACATAAACAAGGAACGGATGAAAACAACTGCACTACTACTGAAAACACTTTTTTATGTAGAGTAACATTTATACATGCAAAAACCATTTGACCTGAGAACACTACAGTTGTGAAGCTGTGTTTGGGGTTGTGTATTGTTACCACTACTGTGCTAGCATGTGGCCTTGGAACATACTGAACCTTTTTTAAAAACAGTACTCACATTATCTCCAGTTACTCCTCCTGTTTAACAGTTCTCATTTTATTTCTTTAGCAGTATTATGCAGTCCTATTTATTTGTCTTGGTTTTATTCTAGTTTGAAGTGTTGTTTAGATATGACTGGGTTTTTTTTAGCTCTGAGAAAAGGAGATGTTCCCCACTGAGGCTGATCAAATATCCGCAGGCTATGTGGAAAATGCAAAATAAATGTGTTTTATTGTAACCCCTCATTATTAATATCTCTCTTCTTGTGCATGGTTTTTACTCGTGTATTTTTTAAGTTTAGGTTCTATGCTTTTTCTCCACATTTTGTCTATCTACGACTTTATGCCTTCACACTGCTGGTCAATAGAATTTGTAACGGTGCACACTTTTATGAGGGGGTCAACTTTTTCTTATTGTGGTTGAGATGGTGTGTAAAAGTGAATGAATCCAGGGCTATTGGTATGGAGGCCTCGGGGGTAATTTGGGTAATGGGTTAGCCACATGCAGACACAATTCCCAGCTAGTTTAAAATACGTTATGTAATAATAACAATTATGCTGCGTTCGAGTTACCTCGGAAGTCAGATGTTGGAGCTGAAAATGACGTCACAACCTAGTTACTAGTGTTGCAGTTACTGGAAAAAAGCTAAAATCGGAGGCAGAAACAAGATGGCTACATCTACGACAGTTAATTCGGCACTTGATTAATATTTGGACAAGGCAAGCGCTAAGATAACTTTCGTAGATGTAGCCATCTTGTTTCCGTCTCCTTTTTTGCTTTTTTTCGCTGTTAACTCAGGTGTGACGTCATTTTCAGCTCAGACTTCTGACTTCAGAGGTAACTCGAACGCAACGTTGTTATACTAGGAAGAAGAAGAGCAATAAAATAAGATGGAGAATAAGTTTTGAATACAACAAACTTTGCAGACTATTATCAGATCATGGGATCACAGTGTTGATAACTAAATCAACTCTGAGCAGCAGAGGTTGCAGTTTCACCATCTTTTCTTCCAGTTAAGCTGTTTGAATATTTTGAAACAGTTTCATACAGTGGTTGGTTAGATTGTGGTCAAGAGACTATCCTGTTAAAAACCCGACTCTGGTGGGACTCGAACCCACAACCTTTGAATCACTTCTCTCAAGCGATTGACTAGAAGTCCAATGCGCTATCCATTGCGCCACAGAGCCCCCTACGGACCCCTCAGAGTCGCATTTCGGATTAAAATGAAAGTTTAATAGCTTATGTTTTTTTAGATGTAATTAACTTGGTTTAATTTGTCAACAACTTCGTGAAAATGAGACCAAAACTTGTAGAGTTTTTTTTTTCTGAAGGTGTGTGTGTTCAGGAAACTCTCGGGGTCTGTTACAGACACAGCTCCTCTGTGAAAATAAAGCAACAGATACAGATAAACCAAAACAAATCAAACCCTTTATGGTATCACATTTGGAAAGGCTTTATCAATTTTGCTCAAGAGTGTAGTTTTTGCTCGAAGATATTATTTCAGCGGTTTGATTAAAAAACATATACTGTTGAATTTACAGTGCATATCGATAAATTAATCATATAAAACGTGATAAAAGTTTCTAAAGATGAAATATGAAAACAACTAAACTAACTACATGCAGGTTTTTGCTCTACTTTCCACCGTCTCTGATTTTTGACCCCGTCCGCTATCTGTGCTCCGGATGTAGTTTAGCAGCCAGCAGCTGTTGTTAGCCTGCATCGTGATTCATGTTGTGATTAAAGGACGCTGGAAACGAAAATGTCAGGGCAAACCTTAACAGTGACAGTTGCTTACGGTAAGACGGTTTTAAAGGATGTTACCCTATTGTTAGGACGTGCTAGATAGTCGTAAAAATGTTATTTACTGTATATAAAACTGCGGTGAAGTGGAAGGGAAATGGTTAGCTAATGTAGCTCTGATAGCTTCAGCCAAACATCTCGGAGTAACTCAGACGAATCTTTCTTTGACATCCAGGATAAACTTAATAGTTTATTGCACTACACAGTGAGTCTGACCATTTAGCTTTTGTTGTTTTACTCTGTTATTATGCATCAACAAAATCCACCTTGTGAAGAATCAGTCACAATGTCTGTCTCCCCCTCCAGGCTCTACAAAGCACAGTATCACAGTAACTGGTCCAGATGATGGTCAGAGTCCCACAGTCAAAGACCTGGCAGATGCTCTCACACAAGCCACCGGAGTACCTCAAACCTCGCAGAAACTCATATTTAAAGGTGGGCTAAATGTCTCACTTTGTCTTCCACAGACAAAAAACCCTTAAGATGTCAAACTCTCACCTTGCTTCATTCATCCTGGTGCTACAGGTAAATCTCTAAAGGATATGGAGGAGAGTCTGACCAGCTATGGAGTCAAAGAAGGCTGCAAACTCATGATGATAGGCAAGCGGGTAAGGTTATGTCTTACATGTAATGACATTTTCAGCCAAACATCAAACATATCACACATATAAGACACATGTGCAAGAGTTTGAGAGTGTGATCTAGAAACAGAACAGTCCAGAGGAAGAGGTGGAACTGAAGAAGCTGAAAGACATCGAGAAGTCAGTGGAACAGACGGCTAAGAAGCTGGAGAAAGTAGACGGGGAGTTGACCGGGCTCAAAAATGTACGTTTTCTATAAATTTATTGAATATGTTTAATTTCCTGCCTATTCTGTGATATATTTGTATTGAAATTAAAGGGATATTCTGGCGTTAAATTGATTTAGGGTCAAACACACCGTAACACTGAGTTAGACACCCCCCCCAAGAGATGAATGATGCAGACCGTTTGCAGACCCTCAATTAATTTCACGCCGGAATATCCTTTTAAGCATTTGAGCATTCTTGATTGTCTGTGATTTCTCCTCTCAGGGCTTCCTGGCTAAAGACCTCCAGGCAGAGGCTCTGGGGAAACTGGACCACAGAGTGAAAATAGCTGCAGAGCAGTTTATGAAGATCCTGGAGCAAATTGATGCATTGGTGATTATCTAAACTAAGGTTTTTATTGCTATGTGCTTTTATTTTTCAAATCTCACCCTGAACTGTCCTTTTTTTTTAAAAAACAGACTCTCCCTGAAAATTTCAGTGACTGCAGAATGAAGAAAAAAGGCCTGGTAAAGACAGTGCAGGTAAACAATTCATCAGTGACACTAAAACCATTGAAATGATTTTAAACTATCAAGTAATGTGATTATTTTTCATCTGCAGGATTTCCTGGCCCAGTGCGATAAAATTGAAGCCTGCATATCAGACCACCTGTCGAAGATCCAGTCGAAAAATCTTGCTTTGGCAGAGTAGAGCTCGAAAACCTCCAGAATTTTGTGATATAAATTGCTCTGTGAGCAACTGCAAAGTGTACAGAAAAAGTGGAGCAGCTCTTTGTCTATTTATTGTTGCTGTGGCGTGTGTGAGGGAGCCTCATCCTGGAGTTTGATGCAACATAAATCTTGGGTATGTTTGCTGGATTAAACACTGATATGAAGTGCCCCTTAAAATATTGACACCCTAAGTAGCACTATAAAAGGATCAGCGGTGCTTTGTTATGTGGCAGATCCTTTTTAATGCAACCAAAACTCGAGCTCAGTAAAACTGCCACAGTCAGTGATTATCAGAGTTATCCATAATGATGTCAGAAAACTGCTCTCAGTTTATCACCCAATACCTCATGAACTGTATAACGTCAAGAAAACACGATTTGTTTTTCTTGCCAATGTTATATTCCATCAGTTGAGTGTATCATATGGCAGTTTTTACTTGCATGGCCAAAAGTATGAGGACAAACATGAGGAACCTGTTCTTAGAGGTTCATTAAGGACTGATAATGTACTTGTTTTAGGTAATGACATAGACTCAAAGTTGTCTTAATTCGGCTCAGATCTGATGGTCAGACTGTGTGTGCCATCATCAAGCAGGGAAGACCCTGTCCTGCGTATTGGTCTGTATATACTTGTGGACCTTTTTATGTTGTTGCAGGAAGGGTAATCTTGTCTTGTTTTTGGTGTGAAGGCCTCAAGACATGTGAAAAGTATTTAATTTGTTTAATAGATCATGTGAACTTGAGCCCAAAGCATAAAAAATAAAATATGCAATGCAGTTCACTTACTTTTGGCCAAATAGTGTTTGTATTTGACATTGACAGTCAGCACCTTTTGTTTAATCCAGTGATATATCTGTGTCATGTATTATGTAGCTTTGAAAAGATTGTGAACTGTGGAATGGGTATAAATTTAAACCATGGACACATATCTATTTTGGTTTTAAAATAAAAACCCTTTTGAAAAATGAGACAATCTGTATTTCATCTCAGAATGCAGTTTAATCTACACAATTAGGTATTTTTAAAATACATATGATTCAACAAACCCAAAACAAGCCATGATAACAGACTTCTTGTTCCAGTTTATTTCCAGCTCTATCCACGATAGCTTATACAGACCCCTTCGTAGTGTTTTCATAGATGTGCAAATAAGCTTTGAGAGTAGGGTTGAGGAGTTGGAGATGGGGGGAGTCCAACAAGCAGCTTAAACAAACGACTTGCAGTGAAGCTCGTCATGTACCATATGACAGGATAAAGCTGCTCTAAGTAGAGACTCATTAAAGACGAACATCCTACAGAAAAAAACCCTCCAGAGCAACTCCTGTGACTAATCATCTTTGTCCTTGGCGCCGTGCTTTAGTATGCGTGTGAATGCTACGTAGTTGAAGTTGCCTTTCTTGTCAATGGGCGCCTCTCTGAAGAGCTCATCCACTTCTTCATCTGTAAATCTGTCACCCATCGTGGTGAGCAGCTCCCGCAGATATTCCTCCTGGATCATACCTGCAAGAGAAGACAGATAGTTCGAATAAAAAAGAAGACATCTTGTGTTTTGGACTTGAACCATGATGAAATTAAGCAAACAAAAAACGAAGACTGATTAATCTGAACGAAATCCGGATTGAGCATGTCTACTTCAACACACCTGTGCCCTCCTCATCAAAACAGGCAAAAGCGTTGCGGATCACATCCTCTGGATCTGTGCCATTCAGCTTCTCTCCAAACATGGTCAGGAACATGGTGAAGTTTATTGGGCCAGGTGCTTCATTCATCATCGCCTCTAAGTACTCATCTGTGGGGTTTTTACCTAGGAAATGTTCAGAGTCATTTAGATTTATGGCATTTGCTCTTATTCACCTACAATACTTGTTGTCCTTTTGAATCCCAAACCCACAACTCATAAAAATCACACTTTACCTGAATGAAATGCCTTTAACACGTGAGCGACTAGAATGATTTATTTACCTAATGAGGCCAGCATGTCATGAAGGTCTTCTTTGTCAATAAAACCATCTCTGTTTTGGTCAATCATGTTGAAAGCCTCCTTGAACTCCTGAATTTGAGACTGATCAAACATAGCGAACACATTGGATGTGGCCCGCTGAGGACGTTTCTTGGTGTTCTTTCCCTTGGCCCTTTTGCTCGACATGTTGGCAGATTGTAGATCACCCCCCTCCTGCAATACAGTTCACAAGAAATTAACAACATGATCTTAAAATAATTTAAAAACAGGTGTGACTATATGTCCACTCCAGGCTTCCATATATGATAGAAGCAGGTAAAACATCATATGAGCTGATTATACATTCTTGGTGAAGTTTTTTTAAACTTTAGGCGATTTTTACCTTTATTTAAAGAATGAAAAACAATAGAGAAGATTTAGCTTCATTTGAGAAGTCTTGTGAAATGTACTTATTTTACTTAAACACATGTGGATAGCTTTAACCGGACAGAAAAGTAGAGAGCAATGACTGGACAAACATTGGACAGCTATGAGATACTGAGGTGATAAAAGGCTTATTCTGTTCCTTTAGGGTTGTGGTTAATTGATTTCAAGCCCTTCACAAATAACAAGGACGCAAGTTTTGCCATAACATCTAAATTATTTGCTAGCATTACGAAGCTAGCGTTGACCTTAATAACTGACCAGCCAGACTAGTTTTAGCTAACCGGGATCAGTTCACAGGTCAAACCTTTAATCTGGGGTGTACAAGAATCACGTGTAAACGACCTTGGAGTAGAATAAACCACCTACTTACCTGAGAGAAAAGAAGTGTGCGCCGCTAGGCTGTTTAGGACATCAACCAGAGGAACAGCATCCACACAATGTTTTATTTCCTCTTTCTGAGACTGACCAATCAGAGCAGAGCTGGAAGGAGCCAACGGTCTGGAACATTCCATGTCATCTCCACCTCAAGTAAATCGTTTGTTTTATATTGTAGCGCATCGATGACAAAATAAAAATAAACGAGGTTAATAAAGAAATATTTCAGATTTAACATCATACAGGTGCATTATATCCGCATGTAGGTATCTTAATATTCAACATTTATACCAGAAACATTAAAGCAGTTCGTGTGCTTCGCCGCAAGGTGGCAGCAATCGGCAACAAACTAGAGTTGTGTCGTTCGCGAACGATTCGTTTAAAAGAATCAAATCTTTTAAGTGAAGCGCTAAACCGAATTACTTCCTCAAGTGGTTCGTTCGTTTCTCACTTCAGTTGAGCTGTCAGCAGGGCAGATGCAATAGCACACAGCATTGCCAGGCAAGCAGCCAGTAAATGAAGGACAGCATGCACCGACACCTTAATTACTTAGTAAACGAATCACGCATTGAACTACACTCTCTGGAATCATTTTTGTAAGACAAAACTAACTTTTTTTATTTTTTACTGCTAAATTTCCACCACAACAACTTGCATACAATAGGACACAGCATGTAACAAGTAATAGATAAAACTCGCATCATCCTATCATTGCAGCGGTTTGCGAGGGAACAGCGCATGTTCAATGTGAATTCTTTTACATGTTCAGTGAACGAATCACTCACTGAGCCCAATTTACCAAGCAGACCTGATAAATGGCACATCATAGGACATTACACTCAAAACATCATGACTTACAAACAAGTTCATTTTTACAAACCTGTTCACCATAGCAACACAGCTAAACATATTTGTCTCCCGGTCCCAGAAACTATGAATTGAACTGAACCCTGAACCGTTCAGCTGTGTAACAGTCCAGTAGGTCGGAGTCACAGGCTCCTCCCGCCAAGCACTAAATGATTCGGTGATTCGATGAACGAATCTTTTAAACGAATCTTTTTAGTGAACCGATTCCAGTGGTTCAGTACATCTAAAAGAACTGCCGTGCCCATCACTACAACAAACGCGTGAAAACCCCAACGGTTTTATCAGGGCAACTTTAAACACAAATAGTGTTTCAATCTGTTAGTCTTGATTTTGTTGGACCACCTATTACATAACCATGCTCAAAGTCAGTCAGTATGTTCGTCCTACAACCCAAAAAAGTCACATTTTGTTGCTTTAACAGGTAACCCGCGTGTTTTTACTAACTCATACCGAGAAGTCATCTCACCCCTCTCAACAGGTAGCAACCACTCCCACCAACTATTAATTCACCGGATCCATGATAACACAGGCCCGCCTGAAGTTCCCACACCCACCCCTCCAGTAGCTGCTGTCACATTAGGGTCAGGCCTAGCAGAGGCTCCTCAGCCTGGCCCTTCATGGTCTAAATTTAAATCCGTCCCAGCCTTAAAAGGTCCTGACGGTGTCTTGTGCATTCTGCCGAGTGGCAGCATTATTTTTGTTCTGTGGACTGCCCTGCTGTCCGCTGCCCCTCACCCTGCTGCTTTGCCTGGATCTGGACTTGCTTGAGCTACTTTTGGATAATTCATCCTTTCTTTGATTTTCAGGAAGTGTGGATTTGGGAATTCTAGCTGTGGTGAGTCACACAAATCTTTAATTTCTTACTCTAATTCCTGTCTTATTCTGTATACTCCTCATCTTATTCATTCTTAGATTTTCCTTCTCATAATATCCATTTTAAACTCTTTTTTAAAATGTTTCAAATTATGTTTGAATACAGAAATTCCTACTGTGCCTTAAAGCCTACTAACAAGGTGTGTCCTTGTAGATTAGTCTGCATGTTTCATTGTAGTGAAATCACCCTGAAATTAGACCTAATCTGTGTGTTTGACATAAGCTTTACACAAAACAAGATGTTTATATGACTCAGATCTCCTCTTTGTGCACTCAGTGCCTCTATAGCCTTCATAACACTCCTGTTTATAGTTTGTGAGTCATTACAAACACAAAGGTACTCAGTATACCGGCTGATGTGGGTGCTGCTCAAGGTTTTAACTATCAGAAAAGACATTTCTAAGACTATAGGCATCACAGGCAGATCTTGTTATAATCTTTTTGATTTGTTGTCACATGACGGGGGCTGTACTTTGTATCAGCTGGTAAAATGTCAAGCTTTTCAAGGTAAACTGATCAGTTGGTTGATCCACAGAAAGCCCTGATAAATTTTGTCTGGGTTATTTCCTAAAATGAAGCTTTTAAAGTTAGCTTGTTTCAGCTTTTTCAATGTAAATATGAGTTTATTTCCCAAGAAAATGGAGTGTCTTATAGTGATACTTATAGATGAACTGTTTAAAAGTTTGTGTAGGCCTACGTTGGTTTTAGGACGTTAAAATGAGCTTTCTTTTTACTTTATGAGTTTCCAAAAATATCAACAGAAAATCACTATCAGATGCATCCATGTCACCAGTAGGAGTGATTTCTTCTATAGTTGTATTTACAATACTTTTTGCCTAGAGATAATTCAGAGGGTCCCAGAAGCATCCCCTCACAGCCTACGTTTGGATTTCCATTTCATCACATTTAAACATTTTATTTACACATTTTGAAGGTCGTTGATTTTATACTGTAAATAAATTCCTTGAACCCGGGTTCTTCTATCATCGGTGAAGACAAAAACCAAAGTTTGAAGGAAGATAAATAAATGCTGCTACAGTTGATTTATGACCTGCTGCTCCTTATGTAACAGTAGAATTAGATCTTAACCAGAGCTAACACTTGGACTACCTTAGTAATTTAAAATCCTGATGCCATCTTAACAGCTTTAACATTTCCTGGTTGCCTAAACCATCATCTCTAATAGCTAATCTCCATCTCCTGCCCTAAACTAACCCAACAAGGTTAGTAAATTAAAATTCCCCACTGTGGGATGAATAAAGATTTATCTTATCAATCTGCAATGATAACATTGAGATTAATTTTCAGAGCTGGTTAAGTAAAGGGAAGTCTGATTTCATAAGTTGGCGGAGTGGCCTTCAGGATGTCAGAGTCAATACAAGTGATGCGGAAGCAGCAGAAGCAGCACCAGGTGCAACAGGTGCAGCAGGTGCAACAGGTGCAGCAGTTGCAACAGGTGCAACAGGTGCAGCAGGTGCAGAAGGTGCAGCTGCTGCAGCACCATCACCATCAACGACAAGAACATCAGCAGCAACAGATACAGCTGCTGCAGCAGCATCGCTATCAACGACAGGAACAACATCAGCAGAAGCATCACTTTGAGAGCAGCAGTTACCTGAGCTCCAAGTCTGCTGTTAACAAGCAGTCGTTCTCCTCTTACAAGACTTCCAGCCGTCGGTAAGAGTTTGGCAGTGATGCATAACTTGGGATGTTTTCACATCAGTAGTTTCTTTCTGCATAACCTGCCTCTTCTGTCGCCTCTGAAGTGCATTCAAGCTGATCCAGCTGAAATATTCAGCACAGTGCTGTGAGCCTGGTGTGAAGTGTGTCAGCAGCCAGCCACAATGTATTGATAACACAAATGCTGTTTCTACGCTGAGACATGTTCATCTTTTTTTACTGACGTTAAGGGTTCTGTATTTGAAAGAAAATGCAAGTAGGTGTCAGGGCCAAGTCCAAGCCAAGTCCTAAAGCTTTGAATGGAAAGTATAATCACAGACTATTTTACAAGTCTCTTAGGTCTTAATGAGCTGCGAGGCAGTGTTAGACCTGTGCATTGTTTTCTTCTTAGGATATTAACAGGATAAATCTAATCTAGGAGGATGGGATGCAGTTGTTAATGTCAATATGAAAACTTTTTATGTGTAGACCAAGTTTTGAGATTGTGATTTCTTAAAAGGACAGGCCTTTGCTTATGTTTTGGACAGATCTTTTGTTGTATGGTAACATTTTTGAGTCCAAAGCATGTTTGAGTGTAGGTAATAATAGATAGTAGGTATACAAATACAACGTGAGTCAAAAATCTGGCAAACTGATTGCAAGCTGTTTAGAAATATTTATCGGCAACAATTTGATAATAAACGAATCCATTTTTTAGGCAAATAGTCGTTTTCTAGCTTCTAGCGGAGATTTTAAAATTCATTTCATTATGGCTTTTAGTTTGTTGATCTGACAGGTTGTGTTCATGGATACTGTACCATCTATTTGTCATGTCTCTTGGAATTCGAGTTGAAGGATCAGTGGATAAATATTCATTTAATTCATCCTTGTGTCAAACCTTGTGTTGCATCAGTTCAAGTTTAGCCTGATTTCGGTTGATCAGATTTAGGTTTGTATCCTCCGTTGTGTCGCCCTTGTCAACATGTGATGTCAGTCAGAGTGTCTTTGTCCTTCAGGCTGCAGGGTTCACTGTTCATGTTGGAAGTGTGGTAGCTTCTTAAACGGGGTCAGGGGGGGAATGTCAGCTGTAGTGAAGGGCTGCCAGATATATTCATGGACAGCTGGGCTATTTCTGTAGCCAGGACATGAGACGTTGCCATTAGATGGACTGTAAAGCCACTATATGGAAGTTGTTAAACTTGGAACACTCATACAAAGGCTTTCACGGTCCTTTAATACTTAATAACCCTTGGTCCAGTTTGCAGAAGGAAGTAGATTAATATCTTTTAAAGATTTAAAACTCGTCCTTCACCTTGGGTTTGTTAAAAAGCTTCCTCTTGGTGATTCAAAATTTAAATCTTATGACAGATATAGTAGTGGCTCCTTAGAGCCTTAGGGGTGAAACTCTACCATCAGCAGGAAAAGTTTTTATACACTGAACCAGAGACTTCCTTTAAAAACACCTGGTGAGTCAGCGGCAGAGAAAAACTTCTCGGCTGTGCTGAACTCTTCTAAGACTTCCTCCATCTGTCTGTCTCCGCCGTGCAAACAGCCTCTTCCATCGACTTGATCCTAACCCGCCAGTACAGAGTGTGGTTTATGTTATGAAGCTTCTTCTGGAGGCCAAATGGGGGGGGTGAAGCAGACTTGGCTCGGATTAAGAGTGGAAGCAGGGCTTTAAAATGAACCTCTCCTCCCCCTAAAGCTTACCCCTCACTTCCCACTCCATTTATAAACCTGGCTGACAAAAGGAAGACCTGAGAGGCTGATACGTAGATGAGTTCAGGGTGTGATAAGGTTCAGGGTCGGAGATGTTAGCAGGAACACAAATTTCATTTCTGAGTAGCTTAACTTGAGCATTTTAGGAGTGTTTTTAGCATACAAAGCTAATTTATTCAAGTTTTATAAATGCTGAGAGAAATGCTTTTTGTTACTTTTACATTGAACAGCGGTTTTGCAGTCATTTTACTTGTCTCTCTAATCACCTTTTTGACATAAACAAGCAGTAGAAAGTGACTTTATACTACTTTGAAAATCAAGTAACTCCCACTTCTAGTTCCTTAGACCAAATAGAAGTGTGTGAATCTGCCTGTGCTCTTTCTACAAGTTAAATGTAGTCAATCTATAAGAGAATTTAATATCAAAATTAGTTTCAATTTGTAGAGTTGGTTATATCTGCAAAAACAGGGATCAAGTAGGAGGGTGGGTTACCTTTTAGATACAGGACATTGTGTTCAATCAATGCACAACAAAACCACCAGAGTCCAAATCATGTTTATCCTCTTAAAACTACGAGTGGTCAACCTATTCAGGTTTTTCAATGGCCGATGCAGATGACGACAATTTAAGAAAGGCGAATCGATGGTTAATATATAATGTAAGTCTTGTTGTGTTGTTGTTTTGTATTGCACTTGACAGAATACAACAAATTTCTAGCATATTTCCATGTACATTAAAATACAATATGCAGAGTTATCCCAGCCAGAAACATGTTTGGATGGATTTTGAGTTCATGAATGAATTTTTTATTTTCATTTTTTTAATTGGGTGTTGATATGAATTTAAAAATGACTGTTTAATGCAATATTAAACTGCATTATTCTGTACACCGTGAAAAAAACACTTGATATGCTGTCTTTTAAAATGGGCAACGTCAGGGGACGTTAACATTGCAGACACTGACAAGGGCCCCCTCAGTGTCTGCAGACATTTTTTTTTCTTTTGATCAACCATGTGAGCCGAGGCATTGGCCAACAACAGTTATTTCAAAATGCTTTTAGCAGCCTGACAGATGAATGGGTCCATATCTAAACACTACACCTCTTCTCCTGTCTGTGTCAAGCATTTACCACTGAAATATTTGTAGTTCAGTAAAACCTGAAACTTCTAGGCGCCGTAGTTTAAAGTAACTGCTACTTCTACTTTTACCTGTAGAAAAGTAAAAGTTGAACGGTGGAAAATCAACCACATAACTGCATCACCAACCCCTCAAGATCAACGTTAGGACTTTTTCATGTGATTAGTAGTACTTGAACAACAACATAAGTCTAGTGAACAGAGGAATGTTTCAAACTCCGGCTGCACAGACAATGTTAATGATGAAAATGACTCAATTGGCAACTCAAAAACTTGTATCCAGATGTTTTTAGTTCAAGTGTTGTGACTGCTGTCTTCTTCTCTGTAAAGCCTGAAGGCCTCTGTGAAGACAGAGACAGGGCAGGAGGTGGTTAAACTGAGCCCGCTTACTAAGAGAGTCAAACGCACCTACCTGGCAATGGACAAGGACAAAGAAATCATCGGCTATGTGATCCCCGTGTTTAGAGCCAGGTGAGTGAGGACGTTTTTAGTGATCCTCCATGTGATTTTGTAGTCTCAGTCTGTAAGTCTGAACTGTCCTCATACTGTGTGTTGTCGGTTTGTTGTGTACCAGTCATGAGGAAGTTCGTGGCCTGTTGGAGGCCCAGGAGGAACACACAGAGGAGGGGATTAACTATGTGGCCATGAGGAACCTGTTTGTCAGGGAGGCGAAGGAGGCCAGGCAGGTTAGAGTGGAGAAGAAAACCAGAGAGATGCATGTCAGGGAATCAGCCCACCGAGTGGAACTTGGCAGGACGGTAAGTCCTTTCATCCTTTTGTGCATTGTAACTCATTTTCAAAACCATCACATCTCTTACATGAAGCCTTACAAAACCAATGCACAACAATCTGGCTTTACGCTCTCGCTATAGATGGAGGAGTGGTCTGAGTTCCGTAAGAAGATGAACCCTGACAGCCTGACACACCGTCCTGAGTTTGTCGTCAAGCCCCGTGGACAGACCGTCTGGGAGGGCAAGACTGTGAAGCTGCACTGCACTGTGGCTGGATGGCCCAAACCTAGGATGGCCTGGTAAGATCTCCTTCTTCAGTGAACCATAAATAAAAAATAAAAAACACAAGCCTTCTGTGTGTGTGTGTCACAGAAAAGTTTCCACCCAAAGCTCTTGTCATCCGCATAACTATTTCCCACACTTACTTTCCTGCAATTAGAGACTCAGGAGATGATGGTAAAAACAAACCAGCTGTCTTTCTCTGCTCCCTTCAAGGTACAAAAACAATGTGCTCATTGATGCCAAGGCTCACCCTGAGAAGTACACAGTTGAGAGCAATTACAACATGCACTCTCTGGAGATCAAGAAGTAGGTAATCATTCAGCTCCATGGCCTCAGCCAGAATTCTTAAGATGTGCCCGAACAATGCCCTGAAAAAGATGTTTTCATGCTGAAACTTTTCTCGCAAATGTGTCTGTCGGTGACTCACTAAATCTGCTATTTGTTTTGTTTTCAGTTGTGATTTCTTGGACACTGCGAAATATCACGTCTCTGCCCTCAATGTGAAAGGGGAATCTTCCTCTGTGGCTCATGTTGTTGTCAAAAGTAGGTTTCTGTTTGTTTGTTTTCATGCAGCTCCCCTGTCAGTACTCTTTTCTTCTTTCAGTCGGTGTTTAAAATAAGACTTCTGTAAACTTTATCACTTTTTCTCGCTTTCCAAATGTGAATATATCAGAGCATGTTGTATTGTAGGAAAGTCATACAGCTTTTCTTTCTTATTGTCTATCATGTATTACAACTTTCAGGTGTGTTGCTCTTAATCCTCCTGTTATTGGTACCACAAGATGCTGATCTGTGCGTTTTTCTTCACAGGGTTCCAGGAAGGCGAGGAAGTAGGCCCACTTGATCCTAAGCCACGTGAGTTTTGTAAAACTTTACCTAAAATTTGTTAAAGTTCTCTTTATGAGCTTTTTTTAACAGCTGTCACAGTAAAGTATTTACTTATCGTCTCATTATTTAGAGTTGATTTGCTATGGAAAGATACGTTAGACAAAGATCAGACACTCAAAACAAAGATCATAAGATTTACAGCAGATGGTAATTTACACTAAACGTCTCTTTAAGGGTTTCTATCAGAATAAAAGATTAAAACTGAGTTAACAGGATGGAATAGTTAAACGCAGCACAACTAAGAACAACAACAATAACAAAAAGAAAACTCTTTAAAGCTCCTGTGAGGAGTTTTTGAGAACTAAAACCAAGGCAAGGGGACAGATGTGGACCAAGAAACTGAAGAAACAGCCCTGTTTTTGAGGTTAAACACAAAATATACACAATTAATGATACCTTTTACTTTCAAAAGTACAAGTACGCATACAGGTTTGCTGCTGAATTTACCTGTAGAAGAATTGTATTAGTATGGGAAGAGAGGAAGAAATACCTAGACTTCTTTTGGTTTTACAAACCAAACATTACATTTGCTGTTAGTATAACATGGTTGATACTTCCTATGAATTATTAACTGTTTTTTTTTTCTTTGTCAAACTAATAATAAATCTTACCGTAAGGCATGAGGTAAAATGGATATAAATGTCTGTCAATAGAGTTTGGTTGTTTCATGAGAGATTTAGCAAGTGGTCTTATTTGATTTCACCATCAATATTACCTCCAGTAGTTCTGGGGTTTTATATTACACTACCAAGTTGGGCCAGGGATTCATAAAACTTTATACTTCCCGGAAAAAGGGTTATTAAAATTGTTGTAAAATAACACAAGTAGAGGTTAAAGATGCAGTCTTCAACGCTTTTTCATTAACAGTTGACAAATTGACTATTGGACAGCTCCAATAGCTCTCTCTTGGGTCTCTCCATATAGCACTAAGCCCTGTAGTGTTTTTTTTTAACTCACAATACAACAATAGCAAGCAGCTGTTTCACATTAAAAAAAAGCTCTAAAGCATCTGTGAGCTGTCTTCTTAACAACAAAACATGACAACAGTCACAGTTGGAGATCGGTGAGTGAACGGAGTTGAACAGTTAGTTAAGGCTGAAATTTGTGAAGGAGACAGAAACTGATATTGATGCTTTTTTTATGATATACACAAACATAAAATGATCATCAGTGATAAGATTGATGATTTTTATATTTGACGCCTGAAACTGGTGCTGTGGGGTTAGCGAAGAAACTCTCCCTTTTTTAAGTTTTGCACAAATAGCATTGAGAACTTCAGCATGTAGGAGACAAAGACCACTTTTTCCACAAGATTAGTTTATTTTTTTCCAGACAGGGACCGTACACAACACAAACTGCTGAGTCAGAGTTAGTTAAAGAGCTAATTTATGTCTGTGGTCCCGGGGCAGGGATGTCTCAAAACATGGGTCCAGTTTTGACACAAACTGAAAGTTTTATATGGATAGTTTTGTTCATTTTGGCTCTCAGAGACCGAGCTATAAATAATTAAATATTTGACCACACAAACTCGATTTTTTATTTGTTAAAATCAAATTTGATGTCTGATTAAATTTGTTCTGGGCCTGTAATGCTGCTCCATATTTTTCAAAGTCAAAAGTGATTTTTTTTTTCAATCTCTTTTTTTCCTCTGCAGATGGTTTTTGCGCTGAGCACGGTGTTACCTTTGAAACCACCATCATTGACAAATTTGAAGTGGCTTTTGGCAGCGAGGGCGAGACATTGAGCGTGGGCTGCACCGTCATTGTCTACCCCACTGTGAAGAAATACCAGCCTGAAGTGGTGTGGTACAGGAACTGTAAGTAGATCAACAAAGATGAAAACACAATATACCCTTCTTCTTAATCCAGTATGTTTCCTGATAAACTCACACTGTTTCTGGCCTCTGCTATCAGCTGTCCCTCTGAAACCCTCTAAATGGGTTCACACTCACTGGTCTGGGGACCGTGCCACGCTCACGCTCGTCCACCTGAACAAGGAAGATGAGGGCATGTACACCCTGCGTGTCAACACCAAGTCTGGCTTTGACACCTACTCTGCCTATGTGTTTGTCAAAGGTAAGGTGCTCTGTGATACAAAAATGAAAACTATTGAACCACTTTTCTTCAAGTTGTTACACAGTCAATAACATTGTTCTGTCAAATCAACATATTAGAGATGAGCACATATAAAGATGAGGTAGAGAACTGCCGAGTCTCTAAATCACACTCAAAAACACAGCAGCTGTATGCCTGACTCATAATTTTACAAAAGCCCTTTACCGTGGTGGTAACAGCTTACAGTCTAAACCCCCCTTTCCTAGCTCGCAACGGTGTGATGCGAACACTTTACTGTAAAGGTGTAAGTAGGTCAGAAAATGGAAACTGAATATGTAATGGAGATGAACCGGATTTAGAAACAGCTCGACTCACAAGTGTATGTGGATGTGTGTGTGTGTGTGTGTGTGTGTGTGTGTCTTGTCATGCCAGATGCCGAACTTGAGGTGGAGGGGGTTCCCGTCGCCCCCCTGGATGTGCGTTGTCATGATGCCAACAAGGACTATGTGGTCGTAACCTGGAAGCAGCCAGCGGTGGAGGGCAGCAGCCCCATCCAGGGATACTACATCGACAGGTCAGTCAGGTTCTTCTTATTCTTATCTGAGTCAGGTGTTTTGCTTATTTGTAAAGCATGTGGTGGAAACTCAGGTTTTCTAGAGTTGCAACCCAGACTGAACCCTGGACTTGGTTGATAAATACCATCTTTTAGTCAGTTACAGTGTTGCCAGATGGGAAATATAGAATTATCGTACCAGAGACTCAAAGTGATCGTATTTTGGGGAAGATTATCGTACACCCATCATAATCAAAATAACAATCTTACTGTTGCATGATATTCACACGTAGTCACTCTGTTTCGTGACCTACAGGCACTCACGATTAACCCATATCAGCAACGTATGATCAGTTGTGTTACACTTATGCGTCCCCTTTAAACAAATGACAGGAGGGAACTAATGAGCCAAACATGAGACCTTGAGGTCACCTCCTTTTTTGAAACAGTACTCATAATAACTGACAAGGAAGTAAAGAGAAATATGATTTAACTTAGTGAAAACTATTTTAGAAACAAAAATCAACTTGTCCTCACACAAGGATTCGGCTCCCGGTAATCACCGTCCTCTTCAGTGATGCTCACTTTACTTGACAGCCAATCCTGTTTGTTGTTCGAAGACAAACGCCGCTCAAACTACGACTGGATGGAAACGTCACACGGTAAAAGATGCCTTCAGGGTTCGAAGATAAAAAACTAAAAGATAAAGTGTCTGGCAGACTGAGACAGCCCTATAGCACCACACGTTTACAAAACTGTCAAATTAAAAATGTAGCCTTTTTTTCTGGGTTATTGATCGAACATCGTAGAGGCCAACCCTGGTCAGATAAAACGTATAAAAACTTTCCTCCTGTCCTCTGTAATCTTAAGAAATGATTTGGTAACCACAGAAGGCATATATGATGTTAAAGTCATCAAAATCTGACTTGTGTTGTTCGTAAATCTTTTTGATATTTGCTTTTTAGGTGTGAGGTCGGGACTCACCACTGGGCTCAATGTAACGACTCCCCAGTGAAGTACGCCCGTTACCCCGTCACAGGACTGGTGGAGGGGCGTTCTTACATCTTCAGGGTGCGAGCCCTCAACATGGCAGGAGTGAGCCGTGCGTCCCGCGTCTCGGAGGCCATTGTTGCCATGGATCCCTCTGACAGAGCTCGCCTCAGAGGTTAGAGACTCACCAGAGCCCTGCTAATATGTTTAAAGAGAGCCAACAACTGAGACTTTGTAATGTGTTTCTGTAATTTTATCCATCGACAGCTGGACCCTCTGCTCCTTGGACCGGGATGATTAAGTTCACCGAGGAGGATCCCACCGGTACGACAGCTTCCTGCTCTGTTCTTCATCAGCAGTTCATAGAAATTATATCGTTTAAGATTTAGCTTTTAAGTTTTTCTCTGAAGGCGTTTTGAGACCATCTGGTTAGTTAGTGATATCACTTCCTTCTAATAACTCAGCATCTTCCCTCCTCAGTGGGTGTTGTCCCCGGAGAACCCACCGATGTTGTGGTTACCGAGGCAACCAAGAGCTATGTGGTGCTGGCCTGGAAGCCTCCGGTGCAGAGGGGTCATGAAGGAGTCATGTACTACATTGAGAAGGTAAGGAGGAATGAATAACCGGATCTTTGTAGAGGTTTAGAAACACGACAGAATAGACTAGATGATTTACAGACAGCTTTTCAAAACCTTCTTCGCTTAATGACCTCAGATTGAAGGATTTCTCGGGTTAAGTTTTGTAGAAAAAATGTGAATGTAAGCTTTCAAATGTAGTGACAGGAGTTTTTGTATCACTGCACATCCTGTACTTTTATTCGTATTCACAGTAAAACTGATATCTGAAGACTATTTCATGGAGGCTCAAGCATCCTCTGACCTCTCTCTTTTATTTCCATTGAACACAGCGCATGTCAGGAACAGACGCCTGGCAGAGAGTCAACACCGGTATGCCTGTCAAGTCTCCTCGCTATGCCCTGTTCGACCTGGTGGAGGGTAACTCCTACAACTTCCGTGTGCGCTGCTGCAACTCTGCTGGTGTGAGTGAAGCCTCTATTCCCACTGGAGAGACCACGGTTGGAGATAAGCTTGGTGAGCATGCAAAACTGTGTTTGTAGTTTGTTAAGGTATTTCTGTTTCGCATAATTTTCACAATCTCATAACTTTTTCCACAGACCTGCCCTCAGATCCAGGCGTCCCTGTGGCCATCAGGAACACCAGCACTTCAGTCGTGGTCACCTGGGGGGCCTCCAAGGAAGTCACACAGCTGGTTGGTTATTACATCAAGTGTAGCGTGGTGGGCACTGATGTCTGGATGCCGTGCAATAACAAACCTGTCAAGCAGACCAGGTACAACTGAAGACAAGTCTATTTTTTTTGTCAATTTGCAATTTCACTGGTCTTTTTGTGCTTTTAGCGATGCATAATTGAAAAAAAGGCTCCTCAAGTATTTGAACCAAGCAATCCTTGTTGCAGAAAACTATGACTCTTTGATACTGTGAACATGAATCTGCATTAGCAAAATTTGGCTACCTTCTGCTGCAGGAGAAGGTAGCTAAATTTTCAAACCAGGAGAGGAGGGAATTTGCTTTTGCGTAGGTGAAGCAGTGGCTCAGTGGTAGAGTCGATTGTGAACCGATCGCAAAGTTGGCATTTGATCTGAGGTACCGCTGTCCACATGCCAAAGAATCCCTGGGCAAGAGACTCAACCCCGAGCTGTCCTGCCGGCTGTCTCAACAGAGTGTGATTGGAATTAGTTAATACGAGCCTCTGCAGTCAGGGTATAGATGTGGGGTGCATGGGTGAAAGTGACCTGTAGCGTAAAAGAACGTATGACACAAATACAGTACAGAAGTGGTTGTGTTTACATACTTATCAATCAATCTTGCCATTTGCAGAAGGAAGAACATATTATTTAGTATCAAAACCAGAGGATAATGCAAATGATTGAATAAAACCCAACAGTATTCGGGTTATTTTTAAGTAACAATATAATTATGAATTTCCTTTGCAGAATTAACTTTCACTGATATTTGAAATGAGCTACATCTGTGCTGTTCCAGGTTCGTGTGCCATGGCCTGACTACTGGAGTAAACTATGTGTTCAAAGTCAAGGCTGTCAACGCTGCAGGATACAGCCAGAGCTCCCCTAATTCTGATGCTGTGGTTGTTCAGGCGGCCATCTGTGAGTGTCCTCACAAATCTCCATTATTCACTTCGCCTATAGCATTTCAAGCCATACTCTGTCCCTCTGCTCCATCCATTCTCCCCCCACCCCTCTCTCTTTGCCACATCCTCCCAGCTATTTTTAAACATTCATTTATCTGGGGAATGATTGCTGACACAGTGCAGAAATGAAAGACCTGCTTTAAATTCAGATAGTTGAACGAACGACCTGCAGCTCTCTGCTCTTGAGTCTCTTTGCTAGGCTTTGTTCATGAACTTTGTTAACTTTCAGTCACCATTTCTTGTCTCTTAACCAAAAATCCTTAATCGTCCAACTTCATAACTTTATATTCTCATACTATCAGCTGCCCAGATATTCCATTTTTTATGCAGCATGAATGCAAGTTGTATGTAAATGCCGCTGAAGTGCATGTGCATGCCTGACATACTCATTAACAGTCATTTTGCTCTTTTCCATTACTACTATCAAGTTAGATAACAACTCGATCATGTTTTACACTGCTTTTACAGTATGTGGATACTGATGACTATATAAATATGCTTTTGCTGGTGTTTTTGTTTTGCTATTTGATAACTCTTTAGGGGCGCCTCTTGGTGCTTGGCCAAGGTAAAGGCTAAAACTTTGCGTTTCTAGAGAGCATGGGCCTCGTCTGGCTTTCTGGCGTGTTGGTAGAGTGAAAATTATCCCACTTCTGGCCTGGAGTGTAAGTACTTTATCATTTACGATGACCCTAGAAAGTGTGTTGCTTGTGTATCTAAAGCATGTGGCATGTTTAACTGTATCACAGGAATAGGTTAACACTAATGAAGACTGAGATCAGTACGATACTTGGCTAACGCCGGACCATATACAGAAATGTTATTAAAGATAATCCAAAAAAGTGTGAATGTTTTATAACTATCTTCTTCTGCACTTTACTTGAAATTGAATTTATTGACCATCTTCCCAGCTGTACCAGGAAAGCCCACTGGTGTGACCCTGCTGGAGGCTGTGAAGGACTACATGGTTCTGGGCTGGACTGAGCCCGGTAATAACGGAGGAGCCGATGTCAGGGGTTACTTTGTGGACTACAGGACCGTTAAGGGAGATGTTGTCGGGAAATGGCGTGAAATGCATGAGAAGGCGTTGACTACTACCTCCTATAAAGTATGTTGATTCACTTTAATTTTCTTTCATTTCTTAAAAACGAACAAAGCCCAAATGAGTTTACCTTTTTCCCCATTTTCTGCATGTTTTTTTAATTAGGCTGAAAACCTGAAGGAGAACGTCCACTACCAGTTCCAGGTGCGTGCAGTCAACATGGCAGGTATCAGTAAAGCCTCTCTGCCCAGTGCAGCTCTGGAGTGCAAGGAATGGACCATCACTATACCAGGTATGACATCAATGATCAGAAAAGTAGTTTAAGTCAGTATAAGAGAGCTTGAGCGTTGATGGATTAACTGAGGAACAGAAAAAGAAACCTGAAGAACCTGAAAATTCTGTGGACCAATCAATAATTTAATCATCTAATGGATCAATAACAAAAACAAATGTTATGCTAGAGTAATAGTGACAACAGTTTTCATTTTTATAGGTGATAAACTTGGAAAAAAAACAAATTATCTTTTCTAATAGATGCATTTGATAGATCAAAATCCAGAGATCCCTTTTTTGAAATCTTTCATGTATTTCAAATCTTGAACATATTTTCCCTTTGTTTTAACTATCTCATTCACCCCCTTAGGTGCTCCTGTTGGTCTTCATGTGCTTGAGGTGCGTGACACCTCCGTCGTGGTCCTTTGGAAGCCCCCTGTATTTGATGGCCGCACTCCAGTCAACGGCTACTATTTGGATATCAAGGAGGCCTCTGCTGGTAGCGATGGCTGGAAAGCCGTTCATGAGAAGGTCAATAAGATGAAATACATGAAGGTAAGAAAGGAAGTTCAAAAGTTGTTCTTTATGAAATGTTTTAGTATTGAAATAGCCAATAGAATATCTTTCTATCTGACTCTTCATGTACTGATTTAGGTTACAGGGCTGAAGTCTGGAGGGTCCTTTGTCTTCCGCGTGCGTGCTCAAAATCTAGCTGGAGTCGGAAAGCCATCGGCAAGCTTAGGTCCAATCCTGGCCCAGACTCGTCCTGGTGAGTAAGAAAGTAGTGACTCATACGTCTCCTATTTTTCCGAGGTGGGATGAAAAGTAGGTCATACCTGTGATGATACATTACTTTTTCAAACGTCTGTTTAAACAACATTTACTCTCTCTTATTCAGACACCAAAGAGATCTATGTGGATGTGGATGACGATGGTGTTATCTCTATGGTCTTTGAGTGCTCTGAGATGAAAGAGGGATCTGAGTTTGTGTGGTCCAAGAATTATAAGGCTATGACAGACACCTCTCGCTTGACTATTGTCACCGAGAAAGGGAAGTAAGTATCCTTTATGAAACCAATTTCTCTCAACTTTGAGCGAACAAATTGACTCTTTTTCTTGCTTGAAGCTCGTTCCAGGCTTTTTTTTACCCCTCTTGTTAAATCAGCAAAAGCTCTTCCTCTTTCCTCATCAATACCTTGTTTTTCTTGTTTCTCCTCATCATCAGATCCAGAGCTATCTTCAACGATCCCTCCCTGGAGGATCTGGGCACGTTCTCCTGTATGGTCACCAACACTGATGGCATCTCTTCCAGCTACACGCTCACCGAGGAGGGTGAGTCAGCCCCACACTCTCGGCATCTCCGCTCCAGTGTGTCTGAAACTTGAGTCCCCTGTTATTTGTTTGACTGATGTCACTGCTACAGCCTTAAGGGGGGCCTCAAGGACTGTGAACGCTCGTCTATATTACACCGTTTCAACAACTGCATCTAACTGACCTCTGTGTTTGTTCTGAAATCAGTTCTCTCAAAGCTGATGTCATATTAAAGGTTGTGCTTTATATCATTAGTAATACACTGTTAAAAATACTGTTAAATAAGGTTATAGTAGCAAAAGGTCCAGCAAAAACCTATCACCTCTTTGGATATTTAACCTTTTTGCTGCTGTGCTTTTCTCTTTTTCTTTTATTTTCTTTTTTTGACAGGTCTCAAGCGTCTCCTGGACATCAGCCACGATCACAAATTCCCTGGTGAGTATCTTGCCACATCACGAAAACTCGCTTTTCTTTTTAAAGGGATATTCCAGCATAAAATTAATTAAGGGTCAAGCACACCGTAACACCAAGTAAGATACAATCTCGAGAGATGAATGTTGCCGACCGCTTGCTTCTCTAGTTATACCAACGTTAGTAACGGCCGCACGATAGCAATACACAGCGGTCCAAAAAGCCACTCTATAGCTACAAATAATGCTCAGAGCAGCACCTAACCTCATCAACAGTACATATAGGGTTCCAGCCACAGCACTAGACACCAAATATCTTTTTAAGCTTTGTCTAATTTCTTTACCAAAAATATAATTTTGGAATAACAACAGCCACCTCAACAAATTTACTCTAGGAGTTCCCATCTGGGCTTACTTGTACTGTAAGAATTTGTGAGGGGTTGTGTGAAGAACCTAAACCAGGAAAAATAAAACCATTGATTTGATATATAAATGTATGAAGTTAGTCGTACACTTCAATGATGCATGGTTTCAACATCCAGTGTAATTTAACGAGTAACAAACACTATACGACTGAGCTGAAACACGTTTTTTCTGGTTACAGTTATTCCCTTCAAGAATGAAATGGCCATGGAGCTGCTTGAGAAGGGACGCGTACGATTCTGGACCCAGCTGGAGAAATTCACTCAGGACTGCAAAGTGGAGTACGTCTTTAATGATGTCATCATTTCTCAGGGAAAGGTAGGAATCATGCTCATCGAGTCCGTCTCACCTCTTAAATTCATTCTGTCCTGGTTGCGGACTTCTGTTGAATTTTGATTATCTGGGTTTCTTGTTTATTTCTTGCTCTTTTTTGCCTCCAGAAATACACAATGAACTTCGACAAGACCACCGGCGTCATTGAGATGTTTATGGACTCTCTGGAAGTCACTGATGAGGGAACATTCACCTTTGACATGGTGGATGGAAAAGCTAAGGGTACAACCAGTCTGGTGCTCATTGGAGACGGTAAGATCTCTTTTCCTGCAGTTAACGTGTTTGTCCATTGAGGGGCAGCAGAAGACAACCCTTTTTTTCTATTTCTTGATGTAACTGACTTTCTCATGCCTGCAATATCAGTCCAGGATTTCAGTGAAAGTGCTGAGAATCGGGAATTTGACACTTTTTTGTTGTTTGTCAGAATTCAGGGAGCTTCAAAAGAAATCAGAGTTTGAAAGAGCAGAATGGGTCAGGAAACAAGGTGAGAAAACTTGATTATTTCAAGAGTTGCATCGAACACACCACAGGATAAGTGGTTTATTTCAGTAATTATCTTAATTATTATCTTGACAATCCACAGGTCCTCACTTTGTGGAGTACCTTGGCTTCACTGTTACTCAAGAGTGCAATGTGCTGTTGAAATGCAAAGTAAGAAAAGTTTCACAAAACTAAAGTGCAGCTGTGTATAATTTTTAAAGGATAAATTGCATCATGGCAGTTTCAGTCTGAGTGAGCCAACTTTTTTCCAATATATCTTCCGTTTGTCATCAGATTGGAAATGTCAGACCAGAGACTGAGATCACCTGGTCTAAGGACAGCATTGAGATTGCTGAGGAAGACGAGGACGCCAAGAAAATCGAGAGAACGGACGGCGAGCTGACCTTTAATATCGGAAAGGTCAGCCCATTAGACAGAGGCCGTACTTTGTCAAGAGTCGTGAGCTGCTGAGTAAAGAGCTAAAAGCCGCGCTTGTGATGCAGCCATGCTTCCGCTGCAGAGCTATGTTAAATGCTACGCTAGCAGCCATCCCTCTCAGACACACAGAACCATAAATGATGAAACACTTTTAAAAATATTCCTGAGTGCTGATGGAGTCAGAGCGTCAGTATACTGAACTCAAGAACTGGAAGAGATATATTGAGCTCAGCTGACTCCTTGTAGTGGATTTATTGCAGAAATTATCATTGTGTCATTATATACTGTATATGTTTTTATATAATAGAGTAATTGACTTTATTTTTTCAACATTTATACCCATATAGTGTAAATTCACTATACGGTTTATCTGTGTGATTACTTCATCAACTTCATGGCTAACACTGTTCAGTTTAACTTTACTTGGAACCTCATGCAGATATTTTAAAGCTCTTTTCAGGCTTGAATATCATCTGTCAGTGAGGTCCAAGTGAAGTTTTATTGATGCTTAAAACTGTGCATACATTATCCATGAGGAGGGGGTTGGAGTCATTGCATGAGCTCAAGGGAGGCGGCCTGTTCGTCGCCGTTCCTGTCATTTGCTTTTTGCATTAACTGGCTTATCTGTCTAATTCACAGTGGGTTATTAAGCAGGAGATACAGACAGAAAGCGAAAAAGGAAGAAAAAAGGCTCCTGCAGAAGAAGTTCCCCCGCCACCAAGACCCAAAGTCTGGACATTATCTTTGCAGTCATAAGTTCATGCCTATAATCCCTCCATGTGTTCTCCTTGTCTGACCCTTATTCATGTTCATGTTTTCCCATAAACACCTGCAGCATCCTGGGCAGGAGAAAAGCTTGCCTTTTCGGTTTAGACTGTCTCTGTGTGGCTGTTCTGTTGCCTTTTGTCAGTCCCAAAAATTATACTGTATCCCTTTTGATTTAAGAAGAAGAAAAGCCGTCCCTTTTTCTTGTTTACTGAAGTTTTCACCTCAAACTTTAGATCAGCAAAACCGATGCGGGTGTCTATGACGTCTTCCTGAGCGACGACAGAGGCAAAGATAGGAGCACATTCAACCTGACAGATGAAGGTATTGTCAGTCTCTTACATTATATCTAAAGAAATAGAGTAGAAAACAATTGAAAGAATCTTACAAGAAAGTGGCGTCAGTGAATATGACTTAAGTGGCTATTTTCATCTTTTTTTCCCAGGATACCAGGCTGTAATGAATGAACTGTTCAGGGTCATTGGTGAGTCATTAAGCTTCACACTTACCAAGCAGTAATGAAACTTCATACAGAAACCTCTGGAAAATGAACTTACTGTACTTTTTCACAGGCCCTGCAGAAAGGTGCAAAGGACCGTAACAAATTTATTGGTTTCCACAGGATGTGGAAAAGCTCTTACCTTTTAATTTCTCTCCTTTCAGCCAACTCCTCCACCCAGATCCAAGTCCTCAGCACTGAACATGGCATCATCCTTTACTCTGATGTTACATACCACCATGAGGATCTGCGTGTTAACTGGCTCCAAAAGTATGTTGAATAACCTGTTTGTTTATATCACATTTTAATCTCTTTTCTGGAGTCATGTGTGGTCATATACAAACAAAGAGAACCCATCCTTACCTTACTTGGCCGTTTTACACTAAATTTAACAACAAATAGTGCAAGAAATAGACAAAACAGCACTATGTTGCAACTGTAGATTAAGAATATATATTAATGTCAAGAAGGATATATTGTAATGGGAAATACCAACAAGACCTGCAGCAAATAAACTATTTACTTTAAAATAAAAAAACTCTGATAAATGAAATACAATGCTGGAAAAAGAATTACATATTTTGTAAATGTAGCGTGCCTTTAAGGTTATATTTGTGTAAAATGCATTATAACAGTGATTGTCAAGTACTCATGAGTGCAGTCTAACATATTTGACAACAGACACTGAAATCTCTCATTTTTATATCGTAAAGACAGAGTTTAATGAATATTCAGAATTTAAGAACTGACTGAAATCATTGCTCCCCTATTTCAATTCAGCTTTTCATCGTTGTCGATTATACTACACCCTGGCAGTAATGGAAATCCGTGTTGCTTTTTTCTCCATCAGAGATGCTAAGATCGCTGCCTCAGAGAGAGTTAAGGCTGGAGTCACCGGGGACCAGCTGTGGCTCAAGATCAACGAGCCTACTGAGAAAGACAAGGGCAAATACTGCATGGACATCTTTGATGGCAAGGACGGAGTAAAGAGAGTCTTTGATCTTGCCGGCCAAGGTGAGTGAGATGAGAAAATCAGATGAAAAGGCTGTATAGGACTATTTCTGTGTAAACTAATCACTATTTATTGATTATTTTGTCCGTTGCAGCATGGGAACAGGCATTTGAGGAATTCCAGAGGCTGAAGTAAGTAGAGACACCCATCTGACTCTACCCTTCTGTTGCGTAACTCTATAATTTAGCCAGAAAAGGATGTTTACATAAATAAATACTGACAGTTATCACAAACCTAAAATAGACTGTATGTACTTGGTGAGCATTTCATAGGCTCTCAAAAAAACCTTCCTGTTTTTGTAAAGTGGGGGGAAAAGGTCAGACTGTTCTGCCTGTGATACCATTTTAGGATGCTTTTGACAATGTCTGTCTCCTTCCTTCCATAGGGCTGCAGCCATCGCAGAGAGAAGTGAGTGGTTATTTATTACTTTGTTTCTCCCAGAGGATTCTGTGCTATGAAACTAACATTTTCTGGATGTAGAGGCTATTCACTTTTAATAGAATTTTAGCCAGTGGGTAAGATACAGGGGTATTTGTCATCGCCATACCAGGATCATTCACCGGTAATGGTTACCCAGGAAATTAAATTGCTTTATGCCTGCTGAAAAACCGAAACCCCATTTATGCCCTCAGTAGAGTTAAGGTATTGTGATGCTGTTCATAGAGAGAGTTTGAAAGTGAGTTAGTGTTAATTTCATGTTGTCAACACAGTAATGCTCCGCAGGTTGATTGATTTGCTTCTTGGCTCACTCTTGTGTTCCTTGTTCAGACCGTGCTCGGGTTGTTGGAGGTTTGCCAGATGTGGTTGCAATCCAAGAGGGCAAGGTGAATAAACTTGATATTCAGTCTGTTAATACACTGTAGAAAACATTTCCTCTCACCTTCCTCCTCTTTTGTCATCATGTCTTTCTTTGTGCGCTCCTTTCTTGTGGAATCTTTTTATTTTTTGTCGTATCGAACTCCTTATATCTCTCTTTTTCTACTCAGTCCCTGAACCTGACTGGCAACGTTTGGGGTGAGCCCACACCTGAGGTCAGCTGGGTAAAGAACGATAAGGAACTGGTGCCCGACGAGCACTACAAACTCAAGTTTGAGCACGGCAAGTTCGCCAGCATCACAATCGCCGCCGTCAGCACGGCTGACTCCGGCAAGTACGCACTCGTGGTCAAGAACAAGTACGGCACAGAGGCTGGCGAGTTCACCGTCAGCGTTTACAACCCAGAAGAGGAAGAGAGCAAAGAGGAGAAGAAAGGCTAAAGGATGAGGCTGTGTGATTCAGTTTAGGAGAAAAGATGGACGACAGGGCTATCTCAAAAGCATTTACCCCGGCACATGCCGGTGCAACAAGGCAGTTCAAATAAAAGATGAATACAGCTGCTTCCTCCTGCGTCTTTCATGTGCTGGGCTAAAAAGCTTGGGTATTACTTGTCAAAGAGTTAAACAATGTTTGTAATAAGGAGAGGATAATTGTGCTTGTAGTGGCTTGGGATGTCTTCTGTCAAGTCAGGCAAATAAAGTAATAAATGTGATGTCTGATCATGGGAGATGGTTTGCTAATTGTTGCTTCAAAAGATCATAAAAGCCAGCAATACAATTAATTAAGAAAATTTTGACCTTAGAGCTTGAGGTCTGTGTAAAAAAATTAAAGAAAACTGATGTCATGAACTTCTGAGCAAGTATCTGCTTTGTATTGTTCGACATACCCCATGCTACGCTCTTGGTGTCTATTTATAGCAGCTGCTATGTCAGAACTGTGCCGTGTGCAGAAGTATGGTATGTGCCTTGAGTGTACTGTTTGCAAGCCAATTGTGTCATTACGAGAGTTTGCGGCGGGGGGGGGGGTAAGGAAAACCCTTATGACGTGTTGTTTAAGAGTGACAACATTTGATGGTGGAAACTGGTTCATTCAAGGTATCTCACACAACCCTAAAAAGCCCTGAGCAAAATATTACAGGCAGAACTGGAATACTCTCCTAGGTCTAATCTGTAAAACTGGAAACCCTAGACTGTCACAATCATGTGTTGAAAGGGGAGGAACAATGGAGGGAAATCACTTTGGCCTGCAGCTTGTGGTCTGAGGCTGTGTGTCTAATAAATATGGTAAGTTAAACGTGTCTGTTTGTCTTCAGAATCACCCCATGTTACACTAAAGGTGCATCTAATTTTAGCAGGTTTTCATTTGTCGTCACATAATCTTCCATAAGCGCCTATTCATCTATAGATCACTTACCTTAATTCAAACTATTTGCAAGAAGCTGAGTAGTTGAGGCCAAGTGATGGCTTGTCCTATAGAAGGTACTCTGCATATAGCAAAATTTCTGCCTGCTTCTATTGTATCTGCCAAGATGCAGATCCCAGAGTATTAGTGGCCAATGCAGAATCCTGAACTATGATTGGTTACTTGCCTGGTCAGATGCAAGACTTGCTTTACAATCCGCTTCAGGTTTTTGGACTGTGTTGAACATAATCATAAATGTTCTTCCTTGAGCTGCGTCCCCCCGCTGCAGTCGATGGACTCGCCTGTAGGTCTCCATACAAACAAGCGGCTGAGAGACGGTGAGTTGTGTTTAGTCTCTGCTAAAGAAATCAGCTACGGCTGGGACCCTATATGTAACATTGATGAAGTTAGGTGCTGTTGTGAGTGTTATTTGTGGCTATAGAGTGGCTTTTTGGTTGAGCGCATGGCTCTCTGTATTGCTATCTGTGGTCGTTACTAAAGTTGGTATAACTAGAGAAGCAAGCAGTCGGCAACATTCATCTCAACGGGGTGTCTAACTCGGTGTTACAGTGTGTTTGACCCTAACTTAATACCCTCCGCCCTGACATAGTGTTGTAATTAAAAAGGGACCAGAAGATAATCCTGGTCGAGCTCACAGTGCCTTGGGAGGAGGGTTGTGAGAAGGCACACAAGAGGAAGGCCACAAAGTACCAGCAGTTAGCCCAAGACTGCAGAGACAAGGGCTGGCAGACATGGCTGTTCCCTGTGGAGATAGGGTGCCGAGGCTTCCCATCCAAGTCGGCAGGGCATTTCCTTTCAGCTATAGGCCTGGATGAGCGGAGCAGGAAGCAAGCTGCCCGAAGGATGGGGGAAGAGGCAGAAAGTGCCTCGTGTTGGCTATGGAGTAGGAGAGAGGAGGAATGCTGGAGGCCAAGGGCAGATGGGCAGTGAGCTGGTCACTCACTGTGGGCCCACCAACTGGAGGGTGTTGTGGTTGAGTTCTGAAACACCCAGAGAAGGTTGGACACCACCTGATGACAGCCACCCCTGTGGAAAAGCACTCTTATGGTCCTTACACACCAGGCCGATGTGAATATAGAACGCGAAATCACGAAATATTCGGGGGCGAATTTTGATGCGCCTGACTATACACATCAAGCCCGATGCGATTTTGCTACTTTCTGGGGGGAAAAAGATGCATCCCGGGGAAAGTCCTGCCTCCTTCGCCTCTGATTGGCTAGAAAAGCTGGAAACGTCATCACACGCTCAAGCCAAACGGTCAGCACTTATAGCCAATCAGAGGCGATAAGATAAACATATGAAACTATGGCAACAACCATTAGCTTACGTTAGCACAGATGAAAGTTAAAACAAAGACGTTTAGCAAACTGTTAAAGCACACAAACCATCTTCATATGAAAGATCCAATGCTATGACTCTCCACAAGTTGTCATTCAGATCGTTATCTTTGTAATGTTTGTGTTTTTTATCAAAAAGCACTCTGTTCTCCGACACGTAAACAATCAGCTGGTCGGCCATGTTGGGTATACCTGCGAATCAGACATCGCAACAACACGCAATCTGATTGCTCAGAAGTCCCGCAATATTGCAGGACGAGAAAACGTCGCTGATATGTACGCCTGTATTGACAGGATACGGGTTTGAAATAATCACACGACAAAAACAGTCCCGGTGTGAAAGGACCTTCAGGTGTATGCAACAAATTTTAAGCCAGAATATCACTTTGATGCAACCAATCCCCAAGTCCAGGTCAACCCATGTGTCTTCAATAGTCTGAACTGCAGTTGGACTCGGGTTTAAGTCCTGAATGTTAGTTCCTACTATAACCCAACTATCTGCCATTTTAAGGTAAAAACAGATGTGCACACAGGATCTCTTAGTGAATGTCAGTCAGTGTAGAGTTCATTAGCAGAGACAGCAAATAAATGTTTATTGAAGTGCAAACACCTTGTGGTCCTTCATACCCATTTAAAGATCAGTGCCCTAGTTTGGCCACCCCATTCAAAAAGATTAGCTCCGCCTCTGACCTCTTTTCAAAGTCCATGGCCCCCAAATGTCGTCAGAAATGTCAGAAAACCAAGAGTCCAAACCCTCACAATGACAATTTAGCCAAATTAGGACTTTACAGTCACTTTGTATCTACTACAATGTGCTGTTCGGGTCAAAATTATGCTAAATATCATAACAGTGTTCATGTTATTGTGTAATTCTAACCCTGGACTGAACTGTCACACCGGCTGTGTGAGTGAACCACCACTGTGCGGCTCCCTGTCCCGTCAACTTCTGCGCCCTGTCTCCAGCCTCAGCAGCCAGCCACGGAGGTTCAACCACGGACACGTCAGGAGGCTTTCTCTGGCACAGATATGGGGACCCACTGAAGATACCATTTCGTCCATCTGTGGCAGCATCCCCTGACAGCGAAGGTAAATAAACAGTTTGCGATGGGATGACTTGAAGCCGTTTGGAAAGCTGTTCACCTCTGCCTGTGATAAGCCATATTTCCGAGTCCACCGACAGCTAATGTTAGCTAGCTTGTAAACTGGCTAACAGATATTGGTACGTAGAATAAACATACCCTAGACGTGTAAGTAGAAGATAGGTATCCTTTTAGTCTCGCAACAATTTAAGTGTCCGCTTTATATGGAAACCGGCGAACAAGCGCCCGTTACCGTCTCACCGTTTGCTATTGGCTAACGGTAACCGAACGACAAAACAGGAGCTAGCTCCGTGTTAACGGCTAACTCCGCACCGTATCCATTCATTTCTTTTCCTCGCTACTTACCCCCTATCCCACTGTTTATTTCTTAAATATGGACTTAAATAGAGAGAATACGATTCAAAGAAAACTCTAATAGAGATATTTTTATTTTGTGCTCTTTTATTTCCGGAATTTTCGTTCATGTAATGTTTGGATGTTTGTGTGCTGATGGCATTTCAGTCACACGACGTGTCAGCTAAAACAAATGTCAAATTTGGGATTTTAAGACCACGAAACTAGCAGCAGTGTCCGTGTGTTAAGAGTGTATCAGCTATTTATTCGCACTATATTGCCCACTGTTCAAAATAGTCTTTTATGGCTTTTAGGCAGCGCTGCCAACTCACCAAACAAAACCACCTGCTTTGTTGGAAATCACTAGAAAGTACAACCAGGAGATGGTGTGAACCAAAAGTTTTCATTTTACATGTAAATCTCGAGGAAATTACACCTACATATAGTCCCAATTGCAAGTTCCAGTGCATCAGTTTGCCAGTAACCTTACATAACCCATATCACTAAAAAAGGCTGTATCACCAATGGAGGCCCTCAGCAGACATGCATCCACTCTCACAGTGGGTTTACACGAGCACAGTGGCTTAATCACAATGAAACTGTCTGTCCAATAGTAATTAAAATAAGTAAATAAGGGGTTGTATATTCCTTTTGTTTAACAGCAATGCACCAATTGTGATTGTATTCCATATTATTAGCAAGCTACACAGGAGTGCGAAACTAGTCAGGGACTCTTTTGGAAATCTACAAGAGTTAAATGTCTTTAAAAAGTAGCAATGCCATATTTTCACTACTTAAGTGAAAACAAGAGGACAGCCAGAGTTTTAAATCTACTTACTACACTTTCAGAATCCGAATCCGAATGTCCTTTATTGTCATCATACTAAAAGCACAACGAGATTGGAGAGCTTCTCCTTTTCCAGTGCAATAGACAAGTAAAAATAAGGTAGTAAAAGTACAAATATTTGTAAGAAAGAAGGCACTATATATACAAGACAAGAGTTCAACAGAACAGTAAAGTAAATGTATAAGAAAGAGAAATACTAAAGAGAATTATCAAAAATGGATATGTGTGTGTTTGAATATATGTAAATTTTTTATATGTATCTGGACATGTATTCTGCCTTCTTTCTGCCTTCTTCTCCTGTATTGCGTCACTAATCCACCTGCGGTTTTCTGGTGATAACAGGATAATTTGTTATTTTGAGATGGCAAAACACTCTTGAAAAATTAATCATCTGTAACTGCAGATATTGAAATTCCTTCTGATATGTACTGATGTGAGAATGCGTTAATTATACACACATAATGCCGGGTTAAGGATTCCATCAGCAAGCCTAAACATGATGGTTTTATGTAAGTAATTTTGAGGGTTGTAGTCAGACAGCACAATAACTGTTTACGGTGCTTGAGAAGCACAAGTGACGTAACACCACAAACTTCATTTTGAATTACAAGAACGGTCATGTTGAACAGCACCGAATGAATACATAATTATCTGGGGTGTATCAAATGTTGTTAGTCTCGTTTAGTGTTTATTTCTAAAACAACACATAGTCAGAAACAGGTTAACAGATAAATTCAAGTTTAGGAGAGACTTTATGTCTTTTATAATGAAAATCAGTTTTGGCTATCATGTCATAAGATATTGAGATAATTTAATCTGTTTTAGGGTGAAATCAGCAATTGTTATCCTAAGGTAACTAGTAAAATGGTTTCAAACAAGTGAAATCCACTTCACAGCAAACCAAATAGAGTAATAGTGAGAAAACATCCCAAATTACCAAAATTATCACAAGAAAATTGAGTAAATTAGATGTGGATAGAATAGGATGCATGTTCTCACAGGACTTCTGTAATTATGTTGCTTAATGAGCGGTGTAGTTAAACTAATTTATATAGATTGTGTTTTACTCCTCATGAAAAGTATCCTCTTGTTTACTTTTGCTTAGGCTGATGTGAACTGGAAAAATACTGGATTGTTCTACCTTACCCTGTAAAGAAATACCATACAGTTTTTTTTCTGAACTATTAGAGTGTATGCTTTCATGGCAGAATATGTAAAGCCGGAAAGTAAACAGTCTGTCTGAGGTTACTGTAGCCATGGCTTATGTCACATGCATAATAAGTAGGCTCATTTTGCTGCTCTGTAGGGCTACCCAATACCTGAGAGTGTAACATGAAGCCTGTGTGGTCTGGTTGGCCTGCTCCGTCGCACAACAGATTCTTTTGTCATCCTCGTCAAAACAATTGAACTCTGGATCTTTCCGGATGAAGACCAATATCTGTGGCTTTACTCATCTGATTCTTAGGACAAATACAGAATAGTCAGTGTAGTCAGTAACTGCTGGTTATTTGTGACCACAGCTCGAGGGATTTTTCATATCAAAGGAAAGTTTTAATCTATTTGTGCATGACTCTTCTCAAATATTCAAACCTAAAACAGATCCCAGCTGAGGGGGAGGGTGAACAAACAGCCTGCACTCAGTTGGCCTCTCTGTTTTGTTTGATAATGTTTACAAAAGAGCTAGCAGATGGGACAGTAGGGATGAGGCCTTTTTGGAAGAGCCTTGCGTGTTAGATTTATTGAAGGCACTCAATGAGGACCGCAACCAGGCAGGACATTGCTTGAAGTCAGATCGTAATGAACCCCCTGATGACAAAAGCATGTTTGAGTTCATCGCCAGTGTCTTGAGTGTGCTCCCTCCATCTGTCATGAATACAGATATGAGCTTTTGAGCTAATATTTAACCCTGGCAGGGATTGTCATCAAGGCACTGGCAGAATTTTCACCTGTTTACTTTCATGATCGCATTTAAAGTTAATGTGCAACTAAAGCTCAACATGTTCAAGTCCATTGTAGGGAGTGCGGCATTGGTTCGCTCCGGTAGCAAATCAATGTCATCAATTCCTTCTCCGCTTCCCCTTTTGATTAGTCATGCACAATGGAAGCACACGCAGCAACGATTGTACCGTACATGTGACTGACGCTGCAAGAACACCACACTGAGGAGATGTGCTTGTTTTTTTCCTGAGCTTGTGCTCTTATCAGGGGGAAAACATTGCATAGCAGCTCACAGCAATTAGCTGCCACTTATCAGACACACACCACCACCGTAAAGAGGTCATCCCATTGGCTGATTCCGCTGTGTCCTGTCAGCTAACTGGACGGACGCATCTCTCAAGGAATAGCCCCAGAGAAAGGATGACAAGGTTTATGATCGTGTTGCGCAATCGCCACTGGTATCAGATAGCGGTGTGCCGGTATTTACCCATGTAAGGGTTTTTCCATCATGATTAGGTGGACCATGATTGAGAATGTATTGAAGATGGCAGGGAGGTTGTATCATCATAATCTGAAGGAGGGAGAACTTGGGTCACAGTGGAGTTTCCTAAGGTAGAGTAAGGAAGAGCCAAAAGAGATGAAGAGACAGAGATCGTGGGGCGACCAGGATGCCCTGGAAAGCACCACAGAAGACAACACAGACAACAGTGATGAGTCCTCATCTCTGAAGTCTTCTTGGTCCCTGGTGAGTCAGCGCTGACAAGTTTCTGTCTCTGTCTGTCTCAGCTTGGGCCCGGTGCTGGAGGGCCTTACTACTCTCTTCGTCATCATCCTGTATTGTTTGATTTGGCAGGTTGCTTAGCTTTGTGGTTTATTTTTATTGCCAAGCCCAATGGGTTTGTACCTGACCACAGTGAATCAGGTGGATTATATGAGTCTTAAGACTGCATACAAATGTGTTTTTATAGAGATAAGTTAGACTAAGAAAGTGTGGACACTGATATAATGTTTGTGTTGAAGATAGTTGAATCTCTTTCTATTTCTCCTACAAAGTCTGTTCTGTTTCATTTGTAGCTGAGGGTATGGCAGTTGATAGTGTGTACTGAAGGTATTGGTGGCAGGCTGGCAGCAGGTAAATCGTGTTTGTCACATGTGACAGGGGTGAGATAACTAAATACTGGCACGATTCCAGACAGCTCCTATCAATACAGAATGTTTCTTACAACATTATAAGCCTCAGTAGTGTTTTGAAGCCTTATTCGACAGCATCAATTTATTGTTGATTTTTGCATGCAGTTCTGCAGAGTGTCTGTCTGTCCATGTGACATCCACTGTGGTGTCAGAATAAAAGTGAAAGTTAGTTACATAACGCTCCAAATTTACACTGTGTTTCCTCTTGGACCACAGCAAGGCATTGTTCTGTGTCCAGAGGAACAGAGATCCTGAAATAGATATAAACATTGATTGAATGAACCAACAGCATGCTGGTGGATTGAACTTTTTATCCCATACAAAGTGAAATTATTTGTTTGTGCAATCCTGTGTTGCTGCTAAAAAGTTCATCACCCATTATGCATTATTTATAAAAGGATTAACCCACCAAATCACCAGTAAGGTAATGTAAATAGAGTTTTTTTTATTGGAAAGCTTTCATGGAAAATAGATAAACTACTTATACTTAGGACTGGGCGATCTGGCCAAAAAGATGATCAAAAATAAATACCAAATAAGACGTTAAATAACTTTTCTTCTCAACAGTAACATCTTTAGAGGATGACTCAAAGTCATGGCTGACACATATTTTACTGCCCTCAGTTCCACGTTTGGTTACTGTGTTTGCTTGTCCAGCAACTTACAGAAGTGAGCAGGAAAAGCTTGACTCTGATTGGCTGTTGTGATGCACGTTTTCGCCAAGTTTGATCAAGTAGATAAGCTCACAGCTGATCACCATGATCGGACTGAAATTTATCACGATCATATAATCGCCCAGTCCTACTTATACTAGATATTAGGGGTGGGAGAAAAAATCATTTCACATAAGTATTGTGATTTTTTGCTTTACAATTTTTAAATCGATTTTTATGTTCAAAAATCGTTTTTTTTTTTTCAGATTTAAGAATAAATCTTAAAAATTGACTTACATGTGAGGGGTATTTTTGGGAAAATATGGTTCCTGGAATAGTCACTGGACAATTATAATCATTCAACTTTTAAACTGGTGTTAAGAATCCAGACTAAAAATCGACAATATCGTAGAACCGCAATTTAAATCGAATCGGCATCCAAAAAATCGTAGAAGAATCCGATCTGTTGAAAAGCATATGGTCCCAGCCCTACTAGATGTTACATGAGAAAATCACATTCTGGCTGATATCAATCTATTAATCAGCTTTCTTCCTTTTCTAAACTAAACACTATATCAATGTCCTCCTTCAGTCAAACTCAAATTTTTGCCAAACCTAGAATCAAGAGAAACCTGTTGAAAACACGGGGTATTGTGTCAAACTTAAAGAACTTAATGAAGTAATTGCACACAGTATAGCATATTCTTCTTACACCATGTAGGCCTTTTCTTTGCTTTAGAAGTAGTTAACAGTGTAGGTTATTATGTTTCCTTTAAGCTGAGACTACTTGCCTTCGAGATAAAATCAACTTCAAAACAGTCTTGACAGTTTTCCAGAGACAGAGTAAAACGTCTTTCTTCTCTGTTCTGGTTATCTCCTGACAGATCTACTTTCGCTGCATTCCTCAAATGAATTATAGTCAACAAAAAACACAAACTCTGGCATGTTTGTATTTTTCCACCCCCCCTTTTTTTTGTAGAAATGCAGGTTAAGTTCCTAGAAAGAATCTGAGTTTCCTGTTGTTGACAGAAGGCGTCGCATTAAGTCACGTGCCTCTCTCTCCAGCCCTCTGAAAAGTCAACACAGAGTGATGGATGGACTTCATGATTGTCGTCTGTTTGTGTGGTTGGAAATGCGAGTTATTCTTAGTGGCCTGCGTATGTCAATATTTTACCGCTGTGTCTTCACTTGCCTTCTCTCTGGTGATATATATCATGCCAGTTACACATGTTCCATGATGCCAGCCTTGCACAAATGCCACTATTCTCTCCCCCAGCAGACCCCACCCCCCTAATGCTCTCATGGCTAGAATCTGAACAAAAGGTCAGTGTAAGATAGGAGCATTTTAGGTTACATAAACGCAGTGAAGTCAGCAGGGGAATGTGTTTACTAGCCCCACTAAACTAGACCCTGACCTGAGCAAACTGAAATTATGTTTACCAAGTTATCTGTCTGTATCACAGTGTGCGAAGGACTGGAAATGATTTAGCTCAGTAAAACTCAGTGAAGAAGTCCGAGGAAAGCTGGAAAGTTAGTGTGATTATGTCTGATTACCTTAGGTTCCTGTGTAGTTTTCCCCCCGTTTGACCCCCTTTTACTGCCTGTGAAAGAATTTACAACCTTTCTGACTGTTTCTTCCAAGTAACAAAGTAATGTCTGGAGAAAAATGTGTGCGCAGTTAATCCGAGCCTGATTAATTATAGCCACAGAGGTCTGGTTTTCAGTGCTTTATTTGATCTACTTAGCGGAGTTATGAATGTAAACAGGAAGTCAGCTGCCTCCATGGCAGCAGTGCAGTGGGAACTCTGTGTGAGGTTGTCTCTTATTGTTTGAGCCCAGCCGTCAGCCCCCCTCTCTGATGTTGCTCATGTGGGACAGCGGCCAGCGACGGGGCAACAGTGGAACTCTGGCAGCCTGTATGCGGGTCAGGAGATAACAGACACCACAGGACAGGCAGGCTGAGAAAGAGCCGAGGGGCGAAAACACAACACGAACGAGGAGCGTGACGGTCCAGAAGAAGATACTTAGACAGAAGAAACAAGAGTGGATAGACTGAGATAGTAGAAATGAGTCTACACACTTCAGACTGACCTCCTCATTTGGACTGTAAACAGGACACTCATCCTGTCTTTGCATTTACTCAGCTAATATTTAGTTCTTTTCCCACCTCCAGGCGGACACCATGAACTACGTGGGCCAGCTGGCAGGTCAGGTGCTGGTTACCGTCAAAGAACTGTACAAGGGCATCAATCAGGCCACATTATCGGGCTGCATTGATGTCGTGGTCGTCCGCCAGAGAGATGGCACCTATCAGTGCTCACCGTTCCACGTGCGCTTCGGCAAGCTGGGTGTACTACGCTCCAAAGAGAAAGTTGTAAGTAACTTTTTGTCTTGTGTGATTGTTGCTATTTTTTGTCTCTGCTGATTCATCATTCAGATATTAAATTCTGTATCATTACCCTTCATATCTCAGCAAAGAAATGTTTCTGGAGCTGTATTTATGTAAGCGACAGAGTTTATGTTTGTTATCCAAGCAGCAGGCCCCATCCATCACATAAAGCTCTCTTTTTAATATTTTCTCCTGTTTTGGTCAGACTTAGAGATCTTAAACGGAATTTATGCAGGGTATGAGGCTTGTGCTGTGTACGCTTGTTTCCAAACTAAGTCATTTGAGCTCGTCAAAAAACAAAAACCACACACACACAGGACAGTGTATATTTGTTCAGAATGTGCCTTATTGACATTACCTTGAATGTACAGTCACATTGGGCCTCCTTTCTGAGAAGTCGGGTCATAGGTTATAAATAAATATTGAACAGTGAGTTACAGAATGATAGCATGCTTCTCAGTCGCAATAATGTTAGTTTTGCCACCTGTAAACCAATTAAATGTTGACATCTACAGTATGTATGTTTTAAAGTGTCCATTAGCTTTTAATCATACACAGATGTTTAATTCCTGTTTGAAAAAGGAGGGCTATAAATTAACTTTGATTACATTTGAATTTATAGGAAACCGTCTGCAGGAAAACACTAATTTAGCTTTATTGTGTGTGCTGTTCTGATACCCTAGAGCAGGGGTGTCGAGCTCAACCACAGCAAGGGCCATAATCTGGATTTAGGTCTAACCTGAGGGCCAAACAGGGTCAACAAAACTGTCAACCTCCTTTTCAAAAAATATGTAACAAAAACAGCAGTGATTATGAATCATTTGGAAATTCTAAAAAGATAAGTTTAAAGGCAGTCTGAGATAGAAAAAAAATATTAGATTTTAATTTTTTATTCTATTTTTATTTATTAGTTCAAAAGATCAGAGCATGATATTAAAAATAGAAAAATAATGCTTTTAAAGGGCAAATACACGAGGAGAACATTGAAATCATGTTTAAAAGGTCAAAATATGAATTAAAATTAAAACTGGAATCTAAAGTAAAGAAATGGCACGAGTCTAAATACTGAGTTGAACAAAATCAAAGCATGAAATAAAAAATCCAATCATGTTTGACTTGTAATCTTGAGATGCAAAATTGAAAACATGAAATAAAACATCAAATATTTTTCCCCTACATCCTTGACTATTTATCAAATCTTCCTAACTCTTTAATTTCCCGGATTTCGTGGCTTATTAAGGACATTTTAAACAATGGTGCTAAAGTTTACATTATTATACTGAAGGAAATCTTAAGACTTCATACTGGTGGGCCAATGATAATACAAATATGATATGATATTGTGGGCCAGATATAGTTGTTCCACGGGCCAGATTTGGTCTCCCAGGCCTTGAGTTTGACACCTGTGCCCTGGAGTATCCAGGCCTTTCACCCTCTTCACAGGAGCTGTTACTATACATTCTTGATCCAGTTAATCTTGGAGGAAGAGTGGTGCTATATTTAGTGCGTTCATACTAGAGAAAATTGCATTTTGCACCTTTGCTTTGGCCTAATTGACAGATGTTGAGAACAAGTTCAGCCTCTGTTGCAAGTTCTTGTAATATAAATACATTGAACGATACTAATATATTGTATAAAGACAGCATAGTTGTGAAATAGAGCCAAGTATTGTGGCTCTGCAGATCAGCTGATTCAGAGTCATAAAACACAGCCTTTCTTGTATATCAGATGAGGTTACTTTGGTGTATTAGCTTACATAAAAAAATCACAATATTCCTCACTGTTCTTTAAGCAATTAGTAACGGCTGATATTAAACGGTGATTATGGTTTAATATGTTTTCCACTGATTGTCCGGTTCTTCTATTCTTAGACCAGTCACACTGTGCTCTGACTAGAAGAAAGCGTATTTTCTTGCTTTTGGACCAGAGTGGGTGATGATTTGCGGGGGATTGACACTGTCTCTACACCTACTCAGAATGCTGATGGGGCTCAGAGGGAGTACTGAATGAGTGGTTCCTATGGCAACAGCTCTACAACTTGAATGTGTGGGAGGGGGAGGAGAAAACGTGAAGAAGGTCTCAATAACAAGGGCTGTTGTGTAACAGTTATGCATGATGAGCCCCTGAGTTGCTTTTTTTTCAGATGCTCAAGGGTTTCAGCTCAATATAAAGTTTTATTTCAGAAGTTTCTGAGCCAAAATAAATGATGAAAATTTTAAAGAGATGTTTTTAGAATAAGAGAGAGGGAATAAAAGTGTTATAACCAGTCAAATACTAATTGAATTTTGGCTTTCAAAAGTGTCCCCGTCTCTGTACTCGCATTTTCAGTTGGCAATCAAACATGTTTTAAAGTGCTGTTTGACTCCAGCTTTGACGACAACTTCACTTAGCCATACATAAATCATTCATCTCTTCTTTTTCTGGGCTGAATGAGGTACAAGCTTCTAAAGTGACACTGTCAGATAAAACAGACAGAGAGAGAGAGAGAGACAATCCAATACTGTGGCCTGATTTGAGTATCTGCCTGCCTCCAGTAATTCCAGTAATCAAGCATGGCGTTGGCACATCCACAGCTCAGCCACTCCAGTGAATGTAACTTGCCACTGACTGTGAAAGGTTGAAGAGGGCCCTCATTTATTCTGCCTCATTATTAACCGGGCATTGAGATTCCCAGCCATCGCTCACCACATATAAACCCCCCTCAGCAACCTTGAGGGCATAAAAAAGGATGTTGGAGCCGCAAGGAAAACCACACATACTGAAAAGTACAACATGGCGGATCACAAAAGAATACAAAAAAAATATGGTACTGGTGGGCGTCAGTCGAATTTTAATATCGATGATTAGATTTCAGGTTGTCAGTCTGGGGCCGAGCACTTGTGAGTCAAATTGTCCCTCCTCTTTAGTCTCTGCCAGACGTGACCTGGTTTCTTCTTTTGTGGTGTCAAGTTTCTGAATGGCCACAGATCCACTGGGGGTTTTTCCTGGCAGTCTTGAATGGCCGTGTTCTGTTGGCAGGCTCCACAGTACGCAAGCCCAGAGGACTAATACACTTATTAGGTTTGAAAAGCCCCAAGGAGATTGGATGTAAGTAGTTGGTAGACTCCCACTGTGTGTAGCCTGATAAAAAGCTGGAGCAGTTGTTTTTTTTAATCCACTGAAATGCAAGGATGCTGCAGACAAATAGATAAAAAACACAATGCTGAGTGTACATTTGTGTTTTTTTTCTCTCTCAGCGACTATAACGCGACATTGCTGCTTGTGTGTTCTGGCAAATTCTTTCAGATCGACATTGAAGTGAATGGAGAGCCGGTGGAACTGCACATGAAGCTCGGTGACAATGGAGAGGCCTTTTTTGTTCAGGAAACAGAGCAGCTGAACGTAAGCACCCAAATCACTCCACGGATTAATAAAGCTTTTAACTTTGAAAAATGAAATTGTAAACAACGACACGGACCCACATTTTGAAGCAGTTATTGAGTGATTTGAGTATAGAATTAAAATCAAACATTTTAAGATGAGATTGTTGTTTGTTTCAGTCTGCAAGAAATTCGTATGGTATTTTTTTACATAAACTTTTCATTTGACTATGCCTCAAGAAAATGCCATACCAAAAAGAAAATCAAAAAGGATTGAAAATAATTCTCAACACATCACACCGAAACAGCTCATGACACCATGACCAAACAGCGGTTTTATAAAGTGAGTTTTGTTGCACAAGGGTGAGGCAAATTTCTGTGACATTTCAGAGAAAAAGCTGCTCTGTCCTGGACCTGGCGGATGTGAGTCACAGACTTCACTACGCCGCCTTTGTTCAAACATATCTTAAGCCTGGGGGTCTTTCCGTGCCTTGTTTCAGCAGATTATCCCTGCCCACCTGGCCACCTCTCCTATCCCCACTGAGAGTCACCTGTTCTGGATCTCAGAGGTGGAGCACAAAGAGTTGGATGACACCGCTGACCTGGAAGACCCCCCTGATCCCCCTGTGCCCAGCACTCTGGCCATAAAGAAGAAGAAGAGACGGAGGAAGAAGCACAAAGGAGATCCACGCAGAGAGGAGCTGACCCCGCCCATGTCAGTCACTATTAGTAATACTAATGCTGCTAACATACCTGCTGCTATGACTGCTGCTATGTCCAGCACTGGACAAAATGAAGACATCTTTGAGATGGACCTGAGCTCAGACGAGGAAGCTGCAGTACGTGTGTCAAGGTGGGTCCAGGATCAGTTCTTGACCTAAAAATGAATCTGTTTGATTGATAATTAGTAGATGGGTTAATTTTCTAATTAATTTGTCTGTTTCACCATCAATTTAGGTCACCATCAGTGACCACAATGAGAGATATTGACCCCAAATTACCAGCAGCCAGACACAACCTTGATGGTTATCCTCTGTCTGATGGGGACTGGCCAGCTGATGACAGGCATGTAATTTAATGAACATGTAGTCATCAGTAAGGGTGTTACAAAAACATGTAAATATTGTATTTTAATGCATTTTCTCATCCACTCCTTTAGCCATGGCTTGTCTCAGGCCTTCTCCCCAAAGAGCGACTCTGAACTGGTCGTCAGGCCCTCAGAGAGTCTGCTCCGAGCCGAGTCCCACATGCAGTGGACCTGGGGCGAGTTTCCAGAAACAGCCAGGGTAAGCACTCCTTCCTCTTTGATGTGCATGATTTCCAGTGTGCTCCTCTCTCAGTAATGTTCACCCTTTATGTTCAATATTCAGGTCCCCAAAAAGGAGAAACCAGAACTCATAAAAAAAGTCACCATCACCCCGTCAGAGAGCACCCACTTCAGAGTCATTCTCAGTTCAGAGGCCATGGAAAACGAGACAGAGACTGAAAAAGAAGACACTCCCCCCTCCTCCTCCTCAGTGTGTACCATTGTCAAGCCCGAGCCTCGCACCCCTGTGACTACTGTAACATCTGATAGTCTCCTCTCACCTGTCAGCACCATAACCCCTGTGAGTCCTGTAACCCCAGCAGAGCCTCTGGATGTCCCTCAATCCATTGTGGCAACCTCCACCCCCTCCAACAGCCAACAGACTGACTCCCCCTCCAAGAAGAAAGGTACTTTTATCTTCCGTGAGCCACTTCTTGGGTTTGCTCTTGTTTTGGGTGTACAATAACTAACTAAGATGTTTTTATGCAGGTGTCCCAAAAAGGAGCCAGCATCAGGGGCCTGAGGATATCTACCTTGATGACCTGAATGTACTTGAACCTGATGTTGCTGCACGATATTTTCCTAAGAGGTTAGATGATGAAAGAGGCGCCTAATTAATGTTGCTGCTTGGCCTAATTTTGTTGAAATTGGAAAGCTAAGTGCACTCTATTTTAAAACTGGTTATATAACAGATATAGTCTGGGAAAACGACACTTCATGCTTCTTTTGCTGCAGTGAATCTGAGGCGGCGACGAAGCACTGGATGGACTCAGAGATCCGCTCCGGTTCACAGTCTCCACAGTCGGTGGGCAGCGCGGCAGCTGACAGTGGGACAGAGTGTCTTTCTGATTCAGCAAGTGACCTCCCCGACGTCACTCTTTCTCTGTGTGGAGGCCTCACAGAAAATGCTGAAATATCCAAAGGTATACCAGAACGGCACTCATAAAAAATGTAGAGCACAGCGCTTCATGCAGGGTTTGACCTCAGCTTGCTTAGACAAACAAAACTCATTGTGTAACCAGAGTTTCCCCGATGATAGCAACACCAAAAAGCAACAAAACAAGTTATTAAAGCTTCTTTACGACCTAAAAATCTGTTTTGTATATGTTACAGCTTTATTGCTCACTCACATTTCCCCTTGAAAGTCACAAATTCAAACATGTCTTTGCTGAATGTCTTCTTCACTGTTTTTTTTCACTCCGGTCCTCGTTTGTTTTGACAAATTATACAAAAAAATGTCAGTATCGACATACCTATCAGCTAATATCACCCTTTGACAATAAGTTTCTCGACCCTGCACTGCTGACATTTCCATCTACTCTAATTAATGCTCCTCTTTCCTCTGTGTTTGCAGAAAGGTTCATGGAGCATATCATCACCTATAATGAATTCGCTGAGAATCCAGCGATCATAGATAACCCCAACCTGGTTGTAAAGATAGGAAATAGGTAAGTAAGCATATTTTAAGAACCACAAGTGAAATGTACAATAGATAATATTTCAAGTGTGTTCATCATGTGTTCATCGATTACTTTCTGTTATCTTAGGTATTATAATTGGACGCTAGCCGCACCCTTGATTCTTAGCTTGCAAGCATTTCAGAAGAATTTACCAAAGGTATGTTGTTGTTGTTCTTCCTCCCTGTACTGACATTCACAGTTCATTGGCATGAAGCTTGTTTTTTTGACTGCTGTTGTGTTAATGATTATGCTAGGCTACAGAGGAGGCCTGGGTGAAGGAGAAAATGCCAAAGAAGTCAGGTCGCTGGTGGTTCTGGCGAAAAAGGGCGGACAGTACAATCAAGCAGGTGTGCACGTTTGAAATAAACCAACCTCATCATTTTTAGCCAGATTCAAACCCCTGCGCAGGATAAAGTTTTAGGACTGTCTTTGAATATTTTTCCTTTCTTCTTGTAGTCAGAGACTAAGCTTGAAACAAAGGAGGAGTCTCAACTGGAGGAGGAAGGACCCTCAATATCTCAGGAGAAACTGCCCATGCCGTAAGTTATACTAGCGTTTATTCATTACTCATTAAAACTGGAAGAGTTCAACGGCACAGTGAACATTGGTATGACTCAGAAAAACACATCTGTAGCTCCATAAACACGTCACTTTATGGCAGTTCTGCATGATCACATGATTTTGTTGTGTTGAACACAAATGTTTTGAAAGAGTTAAAGAGCTGAGTTCAGGAGGACAGTTTAATGAATTTAAGTAGCCTCAAATCCTCATCAGTTCAGAGGCTATACTGTTTTACTTCAGAGAAACACAAAAACCATCTCAGATTACTCATGAGTGTTTTTTTACAATAGTCGATCATCTGTTATCTGTGTGTGTGCATGTGTACATGTAGGCCTAAAGTGGGAGACTCATCCAGTGATGAAGAGGGCAAAGAGGTGAGTGCTGCTTCCTGCCAGGACAGACTGCAGCCTGGTGATGCGCAGCACCACCCCAGCCCACACACGTACAGGAAGTCACTACGCCTTTCCTCTGATCAGATAGTAAGTTTATTTTTGGACCCGCATGCTTCATCAGGATCTTCTACTTCTTGAAAGGATGTTTTATTCTACTGGTGCTGTCTGTCGTTTATTCTGTGTGAGTTTTTTCTTGAATGGGACAGCTTAATCTTAAGATATCAGACTGATGTTTAATGTAACAACAGGGACATGTGCTTCAATGGGTTGATTCAGCAGTGTATAGCTCCCTCTGCTGGCTGGCTTTGACCTGCTGGGTACTTACTCCTCTCACAGTCTGTAGGGGGCCCTAAAGACCTGCACATGTTCTCCGAGCAGTGCCACAGTAATTCATAAAGGAAAGTTGTGCCTCCACTGTGGGAAGAAATGTGTCGTGAATGAAACAGCCTGTGCCCTCAGATGCCTTCACCAACATCTACTTTGTTTGATCAGGCCAGTCTGAAACTGAAGGAGGGACCCAACGATGTGACTTTCAGCATCACCACCCAATACCAGGGGACGTGCCGCTGTGAGGGCACCATCTACCTGTGGAACTGGGACGACAAAGTCATTATCTCTGACATTGACGGCACCATTACAAAGTAGGTGCTTTTAAATCATTCATGACAACACTTTCAGAGCCTCAATGAACAGAGCTGTTTCTACTGGAATTAAACTACTACCATGTCATAAGCACACTGGTGAATTTTGCTCACATGAATTCCTGTTTGTATTTTACTGAGAACAAATTATTGATAAAACCAAATATTTGAGGCATGTTTTTAAAAAGTGAAAAATAATTCTGTTTTTTCTGCTTTGTGGAAATCTATGTCGTGTTTTTTGAATAGATGGTAAATTTCTTATTCAAATCGTAAAGCATGCCAGTTAAACCAATGGCATATTAGAATACAAGAGTCATTTACAGTCATGTAGAGTTGTTCCAGTTCATCTGATTGGTTGGATGGTTCAGTATCAAAAAAGGGAGGAAGAGGATGAATCAGATTTTACTGAACTCTTAATTTCCCTTTTAACTCACTTTTCTTTGCTACGTCATCGCAGTGGACGATTTCAAGTCCCTCTGAAACTCCAGATATTAATTCCATAATCCGCTTTTATTCATGTTAATCTTTTTAATTAGCTAAAAGCTAGCTTCCTTTTCTTCTGACGCAAACCTGAGGCGGTGCTGCACTGCTGCCTTCCTAAACGCCCACTTGTAGGTTTATAGGTGCTCAACATCAAACAAGTCCAGAATGACTGCAGCTTATTATCTCTGTGACCCTTTAGGTCAACCTGTGGCTTGTGGCTTTTCTTTGAGTAACAGGGTAAAGAGCACAGGGATTATAATGAGCCCATTTACATTTCTGTCTGAAAGTACATGCAGCTATAGGCTTGGGTTGAGACGGCGCTGACCCTCTGGGCTAGTGATCCTCATTAGTAGAGACGCGTCTATAATGTGCTCTTTTATGATGAAATGGTAAAGTAGTTATGGTTCTTGATGAGGTTTCTTATTTCCACACTGTACTATAGATCTACTTTATTTCCCTTTGTGCACGCGTTTCGTTGGATAAGCCTGTCTCTCAGCGATGTCCACAACAGATGTCTCCGTCTTTACGTCGCTAATGTTTGTATATGTTTGTGCAACTTTTCAGGTCAGATGTGTTTGGACAAATCCTGCCACAGTTGGGGAAGGACTGGACCCATCAGGGCATCGCCAAGCTCTACCACTCAGTCGCTGAGTAAGTGCACAACAACACTGATTAATCACAGAGGAAGGATGAATGGTCGGTCAGTGGTTAGGACTGTCTGGTTTGATTCCCAATCGTCTCCCCGCGGAGTTGATATTTCCTCCCGGTGTTTGCGTGGGGCGCTCTGAGGTGGATGACTCAGAAAGTTTAATCAAGACAAAATTATTGTAGAATCTGAAAACACACCGCCAAACCCCGGTGTCAGTGTTCGGCCACTTTCCCTAATGTGGTTCTCTTTTGAGAGTTTGAGAAAATGTCATTTGAACTTGTCTCCACTGCCTTAGTCATTCACAGAGTAGATAGTTTAATACATATGCGAGGAAATGGGGGAGGTTATATCTAATTTGACTGACAATAATCCCTGTATTTTCATGGACTTGATATGATTTCTGCACATTATGGAAGCAACCAATATAACTCATCTTGTCTAATTAAAGTGCTATTCTTGGATGCTGCTGATGGCCGTCATGATTAAACCATAATGGAAAAGTCATTAATGAGCGCTGCCTTCCCTATTTGCAGGAACGGCTACAAGTTCCTGTACTGCTCAGCGCGCGCTATCGGCATGGCAGACATGACAAGAGGTTACCTGCAGTGGGTCAACGACGGAGGCATTATCCTACCCCGGGGACCTCTTATGCTGTCGCCTAGCAGCCTCTTCTCTGCCTTTCACAGGTACAAGACTGAACAGTATATTTACTCTTGTTTTGTTGACATATTTTACTCTCTTTAACTTGTGATTCTCCCAGCCTGCAAACTTGAATTCACATTAATTATCCGCACGTTTCTGGAGTTAAAAATGTCTCAAAATCCCAGCTCTTCACAATTAGCCTTTCATATGGTGAGGTGGGTTAGGCTGCCAGAGGCTCAAACTCATGAATTTCTAACTAAGCATTGATTTGCAGCCTTGCCATCAGCTTCTCGAAACACTCTTCTGTTCAGCGTTTTCGCGCTGTCTTCTCATGACTTTATCATGTTCCTGTTTCTGAACAGTTTCTTCAGAGACAGTCAAAACCTTCAAGAATTGACTCTGATGTGAAACTGGCATGTTTATCAATTAGCCCAGTAGACTTGCAGGTTTCTGTGCACCCCTTCTCTAAAAATTTGAGCACAAAGAACCAACAATTCTTCTTAAAATGGATGCTTAAAAAGTTTAGAGGTAGACTTTTTTTTGTAGTTTTGAATAATTTAGCTATTTATTGCGGCAAAAGTGGATAGTCACAGCTCCCATGATTTAAACAGGATCAGACCATGTGACCTTTCCTGTGTACAACATTCAACTCAGCTCAACTCAGCTTTATTTGTAAAGTACTTTAAAACAACCACAACTGAACAAAGTGCTGTACATAAATAGACAAAACAATGCAGACATAAAAAAAAACAATTAAAACAATGGATAAAATAAAAGCAGATATTAAAAAGTAAAACATAGTTTCAATGTTTTAAAAAACTAATTTAAAAACAATAGAAACAAATAACTAAAAACAAACCATAAAACACTAAAACAGGAGCCGAGTCTCATGCAGGGTTGAAAGCCAATGAATAAAAATGGGTTTTAAGATGCGTCTTAAAAATGGACACTTAAGCAACTGTACAGTTGGTGGGTTTTTGTGCGATATCTTAAAGTTGTACATTTTTTATCACTTACAAGTTGCTCTGTATCCAAAGCCTCTACACTCTCATGATGCAGAGTTTCTTACAAGTTATTTTCGTATGAGTACATCATAACATGATAAAAATTCATTTGCAACAACAACAACACGGGGTGTTCAACAGGGGAGATCTCACTTATCTGGCTAATTTTCCCAAAATTGATGTAAATACACCAAAGTCATCTTCAGCCCTTCTGTCTGTGGCATGATAAGAATAATACAATATGTGCTAAAGTGACTGTAAGAGCCAATTTTTATATTTCAACAAAAAATATATTTAATTTTTCTCATAAGGAAACTAACTTTGGACTTTGGAGCTCTATAAAGTTGTATATACAGAGTGCATTAGCGGGGAAAAAGTCTAACAAAAGGGAGCAGAGAGAAGAGTGTGTGAAAGTCATCATGTATTGAACAAAGTAAAGTCCTGTCAGACTTGACCCTTGCTGAGGACATGCATATGTTTGTCTTACTAATTGAACAATCTGTTTGCTTCAGGGAGGTCATCGAGAAGAAACCGGAGATCTTCAAGATTGAATGCCTTACAGATATCAAGAACCTGTTCCAGCATAACAAGCAGCCGTTCTACGCCGCCTTTGGGAATAGAACTAATGTGAGTTAATGGCTGTTTAAAGATGTCAGACTCAGGGACATTAAAGCTCTCGTTGTGTTACATGTCACTGAGCCGTGTTTTCCAGAAGCAGATGTAGTCATGATGTATTGCAAGACCGACATGACACTTTGGCTATCAATTAGCAGACACAAACATATGAAATCAGGACTGGGCTGAACCTGAGCTGAGGTCACTGGCGGCTGGCTGTGGTCCCATGTGACACTGTCTGTGCAAGGGAGCTCAAGCCGGGCACAGCGTCTCATCTTCAGCTGCATAAACACCAACACCGAGATGAAGCTCTGGGCCGGCCATCAAACCTCAGTCTGTCTCCGATTCTCGCCAAAGAAAAGAAATCAGAAAATAACACAGTCATATCCTCACTGGCTGGAGCATGCCCATCAAAACATTCAGTCTAGAATTATTACCATCACGTGCTTTAGGTGGACACAAACAGGAAATCTGCAGTTAATCTTATTAACATGCTTATGTCACTTTTGTTTTACTGTGTAATATATTTCAGAGCCACTGTCTGGAAGCTTTTAAGCACTTGGTTGCTCATTATTATCACTTATTAAAGTAGTCAAAGTCACGTACGTTAACATCTGGACACATCAATTTTGAGGTGGGAATTTGTATACCATCTCTGATTTCTTATGAACTTATTTATAATGTCTGTTCACAGGATGTGTTTGCCTATAAGGAGGTTGGAGTCCCAGTGTGTCGGATCTTTACTGTAAACCCCAAAGGAGAGCTGATCCAGGAGCAGACTAAGGGCAACAAGTCTTCGTGAGTACTTACCTCGATCTAGACTTCCAGTCCTAGAGACAGAAAAATTGAAGTCATTAGAATAAGCAACATGTAAACTGGGGTTTAGCAATACAGAATTGCAAATGTTGTATCGCTAAGGTCAAATTTCTATTTTCCAGTTCAAATTGACTCTCTGCATCAGTGCTTCACGGCTCTGCTGTTGAAATCAATTTCACTCTTTTAACCTTTTACAGGAATTCTTCTTCTCCAGTCAAACAGAAATGCTCATATCAAATCATACTGTTGCCATAGTAAACCAGATTTCGCAGAGTCGCTGTATAGTGACATTTTGTATGGTATCCAGAACTATCATGTGATCTCCATTCCAATACATACTAATAAACATCTGATAAACTCACTCACAGCCTTATTCCAGCAGCAGCCATAGCCATCTTATAAGCTCTGGTTAACTGTATGTCTAAATGAAAAGCTGCACAAATGATTGACTATACTGATACATAAGGAAAGATATGTATCAATAGCCATGCACAGCTTGTTTTGCTGACCACAATTGACCAAAATCTACCAATTTGCTTCTTGCTTGCGCCACCCAGCTTTTAAAAAATGACCATAATGGTTATTTAAAGGCACTGTGAGGAGGTTTTAAATGGTTGAGAGGCAGGCTAAAACTGAAACTGTTGCCTCTTCATGATCTTCAAAATCAAATGAGACCATCAGAAACAAGGCTGAAAATGTCTTGAGCAGTAAATTTTGATGCATGAATCTGCTGTGAGAGGGTAGATGTCACTCTAGGTGATTGCTGGCAAGCCAAAGAAATGGCAAAAACTTTGACAAATACAGGACAAGAGAGAAGAGGTGCTACACAGGACCAGAAGTTCCTGACCAGAGCTCTAAAGATCTGCTCTTATCTGACGCCACTTTCCTGTCCTTGACCTCGTCTTTTTCTTGACAGTTACTGCCGGCTAAGCGAACTGGTGGAGCATGTGTTCCCTCTACTGAGCAAAGAGCAGAACGAGGCCTTTGTCATGCCAGAGTACAGCTCGTTCTGTTACTGGAGACAGCCCATACCAGTCATCAACCCCGATGAACTGCTCTGATCCCGCTCAGATGGATACCCAGGTATTCACAACACCGCGATCAGACTGTTGCTGCACTTGAATGCATCGTAAAGAAACACATGGACTTTTCGATATCGTTCTCAGACACGCACATCTATGACTCAACAACGAGTGTGACATAGTAACAGGGTTATGACCATACAAACTAAACAGCCTCTAAACTGTAATTACATGTCGGAGATGAGTGGTAGTTGTTCCCGGGAGAGGAAATCCTCGTTAATAATCCCTGAAATTTCTCATCATCGAAAGACCCAATCACCATTTCTCCATGCCTGTGAAGACACCCTAACACAGTGAGCACTCTCTAGTCCCCTTCACAGAACAGGGATTAGATCCGACACACATCTTTATATCTCTGTGTACCCTCGAGCAAACAGGATGGTCCGTATTAGAGGGAGGGGAAGCGACTGAAGCCCCACAAGAGGTATTAGCCCTAAGCACTGGAGACTGAGCTGTGTGGGAAATGACATTGTTTTCTTTTGCAAAGTTTCTCAAATCTTCTAAATACCTTGAAGAATTACTATTAAAAGTTTGACGCAAGAATAAACACAAGATAGGAAATTAATACTGACCGCAATTTCAGTTCCATCTTTATTTAGCTGTGGTCGCAGCGTTAATTTAGAGGCTTTATTCTGTTCTTAAACTTTCAATAAAAAGGTAATAGTAGCTGTAAAAAAAAAAGAAAAGCTGCACCCCCCACCTACACCCAGTTCTGCTGTAGGGGTAAAGGTAGTAGCAGGGGGTTGGAGAACAGGACAGAGCTGCTCAAGGTTTTCACTTGAGTTGACTGTCCACCCCGGACTGACTGTGGTCATTAGTTCGCTGTTGGCAGAACAGATTTCACTTCATCACTTCTTTCCCTCCGGGAGCTTTTGACGTTGGTACTGGATGAGTCATGTTCAGTATTGTTAATATTCAAGGTCATACCAGGGATAAACTTTGCCAACAAGTATGTGAAGAAGACCCACACTTCGATGTGACTTTAACAAAAAAAAAAAAGAAAGAAGCAGCTTCATTGGTATATTGTCTTGCTGTTATTTTTAATGTTTGTTCTGTTGTACAAGCTCTGGCGAATCAAGTGTTTTGTCAACAATGCAGTCATTATTTATGATAATTGATATGTTTAAGTTATTGATTTCTATCGTGATGCCTTTGCTTGTCTGAAAAAAAAAAGCTAATTTATCACCAATGCAATGTTGAAATACTTCAAAATTTGTATTTTGTGTGACTGGTCACTGGTTACCATGCACTTAACAGTAACTACTAGGCCTTGTACTATCTTTTTTTTTTAATCTTGTAACCCATTTTCACTCTGATCTGTGTTCATTTGTTTTGCAGTGAAATTTTCAACATGTAAGGTACATTCACATTCCTTAGGAAACCTCAGAATCTGCAGCTTTAGTATTGAAATATGTGTGTAAATGTAAATCATGATGCTTGAGTCGGAGCAGTAGAAACAAGCAGATGTGGAAAGAGCGAAAATGAAGGATCCTGGCTTGCGTGGACTCCTTAAAGAGGACATTTGGGTGATGTAATTGTGTGTTTATGTATGTGCGCGCATACCTAATCACTGAGTGCTGCTGTTATGGGTGACAGAATCACTCACCCTTTGCTTATGTTCCCTCAGTGGCTTTATGGAGACTTATCCAACGCACTTTTGTCTAAGCTGCACCCAGAGACACTGCTCAGAGCACCTCTCACCCACATGCACTTCACTGAAGGTCTCTAAAAGATTTTAGACCAGAGTATGCAATTAAAGCAGGACAGAGAGTGCTAGACTTACCTCTTTGCTGTGTGAGTGACACCACAGACAGAAATATTCTGAATTATGTCAGGAAAAGAACTTTTGAAGGAGGATTTGTGTTTGAAGGTCATGAGAGGAAGATGTAAGAATATAAGACAAAATAGTGTGTATATCGGGTGCTGACGGAGCCAGCCCTTCGCATTTGTGTGTGTTTATTTGTGTGTACGTGCGTGTGAGAGCGATAAAAGACTGACCCCGTGCCTCTGGCACCCGCAGGAAGAGCCAAATAGGTTTTGTTTGGGGATAAACAGGAAATACTTGACTGTATACAGGAAGCTTTTGAAGCGCTTCATGGCATTATGTGTGTGTGAGAAATAGGAAGAGACATGTGGGCAGATGTGCCACTCCACTTACACCGATCATACGTCCTACACAAGTGTAACAGCAGCATGCCAGCGTGTGCTAGTGCGGATTAAAAAAAGCAGAAAGACGTATGAGTAAGACTAGACGGACAAAACTTATAAACAAAGCACAATTTACAAGAGTGGCTAGATCCGATGAGTGTCCATTTGTCTTTCTTTTTATCACTCTGTAGCTCAGACGTTTCCGTGATGATAGAGATACGTGTTCAGCTTTGATTGGTTTGCTTGTTCTCTCCAGTTTGGTGAAGTCAAATAGATATATATCTTACAATTTAACTAAAGGAATTCCATTCTTTCTATGAAAGTAAAAGCATCTTGTGTGGAAGAATCACACTTCATCCTCTATGATCCTGGACTACGTGGTATACTATATTGTTTGTTCTCACTCAATTGCTATGTAAAATGATCTAGTGTAAACGCTGATCACCACATTCTTTCTGTTTTCGATGCCTTTCGTTTTATTATTTCTTACAAAGTGTATGATCTTTTTTGTGGAACTCGGTGTGTTTCTTTGTGTTTGGAGGTTATGCTTGCTATTTGATTGTGTCTGACCAACTGAAATACCTTTATGTGTATGCTGTGTTTGATTTGTAGAGAAATGTGGTTAAAAAGTATGTTTAAAGAACAAAACACATTGTAAGAAGAAGAAGAAGAAGAAAAAATATCGGCCTAATGAAGCTAACAAAGTGTGGCTTGTGGTCATATTTGTATTAAATAAAGTTTCTAACTGAATCTCTTTGTGTGTGTTTTACTTGTGTGTCAGAAAGTTCAACTTTGACCACAGGCGAGCGAGAGACTTTTTTACCCGCGGGCTGTTTTTTGAAGCAACAATACAAGAAGGAGGTTATTACAGTTTAAATCCAAAATCCTGTTTGTTTTATTGAATCACACAAACATTAAATATTTATAAAAGCTGTAAATCACTCCATGGCTGAATAGAAATCAGTATTTCTCTCTTCTTTTCATGGCAGGACCCAAGGCTAAATACCCTCCTGCTGCTTCTTACATAGTGCTGCTGGAATATTTTCTCGCTCTCTCTGTCAGGAGCGAGCAGAGGGGAAATTTATTTTTCATCCACACCCACTTTACGTAATGACCCAAGTGGGATTTTGCCTTCCAACCTTGCCTTTTCTATGACCACTTTTCGACAGCCGGCCAAGTTTGTAACATGTTTAAAGACTTGTTGTGTTGCTACACATCATGTTTTTCCACATAAGTTTATTATTAATCATCTTCTCTTTCTACAGTGTCGATTACACAAGAAGACGCAGTGAGCTCATACTCCAACAGGTGATTACGGTTCAGAGCCTAAACAACAATTTCGAATTCTGCTGTTCACTTCTTCAAACCCTAAACCGAATCTGAGAAGGTCTTGTTAAAGTAATAACCACAATTTAGTATTTTAATGTTAATTTATAAACACTTATATATACAAGACATTCACAATAGGTACAAAAGGCAACTTGAAATCAAATATATTAGAAACAAATTTAGCTCCTTGTATTGAGTTATATTTAGCACATGGCTCAACAAGTTTGCAATGTGATGATTTCTTTGTTGAATTCATAACTCAGGATTGTTTTACAGTGGCCCTGTGACAAAGCTGCAACAGAGCAAATCAGTGAAAACTAAAGTCCACGTTTCCTCCAGTCCAGGGGGATCAAACCAGTCTTTTCTTTCAGCGCGGCCGAGTCTCCAGCTATCTTTTAGCCTGTGGTGAGTACAGGAAGATGGTGCTGAAGGTGGAGAGGATCTCCCTGGCCTCGGTAGTGGCCAGCTGGCCTCCGGTCCTCACCAGGCCCACGCGGTCTCCTTTCTTCAGGGGCAGGATCAAGCTGAAGGACACCGAGCCCCCGCAGCCACAGTTACCAGCAGCTGAGCCTCCGTGGTGACCGGTCAGAGGTCCTGCTGCGGTCTGCAGCCTCTGGATGCTGCGGTTAGAGACAGACAGGACAGCTTGGACTTGGTTGCCTTGCTTGGCTGTCAGCAGACCTGAAATCAGGTATCGACCGTCCAGAGGTACAGTGAAGATCCCTGACAAGAGGAAAGAGGGAAACAGTGAGTAATCAGTACATGTGCTCAAATGTAAATTAAAAACAGGTTTGTACTGTGTAACCATTCACTCTCTCCATATTAGCAATTAAATAACCACCCAGTGTGTGCTTGAAGGATGTGCATCAAAATCCTCGGTTCATGAAAGTACTCATTCAGAAGCAGTTGAGGCTCAGACTTTCAAATAAATACAGTGGATATTTTCCAAAGTAACATCTTTTCTGATGTAAACCAGCTTCTTTAATATTTTTAATGCCGGCTCAAAGTTAATCCACCATTATTTGACTGTTTGATACAAACTGCGAACAGTTTCTTTCTTGGTTTCCTTGGTAAATTACATTATCAATTATCATTTATTTCTCTGTTTTGTACCGAGACCATGAAGTCCACTTCAGGTTCACATTTATCATTATTTTTGATATTTATTTATCAAGGAGGATATTTATCTTTTTTGCACAAGCTGTTACCTTTTGGAACATGTTAATTATCATGTAGGAACAAGTTTCGGTGTTGTGGAAACATGACAATTATCTTGCGCACACAAGTTATTTTCTTGTGATAGCAAGATAATAATCTTGTAAAGCACACTGATTATCTTGTAGGAACTTTAGGGACATGATAATCATCTTGTGGGGCCATGAATAATCTCGTGAGCCCAAGTTATCTTGCAAGTTATCTTGTTGTATTATCTTGTTGTTATGTTGAAGCATGATTTATATTTGATTCTACAATAGGTGTATGATGATTATCTTCATTGAGCAAGATATCATGAAATCATGGTCATTATCTTGAGCACACAAGTTTTTTCTTGAGAGAGCAAGACAATAATCTTTTAAAGCACACTGTTATCTTGTAGGAACTTTAGGGACATGATAATCATCTTGTGGGACCATGAATAATCTTGTGTGCACTAGTTATCTTGCAGGAATTTGCTATTGTTATGTTGAAGCATGATTTATATTTGACCCTACAGTAGGTGTATGATGATTATCTTAATTGAGCAAGATATCATGGCAACATGATCATTATCTTGCATGCACAAAAAAGCTATCTTGTGGATGAGAAAAAAAATGTTGTGCACAAATTATCAGCTTGATAGAACAAGATAGGTTATGATCTGCACAAGATAACAATTAATGTAATAAAGGGTTAATAATGCAAAAATTAACTATGTCTATGGCTTAGCTAGATAGCACAAAATGATCATCTTGCGTGCGACAGATACCTATCCTGTTTGCATAAGATGAAAAAAATCGCCTCATTGGATCTGAAGGGCTTATCAGTTTTCAAATCTGCTAATCACTGAAGAGAATATTGTGGACTGGAGCTTGTTGATCGATTTGAGTCAGTTCATATAAGATTTGGAAGGAGACAGTTGAGACATACTGACTTTAACACCTTTGTGTCTCAAACAAGTCGTTGTCACTTCAGCTAAAAGGTTGAAGGACTCTGCAGTTATTGTGTAAGTCTGTCATTGACCGGCTAAGTAAACAAAAGTGTTTCAAGATCATTTGTTGATAGTTTTATGAATGAGTACATCTATGAAGGTTGGCTGAACAGTATGACTTTTGGGCCTGTCTGTATAACCACTCTACTATGTTGACACTGGTGTTAGGTCTCTCGTTGTTGTTGTTGTTGTTGTTTTTGTGTACCTGTGTGTTGATTGTAGTGTCCCCCATCATTGACTAGAACTTTGTTGAAGCGGATTATGCCAAAGTCTCCATACATGGACAGCTGTGTGAGGCCGGCAGAGAAGGAGAAGGGATCTGCAAAGGCGCTGTTATCGACTGAAACTGGAACAGAAAAAACACACGTGAGTTAAAAGTTGTGTTAATTTAAAGACAAATCACGGTCACGTCTTCACTTCAAAACTGTAGTTTACCTGGCGGTTCGACTGGAGCTTGACCTAGCAGGTTCCATGGCACCTTTGCTGCAACTGGAACTACAAGTTACAAATATAGAGAGTGTTGATTGTAATCACAGCTGTCGGCGGAAGAGCTGACACCTTTATTTTTAACGATGTTTCACCAATCCCAGCTGTCAGTTTTATTTCCGATCCATTCACAGAATAAATTAAAAGTAGGTGTTAGTGGAATTCTTTAAATAGCTTTAAAGAAAAAGTGGAGCTACACTTAAGGGAATTTAGCGAACTATCTCGCACAGTGATGCAATTTTCTTAACAATTATTAAATGTAGAGGAGTAAAACTTTCTAAGTGCCTGCAGATGAGTTTAAATCCTTCCATAATCCGCCCACACCTTCTTAAACTAAACACATCCAGTTCCCACTCCCACACACTCCCAGGCTACAAATTATTCACAGCTTTTCCAATTTTTTTTTTTTTTTTTACACCAATGTAGTAGGATGGCAGAGCCTGCAGACACATGCGGTGTAAGTGGATGATGAACTGCTTCAGTACCTTGGCGGCTGGTTGATAGAGGCTTGAAAGATGCAGGCTGGAGGGGAGGGTAGCCTGCAAAAGACACATGTCGAACCCATCATGGTTTTTTTATCATTAGCCGAGGACAAGAGTTAGTCAACACTCCTAACAGACGCTCTTAATGCGCAGCTGAATATTATGGCAAAGCACCCTGGAATGAGTGTCCAGAGGAAATATGAATTAAAGAAACAGGCTGGAATCTAGGTTGCATAATTTTGTGTTTACAAGTGGCATTTTTTGTGTTAGTTTGATTATGATTTAGCTGTTTCAGGATATGAAAGCAGGGTCCGGTGTTTAGGGTGTCCCCAGAGGCTTGAATTGAATTAAAACCTGCTGATACGTCTGTTGTCTTAGCTCCAAATCAAACAATTAGTGAACAGAAATAGTACAAAGAAAAGTTATTGCGAGGAAAATTACATTTAAATTGACCCTTTAATGGCGCCGAGGTTACAAGTCTGAATACCCAGCTCTAAATCAAAGGGTTATTTGTGTTATCTAAATATAACTTTATATTCTCAAGGCAAGAAAATGTACCTTTTTAAGTTTAACCAATCATATTCAGCTTTAAAAAGTCTTTGTTTTGCTGTCTCCCATGGTTACATTACATGCAGTCCATCTAATTTACTCCATGACTGGAAAACTATCTCTTACGTACAACGCTTCAACCTGTTTTAAGTTTAGCATTCCTTTGTGTGGATGACATAAAAACAAAAGTACATTTCTAATTCCAACCCTCGTTATTGCTTCCATGTGCGACGAAGGAGAAGAACAAAACAGAGCCAGACTAAATCCAAAGTATTGTCACAGCTGATTATCCTACATGAGAACAACCTCTGTAACAAAATGACAGCACTGTTGAAAAAGATGACACACATGAATTATGTCACATGTGGTAATGCTGGCTCTACCCAGCTGCACATGGTGCCAGATTTATGACACATTGCTGTTAGATTTTCCTCCTTGTCATGGCGGTGATGACAGATGATGACAGACTGTAGTTCCAGGGTTTATTATTACAGGAAGAGTCTGTGCATCAGAGCCTGTGATACTGATGTAAGTTACAGTCAAACTATTCGGTATGGAGCAACTGAGATACTCTGGATACAAAGATAAACGAAGAGCTAAAGCGGTTTGGGATAGTTTGAGATGGTTATAAAGTTGTTAAAGGGGAACTTTAAGGTCCTGTTAGGAACTTTTTGTTTGAGTCAAAATTGGTGCCCCCTGTGGACAAAGTACAGGGCTTGACAGTGTGACCGTTTCACTCGCATTTGTACTAAAAATAGACATGTGCAAAATCTAAAATGTATTTAGGGGCACATATGGGCATTAAAAAAATCAGCTGAGGCAACAAATGTTTTTTCTTGTAAATACCGCAGTGAAGTTAGTTTTAGGTTGGATATCTGACGGACATTCACTGCGGATCTACCAGTGTCTTCTAACTCTCCATAACCAGGAATAGCAACAGCAGCACGGTTAAATTTACTCGGCATCCTCGCTGTCAACTGTCGGGTGTTGAGTAAGGGACCATCAATAAATTACCGGTTGATGTTCATAAAAAAGGCTGTTTTCCTTCAATAGCTTCCATGACCTAAAATTGATTTCAAATAATAGTGCTCACCAATAAGACACACCTTTAATTTCCCTAATTTGTCCTCTAAAAATTTTTGTGTCACATTTAAAGGCAAATTTTGGACATTTTCTTCAATAGCTTCCATGTCATGTGACCAAAAGACCTAAAATTAAATTTTATTTATATAGCACTTTTCATAGATAAAATCACAGTGCTTTTCAATAAGGATAAAATGCAATAGAGTACAGCGAAACACAATACATATAATGGCACAGATAGAAGTACTTCACAGAGGTACACAACATCAACATCAGTTAAAAGCCTGTCTATAAAGATAGGTTTTAAGTTCTTTCTTAAAACTTTCAGTAGACTCCATGCTGAACATTAAAATCAAACATTAAAAATGATAAAATAGAAATCATTTTTCTTGACACTGATGATCTTGTTTTCTTTAGGATTTCATAAGAAGACATCAATATGAATTTTAGTCTATTTCATAAAGATGAAAAGCTCCTCATAGGAGCTTTAAAATCATTTTAAGTCATTAATAACTATGCATCATTGTTTTATTATTGGACAACATGGAATTACAAATGAGGGAAACTCTTGTGACAACACAGTGAAAAAAGTCATTTAAAGCTCCTATAAGGTTCATGTTCATTATATTCATGAGTGCAGAGTTTTGTGTATAAACAATAACATCTCTCACCTGGTGCTCCAGCGAATCCTTTCACTGGCATGCTAGACGAGTCCTCAGACCCTCTCCGCACAGTCACCCTGCGCATGTACCCTGGAGGTCCGGCCTCGCCTGTCTCCACCACTGGCCTGACAGGAACCAGGGGGAGGGTGTGGTGGCCTGGCTGCTGGGGGCTGGACGGCTGGTTTGGCGGACCGGTCCTGACCGTATGTGTGTTGGTCTGCCCTCTCTGGTTTGGTCTGTACGGCTGTCTGGATTGCGGCGGCTGAGCGATGATTAGAGGGATGTGGAGTTCTGGGATTCTAGGTCTGGTCTGAGTTGGATCTGGCACAGATGCAGGCCTCTCTGGTCGTAAGGTCATTCCTTAGAAGGAGGGAAAAAGCGGACATTGACAAGATTGTAAGCATAAGTTGTTTAACTTTCTGATTATGTGATACGCTCGACCATTTAAGGTAAAAACTTTTTGCCTGAGAGATTCTTCTAATCCAGATGACAGCTGTGGAAAACTCTGCAAAACAACCTTTCTTTTCCTTGTTTGTGCATAAATCCCACTTCCTGCTTGACATTTTGAACACACCCCTCCCCTCTCTAGTAAATCTTGGTTTTACGATTTTTATTCCGATGACAGGCCAAATAAGACCTGTATTTCACAGCACCTTAGAGCAGCACCGTTATTAGCCGTCATAAAATAAAACAGACGGACAGTGTGAGTTTTTAAGCAACGAGAACCATCTGAAAGGAAACCATTTGGCAGCTTGCCAGACCCCCTGAGGGGGCAGACATCACCTGGGCCTCTGAGGTGAGCATATGGATGCATCCTGAGGACAAAACAAAGGTAATTACAGTACCTGCTTTGTCTAAGCCCCTTCATTATAACAAGGTATCGCCCAGTGAAGTCACGCTGCAGATTTCACATCCAGAGAGAGATGCGCTTTTTCATAGAAAACAGATTTATCATGATAGATGTCTCTGTATGTTTTGTGTTTCTAAACCCTTGTGGGAGAGGTTTGGCTTAAATGGAGGGAAAGTAACAGGATTACAGTAATGTCGTTCAGCCGGTGACTCTCACATAAAGGAAATGACCACTTATCCCAAATGGTCATAGATTTGGCGGAAAAGGCTGCGCTCTATGAGGAAGCTCTTAGGACACAAACAACAGATAATCTGCAGGAAGCGTGGACACATGATCGACTATCTTCATAGAAACAATACCAGAAGCTTTATTTCATTATCAAGTTGAGGAAACATGCTGTGCAGAAGAAAGATGTATTCTGGGAAGTTGTACTCTGACCCAGAATTGCTTTTAGCTAAAGCACTAACATTGCGCTAACATCCTAATACCGAGCAGCATCTGTTGTATGTTCATAATGATAGTTCAGTTTGTTAGCATGTTAATGTTGCTGCAGAGTATTGCAAGTTCTTGATAGAAATGTCAGTGTCAGTTATTGTAGGAATACAGTTGATATGTTACAAGAATAGAGTCATCAAAGTTATTATATCACAAGAGAAAAACTATTTAAGTTGACTGTTAGTGTAGATGTTATTGATGTTGTGAAGGGGGATACCGGATTAGCCGTCATTCACCGGCTGAAAAACAAGGATGGTGGTGCACCTGAAGTTTACCGAGTGTCTTCTCATTTTCATTTCAGTACAGGCCGCTGGCTGCTCTTCTGATTCCCTTGAAAACTAAAACTTTAATGGAATTTTATTTTCACAACATTATGACTTATCTAATATTATCTCCTAATATTGTGACTTTAATATGATTTTATTCTTGTAATAATGTGGCTCTACTATGACTTTATTCCTGTTATATAATCATTTAATAATAACTTAATATTTGTAAAATGAGGAAAATTTTTTGTAAAATTTTTGAACGTAAAATCAAGACTTTAATTTCTGATGACTTTATTCTGAAACATTATGACTTTATTTATTTAAATAATAAATTTAAATTGATCTCCTTTGATCATATAAAATAGCAAAAGACATTTAAAAACCAATATTCAAAAAGTTTGAAGGCTGTCAAATTTCTTGGGCGTTTGTTGGGAATTAACATTTTCTGTAGGTAAACTTCCAAAATTTCAACTAAATTTCATATTTCCCTATAAAAAAATAAAAATTTATCGAACAAGTGGGTTCTTTATGTTTTTAAACTTCTTTTTCCAAACAAAAGAAAATTGTTATAAATTGAAATCTGCAGGTTGAACCACTTTAAAATGTCTAAAACAATAAGATTAAATGGTCTCAAACTCTGCTACTCATACTCAACAATGTCGTCAATCTACACTAACAGTTAATGTGGCTGTATACTCAAAGAAAGCATCAAAAAGTACCTGAAATCAGTTGTATTTCATTTGAGCCCACTTGTTGCTCTGGATTTTAACAGTGATCAAACGTTCAGTTTTTATCAAAAACAAAAAATCAAACAACAACAAAATTCCTCCCTCTTACCACCACGAGCTACTCAGAAACCACGTGTATAATTAAAAACAAATTAAACCCAGCAATCATGTTGTACTGAGATAATCAGAAATCTCCCCTTCATTTCCTCCCTGTGTCTCCTTCAGGACAGCGGGTGCCTGAGTGCATATTTCCCATGAGCTCTTAGTCTGTGTCTCACAAAGGGGGCAACCGCAAAGTTGGTAAAACACACAGAAAAATACACACACACACACATATGCACAAGGGTTCTGGTGCAACCATGAGCATCACCAAAAACAGATGTTATTGGTTAGACTCTGCAGGGGGAGGTGTGCTTTAGTTCCAGCTGGAGAAGGAAAGGAGGGGGGGGGGGGGGGGGTAAAGCATCTGAAATCGTCGAGCTATATTGCAGCAGACAAGCTGATCATGCGATGGAAAGTGGTGTCAAGGGGCATAAAGCAGGGTGTGGTGGTTTCACACACATGTACTAATGCATCATTCAGTCTGACACTCTTGTTTCTTTTTCCTTTCCTTCCTATGCACATGGACACAATTTCAACCTCCTCCCGTTTTTTTTTTTTTTTTACTGCAATGATATTAATGACGGGAGGTTCGGGTTATGCGTTGCATGGCAGACTTCAGGGACTTCCATTGTGTTTCTGGGTCCTCTGAAGACTTCCAGATGGGTCAGAGATGGAAACACCTCACCTCCCAGCTTCACAGACCCCTCTGGGGGGAAGGCGATGCAGTCGGAGCTCCCTCTTTAGGCTCTCGCTCTGACTAAATATATACAGTGTGTGTTTGCGGTGGTGTCAGGTACGATTTTCCATCCTCTCTCCACAGACACCCTTTGACTTCAAAAAGCCTTTGATATCTTGTTTTCTCTTGTATTCCCTCATCACAGTAGACAGTTAATCTTACTGCCTGTCTCCCCAATATAGACACAGGATGATCAATTGCAAAGCATTGATCCATGAAATCAAAGCCTTTACTCCATCTAGGCTTGAATACAACTGCCTTTTTTTCTTGAAGACCTCAGCCGTTGATAGACTTTTACAGGACAGGGCGGAGGGAGAAAGGAGAAAAAGAAGTCCTTTGGCATTCTTGGAAGGACAAACCAGATTTGGACAGAAGGAGAGGGCGTCGAAGGAGTAAAGAGAGAGCAGTTCGGAGATAAGAGACACTCGGAGGAAGAAGACAGGGAAGCGATTTGAGATAGACTGGGATCACCTCCAAAAAGCAGAAGGCGCAGAAAAAAAAACAGCTTGAGAATCAAATGAAAATATTCAGCTCAAGAAGGTTGATTAGTCATCGTCAGAATGAGGAACAGCATGCTCAAGCGCCGTGAAAACAAGCGTTTCTCCATTTTTTCCACAATTCCTAATAAACTATTTATCAGCTTGCACCCCTTAAGACTTGCTTCACTTGCCAAATTTCAAAATAACTTTGATACATTGCTGCCCAACCACAACTCCCTACTGGAGGGGAAACAGCCAGAAACAAACACACACACGCTTTAGTGGTCGGCCTCTCCTGCTGCAGCTGTTGTGGGCGAAGCATTGCCAACATTTTGCAACTGAAGTCACACAGTTTCATTCAGCAGTCACACTGAGTAAAAGGCAGATATTCTTGTTGATCTCTCAGTTATGCTATTACAGCACCTCATCTGTTTGCAGCGTCCTCGGGGTCTTCATATGACCGAGTGGAGAATATGAGCTCAAACACAGAGAGGAAATATCTGAGCACAATCACAACCACCACGCCCAGAAGAGCTGGGATTTTTCCTCGATATTTTAAAATGTTCTTTTTCTCTCCGTCCAGAATTTGAGGAAATCATTAAATCTTTATGCTTTACTCACAGTGGAACTTCCTCTCCTGCGGAGCTAAAATACAGATCTTTTGTACAATGTCAGAAGTGTTGTGATGTTAGCCTGCAGAGAAATAGGTAGAGGCTGAGAAGGCTCTGTCTGAAGGTTACTCGGTGTGTTAAAGTTCATTTGTCAAAAAGTTTCCCTCTTTTGACCTGAGTAGTTCTATAACATATAAGTCAGTTTGGTAAAGTTAGATGTTTCCCTATTTCCTCGGCTTTAAGTCAGTCATGTGGTTTGGTTTGTAAAGAGGTGTGATAAAACCCCATAATGACGGTCAACATATTTAAAAAAGCAGAAACATGATAACGTAAAATGCTGATCTACAAACTGGCGAAGGAATTGAAGCTGTGGCAAAGAGCGACAACACACCTGTCAGCCAAATCAACCAAACCCCTGTTAATACTTGACCATAGTAGCCTGAATATAATAAAAGCAAACAAGTAATAAAAAAATCATCACCTATACAGTTATCACAAATAAATAAATTACATGATGCTGCCAAAAGCCATTTCACCTGTGCTGTTTTACCCAACTGTTAACATTTAAATGAGCTTGAATTAGATTTCCTTCACTTTTGGACTCACCCTCAAGTGGACACTATAGGAACTGCAGTCTTTTTTGCTTCTGATATTGCTTTGTTTTTCATTACCAGGGTTATCTCAAGCCAATCACCTATTCTTGACCTGAAGAAGCAGGAGAGGAATCAATTCTCTCGTCTAACTTCAAGCATTAAATCTCAAAAAAGGTGGAACTTTTTAGTTTTGGATATTAACGGTCTAAGCTAAAAACTCAATCTGATTTATGTAATTGAATCATACTCTATAGAAAGTAGATGTGATGCATATTTCTGATAATATTTGGTAGCCAAACTGTATGCAAATATTCTGCATTCACCATGTCTTAGTAAAGGAAGTGTGGTATTATGGGGCCAAATAATTGCAGTCACTGTATTTACTCAACCTAACAATCAGCCAACCAAAAAACAGGCAAAGAGGTTGAGCTGAGGTCCACTTTTGGCTTCTCGCATTGTGCCGAAGTGGCAGTGGACTAAGCCAGGCCCCTGATCATTCGAATATAGGCATAACTCATGGCCATAATATTTTCCAAATGGATGAGTCATACAAACACACCATTGGAGAAAGGGTAGTCATCGTGGGTGTTAGTGGGGTTTCCTAAGTTTTGAAGCCAGCCTCAAGTAGACACTTAGGGAAGTGCAGTTGTCTGCACTCCAAATTGGCTTCTTATTTTAACACCAGTGGTTGCAGCTTGCCACAAAAACAGGATATTTTGGTTAGCTAGAAAGTCAGCTAAATATCCCAGAGCCACTTTGGAAGGACAGGTTGCAAACACTGAGGAGAAATGAGCTAAATTTGACATAAAGTGTATGGGCTGGAATTCCCAGTTCTGCGGGTCAAAAATAAGAGCCTTGATAAATGTGCTTCATTATCCTGCTGCAGAAAGGAAAGCTCTGTCTGATTTAACACAGAGCAGAGATTCGGTCTGATTTAATGCTGGGTAATGTTACTTTTACAGCACTGATATCAAGTGTCTGAGTTTGGAAATAACAGACCATATTTGGCAAAAAGTGAAATGGAAACACAATGCCTTAATGCATTTGTCTCTCAACCCAACAACCATAAATCCCCCCTCCCTCCTTTCCTTCTCAGGTCCCTCACACTATTGTTTTGGATGGCTGTTAAACAGAGGGAGGCACCAGCGTTGGGGCCCCTGTGATGACATCAGAGCCGAGGGTAGTCGAAGCATCTGGTACTGGGTGTGGAGCCCTGCTTCTCCCCTCTCCATCAAGACTGGCTCCAGCAGTGAGTCAGGGCCCTTAATGAGGACCAGACTCCACACATCAGGCTGAGGTCACCATACGGGAATCTCTGGAGGTTGGTATGCGTAAGAAGACAGAGAGGAGGTGGAGGTGTGTTGTGTATATGCCTGTGTGGTTTGCGCTGGGAGGATGGGGACCGAGACCGAGGGCCACAGTCATGAACAGCTATGCCACGGTGCAGAAAGCAGACCACATCTCAGCGTGTTCATAAAGGGAGCTGGAGAGATGGAACAGTCTACTCGGGTGCTCTGACATTTACATGAGGGAGCAATGAGGCACAAAACAGTGAGAGTAAATCATCAGAGCAGTGAGGAAGGGCTGGGCTCAGCAATGTTAAACTTTCAGACTCTCTTTACCTATCCTGTTTCTTGAATAAAAACTTAACATGAATCGAAGTCACAGGAAGTTTCCAATGTGGGCCTCTGGACATATTGAATGACATATTCAAGGCAAGCACGAGAGGCCCAGTGAACTCGTGTCCTCCCACTTCGGGAAATACCCTGTGGCCATTCATGGGATCTGATCCTGTAGACCGAGCCTCCATGTAAACCAGGCAAGCAGACTGCATTATATGGAGGATTATCTTCAGGAAAAGTTTGTGTTTACACAGATGGCAATCACACTTAATAAACTCATATGTTGGAATTTCAGAGAGGAAGTTGCAGGGCTGATTTAGTCTGTATTTTTCAACTTCCTCTGGCTCATTTAAATGGGTTTCGTTGTGCAAATTAAACAAAAATGAACAGACTTTTTCTCTTCCTCATACTTTTTTTTGGCTCTTTTTAGTGCCTGACTGTGCTGGTGCGGAAATCCATGAATTTTAAGCAAGTAAAATTATACCCTAATCTCTGTCTTATCACTGTCGTACAGTTAATCTTTAATAAGATGTCAGGAAGTATGGCTAGAAAGTATATAACAGTGAGAAATATCCTTATATGCTCTCTCTTTGGCAGTTAAAAAAAGGTTCCATATGGAGCAACAATCAGCACAGGAAAAGTTAAACATGGTATTGAAACTTTCAAAGGTTTCTTTGTCTTTGTCTTATTCCACGGATATACAGAGGCGACTAATTTGCAATTTTGATTGATGAAGTCATCTTAAGGTAAGAAAACCCTTTAAAAACAGTCTAATCGATCACACGTATGGCTCATCTCTGCTTTATAACAGGATAAAGTGACTGCTTGCAAGTGTCATGATTTAATTCATGGTGTGAATGACAATAAAGTGAGTCTGAGTGACTTCAGCAAATACGACTATGTATTTTGAAAGCAATCAGCCATCACCAAAACATTGACTCACCTGGCTCTTTGGTGGCGACGTCCTTCAAAACATGTTTGGCCATGGCAGACAGCTGCCCCTGGAGCTTCTGCATTGAATTCTGCAGGGCGATGATGTCAGTGCCATGTTTACCGTAGGTCGAATTCATCCTGTAGACGCATTCCTGCAGACCGCTAATATGTCTTTCCAGCCTTTCTTTCAGCACTTTGATGTTGTCAGAAACACCATCTAGCTTTCCACACACCTTTTCAAGTCTGGTCACACGTCCATCCACAGTGTGAATGTTGTCAGAGACGCCCTGTGTGCTCTGTTTACATTGTCTCAGTTCAGAGGACACCTGTTTACTCAGCGCATCCAGCCTGTTTCTTAGCTCATCCACCTGACGTCTGGCGTCATCAGTCTGGGTATTTGGTACAGCAATGACTGACGACCAGTTATTCTGTGCTGGATTCCCTGCTCTACTGTTGTCAGCATGGCAGCATGTTGAGTTTATCTTCTGTATATCCTGGTTTTGTTTTTTAAGGGTGTCGCCTAACCCTGAGACAGCCCCAGCCAGACCAAGTACATTGTTTTGAAGATTAATCATTCCTTTTTGGAAGTCGTCCATCATCGTGACACTCCTCTCATTTTCAACAGACTGTCCTCCAACGCGGTCTTCCAGTTTCTTAATCTTTGCTTTGTTGGTACTAACATTTGTGTGGAGGACATCCAAGTCATTCCTGTATCGACTCAGGTCCTTCAAAATCAGCAGAAGACTTTTAGGCGTAGCTGATGAACTCTCTGCATCTGGAGGAGCTCCTGAGCCTGAACATCCTGCAGAGCACAAGTCCGCAACAACATTGACCTTGTCATCCAAACCTTGGAGGAGGAACTTATTGTTGTTGACTTGTGTCTGGATGGCGTCCATGGAGTCACTGAACATGCCAGGGAAGGAGTTGTTGCTCATTTCCACAAGCATGGTCGTTAACTGGTCCTCCATCGTGTTAAGTCGTTCATCAAGAAGTAGCCTCAGTGCTGCCACCTCGTCAGTTATCATGCGGGTCAGCTTCTCTTCGATATAGAAACAGTGGGTCTCTGCATTCTGCTCTGTGATGTTAATACGTGCCTCCATCTCTTCAATCAGCGGGCCAAAGTCATTGTCCTCCCGAGGTGCTGACAGATGTGCCAACTCATTGTCAATGCGGACGTTCAGGATCCGATGAGCCTCTGCAATTCGGTCGATCTCCCGCCAGAGGTCACTGTGGTTCTCATGATCCCCCTCCACTTTTGGTGGTTCTATTTGCCTTTGGGTCCTTACAGGTCCATCAGCAGCAGCTAACTCCAGACGTAGTGCTCTGATCTCTTTCCTCAAATCAGCCTCCTTTGTATCCACCAGCTTGGTAAGTTTCACCAAACCTTGGTCACAGCCACCTTCACAGGTCTTCTGCAAGGCCTGGATCTTGTCGTTGAATAAGCTCTGAAGCTTGGCCACCTGATCCCCAACATTCTGATCCAGCTCCTTTTTCAACTTCTCAAACTTTCCATCAATGTAGTTCTGTATGATGTCAAAGTCCCCTACACCTGGAGTCTGAGACTGAGAGGCATCCATCAGGACACGGATCTGCCCCTCATGACTGGTCATGGTTCCTCTGAGGTCTTCCAAAGCATCATCTTTACTCTTCAGAGCGTCGTTGATATCATCCAGCCGGGCTACAATCTTTTCTATTGCCTTGTCTCCAGCAATCCCACCCCTCGTGGCCTGATGACCGTCCAGCACTGCCGGGCTCTCCTCTGTGGTGGATGTAGTCGAACTATCTGGTGGACGCATGTTGTTGAGAAGGGTCACCAGCATTTTCTTGGTGTCGTCCTGTAGGTCTGTTTTAAGGTTGGTAGTTAATCCTGACAAAGCAGACTGGAGGTCTGAGACCGTTTGAGAGAGGCGCTGAACTTCACCTTCCAGCAGGTGCACTTTATCTGCCCCACCATGTCTTGTTTCATGGTGTGCTGTCTCTCTCCGCTCTGGCCCTGTGGTCAAAAAATAAATAGTATAATATTTAAAAAAAACAAAACTACATGATCTTCTCCTTTTAAGGTAAAACTAGCCTAAAATAGCCAGGGTGGATGGCTCAGTGTACCTCAGTAAAATCAGGTGGAACACAGATATTTAGCTCCAGCGAAACACCTACGTTGAAGCAGAAAATAGTGTCTTACTCTGTGTGTGTCTGGTTGTGTATCCAGGATTTGGTGGGTGGTAAGGCTGTGTTCCTTGAACAATTTGTCGGTCTGGAGGTGGTTTTAAATCTTTGCAGTCTGGACCTTGGTAACCAGGACAGCACCTCCACTCCAACTCTGTGACGGACTTGAAGGCAATCTTGTACGTAGGTCGAAACCTGTTGTGGTATCTGTAGAACAAGTCATTTGTGTAAGTTTTTCAAATTCTTATGCAAACATAAAAACAAAAATGGTGACACTGAGCTTTATTTTTACATCAAACCTTTGTGGGTGGGTTATTCTTTCCTTTTTGTGAGGCCATATTTGTGTCCATCCCATTTTACAAAAAGAAACTGATTCAACTGATTTATTATCATTGGAAGCTGCTGCGTTTCGCAATCATCAAAACAACAAATCTTATTGTTTGTTTTTTGGACAAGTTCATTTTTAAGCTTCTGTACTGTTCCCCCCCCTTTTTTGACAAATGTCAACTTTCAAGCCAAGATAAACTAATCCCAAAGAAACAAAAGATGACCTCACTTCCCAGTAAGAAAGAGTTGGCCATGCAGAACATCTGGAAATCTAATTACAGAGACACTCATCTTTGCACATTTCCTAAGAGTCAGTGATAACATTTTTCAAGCCTGAAGAAGACACTGCAAATCTGTAGGACAGCTCAGCTCTGTGTCATCTTACCAAGGGTTAATGTAAAGCCAACAGAGAACGTCATAGCTCAGAAATGCTAAAACCTGATGTGTCTTTTCTTACTGCCAGTTCTGCCTGGAAATTTGCTCCTACGACCAAAGAATTACTCCTTTTCAAGGATTTTTTTCCACAACAGAAAAGGCTCTGCGCATGTGGCTCTGTGAGAGGATCACAAAGTTGAACCACTGATGACGTGTGTTGTTTCACAACCAAAAATGATTCACAAACACAAATATATTGCATTGCGACAGACCATCTTCCAGTAAAAGGATTTAAAACAACAGTTTCTCACCAATTACCAGAGCAGAAACTCCCATTTAAGAAATGTCCCACCATAGAAAAGGAAGTTTTCTTCTCAATCTTTAAAGTTTGGAGTACAGTTTTGAGTTGTGTTTAAGTTATGTATCATTTGAACATTATTTTATATCGCATCAAAGCAAGAGAGTATATTTTCCCTTGCAGTCACATCTTCAAATTTACAAAGGAATAACATACACACACGGTGTCTGATGTATTTGGGTGGTACATTTTGAATGCATTTTTGTCTCTTGGGAGAAAACTCTGCCAGAAGTAAATAAAGCTATTGAATCCAACTTTGATGATACTTCTTTTGATGTGGCTTCAAAATGAACCGAAAGCCTATAACGCTTGTACTATGATGATAAAAGCTGCAACAGGGGATTGGGTCGCGTTACATCAAGGGCTATATGTCTGCTAATGACAAATCAACAGCTGTGAAGCATCTGTGAGTGTTCGACAACACATATTTCAACACTTAATGAAACGAGCACAGGTTTTTACAAACATGTGTCTGAGCCAGGTGTGAGTTGTTTTTTTTATAAGTATAGTTTTGTTGAACAAACTGAAGCTGAAGACTTTTTAACTCATTTACGCTAGCCTTGGTGTTCGTGATTTTGGTAAATTACTCAGTGTGAGCCCGCTGAGATAGCATTTCACGAAACTATTGACCCAGTGCTTTAATAGAAAGTCTATCCGTCCCATGTGATTGCTGATTTGTAATGGGCTTACAAATCTTAAGCCCTTAGCACTGAAAAGCAGATGCGTTTAAGACACCAAATCAGGTCGTAAAACTTAAGTGTTTTTTCTGTTATTGTAACTCAAGAACTGGGTGATGATGAAGACTAATCAAATTTAATGACTCGTTGGCAAACACTCCTAAAACAGGCCACTTTTATTCTGAAATGACTACAGTGCAGATTCAATTAACTTTTTTAACATGCTGTGTAGGTGGTAGGCCATTTTCCACCATATGATAACGTGTCATCATATGGGTCTACTGCACTGTGACCTGGAAAACATGTTGACAAATGTTAAGACCTGCAGGTCAGACTCTGGCTTTATTTTTTTATCATCCTATCTATACGAAAGTCAGTTACTTAAAGCTCCTGTGAGGAGTATTTGAAAGTTTATAAAACAGATTGAAAAGAACAGTAGTGTGTCTCTGTGGTGTTCAAAAGCAACTTAGACCATCATGACAAGAGTGACAATTTCTATAGTGGGATTTTTAATGCCTGTAACTGCTGTGAAGGGGTAGGTAGGGTGAAGAAATAGCCGTTTTTGATGATTAATTTCACTGTACAAAGACAAGAGATTTTATATCAAATAAAGTCAGATCTGCAAAAGTATTAAACTTTGTCCACAGGGGTCGCCAAAATCAACACAGGGAGAAAGTTCCTCATGGGAAAGATATGTGTTTTCATATGAAGTTACTATTCTAATACACAACTAATCCTGTTTTCTTGTAAATTAATTATAAATACAAATTATACCTGAAATATAATGACTTTCCCACAAGGTTTTAAACTATCAACTCCAGATGTTGAAAAATGAAGCCAACAGAAAAAATGCAAAAAAATTGCCCTTCCTTGAATGTCCATTTCAGCCAGGCTGCGAAAGCCAAGGAGTCCTCATTAGGTCGTAAATGTAAATTTTTACAGCAAAAGTGAACATTTAGGGACACCAGTTTGGCTCAGCAGTTGAATCACTCACCCCGTGTAAAGAGGCTATCGCTCTCTGGAAGAGAACAGCTTGAATTCCATGCAGACCTAAGTTGACTGAAAGTTTAAGTCTGCATTTCCAATAGGATAACCACCATTGTAAGGCTTCAAAATGCCTCTTGAGAAACCAGTGGTTGATGTCACAAGGACTACATCCATGTTTTAAACCCTCTATGATTTTAATGAAAGGGCACTTTGTTCAAGACTTCAATCACAGAATGCATCTTTGCTGCAACTTGGCAATGGGAGACATTGTGGCTCAGCTTGTTGAGTACTTAAACATGGCTTTCACCCAGATGGTTAACTGTATGCTAGCAAGATTAAAGACATAGACTGGACAAACATGGATCTGGTCTGAGCAACATCACATTGGTTACCAAAAATGGTGACCTCTGATTGCAACCAACTTCCACGAATGCAAGAAACCAGTACAGAGGTAGAGTTGAGGCCATCATCATCATCATACAGATATCACAAATAAAGAATAGAGACGGATGTCTTTTGTACCAGACTGTACGCATGGTAATTCTGCTGTAAAATGGTTATTTTACATGGACCTTAATGGAGACTCCTTTGCTTTTAGAGCTGGCCTCAAGTGGACAAATAGGGAACTGCAGTTGTATACTTCTGCATTGACCATTTTTCTTGTCAGCGGAGGTTGGTATTAGTCCAAAAGTCATTTATATGGGTATGGTTTCTGTACAGTACATCTATTGACAGCTGGTTCAGCAACAAAACTAGCTATCTAGCTATGACCAAAGACTGTATATATACTATGAAACCAACATTGCACAGTAGCGTTGTACGCATTCAACGGGAGAGTCTCCAAGAGTTGCTGTGATGACGCTCAGCTCAAACAGCATATCCCCCGGGTGAGCTACGTAATCCTTGTACGCCCATTGGCTGTATCAAGTGTCAATCATATCAAACTTGAACCCCCTAATAACTTTCAAAAACGGAGCTGTACAGAAAAAAGAGGACTTGAGCACAAACCAAGCTTACAATAACTTCATGTCAACATCACAACCAGGGGGGAGAAAATGTATATTCTGTGTAATAAATTTTTAAAGTTTGTCCACAGCTCCATAAGCTTTGCTGGCAGAGGCGGGATTTATGACCTATACTGCAGCCCGTCACCAGAGGGTGCTGTTCTCGGAGTGACTACACCCATAGAGGAGGCACACGGCGTCCATTCTACATACACTCTATGGCTATGACATAGTCCATATTGAGTGTTTCGCTGAGAGATATCCGCCTTACTTTCTTTTTTTGCTGTCTTAACCAGGGGATTGAAAAGAAGATGGGACATGGGTCACTGCAACAAGGATTTACTGTAGACTCCACCCTGCAGCCAATCAGAATCAAGTATTCTCCCAGACCATTGTATAATGGCTGCACTTGGCTATGAAATCTAGCCTGTGACTACCAGGGTCATTTCAGGTGAGTATTCACAAGTGTTACCTTTCAGCCAGGGAGAGCTTTGGTCCCTCTTCCCTTAAGGCTACCTACTGTTTAACCCCTTGTCTCTTCACTGGGCTTTTTCCCACTCACTATTTGCTGTGCTTTTCTTTCTGCCAATTCAGTTTCTGTAGCCACTGGGACCATTTCTGCCTCCAGCTTTCTCTGTCCTCCTCCTCTCAGAGAAACATTTCAGAACTCCAGTCTGTCTCATACATCTAAACATGCACCCTGAACCCCCTTCCCTCGGCTCCCCCCGCGTGCTTACGTCACTTGTTGCTGGCAGTCCGGCTGGTAGGCTGGGCAGGGGGCCACCACGGGCTCCTGGAAGCTCTCCACACTCCCCTGCACGGCGCAGCTCACGTTCTTGCGCACCACATAAGCACACCAGTTCCTTGACAGGGAGACAAACAGAAGAGCTTCAAGATAGTTACCAAGAACTACTTTTAAAGGAATTACCAATATCACAGAGTTTGTTATAAAGCTCCTGGATGAGTTGGTAACAAATGAATCACAATTTAGCCACTTGATCTCCTGATATTTCATCTTAGGCTGCAACATTTATTTACTTTTTTTGGCCTGAAAGGGAACAGATGCTGCTTGTGAATGATAGGGGAGAGTGGGGTAAGATGAGCCATTTTTCATATTTCTGATCACAACATCAAGGCGATCATAAGTTTGTCTCTAACTAGTGTATCTGCATATATTTCAAGATGTTGTGCATCCCTGCAACAGAATGAGTGTAAACAGAACTGTCTTGATAATATAGCATGCCAAAAAAAGTGGTCTTCTATAGTCAACTGATCGCCTGTATGTTAGTTAGTTAGTTAGTTAGTTCGTATGGGGTAAGTTGACCATAGGAGCGGGCAAGTTGAGCCATATCGCTACCACCCCCCCACTCTCCAGCCCAGCCCTCCCTCACCTACTGTCTCCCGAAATAACAGTCACTTCTTCATATTCTTGTGTATTTTTATCATTATCTGTTATTCAACTGGTACAATAGTTAACATGAGAATACCTTTAAGTGATTCAGAACAATCACAGCTGTAATTTTGAAAAGACAAAGTAACACATTTCAACAATCTGAACTGAAACTCTGATCCTCTCATCAGACTTCTTTACTTTCTCAGTTGAGTCACTGGCTCAACTTACCCCAGAACTACTATTATGACTTTATCAGTCCTCTCATCTAAAATGGTGGACTTTTATGTTAGGTTTTTGACCTCATGTTGTAGCTCATAGATACCACAATTGATGTATAAAACAAATTTAAAATGATCTTTTTTGGTCTGAACACAATTCTAATAAAACTGATGACAGACTAAATTCACTTTCAAGAGTGAAAAATGCTTTTTTTTTTTTAAATAAACATCTAACCCCTTCACCCATGTGCTTCTAACCTTCACAGACTCCATGAATCCATGACCATTTCCTAAATATTTGGTCACATGATCAATTTCTTTTACCATTTCTAAGCAACAGGGGGTGGCTCAACTTACCCTTTGGCTCAACTTACCCCACTCTCCCCTATATTTGAGTGATTACCGGCATTCCAGCGTTTATCTGACTCTTATCAGCTTTGGCAACACTCAAGCCAAACTTAGCCCGAGGCTGATAAAACACTGTGAAAGTTAACAGACTACATATGGCCATAAGGGGCTAAATCTTTGCGATTTGAGGTCATCCGGATCGATGAAAAGTTCGGGCGTCATCTTATTGTTGTTGGCAAGTGCGCAACAAAAGCGCACAGCTTCCAACTTGAGGAAAAGTGAGTTTAGAGACGCCGGTGTTGAACTGGCTGTCAGACAATGGAGAGAAAGTGAAATGGCACGCCAGGGACGTGTGAAAATGTTACAGCTTACCTATTCCTGTGTCTTTGCACCACTCCAGTGTATGCAGACCCGTGGAACAAATCATATGAAGAGGGAGACCCGTACGTGAAGTGGACGTTCAAAAACAGTGTGAAAACTATCCACCGCCAGTCCATCTCTGCTTTCCCGAAGCTCATACTCAACAAACGCCTCAGAATAAATAGTCCCAACAGAAAAAGAAAGAGAGAAAACGGGCGACTTTGTAATTATGATGCGCGAAGTCCCACAAACCACAGTCACATTGTCCTAGTGAGTGATCCAACTCCAATAAGCAAAGTTTGGGGAAGTCCACTTTCAGTGCAACTCCCTTGGAGTGACGCTCAGGGTCCACACCCTCCTCCTAAAAAACTCAGATGAGGGAAAAACTTTCCCCTTTACAGAAAAAAAAGAAGAAGAAGTAAGAGTTCAAGGTGCCTTTATGTGGGAATGTTTTAATTCAATTAGTCCAGTTTGTGCTTTTTAAACATGGAGATAGGATAATGAATGTGTGAGGGGAGGGTTTGAAAGGAGATTGATTACTCCTTTGTACACCAACAAGCAACACTTCACACCTCACTGATGAACAGAGTGGGATCATGTTGAAAGAAGTGTGTGTAATGCTGGAGTTGATGATATTCATAGCTGGGGATAACAGCAGTCATTTACATTCTGTCTGCCATGTTGCTGAGTGTCAGTGATATAGAGGGATTACATAGAGTGCAGCTTGTTCGGTCCTGCAGCATTTTCTATTTCTTTAAGCCAGGCTGAGCAATACCTTAACATAGTGAGGGAGACAGAAAATAGCACAGACAAGAGCTTCATTCACAGCACTTGAGGCAGGAATTCATTGTCAGGGCTTTGTGTGAAAGTGTGAGAAAGGAAAGAGTTACCGAGCACACACACACACACACACACAGTGGTGCTGCATGGGGAAATTATTTTATTTCTGAGGTGGCCTTGAGCAATTTCATGCAGCTCCCCGGGGTGCAGTTGTGGGGCCTTTTTTGCCTGATCAGACAGATGCTGTCAGCTAACACAGGGATGATTATGTGTTCGGGAGAAAAGCAGAAAGGAGGGGTTGAGAGGGAGAGGCATAAGTAGAAGAGGGTGAGAGTTAAATAAAGACAAGGTGAGAGGTTAAATATAATGATTTAGAGGGCTGCTGTTGAGACTTTCTGTAGAGACACACATTAAAGCTTCCCTTCCTCCTAAAAAAAGAAGCTTTCATTGTAGCAGCTATCACTGCTGACTCCTGCTCAGAGCAGAGATAACCCTTCCAAAATAAGACCGCTCTATTTCACCAGGGCCAAGGCTCGGCCAAGTGAAAGATGCAGGAGTGGGTTATGTAAGTGAGTGATGTCTGCAGGGATTTGAATTTCAACTTAGTGAAAGCAGACATGCCATTCACAACCACATAACTTCACCCACAGAATCCTTTAATAAGACAGCTTCCTGTATTTTATTTGCTTCTTTCTTCCTGTTTTTCTTTTCATTGTTATGCATAACTCTAACCCCTGCACACCTACGTCACAAACCTTGAAATGTACTTCATGCTCCTCAAGCAGAGAAATGCAGGTTGTTCATGGGGCATAATTGCTGATGTTTTTTACTGTAGTTCATTTTTTGCCCAGAAGAGGGCAGCACAGCTGCAGTAAAGAAAGAAACTCTTCCTTGTAGTCATGGCAATCCTTTTCCAAATGTGTTGGAGTGAGTGAGAAAAGAACATTTCATTAGTGAGGCTGGTGCAAGTGCCCAAATTTCTCCACTCACATTTCTCTGTCCACCTTCCCATGCTGCGCTCATGTCAATTATTTGTGAAATGCAGTTGGAGTTTATCATGTCATATCTGCTACTGTGCAATCTTATTGGAATCATGTTATCCCTCACAGAATATCACCATCATCTGTATTTTACTTCTGCCTGTGTTTATAAAAGCAGCAAAATCTTCTCATAGCTTTAATTGCAGCTGGATTGAAACCCCTCGTCCAGACTAATTTGACAATGTAAAGCCTCACCTCTCACCTAAATCAGCTCTGTGCAAGTTAAAAATACCAAGTAACTTCATATATATCCATTCATGCAGCCCAGAGAGCGAGATGAGTCATAAATGAAGGAAGATACCCAGACTTTTCCGTCAGTTAACAAAAAAATGAGACACTTAGACGCACCGTGATCCCGGCCATAAATCGAGAGGGCATTTCCTCATTTCACCTCTCTCAGATCGATTTCTTATTTTTCATCTTTGCAGGAGTCGGAGGACAGATTGGAGCTGGAATAGCCTGTGTTGAACCCTGCCGGGTGGATCCTTTGCGGCGAACAATACATTTGTCATTGAGACACTCATTTTATCAAGGCTGCCCTCATCAAGACTCCCTTTGAATCCTTTAAATTCAACATGCTCCACCTGAAACTGTGACCTTGATCTTTAGCTTGACTTAAAATGAATGTGCGGGCACACCTTAGAGAGGTAGTTCAAGGCTGCTACAGGGGTAACACAAAGCAGGTTTTCCCCACAAATGGCTGGTTTGGGTCTGTGCTGCAGAGCTGTTGTACTCCTACCAGAACACACAGCTTCTCATCAAGGGAATCCAAATGAAATCAGCCAGAGTTAACTGTCCTTGTAGGTGCTGTAAACATGCTCCTTTAGGCTTGAACTAGAAACCAAACAACACCTAAGGAGACAGATCAGAGCTGCAAATATCGCTTTCATTCACCAAACAACAGCTATGCACCACATGCATTACCCTGTGATAGAGCTACAATTACACTGTGTGACTCAGTCAGAGCAACAAGGCCTGTACATGCTGCCTACACAGGTGCTTTACAAAGCGGGGTCAAGGGGGCTGCCTCAGGGTGCAGCGTTGATATCTTTGCTTAAATTTGTGAACTTTTCTTGACTTGAACTCTCCACGGTGAAACAGGGAGGCTGAGATGAAGCGTTTTGATCATTTATTTATTCTCCTCTACTTAGCACAGAAACTTTTTGAGCTTAAAGGAGTGCAGTGCACAGTTAGCAGCATTTAGCAGAATAGACTCGGTAGAAATGGAATATAATATTTCTGAGAAGTTTGTTTTTCTGAATCAAACATTGACCTTTTGTATCCTCATAGGAGGGACCCTCCTTCCAAGTAGTCCTCTATCCTGCATCTCCGTGTTTCTCCACTAGCACAGAATGGACAAACTAAATTAGTAATATACGCATTTTTTATTCAGTGAGTGGCAGCTCATGATGCAGCAGTTAGACAGCAAAGAAAAGGAAGGAGAGCAGTTGTTGTGCAGAAAATAATTTGTATTTGTGCGAGCAAAAACTTGACAAATGGAGGAGCACAGTTCTCGTGCACCACAGGAGTTTCTTTCCCTCCTAGGCCACCGTTGCATCACCAGAAAGCAGGGGTGAGCAAGGGGGCATTTCAATCTAGCCCTTTAATGCCTTTTGTATCATATTTGATACATACCTTTATGATACTTCTGTCAAATCAATATGATCAACAAATTACAAAAAAAAACACCTGAATACAGTCCGATGATTGATAAAAATGTCTACCTGTGGTTTATTGGTTTCCAAAAACATCTAATGTCTCAAACGAGATAAATAAAAATCTGTTAAATTTTAAGGACATTTTGATTTTTTTGGTTTTCAGTAGTAAGTGAAATAAACATTTCAGCTCAAAAAAAAAGTGAATTTTCTGGCCATAATTTGTGGTTTCAGGCATTAAAGGGCTTGAGTCTGACTGCTTGATATTTCATGTCTACACATTGCAGTGATTTATAGAGGTGTTTTTTGGCAACACCAGTGCTTCACTGATGCATGTTTGACAACACCATTCTCCCATATTAAAGCTCCTATGAGGATTTTTTGATGTTTATAAAATGGACTGAAACTTATGTTGATGGATTCTTGCGATATCCAAAAATGAACAAAACCAGCAGGGACAAGATTTTTACACACTAATTTTTAAAACTTGAAACTGGTGTGTGGGGGTAGGTGTTCAAGGAGCACCTGAAGAAAAATGTAAACATTGAACATCACTAAAAATTCTGAATCTTTAAAAAGAGGACACGACTACGAGGGGCGGAGTCACGGAGTCACACATAGTACATTTTGAGAGTTTTTCGGGTTGGGTTGAGTTGTTTTTTTATTTGCTTCTAACTCAGTAAGTCCACATGACACAAACTCAAAACTTCCATACAAAAGTCCGGACATTTGAAGGATTTTATTAACCTCCTCTGACAAGGCCGGACAGCCCCCAAAAAAGAGGACATGTCCGGGTAAAAGAGGACATACGGTCACCCTACAAAAATGATACAAATGGCTCTCAAAAGTCAGTAGAATGAGATACTTAAAGACTACTTTGTCCACAGGGGGGCGCCAACATTAACACTGACTAAAAGTTCCTCACAGGAGCTTTATCTGAGAAACTGATCTTGTATGCGACAGTAATAGTAATGTCAGAGGAATATTGCACTACCAAGAGAGCATGATGAAGTCCAATGTGGAAAAGTAGTATTGCACTTGAAGGTTTCACATGTTTTATGTATATCCCAACTTCAATAACTGTAGTGATATTCAAAGGTAGTTTTGACAACATTGATCGAAACGCAGTTGCTCTGGCCTGTACTCTTGGCGATTTCATGTATATATGACACCCAAGAATAATTTTCTTAAAGTGGGCAGAAACCTCCTGCAGAACCAGACTCATTGGTGGACCGCTGTCTGCCGAATCAACTAAACCTGAGGGGTAAAGGAATTAAAGTTTTTGTCTCATCAAATCAGTCAGTGATTCCCAGCCTGTCTGTCTTCAGCTTCCCTATCATACAAAGGAAAACTTGACTAGCAAAATTAACTTCAAACAATAAAACAAAAAGTGTTTTTATGACGTGGGAAGCTCATCTTTTTAGTCATAAATCCTGTATAGTAGAAATGGCCTCCCATGACTCTTTTCCATTGGTGTTGGACTGCATTACTCTTACTCTGTAGTCTATTAAAACATAACCATGCAGACCAGCTCATTTCAGCAGAGTGTGTAATACTTTAAGTACCAAGGAGAGGTACAGGGTTAGGAAAATGTTCTCTTTGATTGGGAATTATGATATAGTGCCGTCATAGCCATACATTTACAATGAACTTGTGAACATATAATATTGATATTACATATTAATGCAGCGCGGTGACGCAGTAGAGCACTCTTTGATCCCTCTAATGCTGTTATAGGTCGCTGGAACATACGTTACATTTAAGAGAAGCAGGAAGGATAAATCTTTAGGGGATTGGCTCTATCATATTGTCTTCTATCATTTTGGTTTCTTCGTGTCTCTATCCCCCCACTCGCCTTCATTTTTTGCCTCATAGAAAACATCTTGACAAAGACTGACTGTCATTTTGCAACAGTTGTCAGATTGTGAGTAGCTTCCTAATTAGTCGACCTCTCCATCATGGGTGACACTTGCATTTGCGGGTGCTTAGTCAGATTTGTCTTTCCAGTTTATTAATTGGCATAACACTGTGAATGACCTCTTCTGGATCAGGCTGTAGGTTGGACTTTTTTTCTTGCTTTGCTGAGGAAAAAAGTAAAATGTGTCTGAATCAGTACACAGCCATGATCAGAGCGCAAGATGAGAGAAAGTTCAAACAAATGTCATGGTCAGAGGCAGACAAAGAGACAGACTGGGAGACAAAGGGAGCAGTACAAACGCCTGTTGTTGTGGATGTACACAAATACCACCCACACAACACACAAAAGCCCCCCATATTCTTACATATACATGCCCACATAGGCCTGTGCATGCAGACACACACAGCAGATTAGGAAAGCTGATTTATTGGCTGTAAAATGTTAATATAGCTATAAGCCCTGCTCATGAATTGTTAATTAAGGCCGTGACAGACTCGTCACCTAAAATGTTAATGAGGTGAGATTGCGTCGGGGCTGAGAGGTCTCTGTGAGCCACATTGAGCAAATACAACAGATGAGCTGAATCCACGAGACCCCCTGCATGCTTTAATAAGAAGCGCTGAGGGCACCTGAGCTGGGTCGTGCCCATTCGGCCATGGAGTAATTAAATTAATGAATGGCAGTAGGTGAATTAACCACTGTGATAGTGAAAGGGAATGATGGGTATGATCCATTTTTACACTGCCTACTTTTTCAATCAGACTCACTGGAGGTGAAAAAATACTTTAGCTATTCGTACCTATACGTCTAAGATAGAAATCCAAAAGTTCACGGTAATGAATCATCATTATTTTTCTAAAATAATGAGCCTTCAGAAGGGTGGGGTTCTCCTTTGGCATTTGATGATAGTGATGGTGCTCCTGAGTCAGGTTTCAACCCCAGATCCATTTTTATGATAAAAAATGCTTATTTCTGGAAAACAACAACAACAGGTGTAGTTGATGCCATGAAAGTTTGTCAGAGTAGTCATATAAGAATAATAGATGTTGTACCTGGCGAAGATAAAATTGATTTTGCAACCATATAGGGGAGAGTGGGGTAAGTTGAGCCACCCCCTGTTGCCTATAAATGGTAAAAGAAATTGAACATGTGACCAAATATTTAGGAGATGGGCATCAATTCATGGAGTCTGTGAAGGTTAGAAGCACATGGGTGAAGGGGTTAGACATTTATTTACAAAAATAAAACATTTTCCACTCTTGAAAGAGAATTTAATCTGTCATAAGTTTTATTAGAATTGTGTTCAGACCAAAAGAGATCATTTTAAATTAGTTTTATACATCAATTGTGAAATCTATGAGCTACAACATGAGGTCAAAAACCCAACATAAACCCAACATATGTATAGTGACTAGGAACGAAAACAAAGTCACTGAGAGGCTAAGTGAGGGAGCTTCCGCATTGGTGACTCGCTACACAAACCACAAGCCATTTCCGTGTTTTCCGATTGAGTTCACATTTATTTCCAACGCCGCACAAACAGACAGACAGGGCAAGGCAAGGCAAGATGATCTATGGGCTTAGTTTGACGTTTAAATCAAGCGGTCAACAAAAAATACGCTCTCCCTACTCACCCCCTCTCCATGCAGCCGCCGCAGCACCCAGGTGACTATATGTCCATTCATTCAATCATTCAATCATCGCGCCTTGACCACACCCCCTCGTGACGTGCATGAAAGGTGCAGCCCAGACAGTTGATGTCAACACACACAAACCTAACCACTTCTGCATATGGCACCTACAACCCAGCCCCTAATTATTACCATTATAATAATTACACTATGACAAATAAATGAACCACGAAATCCACCAATGTTCTTGTAATAGTCCATCAATACAGTTCGTCAATGTGCTCTTCTTCCTGGAACACAAGTCAAGTCTAGCCAAGTTCAAAAGTTCAAAAGTTCAGACACACAGCTTCACGGAGGAAAGTCATGTCGTGCTGTCGGTCAGTAAAGTCAATCAAACTATCCTTCCAGAACGGAAGAGTCAGGCATCCGATTCCTGCAGAAGACAGACTTTGGTTATGGGCCTTTCCAAGGAGCTGGTCTTGGTCTTGATCTGCAGCCGTCGCACAAATCCTCTTCTGTCTGGGAAGGTTTGGATAACCCTTCCCATGACCCACGAGTTCCGTGGTGCTGTTTCATCCACAATAAGCACAACGTCCCCTTCTACAAAGTTGCGCTTGATACCAGTCCACCTCTGACGTTCCTGCAACTGTGGCAAATACTCCTTAGTCCATCGCTTCCAAAATAAATCAGACATGTACTGGACCTGCCTCCAGCGTCGATGAGCGTAGATGTCGTCTCTTTGAAACTGCCCAGGTGGCAGGGAAGGAGAGGTTTTCAACAGCAAGAGATGGTTAGGCGTCAGAGCTTCGAGGTCGTTAGGGTCGGTTGAGGCCTTAGTAATTGGACGGCCGTTAATGACTGCTTCCACCTCACAGAGGACAGTGTGCAATCCCTCCTCATCCAGATTTTGAACTTTCAAGATGGAGTTCAAGACCTTGCGCACTGATCTGATCAACCTTTCCCAGGCACCACCATGGTGCGATCCAGCTGGGGGGTTAAAAATCCATTTCACCTCCTTCTGAAGAAGAACACCATTTATCTGAGCTTGATTCCAACCTCTGATAGCCTCTCTCAGCTCACGCTCTCCTCCAATAAAGTTCGTTCCATTGTCTGATCGAATTTCTTGGACTTGGCCACGTCTTGCCATGAATCGTCGTAGTGCATTAATAAAGGCGTCTGTATCCAGCGAAGGAGCCACTTCGATATGAACAGCCCGTATTGCCAAACAGGTGAACATGACTCCATATCTCTTTACAATGCTCCTCCGGCTCTTAACCTCGAATGGTCCAAAGTAGTCCACACCGACTCTGGTGAATGGAGGTTCGTCCGGGCAGACCCTGTCAACAGGAAGATCAGCCATCAGCTGACACCCTGGGGCAGCTTGCAACCTGCGGCAGACAACACACTTTGACAAAATTCTCCTTATGGCTGTGCTGACCCCAGGAATCCAGTATCTTTCACGTAGTTTGGACAACATGTAGTTGCGTCCTCCATGACCAACTTGTTGATGTATGTGTCTCAGGAGAACGTCTGAAATGTGGAGCTCTTTGGTCAGAATGGCAGGGTGTTTTGCGTCTTCAGGTAAGGCTGCTCGGCTCAACCGACCACCAACCCTCAGGATACCATCCTCCAACACAGGAGCGAGCTTGAAGATGTGACTTCTCCTTTTCACACTTTCGCCCTTCTGCAAACTAAAGTGTTCATCAGGAAACCTCTTCCTCTGACAAAACCTGACGATTTCCTTTTCAGCGACCTGCAACTCGTCTACCGTGAGGAAACCTCTCGGTGCCAGGTCTTTGAACCCTCCTTTTCCAAGCTCCGAGGACGGTCTTTGTTGTTTCCCTGACTCCGACTGAGTGGACGCAGAGTCAGTCCATGTCCTCTTCTGGCTGAGACCCCGCAGCATGTTTTTTAGCCTGAGAAACCAAGCCACAGCCCTTCTCAGATGGGTCCAAGAGGAAAAATGATGGATTAGTTGAGTGGTTGCATCCACATCCTCTGAGGTCTGCACTGCATTCACTGCCACACTGGCCTTGACTTCTGGATCGTTCAGCAGGAGTTCGCCCAAGCAATCTGGACTCACAGGCCAGTCTCGTTCAGGTTGCAGGAGATATGCAGGTCCTGACAACCACGCCTTGTTCCTCAGGAACATGTCAACCCTCAGTCCCCTGGAGGCCACATCTGCAGGATTGCTTAGGGTGTTTACATACTTCCACTGCGATGGATCTGACACTTTGAGTATTTCTGCTACCCTGTTGGCGACAAAGGTACGGAACCTGGAAGTCTCATTCCTGATGTACTTCAGCACAGAGGTGCTGTCAGTCCAAAACGTTGACTCTATTAATGACATGTGCAACTCCTTTTTCCAAAAGGTGTCCAGACGGCTTGCCATGGTAGCAGCTGTGAGCTCCATGCGGGGTATTGAGACCGGCTTCAAAGGAGACACCCTGGACTTTCCCATGACAAAGCTGCTGTGCATCTGGGAACATGCATTCCGCAGGAGAAGGTAGGTCACTACACCATAACCATTATTGCTTGCGTCTGTAAAATGGTGCAGTTGCGCCACAGTGACCTCACCAAAGTCTGGGGGTTTAAGGCACCGCGAAACCTGGAAGTGCTCTAACTGATGGAGCTCCTCTAACCAGCTCGTCCATTCCTGTGCAGCTGATGGTGGTATAGGGTCATCCCAACCGAGTCTTTGCCTACACAGCTCCTGCAGGATGATCTTGGCAGAAAGAACAATGGGACTCAGGATTCCTAGAGGATCGTATACTGAACTGATGACAGAGAGGATCCCCCTCCTTGTCAGGGGCCTGTCCTGCACCAGGATTCTAAACTTGAAGACATCAGACTGGATGCACCATTGCACTCCGAGCACCCTCTCCACTGGTAGCAGGTCATGGTCCAAATCCAAGTCCTTCATGCCCTTAGCTCTTTGGTCCCCTGGAATTGCTGCCATCACTGCACGGCTATTGCTCATCCATTTGGTCAACTTAAAGCCTCCTTTGGCACATACAGAGACCAGGTCATGATACAGTGCCACTGCTTCTTCCTCACTGGCCGTCGACACCAGACAATCGTCCACATAGAAGCAGTGCAGAATCCTCTCAATGGTCTCCTGGCAGAACTGTTCTTCATTGTCCTTAGCACATTTCCTCAATGCAAAGTTAGCACAACTTGGTGAGGACGTTGCACCAAAAAGATGTACCAACATTCTGAAGTCTACCAGGTCTTGGGTGCAGTCACCGTTGGGCCACCAGAGAAACCTCAGTAGATCAGCGTCTTCCCTTGGCACCTTTACTTGGTGAAACATGGACTCTATGTCTGCCATGATCACTACCGGTTCTTTCCGGAATCTGGCCAGGACGCCAATCAGCGAGCTAGTGAGATCCGGCCCTTGCAGCAGTTGAGCGTTGAGAGATGCTGACTGGAAAGTGGCAGCACAGTCAAAAACCACACGGATTTTTCCTTTTTGAGGGTGATACACACCATGGTGTGGGATATACCACAATCTTCCATCAGTACGTGCCAGCTCATCTGAAGGTACTTGCTCTGCGTATCCATTGGTGACCATATCATTCATGAAATCAGTATACTGCTGATGAAATAACGAGTCCCTCTTGAACCTCCTCTTCAGGTTTAGAGCACGCTGCTCGGCAACCTTCTTGTTGTTTGGCATGGTCACGGAGCTTCGCAGGGGCAATGCAATCTGGTAATGACCATCTACAAGCTTGGCTGAATCCTGGACCAACTTCATGAACTTTTGGTCCTCTCTTGACTGGCCAGGTTGCTCATCGTAGCCACATTCTGGGAAATCTGTTCTGAACTGCTGCTGCCAGAGCTCCTCCAAGTTCAGGACTGAAATTCTGTTAACGGTCGCAACATCCATTCCATCACCACTGTTTCCCCCCAGTGGCCCATTAACAGTCCAACCCAAAATAGTCTTGATGGCATACGGTCCATTGTCCACACTACGGATGACTTGTAATGGTTCCAGTGCCCTTGGTACGTTTGTTCCAATCAACAGCTCAACTTCGGAGTCGATATCAGGTAAGTGAACATCTCTCAAGTATGCCCACCTCTCGAGATCCTTTTGACGTGGAATATTTCCTCTATGCACCGGCATGCACTCCTGTGTATAGGTGTTGGGCAAATCACAGTATGTCTCTCCGTCCAAACCGGCCACCTCCAGTCCCATGACCACACAGCTGTTAACGACCTTCTCCTGACCCATTGTCCGCAAAAGGATTCTTGTCCTTTTTCCTGAGAGGTTGAGCTTGTTCATGAGGTTTACTGTGCAGAAAACAGCCGTGCTACCTTGATCCAAGAAGGCATAAGTAGCCACTACATGATTACCTTTCTTGGATTTAACCAATACAGGAACTATAGGAAGCTTGCACTCATGGCCACCAGCCCCAGTCAACCCATTAGATACCAGAGCACAGCCCACTGCGGCGCCTGGTTCTTCTTCTGTCACTGGGTCCTTTTCCTTTGAATGGATGTGAAGCATTGTGGGGTGTTTCAAACTACACACTTTACATGATAGACGCTTTCGACAGTCCTTGCTGATGTGTCCTGTACACAAACAGCCGAAGCATATTCCCTTTTCCCTTAAAAAGGTGATCTTTTCAGTGTGAGTCATCTTCTCCATTCGAGAGCAATACTCCAACATGTGCCCACCCTCACAAAACAGACAGACTTTCTTGGCTGATGAGGTTGTGTCTGGCCTCCTTCCTTTTGTTGCTGTGTAATTGTGCTGTACAGTAGTCACTGTTGTAGCGAAACTACTTCCCTTTGGCCGAGATCTAGGTTTTAAGCTGGTTCGATTCATGCCTCTGTTTACTGCTGGTGATGAGTCTTGAATGTCTCCAAATACTGGGTCTGTTAGAATCCTTGCTTGCCTTTCGATGAAATGGACAATATCATTGAATGTAGCCCTTTGGTTACGTCTTTCTTGTATTTCACAAGCAGTTGTCCTCCATCGATCCCTCAGCTTGTAAGGCAGTTTTTTTATTATTGTCAGCATGTTAGCAGGCATATCCATTTCGAACATATACTGCACTTCGTTCATCGCATTTGCGCAGCCTCTGAGAAATAGGCTATAATCTTGGAGAGCTTTAACGTCCTCTGATTTTATTGGAGCCCATGACAACGCCTTGTCCATATAAGCAGCAGCAACCCTCTGTTCATCCCCAAAATGTTCTTGTAATAGGATTTTAGCTTGAGCATAGCCCCTGTTTGGGTCCATATGCTGGCAGCTTCTCACAAGATCTCTTGGACGACCTCTAGTGTATTGCTCGAGGAAGTACAGGCAATCACTATGACTGTTGGACTTGCTTTCAATACAGTTTTCAAAGGCTCTCAGGAACGTATGAAACTGCAGTGGGTCACCATCAAACACCTGGATGTCTCTTTTAGGCAAGAGCGCATGTTGCTGCTGTTGTATCAGCAGTGTTGTAATTTCATTCTGTCTTTTCATGATGTCAAGAACATTGTTTTGCTCCCCATGTCTTGCTGAATCCCCAACATTAAGACTGATTCCATGATGTAAGTGATCATTATGAGCATTGAGCAGAGGATTAAAATCAGGTAAGTGGCTCTTTAAAGTGGGAGGCTGAAAGTGAACAGCATGGGTCGATCCATCTGATTTAGGCCTTGTCACAGGGTCACTGTCCATGATTTTCGATTGCTGTTTAGATGTTTCCAGCCTCAGAGGAATGAAAGGAGTGGCATTGACATTGAACTTTGTTGTTTCTTGTTCATTTTTAACGTAGGAACTCATTGCATTGGACCTGTCCGTTGTAGTACTTTTCGAACCAGATATGCTTGCAGCCCTTAGAACGCTCACTTTAGCCAAGTGTGCAGCAATCTCTTCATCCAACTTGAGCTTTTCCTTGCGTTTCCGTATTTGCTGCTCCTCCTCTTCCAGTGCATGTCTGTCCTGTAAAAGTTTTTGCCGTGCCATCAGTGCAGCTAAATCAGCTTCTGCCTTGATGCGAGCAGAAGAAGTTCCTGATACGTTGGACCTTTTACCACTCCCAGAGCTTTTTCCACTCACAGCACTTTTTGCAGATCGTTTGCTTTGCACATTTGATATGCTATCACTTGGGTTCACGTCATCCTGTAGACCTTCATAAGGTGTGATGGGGCCTGTGTCCTGTGCTGCTGCCTGTAAAGCATCATCTATTTGAGGGTCACACACATGCTTTGTTGCTGCGGCCTCATCATTATCCACGATATTTAGAACATGTTCATTCTCATCCAACCACTGAGTCACATCATCCTTGAATGTACTGCTGTAACGTTCAATACTGGAGAACCAATCATTCTGTTTTAGTTTTTCATCCTCGGGTAACAGTGGAATTATTGTTTGATGCAGGTTGACAGCAGTATCAAGGAGCTGAGTAATAGTTTGCAACTGAGATTTCACTTCCTGTACATTTTCCTTTCGTTTCATCAGCTCTTTCATTGCAGGTATTAAGCCTTTTATTTTATTCACATGTGTTTTACGTTCATTTTGTAGATTTACCACTTTATATGCCAATGCTTTTGCAGTAAGTTTCACATTCCTTTTAGCAACCACAGTTTCATTGTTTTCCACTTGTTCCATGGCTTCACTCATATTGTCCTTTTGAGATTCGGCAGTTCAGTGGTTCGCGCAGTGAATCCACAATACACCCAGCATAGTTTTATTTTTCCACAGATTGTTTCACATCAATTAACATCGGAAAACACCACAGGTATTTACTCTCAACGAGCAGGACAGGCTGTCTCAGCGGACTTTCACACACGCACAGCGCTCCCCAATGGATGCGCTGTATGCGCTGTAATCAAACTGCGTTCCGTCCAACATACACAGAATGAATGGATGCGAGTGATACAGTCCTACCGGTCTGAAGTCCACGTTGCGATCAGTCTGGCGTTGCAGTTAGACACCGTGTGGCGTGATCGCGTCCGTATATGCCGTTCGGGTGTTGGTACTCCTTTTTTGTTGACAAAATATAGTGACTAGGAACGAAAACAAAGTCACTGAGAGGCTAAGTGAGGGAGCTTCCGCATTGGTGACTCGCTACACAAACCACAAGCCATTTCCGTGTTTTCCGATTGAGTTCACATTTATTTCCAACGCCGCACAAACAGACAGACAGGGCAAGGCAAGGCAAGATGATCTATGGGCTTAGTTTGACGTTTAAATCAAGCGGTCAACAAAAAATACGCTCTCCCTACTCACCCCCTCTCCATGCAGCCGCCGCAGCACCCAGGTGACTATATGTCCATTCATTCAATCATTCAATCATCGCGCCTTGACCACACCCCCTCGTGACGTGCATGAAAGGTGCAGCCCAGACAGTTGATGTCAACACACACAAACCTAACCACTTCTGCATATGGCACCTACAATATGTTCAACTTACCCCATACACGGGGTAAGTTGACTATAGGAGACCACTGTTTTGGCATGCTATATTATCAAGACAGTTGTGTTTACACTCATTCGGTTGGTTTGCAGGGATGTACAACATCTTGAAATATATGCAGATACACTATTTAGAGACAAAACTATGATTGCCTTGATGCAGTGATCCGAAATATGAAAAATGTCTCATCTTACCCCACTGTCCCCTATATTATATACTGATTCATACATGAAACGGGTTTTAAAAATATGTAAATTAAAGAGGTTGTTGTATTTTTCCCTCATGCAATTAAAGGTGTGAAATGAAGATTGCACCGTTTCGGCCCAGTAATAGAGATAATAATCATGATAACGGTAATTTTTCTTTACTGCTGCCTGTAAAAATGTTTGTTTACAGTTTGTACAGGGTGTCTAATGTGTTAATGGCGGGGATAATCTGTAATTACAGACCGAAATTAACTTGCCAATAAAATATTGTTTTATTGATTATTTTGATAAGTTTTATCGCCACATTTACTTTTCGTGCGTATATGATAACATTCTCAAAGTGTTGGGGTGGAGAAACGTGCAGCGGGCTGTCCGGAAGCGTGAATCAAACACACCCTCTTTGATGAGGCAGGTTTGTGACCTCAGTCTGACCCCTCCAGCTGTGACGCGTCTTGGATGAACGCGCTGTTTTTAAACTCGCGCCGCTGACGCCATTTTAACTAGTTTGATGTAGTTTTCTGCGATTTTACAAACTAGTCCACCGAAAGTGTACTCATGTGGCGTCAGGACACCATTGTTGAGGATTTACCGTCGGAAAAACAAAGTATCCTGTTTTGCTGTCTTCAGTAAAAGTCCTCAAAGGAGCTGAGGTTAGGATCAGCGGGCCTACTCCACCACAGCTCACCTCCTCAAACTCAGGTAAGAGCGAGTTTTCATACCAACTTTGTCTGTTTCATGTGGCAAAATATGAAGCCTGAACAGAGATATGACATTGTTTTTTTGTGGTTTCTGTCTATTCTTTGCTGTTTTGTGTTTTTATTTTTGCAGCAGCATCAGCTTATTATGAGAAATGCTCTAGACTGGCTGAGTTTATTTTTCTTGTGGTTGTTGGCGCTTGAGTTTTCTGCTTTCAAAGCGTATATGATGATAAAGTGCAAATGCAGTTTTAATGTGTTTTGGCACATTATTTGGCAGCAATAGCTTTTATAAATCAAGAGCAGTTTGCTAGTTCTTTTCACAAGACACCAATTACTTGTAAAGTCACAGTAACTTTTTGGAATTACTTTTATTGTGTAACAAACTGAAAAAACACAAACTCTATCTCTCAGTAAAAGTGACCTAAACGTGCAAAAAGTCATTCCTAACTAAAGAAAAAAGGTGAAACCAGCAAATATTGGATATTTGTACTATAAAAGGACAGAAACTTTTAATTTGATCATAAAATAGTTGGGTTAGTTCCCTTTTTATTGATTTCCTTCCTGTTGAGACTCTAAAACCAAACTCAAAACGCAACTTTTTAGTCTCGCTTTTAACTAAATTTTATATCATTAACTTTGTGTGTTAACGATAGCTGTGTTTTAGCACATATCTTTCTAGTTTTAATGACTGGATCGTCACTCTTATTTTAGTGTCTTTTACTGTTGTTTTTATTTCATTTCATTCATTATTTCTTAAATTTCATTCTGTATTACTTTTTTTTTTAGACTTTAACCTAAACCGCCATTGTTTCCTTATCTTGAGTTTTAAAATGACGTTTCCTCAGTGCGCACATCCCTGTTTCCACGAAATCATACCCTTATTAAGTTAAAGGTGGGGTAGGCAGGAATCTGTTAAAGAAGCATCTTTTTTTGTGGTGTATACAAAAAAGCTTTCTAATATCAGTCAATAGCTATTAGTTATTGATGATATTTGGTAATATAACGATATCGCTGTGTATTATGTCTGTTTAGTCAACATTTTACATTTTTTGAGCGTCCCGCTCTTTCTGACTGTAAACAAAGCCGTTCTCTGCCTCCCCCAACCTGATTGGTTGTGAGGCAGACGCTGCTCCCCCGTGTCGTTAAAGAGCCCAAACAAAGTTAGCGTGCTACGATTTCGGACAGTAGAAACCATCCAGAAAGTGCTGAAAATTGTCTGAATCCTCCTTTGACCATGACTGCCAATACAAGCAAGAAAACGAAGTAAATACCGGAGACTCTGACGGAATAACGGGCGCTTAAAAAGCTGGGTCAACATCAGCATAAACGATGAGGAACACTACGGTATCTTATGGACCATGTAACCTTTCTGCTGGACAGGTAAACTGCTTTAACAAAGTAAGCCAAGTGTCTCTAACAAAAGTGTTAGAGGGGACCGGCTGTGTGTTGTAGCGCCGCTAAACTCTTTACCTCGGGTCCTGAACTATGTCACTTTATCCTAGTTGTAGAAGTCCTGCAAACATTGTGTTTGCTGGTAGTCTGTTGGCATCTACAGTAGCACCAATGCTTTTTACTCGGCCCCATTTGTAATTATCTGAAGTATTTATCTGCATTATATCTGAATTTAATTGAAACGATACGAGCGAGCAGGAGCGTCTGTATGTGGGCGGGGCTTGCTGGAGCAGAGAGGGAGGGGAGAGGAGGAGCTGAGGGGATAACTGGTTGGGTGGGGTAGTGTTTACATTCAAGATTCCTCCCCAAAACTGGTACTTCCTCAGATCCTGCCCACCCTAATGCATTTTAATACTGTTTCTGTTGCGTTTAGATCGTGGGATGGGAATGAGGGGTTGGGCTGGGGTAGATTTGGGTATTCTTTGTTTCTTTTATTCGTCTCTCTGTGTTGCACTTGTGCTACATGGTTGTGTATGAAAAGTGCCATATAAATAAAGACGGATTGATGATTGATATTGTGTACCCACAAAACATACTGTTGTTTTTAGGGTAACTATTCTTCAAATCAGTATGACTGTGATTGTCTACGTACTGACTTTTATCCTGCCCACAGCCCACTTCAATACGGCAATATTTACACTAAAAGCAAGTTGATTAGGTGACTACATGCTGCTTCCTGTCACAATTACCTTTTAAACTGCTGAGCTCTTGTTCACTCAGCTTCACTCAGTGGTAACATTAAGCTTGTATCATGTACTGACGGTCAACTGCTGCTTAGCAACAATGTGTAGCGGTTCATAATGAGAAGCTGTCTGCTTCCAGATATAACTTGGTGAAAGTGAAATGTGTAAGGGAATAATTTGCTCTATAGCTGACATATATTTAGCTGCTGCGGTGTGTCAGGTGGGTTGTTAGCTTTCAAGTGATTAATTTAAAAAGACAGTATTTTCCCACTGAAGTTGGAAGTGGTTGATATGGAAGTGGGCATGCATGAGCTGGCTGCTGACAGACGATAAGATAAGTATGATGTACGAGTAGCTCTTAATGTTTTGAAAAACCTACAGAGTTTCTACCTGTTTTCAGTTGTTGGGGTTGTGGTTATTAAATTTAGAGGTGTAGATTACACACTTGAGTAGTAAAAATGATATTAAAAATGAACAACATGAATATGTATCATAACTTGTATTCAGAAAAATAAATGAACCACAGAGCTTAGCTGAGATAAAAACTAACACCATCAAAGTACACAGGGAAATATACAAAAGACTGATAAACACAGGTCCAATAGGGATTAATTCAAAGTGTAGATTTATTTATTTATCTTTATAATAAACTCAGTGTTATTCAATTTTTAATTAGGTGCTGCAGCTTTTGATTATTGTTTGCCTACAAGTGCTGATTTGCTAAAATATACAAAGCAGCATCAAGGACAAATGTAAAGAAGTACAGGGAGGACTAACTTAACAATAATGACACCTCAGCAGCTAAACATACATACAAGAACTTTATCTTGGTGTGTTGAAGACAGATGTTGAGGGGAGCTCTGGTAAAAGAAGCACAGGTGTTGGTCTGAAATGACTTAAGTTCCATATCAATGATGTTGTTTCAGGACGTTTCAGTAATCCTGTGACCTAGGTATAGTACTCCATTTCTGCGGTACCTCTAGTTTGCAAAGTAAAGTTCGGTTTAGATGCCATGTATTGGTATATCATGTCTGGAGGCTCCATAGCATTACTTTATTTACATTAGACTAAAATACAGCAGAATTATCATCTTTAACATGGCAAAGTTATCAGGTTTGATTACCTGCTGCTGAATAATAAAGGTAAATGTGCCAATAACCACAGAATGCATCACTTCCAGAAATACTGGGACAGCAGATAATATGTCATAATGCAATATAAATGACTTCAAACTCTTTAAGGACAACGTTTTGCATTTAGCCCAGCAAGGTCAGTAGAGGCTTACTCTGACTCATTTCCCAACGACTCTTGGTGACTTTCCCGCCAAATGCATACAATGCTACTGTGCAAGTGGTGGAGTGCGTACAAGGCTACTGAGCTATGTTGGTTTCAGGAAATGGAAAAAAAACCCCACAGAATTACCGAGAGCTTTTTGGCTTCAAATCTGTATACTATTGGAATGCAGAATCAAGTTGTTCATACAGTCTATGGTTTTGTCAAAGCTTTATTAGCAGCAACAAAAAGTAAAGGACACATGACTGAATAATAAATACAATTAAAGAATCCAGAAAGTTTGAAGCTTTTCCTTTTCCAGTGAACTTTAGTGCCGTGCAAAACTTGTTAGGGTATTTCTGCATAGTTGTATCAGTACTTGTATCAAAAACACAAGTTTATCTTTCTTTTGAGGGAGAATTTCCCCAGACCCCTTACCTGTATCTTGTCATATCTTGATGTTTCTAAAGTTGACTGTGCACAGAAGTATCACTTCCCAGAAGCAGCTGGATAGTTTGAAGGGACTGAATACAATTAACTCTATCTGTGATCAGCTGACCTGTCCACCCTGTCTCAGTGGAGCAGGGGCGGAAATAAAACTCATAATATAATACAGGTTGTTGACACGGATGGCCTGCTTCTTTTCTCGCAGAAACTCCACAGACATTGATAAGAGAATCTGTCAAGAGAAGCAGAATCGATAAACACATTGATATAAAAAAAACTGTAAACTTTAGTCCCTATCAAAGAGTACTGCCTGGCTCTTGTGTCAAAGCTGTTGTTCATAGTTACAGTTAAAGTTTAAAGTGGCTTGTTCACCTGGTAAACTTCCTTCACTTCAAGTTTGATGTCAGCTGATCACAGATCTGTTTGGGCTTTTAACAGGTAGTAGAGCTTGACTGTGTTTGACTTGAGCCAACCACAGCAGAGATTAGTATCTTAATTATAAAATCTTCATGAAAGCGTGTTTGAAATGGTGATGAACAGAAGAAGTCCAGGGTGATTAAAAGAAGCGGGCTGTGGCTGTAACTTGTCGTTAGCCTCTGTGAATATTGTAACTCTCCAACTTGGTTAATTTGATGATGAACACACGACGACATATCTGCTGAATTCCTTAGAGTAGAAGTTCCAGTTAATTGCATTTTTGGATGCCTTTATAATGAAACAGGCAGGTCAGGCGATGTCTGACAACATGCAAGGGGGTATAGCTGAGAAACCAAACTTCAAACTGTGCTGATTCAGTTTGAAGTTACTTAGGACAAAATGGGAATAACTCTGAAGGCATCTCGTAGGGCTGCACGATTGTGGCCAAAAATAAAATTCAGAGTTTTGGCTCTAAAATTTTGATTTTCAATTTAGATTTTTTTGGGGTAAAAACTACAATAGACAACAGAATTAGTGATTCCAAATATTTTTATTTTAGAAAACAGCAAGCAATTAAAAGATAAATCCCTTTTGGGTTCAGTAAAGTGACAACCTTTACACGATAGAGAAAAATACTGATTTGATTGATTAAATTTTGTCAACATTGTCATCATTAAATAATCCAATTACGATTTAAAATCGATTAATCGTGCAGCCCTACTACCTCGTAATGCTTTCATACAGGGACATGATATGAGGCTTGTGGTTTTTTTTTGGGGTGGGGGGGTTTAGGTTCACACATAGCATCTGTGAGAGCTGTCACAAAATTATATAGGTCTATGTTTCCATCTGCAGCCTATGTACTAGGGCTGGGCGATAAACTGAAAATTTACTGATACAGAAATTTACAACAATAACCAACGTCATTGTGCCCATATCAGTATATTCGGTGTCAAATAAATAAACAAAAGTTGGTTTTGGGTGTGTGTAGGTAGGCTATGGTCTCATGAGACCATGTGACCCCACCCCATCCAGTCTGTAACAAAGAGGGAAAGACCGGTGAGGAGATGGAGGACGGTTCAAAAGTTGTAGCGGTGGCTGAAGTAGACGAAGTGAATGTGGAAGGGGGTGAGCAGCTTGTGGAGTAGTTATCATCCATTTATCGTAATCAAGGTGCACTGCTAAATATATTGTGATATTGATTTGAGGCCATATCGCCCAGCCCTACTATGTACCCTTTAAATCTCCCCTCTTACAGACTGACATCACTTTAAAACAGTGTAGTTCATCTACTCACTCAAAGTGAACACTACCTCTGTTGCCTTTTTATAAACACACACATATAAATTAACTTTTTCAAGAAGTTTTCATCAATAAAAGAAGCACTTCATCACTCAACCTCCACCTTTCATTTTTCACCCTGTCTATTTATTTCTTTCATTTTGAAATTTCTTTCTCTGTCTATTCACTCTTAGTCAGTCGCGTCCCTCATTTCTGCTCGGATCCAGTCAAGGACTCCTCTGAATCACATGTAAATGCCGTAACTCTCCTTCAGACATTGTGCTCCCGTTGTTGGGAGTGAACAAACATTTCTGTCACGTCTGTGCCTTTCTTCTCTAAAAAGTGTGAACAAAAGAAATAACCCTGAGCTCTGGCTTGAATAGCTCGCCGTCCGTTGGAGGAGGAGGAGGAGGAGGAAGAGGAGGAGGTGGGTACAGTTTTCAACAGATCTGACGCACTTTCTCAAATTTTATTTCACCTCCAACTGCAAAGTGTGAAGTTGCGGAGTGTGTGTGTTGAGCTTTCTTCAGACGTGGATCTGTCATTGAAGCATTAGCTCGAGGTCGATAATGATTAATATTATTTATAAGCACCAGGTTTGTCTTTCTTTTTATTGACATCAGAAGATCATTGATCTTCTACTTGATGCTGCAGTATGACTCAGTGATGATAATGTGTGTCGAGTTTGAAGTGGGTAGGGCTGAGGTTGGTGATGTCAGTGTGACGACAGAGGGGGTCAGTAACGCTCTGAGTTTACTGACCCACCTTGTAGACCTCCCCCCTTCTTTTGCCGTCCTCCTCCTCCTCCCACAAACAGCATACCCCCGTTGTTTTTCACTTAATGCCAAAGCACCCAGCAGAGATCCACACAAAAGTAGTCATCTTTAAAAACAAACGAAGCCTCTGGTCTCCAGCAGGACATGCAGAGAAGAGAGGAAGAGTGGGGGAAAAATTCAGATCACCAGTGGTTTCTGCTCCATATTGGTGTAAATGTAATTGATTTCCAACTGTGTGGGATCGGTCTCTTAGAGTCACAGAACAAACATGGACTGAGTAGTTGAAAGGGCAGAAAAAAATGTGGGCTTTATCTCCCAGCTCTGTCTAAATCTGATTTATCCCAGTCAAACGGTGCACACAGACTTCATAGAGCTATCATGGCTTTCTCGCTGGGTGAAATTTGTATGTAAATTATGTTTCAGTTTATGAAACATGCAGGTATCCTATGGTCCCTTATTAACTATTGTTTCTGCACAACTCTAGTTTCTGAGCATTTGTATATTGATGCTATCTGTGATTATTGACTACTGTTTTTTCTGTCCAGTCTGGTGCTACACAATTAATCAAACAATCGCAATGAGAGAATGATCAGTTATGTACGAAAGAGGATTAAGGCTACATGGAGTGAGAAAAATAATTACAGGAGATTAAAGTCAAAGTTTGGAGGTTAAAGTCAGATTTTCGGGATTAAAAACTTGAAATTATGTGAATCAAGTCAAAATTTTGTGATTAAAAATTGAAATTTCGAGATTAAAGTCGAAATTTCGAGATTACAAAATGCCGAAATTTCAAGAACAAATATTAAATCTCGAAATTTCAACTTTAACGTTGAAATTTTAATTTTTTTATTTTGACTTTTTAAAATCTTGACTTTAAACTTGGAATTTTGACTTTAATCTTGAAATGGAAATTAATAAAGTCCCCCTCCTGTAATTAATTTTTTCTCTCTTAATCCTCTTTTGTAGTTATGTTACCACAAAACAAGCTGTGATTTGCGATTTTAACTTTGTTTTGGAGTCTGTTTGGATACGCCCATCCAAAAATTAGGCTCTTTTCGAGACTGTCTAGTTTTTTGAGCTGCACTTGGATGTTCTGAGTTGGATTGAATTGAAAGAGAAATCCAAACTAATAACTTTTATAACTCTGAACTAGCATCTCTGTGATAACCAACTAAGTAAATTGACATTTGTTGATTAGAGGTTTAGTCAGAATTTGAATAAACATTATGAAATTAGTTATCATGTTTCTAGTATTAATGATACAGGCCAAAATGAGTCTGAAATTATCAGCATTTTGGATATCAGCAAAAATAACTGCATATTGCTTACCCCTGACTCCTCCTCAGCTCTGCCTCCTAGTCTTAATAAGGTCACAGCTGACTAAAGAAAATCAGGTTTGTAGTGACTATAAGAGTTTGAAGGCAGAGTGTACCATCAAGGTTTCATCTATTTCTTATTAAAAGTCTGAGTGAGCTTCTTTCCAGGTTTACGCTTAGTCCATCTGAGCCAAGAGTTTGAAGAGATTTCAAGGCTTGGCTACTTCTTCATTACTCTTTCACAGAGTTGTGAATCGAAGCATCAACCCGTTAGTCTAAAAGAGTACAGTCGTAAGATTAGGACTTGTATTTCTCAGTGTGGTAATGGTCTTGAGTGCCAGTTGTTTGGCTTGAATCCGTGATAGCACACCTGTTGTTGTTTTTGTTGTTGTTTTTCCTCGAGAACTGCAGTACCTCTCAGTACCTCCAAGACTTTGGCTGCCAGAAACTCCTGGGAGTGCAGGCGCTGCTGGCAGTAAAGGCTCATCTGTAACACTAGAGACAGTGATTAGAGAGAGGGAATCAATAATACATGGTAAGGGACGGCTAATGTACCACAGGGACTGTCAGACAGACAGCCATGTCTCCGATACCCCAGCCCGCCATCTCATATCCGCTGGTCTCTACACACAAAGCCAGACGGAACGAGCTCATGTGGTATGAAAACGTAACAGGGGAAATAAAAACTGGAGGAGAGAAAGGTTAGACAAATAGAGATAAAGAGTTTGAACGCAGAAGAAAGAGCATGGGAGGAAAGAAAAAAAGAGCAAAAAAAAGTCAGAGGACTTGATTCGAGAACCATCTGTCTGGTTTAATAGACAGTTTCTGTAAATCCCTGTAAATAGTATGATCACGGAAGAAGAAGAGCAGACAGCATCGCACAAATACAACAAGCTTCTTACAGAGCCACGTTTTCAGAAGTGGGCCCCTCATACATGATGACTCAAAGATCGATGCAGGGCTGTGAAGAAACCAGCCAAAATGAAATAAATGTGCAAGCTATCCGGGAAATAAGATTGGCAGCAGACAGAAGCATGCCATCAGTCCCCGGGGACGTGTGCTCGCCAAGCGGTCTCTCATCCGCAGAGATCGGGGTTAATGCCTCTCCTGCATTAGCACACTAGCACCACACTAGTCAGCTGACCTGAGCCACAAATACACACACACAAACACACACACATAGGAGAGGATGAACAGTATGAGAGAAAGATGATCTAATTAATCAGTGATTGGAACAACTGCATGCTTCCTCTTTTGAACGCCACTCGCCTACACACACACACTGACTGCACCCCCCCATGCCCCCACCTCGCTCTCTCTTCATTACACCCCCGCCTCTCCGTCTCGTTTCCAACACCGCTCATCATTAGTCTCCAAAAACAAACACACAAACAGAGTTTACAGATTCAGACAGAGAGATATTTGTCCATGCTGATGTCCCGACTGGGCTGCTGCCTGAATAAAGCCTCATTACCGACTCGACACGCCGGCAGCAGACTTGTGCGCTACGACGCCACAGGTCGCTCGTTACCGCTCGACTTGCTCTCCGCGACTTGGACCAGACTCTGTTATAGCTAGCCCGTTCAACATCGCTGCCTGTGACCTCCTGCTCATCATGACAAAAAAGAAATATAGCGCGGCAAAAGCAGTGAGTCATCAGGCAAAAGTCCAAACGTTGAGTCTTTTTGTAATGTGGCATTTAGCTGCTCAGTGTCTCCATTATGCCGACGTGCTCAGGTGATCGCAGAAAGAGTTTTCACCAAGGCTCAGGTGGGATGTCTGAAATGGTTTGACACTTGACCTCAATTCAAAGGCTATTGAAGAGGAGCTCAAAGACGCAGAAAGCCGATGTTTGTATTCAGAGGATTATACAGAAAGAATTAGTCCATCTCATGCTGCTGCTAGTGGGTTCAAAACACTCAGAGAAACCAAGAATAGAAGTAGATGAGAGTAGATGAGAGTTAGTGCAAAAACAACAATTCTAGCAAGCCAAACAGACTGAAAATGTGAAAGACTTGCTTTTAATTTCAAGGCTTAGTGTCTCTAATTTTTTTATTCAGTGCAAAGTCAAGTTATGTTTTAAAGGACCAGCAATTGACAAAAAGCTTCTGCAAATTCAAACTCTGGAGAAGAGATTGCTTGTTAGTTGTTTTGCCTTATTTTCTCTTTTAATTCCCTTGCACACAACTAACTTTGGTTCCTGTTTTAAAGTACGCTGTTATTTTTAAAGGGTGCAAAAAAAGGAGCTAAAATGATCGAAATGAATGACAGCAGGCTGAAAGAGTGATGAAAAGTAAAAATGTATCAACACCTGAGAGGCATAAGCTATCACGTTGTCCTGTCAGTGTCACGTTGTTGGCAGATACGCTTTAGCGAGTCTTTCAAGTATCAGCAAGGGTTTGGTGGTTAATCAAACTCCAATTTGGATTACGATTATGGCTCTCTAAGATCGTTAAAATATGACAATTGAGAGTGAGCACCATCTATGCTTCCTCCTGTGTCATGCTTGTTTTGTCCTATACAATATCTCTAGTGATCCCTTCCTTTCAGCCCAACAAAGTTTTAGGAAAGCAAAAGTAGACGCGGATCCTGCTGTAATTGGTCGATTGCTGTATCTTCAACGTACAATTCAGATGGAGAGACAAGAACAGGGAGAGGACGGAGAGGAGGCAGCTGTGTGTATACGTGAGTGCCTGAAAAGCTAAGGGACCGAATGAGCATGGCGAGAGACGGGCTGTAGCTATCATGAGTCGAGATGCACTGATCCATTTTTTCCCTATCTAATCCGATACCTTGGCTGAGCGTATCTGCCGATATCCGATACCAATCCAATACTACTGTTGAATGAATGAACCGTATACCTTGCATCAGGCTTGACATTAGCCTTGTTAAAAAAGGTAACAACTTAATTAATCTTATCTGTTTTTGTGAATGTTAGTAGAATGACTTCTGTCTGTCTCAGAGATATTTTAGCTCGCTTTTATTGTGCTGGGACTTGTTATCTTTTGTTGTAGCAACAGGTGAATGGCCGACACAGAACGGGTGTTTTGGTCGACATAATCCTTCTTCTAACCGAAATAAATCCAGCAACAAATTCTCTTATTTGTTGCTTATTTTGCAATTGTTACCGATGTTGCGCTGAGAAACGCATGCCCGCCGAGAATTGCATGCACCTCGCAGAAACGCGCACCGCTTACAGTAGAGTGGTCCATGGAAATGTACAATTTAAAACTCATACAGTTCTTGTTTGTGGGGCTAAACAGTGACGAGTAATATTCCGAAAGTAATTCTCAGCGTACACGTGTTTCTCGGCACAACACCAGCAGCGCCAGCAATTCACTCCATGTGTAGGCCATGTGCAGGGGCGTGGTTTCCTCCGCTCTGATGCAGAGACACATGCAGTGTATCTCAGTCAGCTACCCTTGAAATTAGATGAGTTCATTCGCCTCCTATATCGCAGGCTCTGCAGTGTGACTGTTGCGCTCACAATGATGCTCTAACTACATATAGTGCAGCCCGTAAGTACAAAAGGATAGTCAACAGAATTGCTGTGTTGCTGTGTATGATAAGAATTAAAAGAAAAAAAAAGATGGGATCGGAACGCTGGATCGGCGTCATTCATCAGATCCACTTAATTTGTCAATATCGGAGCCGATATCTGATCCAAATGTCGGATCAGTGCATCCCTAATCATGAGCGACAACAAGCTACTGACTGCCCGGCTCAAAAGTGAGAGACATTGACGAGATTCCTAATCGGATGCAAACTAAAGTCTTGATGTTATAAAGACGTAATTCGAAGGCTTGAAAAGACTGAATGATTTGTAAGATCTGTACCCTGTGATAGAACACCACAAACCCTTAAGCGAAATCTGGCATTTTTTAGGCCACCGCTCTTAAAGTGAAGTGTCCTTTTCCGTACTTTCCTCATTGGGGTATTTTTTAAATTCATATTATTCAGTTAAGCAGACAGGCATGCTTTGGTAAACCAAAAAGGTAAAGCACTTTCTATGTTTTTAAGATTTTGATGCATCCTCAACAGCATCATCATCTCCAGCTGCTGCGTCATCTGTACACCTCTACTCAGTGACAGACATAAGAGTCGTGTAGGCGTTGAACAAGAGAAGTCAAAGACAGGTACAGGTCCCACTCCTCTGCAGGTTGTTAGATATAGTTTTCATCATACAGATCAGATGATTAGTCCCTTATATGTGCTGATTTCCAGCTGTCTTGTGAGGCACTATCACACCCTGATTACTTCCCCATAAGTCACCGGACACTGATGTGTGAAAGGTTGAATAATTGATGCTCTGTTTGGTTAGAGGCCTTTTCTGTCAATATGATTAATCGTGTTATAATCTGACTTTAGAGGGAAACATTTAATTTTTTGATGGGATGTCATTTCATACCTCTTTTTATGTGGGTGACTTGTGGAGCAGCAAGGTTAACTCTGTGTCTTAAAGTGATTATAGCCTGCGAGTAACACTATAAGAGCGTGTAAGGTTGCCACAAACGGGTTGACTGGCACCTCGTCAAACACTCATTTACCCTCCCGCCAGCATGCGCCCTCCCCACTGGGTGTGCGATGATTCATCATCTTACAGGCGAAGGAGGTTAAACGGTAAAGGGACATTAGTCTGTGTCAGAGGGGCCTCCCTCCTCGAACAGCCTCTGCTGGGCCTGGGATGACATTTTCATTTGACCCGCAGCCAACATCCTTGTAATGAGAAGCCATCAAAAAGCAATCTCCTAAAATAGAAAGGGATTTCAATTTGAAGACACCTATATTGATATGCAAAATATGACCAGAAAAAGACTCCTATAGATCAGTCGGGTAAATTTGAAGCCCTGTGATGACGCCTCGGATCGGTTTGATCTGCTCATGCAAGAATAAAATGATGCTTATGAGTAGAGAAAGGATGTTTTGAAAAGGAGGGAAATACTAATCTGGCATTCAGTGTTACTGAAGATGTGTGTGAAATTGATTTCTGCTCCTGGCAGTTTGAAACCCAAATCAATTGTATATGTCCCATAACTGCATAAGAAACCTAAAGTCGAGCTTTGGGTCTGTAAAGCTGTTTGGACGTGTTAGAAATAGAGATTACTTGACTTGGCTACTCAACCACTTTTTTTTCCCTCTCATTTGTCTGAAACTCTGTTTTTGAAGCTGTAGACTTAAGGAGGAAAGTCAAATTTACTGGCCTGGTGTCACTTTTAAAGTAAACTGACTTGCAGCAAAGGTGCACTGAACTGTAGCTTTCAATCAAGTCCAGAAATGATGGTCTTAGGGGGATTTTGGACTTTTCTGTTTGATAGGGGTGAAACCTCCCCTGGACCTTGGTCTAGACCAAACAGCAGGAACTTGGTCTGACCGAACTGAACCCTGGTCTGGAAATGACACCAGGAGTAGAAGAGTCCGTTACTATGTTCAATGGAGATTGTCCAAGAACAGAAAATTTTATAATATTGTATTGTAGTTATACCTAACTACTGACAGCTTATCTTTTCATGAGTTGTACAACACATACTTCCTCTCTTGAGTCGGTGTTTCAGTGGCTCAACAGGATTGCATACTTTTGTCTCCTTTCTTGTCGACGACGATAAAGTTGACGTCTAATGATCAAATTCATAAGACGAACTTGGACCAGCCTCATGAACAGCTCTTCTAGTTGTCGCTGTCTGTCATTGAAAATCCACAATAATATGATGGTGGGAATGACGATTTCATTCATGTTAACAACATTCAAGATCCACGTTAATTAACGTATGGACGTCAGACGCCCAAATCAACGGAAACTACAGAGACACACAAAGCACGTAGTTGATGACAATATCATGTCATGTAAATTTGTTAGTCTGTTTGCAATAGTGACCGTGTGAAACCTAAACAGACTGAACCAAAGTTATACAATGTGACAAAAACACAGACCTTGGTTCAGACTTTCAGGTGTGAAAACATCCTTAATTTTGAATTACATCCAAATGCCATCTCGAGATCTGTACTAAACCCACATTTTTCCTGGAGCCTAAAATTTGATCCAAGTGTATTTCTGCTAAACTACAGTTAATGTAGTGTCACACCTTTGATTGAAAACCTAAACTTGGCCATACTGGGACTCTGATGCTGTTTAAATCAATCAAGCAGTCCTAATTGTACCATAACGACAAAAATGAGCCGCATTTCCTCCATTTTCTCCCATCTCAGCGGAAATGCTGCATGCTGATGACACATGGTGTAATATGCACATGCTGTCGCTGTAAACACAGACCAGCTCAGAAATGAATTGAATAGATTGGTCCCATGGATTGGCTTTCTGTAATTTATGCAAGAATGATTGGATCACTGTGTGATAAAGACAAGCATGAAAAATTCAGCGACAGTTTGGATTTAAAATGATAAATGAATAACAAAACAGTTAGTCTACATAAAGAGTTGTATCGAGGGCTGGGCTTTTAATTTTCTTTACGATTTTGGACTTAAGATAATTGAAATTTGAACAACTATTAGAGAAGAGAGGGGATCTGTATTTTCAACGTTTTGTTTACTATCATGCAGCTACAGGTGGCAAAACTATAAGCTCTGCTAGGGAGAGGGGCAGAAGGAGCAGGTGTGTGTTAGTGAAGCAGAGGGACGGAGTCAGCATGGTGAAGAATAGGCTGATGAGGGTTCAAAGGCATAAATAAGTGGACAATCACAGAACTAAACAAAGTGTTCAAGTTCAATGTAATGCAGATGCTGTCAAATCAGTAATTTAGTTCAATCGTTATGATCTCCAAAATCAGTGTTTGTGATTATGAATTCTGCCATTATCAAGCAGCAGCTGACTCTTAAAGGGATATTAAAATTAATGTAGGGTCAAACACACTGTAACACCAGGTTAGACACCCTGTCGAGAAATGAATGTTGCTGACTGCTTGCTTCTCTAGTTATACCAACTTTAGTAACGACTGCAGATACCAACACAGAGAGCCATGTGCTCAACTAAAACGCCACTCTATAGCCACAAATAATGCTCAGAACAGCACCTAACTTTATCAACAGTACATATAGGGTTATAGCCTCCAAACATTTTTTTTAGCTTTGCCTGATTTCTTTAGCAAAGAGACTCACCTACTCTCTCCCAGCAGCTCTTTGTTTGTACGGAGACCTCCGGGTGAGCAGCTCAAGGAAGAACATTTATGATCACTTTATGATTTTCTTGAAGTAATACTCACCATATTAATCATTTTGCACTGCAGATGCGGTAGTTCTTCTGCTTTAGCGTCTTGTTCTGATTGCATTTCCATTAAGAAATGATCGTAAATGTTCTTCCTTGAGCTGCGTCCCCCCGCTGCAGTCGATGGACTCACTTGGAGGTCTCTGTAAAAACAAGTGGCTGCTGGAAGAGAGACTGTGAGTGTCTTTGCTAAAATAATCGGGCAAAGCTAAAAAAATGTCTGGTGGCTAGTGCTATGGCTCGGACCCTATATATACTATATTAGCCCTATATTTGTGGCTATAGAGTGGCTTTTTGGTTGAACGCGTGGCTCTCTGTATTGCGATATGCGGTCGTTACTAAAGTTGGTATAACTAGAGAAGCGAGTGGTCGTCGTTACAGTGTGTTTGACCCTAACTTAATTTTACGCCGGAATATCCCTTTAAGCTCTAGCTGTCCTAAGTTCATCTTGCTTATGTTCACAAACTGTGATTATTTCACTCCTCTAAACTTATTCCTCTTCATATTTCTGACATCTTGTCATGATCTGACCTGATCTTGTCTTTTCTGTCCTGGCTGGTTAAACGACCTGCCTGTCTGCAGCCAGAGTTCCTTGGAAATCCACCGTCTCATTGTGTTCTGTCTAGTTGAAGAGAAAAGTCCCGCTCTGATCTCCGAAGCTGTCACAGACATTATCCAACTTTCTGGACACTCTTGACTGCTCTGTGAATAAATGATGAATCAATCAAAACCGAGGAGAGCTCTGGGGGCCTTACTGAAAAACTGTCAAAACAGTTACACATTACAAATCAATGATGCTGATGAGTCCGTTAATCGGTGATATGACTGACAGAAAACAACTTAAAGAAACGATTCATCATTTGGAAGTGAGCTGCTGAGATGAGCTCTGTCTGGTGTTGTGGGGCCTGACCACAAAGAGCTCTCAAAGTCAGGGTGAGAACTTCAAACTGTGAGAACTTGTGCAGCAGAGGGGACTGTCTGTTTGATGATATGCCATGCTCGGTGTCAGGGGTTGGGATAGTTTAGAGCACAACAAGTAGCTGTTGAAGTGAATTAATTATAAAAGATCAGGATCAGACTTTGACCCTCATTTTCTCTGTTGTTTCAATTGCTTACAGACAAATAAAAAAAACAAAACAAGCAGCAGTAATTTTCGTTTAATTTTCCTCCACGGGTGGAACCAGATGAAAACATTACATGCTCTACTGTCATTGGAAGCTTTCATTTTCTCCCGAGCCACGGATGAAATCTACCTTATTGCTGCCTCCCTTCTCGCCCCCATCTTCCGTAATGAGAGAATATTTCCCCAGAGTGAGAAAGCCGATCCAAGCTGCACTTTTAGAAACTTTATTAAACCAACCGAAGCAATTATTTTTGTGTTTGCCTTCCTGCTGACGAGTGACGATCCATTCAATAAGGCTGGTAAATGTTAATGTGAAATGAATTTTCTGTGGAGTTGTGATCAGTTGTGTGGCCAACAGTAGTTTTATATTTTCCAGCAGTGTCAGTTTAGCTGTACAGTCCTGCAGTGATGTGAAACAGGTTTTACAGCAACAGCTGCAGAAAATACCCCGACTCAGAGGGATCGCATCTTAATACAAAAGTCTGGCGAGGCTCCAGCTGGGGCAAAATCTTTTATTGAATTGCCCAGTTAGCCTGTGATCAAACACTGGGGCGGGAGATTGTGTTCTTCAGCTGACATTTATCTATTTATCTTTTCAGAGAAAAGGAGAAAAAATTGTACAGAAAAAAATCAATAAGGCTTTAGAAATGAGACACCGTTGGCTGCAGGCTGATAGATGTCTTGTCACACACTTTTACCAACAACTTCAGTGTTGAGCCTGCAGAAAGGCCCGGGATTCGCCGACAAGTCGATTAGCTGCTGTGCGACACAGCAGCTTTGGGGGCGAACAGCACAATCAGGAAATAACCTGTTGCTGTAGATTTAATATGTGAGGAGAAGCTGATGCCACCCAACGATGGTACTTTGGAGAAATGGTTTCATACAAAAGGTGAGAATGTCCCACAACTCAGTAGAAGAAGAAACCGTGTTGTCCTGGCTCTTTAGGAGGCTGACTAATGTTGGTGTTGGTGCTATGATTGATGTTTGGCAAGATTTCAGTCTTTTATTTCTTCTCTAACTCACATTGGAAAGTCCAGATTCATTTATAAAAGGGTTCAGGGCGGCAGTGGCTCAGGAGGTAGAGCAATTGGCCAAGAACTGGAAGGTTGGCCGATTTCCCTCTATCCTTAGTCTGTCCATTGTGTTCTTGGGTAAGACACTTAACCCACCTTGCTCCCAGTGTGTGTCCTCCAGTGGTGTATTATTGTGAGAGTTGTGAGGTGGTCGGAGAGGCCATAGGCGCAAACTGGTTGCCATGTTTCGGTTAGTCTGCCTCAGGGCAGCTGTGACGACTAAGGTAGTTAACCACCACCAGGGTGTGATTGTGAGCGATTGAATGATGTATCCACTGTAAAGTGCTTTTTAGGTCACTGACAAAAAGTGCTATAAAAATCTGATGCATTATTATTATATTTATAAAATGTAAAATTCAGTATACAAGATTTGCTTTCAGTATTCAAAGTTTAAAACGTAAGCAGCTTCTTATGGTCCTACTGAAGGGTCGGTCTAAGCTGTGGGTCTGTCAGTCAAAACAGATGGTACTAATACGAACTTCATAGTTGCACAGAATCTACACATTATTTGGTTTCTAGATTTTATTGTGTTGAAACCAAAGTCTTCCTGAGTTTTTCATTATCTGGGGGATCCTGTTTTCTTTAGTTTTAACCAATAAGACTGTCTGGGGCTATGGCTCATTCACTACATATAAATACTAGGGCCTGACTGATATTTTTTGGGGCTGATGCCAATACCAATTATTGGGGGGGGGGGGCTCTGATTACCGATTAATTGTCCGATTTTTAAAATTTTTTTCAGGTTTTTAAAATTTTGTTAATTTAAGTAATATATCTACATATTTACTAATTGTTTTTTTTAAACAAATGGCTAGTTTTGAGCCTTTCACACACTTAAAGGAATCGAATTAAAGGAAGAAAACTCATTTCAAATCCTTTTTGTTGCTAAAACAACTAAAAAAGAATGAGGTATTTTTTCACAAGTGCAAACAGTTAACTTCCAACTCTTTTGCTCAACATCCTCTCAAATAAATAGCCTATACAAATAAACAGAAATGAAGCCAACTCACGTACATCATAAAAAATGAGGAACTCTCGATATACTGTCTGCTACTGCTCTTCACACCGACTGATCATCTCAGTAATATTCCACTTAGTCATTATGAATCGAACTTGGACCAGAGAAGCGTTTTCAATCATAGACAGTGAAGCTTAATAGACATGATTTAGAGGTGACACATAATGGAGTCAGGGTCTGTAAACATAGCTATCAATCAGTCTTTTCTTTAGCATTAATAAAGTAGTTTAAAACAAACTTCTCTACAAAAATTAATGCTTGCACAAAAGTGAGCATGGCAAGAGTAGACTTTTACTGACAGAAGCATGTTTGGACAATTTGACTGTATTTTAATCAGTCCAACTTTAACTCATGTTTCAATGTGTAAGATGGTGGAGGTGGATTTTGTGACCAATACTGCAGCCAGACACTAGGGGGAGCTCTGAAAGTAGCGGCTTGTGCTGTCCATGTCACCCTGTCTGCCTGTGTCACCTGTTCCTTCTGATTTCGTGCTGTCAGCACAAGTGGACATATGATAATTGAATGTCTCTACAGTTCAAAGGATCATTTCATCTAAAAATCCTCCGACACCGAGGAGCGAAATGTCAAAGCAGAATTTTTTTTTTTCATGCAAGAGGCAGCTTTCATTTTTATTAGCCGAAGGAATTGTCTCCAACCGTCATGATTCACAGTCGAACAAAGGGCTCATAAGAGCGAGTGTCCATACCGCAGAGGCAGTGGGATGGAGGGATTCATCTGATGTTCCTTCACTTTGAGTAGAAGTTAGTTTTGTGCATTTAAATGTGCCGAAAATCCTCCTGAGATGTTATCCCTGAGAGAGCCGCGGCTAACGGCAGAGACACTACTTCTGAAAAAAAGAATAAAAGAAGAAAGGTCATTAAAAATGCTGACTGATAGCAGCAGTGGTCCTCTCAGACCAAAGCAAAGATCCAAATATAACCATGCTTTAATGAAAAAGGCAGACGTGTCAAGATGACCCATGCTGAAATGAATCAAATGAACATCATGTACGTAATAAGATTCTCTATTATGACCAGAAATTTATACGACATATAAGCAGTGTCATGGTAGCCTTTTATATCCCAGCTTTGCTTTCTCTGAAAGAGTGTCAGATTCAGTGTCAAAGACCCGGCATGCTTTTCTTTTAATCAGTCAACTTGACCACAGGGTTTCTCTGATCCAAAGCAAGGTTCAGTCCTGCCATTTTTACTGTCTGAATGTCGATAGAGGAGATTTGCGGTGACAACTCTGCTATGAGAGCTTGAAAAATCTACAAATAAAAACCACAGCGGATAGCATTTGAACAGTCTTTTTTCAGTGTCAAATATCTGGCTGTAAATTGATTTATTCAAACACAAAATCAACTAAAGACCTGTGATAAAACAAGCTGAATATCCTTGTGTCGTATGACAGTGGCCCAAAACTTTAGATCTTGTTGCTCGAACTCTGACGCCGCGCAAAGCCCACAAAGCCAATCCCCGTCAATTGTAAAACAGCATCCATCAAGCTGTCACTGTGAGATTGAGGAGTAGCTCCTGCGGATCCACAAAACAATAAAACACCCGAATAAAACACAGCAAGATTCAAAACACCGAAACGAGGCTGTTGTTGTTTCCTTCGATCACAGGATGGACTTGAGAATATTTCAGCTGCGGAGTGAAGGGGGAATCAAGGTTTTTAGTGTCGCTGTTGTTTGTTGCTTTTGTTTTCTAAATATATTTTCAGTTTCGTGCTGTACCAAAGACTTCAAAAAGAGGGATGGGGTGTAAGAAACAGTTTGAGATACAGTTTAGTCTGGTTAGCTGTAAGGGAACAAAAGATTCTCCGCTAAAGTTTCTCTCCTGACCATGGCGGCAGGTGACTTAAAGAGACGTGTTTTTTTTTCCTCCCGAGGAATACAGCTTAAACACTCGCAGTGTTATTTTTAATCTGTACTATTTAATGAGGATGGTCTTTAAATAGTAATTAATATGGAATAGGATGAACTAAATGTCATGATGGCATGTCAAGCCTCTAGAGACATGCCAAGAAAACCCATCCACCCGTACTCATTCTCTCATTAACAACTGTTGCATTAGCAAACCCAATTCACACCTTCGCCCAACTCTTCGGCGCAAACCTGCAGTTACCAAGGTAACCACGGGAGATGTCACATGTTGCATCATCAAGACGAGTCTGAAACAAACGACGACGAGGCCTTGAAGTCACTGACACAGTTAAAAGCTCCCGGCAACAAAACCCGCACACGTGAAAAAGTTGCGGAGGAGTGAATCACCTTTTAAGTGAAGGTGGATTTCACTTGAACGTGATTGCCAGCTGTAGGTCGGCTGTAAGGCTGACATGATCCTGGGAAATGAGAGCTGGGAACACCAGCCATGCATTCCCCCAAGGGAAATGAAGCACTGAAATGTATGTAGATAATTATTTCCTCCAATCTTCCGGCCTTCCCCCCTGCCCTGGTTCTCTGTGAGTGACCTCCGCTGTCCCCCGGAGACTGGTGTCTGTGTGTGTGCCTGTGTCTGTGTGACAGAGGGTGTCAGAACAGTCTCCTATGGTGATTTGTTTTCTAATATTAGCGGAGAACTTTCAGAGAGTAGAGAAAAAATCATTGAAATAAATAACACTGTCTGAAATCATAATGAAATGTTGATTCATATTACGATGCAGCAGGATACAATAAAGTCCAACATATTTTAATATCTCACAGTATCTTATGTAAAGTTGTCTTTGCCCTGGATTCTGCATGCAATGAGCTGTTTTTAAAGTTGGACGAATACATAGAAATACCAATGAGAGCCATTAATGACACATTTTCACAATAAAAGTATGAAATGAGATATGAACATAATGTTTTATAATTCTTCCGCTCATATTTGATACTTACTTTTATGATACTTCTATTAAATCAATCAACAAATAACTAAAAAGGCACCTAAATACAGTCCGATAAATGATAAACATGTCCTCTTGTGGTTTATCAGTTTCCAAAAACATCTAATGTATCTAACTAGATAAATATACATATTTGTTAAATTTTAAGGACATTAGTTAGTAAATTAAACACTTAAGCTCCAAAAAAAGTAAATTTTCTGGCCTTATTTTGTGAATTTCAGGCATTAAAGTGTTAATGAAGAACTCAAAGTGCTGAATTTATATAAAGAATTATTTAAAAGGCATTCAGGCTAAATAAAGTATCTCTTGTTGATTCATTTTATATGTGATATTCATTCGCTGTCTACAGTCTTGTTTGCCGTGCCGCGTCACATCCCATAAATACCAATGTCTTTCAGACCTGTTAAAACTTAACCAAATGGCAAATCCAGTCTAAACAATTCATGGAGTCTTGAAGGTTGAGCGGCATACGGGGTGAGGGATGATGACGGGCTCCTCGTGACATGGCAGCATCGTGAATATTTCCACCGGTGCGAGGTTGAAGGGTCATCCATCTTTCTGCGGAGACAGGAAGACAAATAGGCTGACACTCTGCTGTGAGTGGCTGTCATACATCTATCTCATCATTACCGAGCTGCTGGGGACCGGCACCCCATCAGCCCGTGTCACACCGCCAGCGTTTTCACTCAGCTGCCGTTCGCAGGATCAGATGCTACAACAATAGATGAGAGCCGCTTCACGTGTTTGGAATCCTAACAGGGATTTGTCTTCGGAGTTTGGACTTTGGACAGCATGACTCAAAAGTTTATTTGTTTGGTGCACATTTAGAGACAGATTGTAAGAAAGTTTTGAAGACTTATTCGCCACAAATCAGCTGATCTTTGGATTTTTAGTCAACAGTGGACAGACAGGCTACATGAGGAAGCACACGGGTGTTTTTGATGAAAATATCCAACAGGATCATGGTTAAAGTATCTAAAATATGTCTATAATTGCATGTCTTTTCATGTCTTATCAAAGATGCTTTTATATGGCAAGTTTAGTTCAGATCTGACTCTCAAAGAGGGATCTTTTTCATTCATTTTATTAAACTTTTCATTGGTTTGATTTGGCAATTTGAAACATTTCTCTCGCTTTGCTCACTTGAAAGATTTTTTTTTGTGACATTTTGACCAAAGAATTAATCAATCAGTCTTCAAAGCAATTTACAGTTAGTCACAACTTTCTGTTTTTGGCTCTTTTGGTAACATCTAGTCAAAAGTGGGTAGCGAAAAAAAAAACATCAGAACTTCAGTGACTCCCCCCTAAAACCCCTGACCCCCGGAGGAAACAGCAGGCAGAACATGGCTAAAAATGGACCGGAGCTCTGAGGGTCGATCCGAGCCACAGGCCCATCAGTGGGCATATCCTGTCGTCTTGATCGGTTTCCTTTCTGGTTGGCTACTTGGTGTAATCACCAGGTGCAAAGAAATCTCATTATCCCGGGTCTTGAACTTGGCGTTCTGGACTGAATAGCAACTACGTTCAGCTGGTGTATTAAAACTTTGACCCAGGCATTAATTGGGCATGACTTGTTTTCGTGCGCGCGCTGAAAGGGCGAGGGGGGTTTTCACTGTGAGGGATAGTCCTCCCCACGGCAGCTGGTGGGCAGTGTGGGCAGGGCACCCGGGGACGATGGGGGTCTATGGTTCATAAACATGGTTCACAGGTCAAAGGCGTTAGTAGCTTTTTTTCTCCTCCCTTTGCTTACCCGACTTGTAGAGCCTCCTGTATTGGAATACTAATGTAAGTTTAATTTATTGCTTAAAATGAAATGCCTATTTAATCCTCAGTAATACTGACTCGAGTATGAAAGGCCAATAAAATTCATTAAGAGAAAGAAGGCAATAACAATGCTTTGCTATTAAGCTGAGGCCTTGGAAAGGAAGAGCCAAATACTGAAATTACTGTACTGTGGCTTCATGTGGATGTGTGTGTGTGAGTGTATGAGAGCGTCTACAGCAAGGCCTAAGGAGCAGACACGGTTGCCCCTCGAGATTAGAGTGCAATAAAGGAGGATGAACGCATCCGGAAAGCTCCAGAACGCGCTCCAGACATCGCCTTACTGGAAATCAATCCTCTTGGTCAGGCCCCCTGCGTGCCGGGTTTAAGTGGAAGTGATGGCGGGAGGAGGAGAAGGAGCCGAGTGAAGAAAAGAAGAGGAGGGGGAGGGAGGAAGGGATCGAGGAAGAGGTGGAAGAGGGAGGAGAAGGAGCTGAGTAAAGAAAAGAAGATGAGGGGGAGGGAGGAAGAGGTGGGAGAGGGAGGAGAAGGAGTCGAGCAGCTGAGTGAGAGGTCTGATTGAAAGCATTCTGGTCAGCTGGATTAGCAGGCTGCTCTCAGCGCTCAGGTCTGAGGAGAGGTCAGTGTGAGCTGAGGGGACAGGAGGGCATGAAGGCGGCCGCTTGTTTGTTTTTTAGCACTCATCTGAGGCTGAGATTCATTGAACGGCTGAGCTCCAAACGCCAATATCTCTGCGAGTTTAATAGCACTCAGAGGTGAGTCAACTCTCTCTGAAAGGTGAGAAGAAAGTATAAAGATTATATTTTTCTTTTCTCTTTAATCTGTCGGAGAAACTTTCTCCTGCCATTTAATTGGCGAGCTTGTTAAGGAGGGGTTAAGAGCGCCAAAGGTCAACAATCACATCAACAGAGCCGTGGTGAAAGCTGGCAAACAAAAAGGTTGACCAAAGTGTAAATTAGTCTCGCCTCTTATCAGAACAATAGCCATTGTTCTGTGTTGTGAATGTGTCAGATGTGTCAAAAGTGTGAATCACACACTACTCTATCACTGTGAGGAGTAAAAGTTCCCACTCCAAACACACAGTAAGAGAACACTCAGAAGATGTGGGTGCTCGTCCAAAAGGAGGGATCTGCTGTGGAGGTGTCTCTCTTACACACACACACACACACACACTGTACAAAACACACATCAGAGTGGGCAGTGTCGTCTCATTTTTTAAGTTTTTATTGATGTGCCTTTAATCACCAAGAGGAAATAAGTGACAGATTTGTCTTGGTGACTTTAGAGTACGGACATATTGACGACTTGAAGAGTTTCACACTGCATACTGATGCTTGAAATGTTAGACAAGGACAGCAGCAAAGGACGACAGATAGAAATGGATACTCGCTGTTTAACTCAAATAGTGATCTGGCTGCTGTCCCTCAAAGCATTACTACAAATTACCATCAAGACAAACAACTCTGCCACTCAGTGTCTATTGAATTAATTCAACCCAAGCCCCTAAAAATTGTAAAGAGAGTGTCCTTAACCTGGCGTTGTGTATTTAATCATAAGACAACAAGGGAGGCATGGATAAAGCCGAATAAACTTGCAGATCCCTTGTAATTACAGTACCGTATCTTTCGCACTATAAGGCGCACCATCAATTAATGCGTCTATTTTCATACATGAGGCGCACCGGATTATAAAGCACATTAAGCCAAACAAAACAGTCAGATAAGTCAAACTTTATTTAACTCATTCAATAACTCCGCAAGGTTACGGTAGCTGCAGCGCTCCGACAAGCCAAAAGGATTTTAAGTGCGCCTTACAGTGCGAAAAATACGGTATTAGTGAAACGAAGCAATAACATTGTAACGCTGAAATGCAATTATGTAGCATTTCATTTCATATACTGTATTTTTTGGGCCATAATGTCACATATAAGGCGCACTGGATTGTAAGGTGCATTAAGCAAAACAACACAGTCCGGTAAATCAAACTTTATTTAACTCAGTTGTAACAACAAATACCGGTACAGAAAAATACACTCACTTATTGATTCATTCCTCTTCCACAAATCATCGAATTCTTCATCTGAAGTGTCTGAATTAAACAGCTGTGCGATTTGGGCATCAAGCATGCTCAAATCCCTCTCGTCATTATCCGAGTCAGTCTTGTTTCTGTCACCGGTACTTGGCTGTTCAGTGATGATTCCAGCTTTCGTTAAAGCTCAGACGACAGTTACCGTAATGCTCCAAATATCCATTGCGCGGAGCGGTTTTTGTTTCTTACCGAAGTCGTACTTACACATTTCGACAGATTTTTTAAGGGCATTGTACCGCATAAAATCGGTCAGTAAGCACAAGTAATCATACATCAGGCGCGCTGGATTATAAAGCGCACTGTCAATTTTATAGAAAATTTAAGGATTTTAAATGCGCCTTATAGTCCGAAAAATACGGTACTTCAATTGAAATGAGATGAAATTATAGGTTAGCTGCTTTTCTAGATTTGTAGTACAGACACCTGCCCCATCTCTGCCACCTGGATTGAAATAAGCACAGACGAGACGTGGCATTGTGAAGTGAACTGGGGTGGTTGAATTTTTATCTAAAAGTGTATCTTTAGTGTAGGCTGTGTAAACTGGTTAAACTGGCATATAACCGGCTGGAGCAGACATAACCAGTATAGGCATGTAAAAATGAACTGGTGCTGGTGGTGTGAGCTTTGTTAGTATCAGGCATGCTTAGCAAACCAGTCTTACCAACTGATAGTAAGAAATCGGTGAAGATTGTAGGGGTGTCCCGATACAACATTTTTACTTCCGGTACGACACCGATATTGTAGCTTTCAGTATTGGCCGACACCGATATTCATCCAATATTGGCACAAAATTGTGCATGACAAGTTTTGCACACAGCTGCAACATCCAGACTTTAACAAAAAATTCTGCCATACGGCTGACATCACTCGTACTCCTTGCTACTTTGTTAGTACCGTAGTACACACTGTTGTCGTGATTACATGGGCTCTGCATGCTGGGTCCAGGTGCTGCTAGATAGAGGTGCTGGAATGGAGCCTTGAATGGACTGCTTTATTGGAGTGCTGATATTTGAGATCTGAAATGCAGGCCGATATGATCATATACTAGTTTTTTTTGCAGGTATCGGACTGATATCCGATATCAATATCAGATCAGGACATCCCTAGTAGATTGAGGGGTGAGGTTTGGATGAGTCATGGATCCTGAGTCAAAAACAGTTTCCTATTAAACCCCTCAGGTTTAAACTGATGCCTGCAAATGTCTTGTTTTATTCCCCAAGGCCAATGGTATGACTATGACTGTAGTACTAGTATTAGACAGTGAGTAATTCTTAGACTGGTTTTAATTGTCTTAATAAATGAGTTTAAGTTTAAGTGGAATCATTTTCTGTCCATCTATTGATCATTCAACTCATCGTTAAAGCTGTTATAAAGCTTAATACATGCAGTTCCCACCATTACTGGAAAGTAAAGAATATCATTTAGGTAATAGCGTCCTCTATAAACCCAGACAAATTGTTCCCCGATGTAATACAACCAATAATGTTTTCCGTTTCTGGTTTCATATGACTCTCAGCGACAAAACCGCTTCCTTTATGTTGACTCATCGTCTCATCCAAACACAGAGCACTTTAACGGAGCATAAATGATTGTGGTATTTGTTGTTTTCTAATTAAATTCCATGAGGCTGCCTCCCCTACAATTTTATAGCCCTTAATGGATGACAAAATGTCAACCTTGGCATTATGAAAAATCGCAGTAATCGGATCAGTTATTGCACGAACGTTTCCACCTATGATGGTAATTTTTAAGTCTATACCCAGATCAGGGCCTTTGTTTGCATGCACCATTGTTAGTGGTTGTATAGGGAAGGTCACGCTATGATTTTCAAGTGTGTTATTATTTTGCATAGTTCAGTAAATAAAGATTTGATTGATAAGAAAGACGTATAAAGTGCTGCTAAAAAGTGATTAAGGTATGTGGTTGAGAGAAAAAGGGACAGAGAAGTGGAGAAAAGTGTGTGAGTGTGTCATGTGTGTTGGAAATAAAGTGATCAAAGATTCCTCATGCACCATACTGAGGTTTATTCATAAGCCAAGCCGTTGCTTGTCAATTGACCAGGGCCACTTAGAGCTCCCAGGAAAGAAATGATCCATGTCTCCATATGAATAGAGGACCACATGTTGCCGAGTCAATGCTTTGCTATTGAAACAGCGGACAAAGACTTCCCTGTAAGGCAAGAAAGCCTGACCTTCAACACATCACAACTCTTTCAGCGAGCTGTAAAGAGCTCCGTCAGTCAGTCTGCTCTTACGTCTGTGCGCATGAAAGCACAGGAAAATATATTTCTGTTATAACCAAGGTCTTACAACTTGCGTGTGCCAAAGTATTGCTCTGCTGATGCACAATTTCATTTAGAAGATTCTACCGCCACCTGTTGCACATATTTTACTTCATACCACAGCTCCAATTATTTTTATTCCTTTTGAAACTGCGATTTAGAAAAATACTGAAGCAATTTGTATTTCTCTGAAACATTATTTTGATGCTTTTAAAGAGTTAACTTAAGTAACCTTTTTTTCCCCTCAGTTTGTTGCCCATTTATCTTTTGCACTTCTTGCACAAGCATCTCTTAAAAATAAACCATCTCTATTGTATGATCTATTCCATTTATCAATATTTTGAAGTGCAGCTGCTCTTATCTTTAGATACTATTTTCCATTTCCATCCTGCAGTTATGCACCAAAAATACCAAAACCTAATCCTGTAAATCCACTCAGCACTGAATCACAGCTCTGATTCTTTTTGAGTTTCATTGAAGAGTAAGCAAGAAACATTCAAAAGCACACTTTTTTTTTTTTCAAATAAAACCAACATTAACCTTCACTATGCTGCTCAACACTCAAGTGTCCATGCCTCATCTCTCAATCCTTAAGCTTCTGAATACATCACCTCTTTGACCTCAGCTGGCTTAATCTCATATTCCAGGTATTACCAGAGAAAGAGAAGCAGTGGAATACAACAGTGTATTTGGCCTGTGGTTTGTGTTGCATCCAATGAATCTTCTCTCAGCCTCCCTTTGGCCTGAGTTTAGCCGGCTCAGGCGATGATTTGCTTGAGGCGAGCGCTCAGGGAAGAGCCTCAGGCAGGGCCGAGCACATCAAACAGCAGAGAAACCGTGATAGAGAGAAGAGCATGGGAAACCTGTCATCAATCATAACTCCACCAGGGCACTGCAGGAATCCAGGCTCTCAGAGATTGTTGTGATGACTGCTTATCACTATTGCATGAAGGAAGTATGATGCATGGCCTGACAATGGCACATGGGTTGGAAGTGTTCTCATAAAAATATCTGCAGCTGCAGTGCTCTTGTCAGAGTCAAGTTTTCGGCCCAACGCATAAAGAATTTGAACAAGCTAAAGGGTTTAAAATATTTAAACGTGCACCTGACAACTGGGCAATTAAAGAGTGCTGGTGTGGTTTTATGTCTCCACAGGGCTGACGCTGGCAAATGAAAACCACTGTGTTCTGACGCCCTGCCATGGCCTCTTGACAGTCCACCCCCGTGTAGATGGGTAGCCACAAATGAGCTCATTTAAAGCGACACTCTTGTTGTAAAAAAGGCCAAAGCCAGACAGCAAACCCTGACAGGTGTCAGAGTTCCCGGCCGCACCCTCACCAAGGCTACTCTGCTGTAATCCTCTCACCTTCATATGCAATAAGGTACGTTTAACTGAGGGGGTTTGGGTTTTTAGTACATGTAAGGGAGGATTTAAACTCTCTCCAGTAAGTGGGAAATTGGCAGCACTATGAAATCGTGGCAATGGGAGTTCTATAAAGCACAACATAAAGGCTTTAAAAATGTGAAAAGACTATTTGTTGTCAACAGATGGCTCTTAATTGTTATAGTATCAGTGTGATTATACGCCGGTCTCTTTAATATGTCTTGCTCTTTCTTGTTCTGCATTCCCAAAACAACAGTGACTTTGCATATTAAATGATGAGTCATAATTGGAGCAAATTATACACATTAAAACAAAACAGTTTATTTACAATGTGTATAACAATGAAAAAGTGATTTTGAAAATCAGCTGATTGTGTCCATAAATGCGGGTTTGTCATTATCTTATTGTTAAAGTCTGAAGGGTCCTCTTGGGGAAATTTTTATTAGGTCTCATGTTGAAATGCCAGTTTTACAGCACAATTAAACATATTGACATTTGGGCAAAGTTAAAAAGATGTTTGGTGGCTAGTGCTGTGACCTTATATGTACTGTTGATGAAGTTAGGAGCTGTTCTGAGCATTATTTATGGCTATAGAGTAATGTTTTGGTTGAGTGCGTGGCTCTGCGGTCATTACTTAAGTTGGTATAACTAGAGAAGCAAGCAGTCGGCAACATTCATCTGTCGACGAGGTGTCTAACTCGGTGTTACGGTGTGTTTGACCCCACCTAATTTTACGCCGGAATATCCCTTTAAGTCTGTTTCCAAACTGATCAAAAGTTTGCTTGAGACAGCGTTTCTGACTCAAAATAACACTAAAGAAAACCATCGACTACGTCCATGTTTGGTTCTGTCTGTAGTTATTACTGCTACTTTAATACGTAAACACTATTGTCTCCAAATAAGCCATTTTTGGCAGATGGATCAGGAAATCTAACATTAAGTCAAAAACGAACACAGTTTCAGAAATCATCTTGAATCTTTCCTCTTCTGTAAGTCCTCTTGACAGTGAAAGGAGGAAAAACCTTTGAATTTCATGGAGCCTTTATTGAAAAACTATCCAAGTAAGGGCCCACATTAACCACTCTATTGTCCCCTAAGCTTGTAAACTGATGGATTTTTTACTCTTGCTTTGTTCAGCAGATAAACAATGCTTTTGATACACTGCTGCACTATCCATTGCTGGCGTTCATTCTTGCTGTTATGTATTTGTCCCGCTGTATTGTTTTATGTTTGAGGGAGTGAATCTTATCAGCTCCTAAAACTATAAAACCCCCTTCAATTCCCCTGTAAAAATAAGTTTTATTTGCGAACAAATGGCAGCTGTACAATGAATAGGAAGGGAACTGAAAGGGTGAAAATTGTCAGTTGTTTGCTGGGCTGGTTTTGAGTTCTGTCAGATAGATTTTGGATTAAGTTTTTACTTTTCTCCAAAGTTTCAAGGATAACTATTTTATGATAAAACCTTTGACGCTTTGGATCTCTTCCATGTCTTACAAACCCAGCTCCAGGGCTTTGGAGTCCTTCATGAATCTATTATTTGTTGTCTGGCAGAGGATTGAGAAGAAAGCAAAACACAGAAATGTATCAAATCAGCAAATAAGTTAATCTCTTAAAAAAATGATCTTTATACTTTCACAGGGCTGCATGCGTCGTACTTTTCTGTGAACATGTACATTTCCACGGTGAATCTCACACAAACTGCTCCATTGTAAATTAGTGCAGGCAATGCCAAGTGGGTTAACAATAGCAGAGCTAGCACCACAGCGCCAAGTTCTTCCTGCAAGATTAAGTCCGCTAGCACAGGTATGACCTGTAGAGTGGTTTTGTGCCAGTTTTACTTGACGTTCTACTTTTTCTCCAATTTCTGGATCTAAGAATCAGATCCACAAGATGTCGCCAGCATCAAAGCGTTATAGTTGTAGGTTTGAACCAAAAAAGGCCGCCCTGACGAGTGATGGGTGGTTATCCGACAGCGAAAACACCGCTAAAGCATCATTAACTTGTTTAACTTGTTTTAACTCTGAGGCCAAGGGGGGATTTGTTTTATTGTTCAGCAGGCTAAATGCACACATCCCTTTCCTAAATGTCATCCGAACTGAGATACATAGCCCACTATAGGGGATTTCTCCTTCCCAGTAAGATCAGCTACACAATGACACCTCGGTAACCCACAATGGACTGTCTGACAACTCTGCACCATTTCAGATTTAACTGCGTGCACACCTGACACCCCGCTGTTCTTCTTGTGTAGTTTAACATATTTCCGTTCCACATTCACATCCTGCCCTGTCACCGAGAGGAAGTGCTCTGGGAACCTTTTACCTACCCTCATGTTTTCATGCTTGTCTGCTTTCTAGAAAACAACGATGGCAAAGACCCAACTCTGGAGTCTAATTAGAGCCTTCGATGGCTGCTCAGAGAGGTACCAAGAGACTTTTTTGGCAGCTGTGCTTATAATATATAAATTAATTTATTTACCTTTCTAGTTGTTTATCCACTTTTGATGTTGAAGGACATGATTGGAAAATAAAGAAATAAAGACCCACCTCCTCGTCCTCTGTGATTTATCAGTGTGAGGGAAAGGGTGAAAGGTGTTTCTAATTAAAAAAGCTACTCTCCGCTGATTATAACAAACACAGGTCTCACATGAAGTCGGGCCAAATAGGTGTGATAAAGGAAGAAGAAAGATCCAGAACTTTCCTCATGTACACCCCACTTCTTCCTACTTCAGTGGGACATATTTTATTCTATTTATTATTGATTAATTCAGGGAATTAGAGTTCAGAGTTGACAGCTGTTATAAATAAATCGCAAAAACACCCAGACTGTGAGGAGGAACAATTCTTGAGGAATGATGAGAACTTTTCTCCTCTAACTGTGCGTGTGTGTGTGTGTTTGTTTGTGTATTTGTCTCGGCCAAGCTTGAGCACACATTGAGACTGTGTGTGTTTGTGTGCGCGTGTGCATATGTGTGTACTCTTTTGCTCCCCTGCTGACAGCGTGTGGGTGATGGATGGCAGTTGTGTGCACCGCCTGTTATGTCACACAGAAGCACACACACGGAAACCCACACTTGGCTAGCGGTCTGAATAGCTAGTTTTATTACAGGGACACAAGCAGGATGACAATGCTCTCTAATGGAGCATGCTAACGCTGTGTCACACTCTCTCCTTCTGCATATTCGCACTAATCTGGACATATACGCCTTCGAGCACGTTGATTTGTTGCTAATGAGACAAGCCTTTGCTGATTTGCTTTGAACAGGGAAACAGCTCGGCTCACTATAGTCACTCAGGTTCTCCTCTCTGTCGCAGATAAAAGCTCGATTGCGGTATAGAAACTCTCAAGCGTCACATCTAATATCTGCCCTTTGAAATACCGGAGATGGCTGTGTCATCCTGTTGCATGTACACATGCCGGATGAGTTAGATGAGGCTCCAGCTGTGAAAACACAAAGACTCAGCTAAAAAATAGCCAGGTATCCTACCTTTTTGCACATTCTTTACCTTCACCTTTCTGCATATCCTCTGGGTGTCTCTAGGGCTAGATTGAGGCAAAGAAAGACTAATCCTTCCTGTTACGTCGAAGTGCAAATTTGGGAAATGTGGAGCTACTTTGTAGTGTTTGAAGACAAGTCGACAGTTAACTTACTCAAGTGCCTGCAGTCCTGCCAACATGGATCAAGCCTCCAAACTTAACTTAACGAGCTATAAAGCTGCTGTGACATTAGTGAAAAAACACATGCTATACTTGAATTTGCCGCAATGTCAACAACGTCTGTATCCAAGTCTTTTCCAGCAGCTTCCATTCCTCGGCTGCTTTCTGTAAAACTTTATCCATATAAGCACCAGTATGAGTCCCGTGAGTCTCACTAGTCTCTAGCATGGAGAAATACTTCAATAATAAGGGCCGTGATTCTCTCATAGGAGCTGACCGATCGCAGGGAAGTGAAGCTCTCTCTGAAGACGTCTTTGCATCCTCCTCCTTTCCTCTTGTCTCAGCATAAAGAGATAAAATACATTTTTCTTTATTTTGGTGCATCCCTTAGCTTCTGTCCCCCGCTGTCTGATGTTATCTTGCTTTAAAATTCTTCTTTTGCTGATTAACTTCTGTTCATGTTCCCCTCACTCACACCATTAAGTCGGAGTCGTGAGGTGGTGTCGCAGTTTGCAAGGAAGTCTATCGAAGAAGCTGTAGTTATTAAAATAAATATTGATATTCAGCTCTAACGTGTGAATAATTGTATTTATTTTTGCTTTGAACAGGGAATAGCTGGTCACAGATACAGTCTCTGATTGATCAACAGGGGCGGCAGTAGCTCAGGAGGTAAAGTGGTTACCCAATAACCGGAGGGTGGGCGGTTCAATTCCCCCCTATCCCGAGTCTGTCCATTATGTCCTTGGGCAAGACACTTAACCCACCTTGCTATCAGTGTGTGTCCTCCACTGGTGTATGATTGTGAGTGTTGTGTTGTGGTGGTTGGAGAGGCCGTAGGCGCAAAATGGCAGCCACATTTCCGTTAGTCTGCCCCAGGGCAGCTGTGACTACGAAGGTAGTTTACCACCACCAAAGTGTGACTGTGTGAGCAAATGAATGATGTATCCAATGTAAAGCGCTTTGAGGGTCTCTGATGAAGTGCTATATGAAATCTGATTTATTATTATTATTATTAACAGACCAAAACAAAGATGGCTGCTTCTAGAAATGACATTTCACCATTTCACTTCAATGAGTACACAATTCATCGCAGATTATCTTGTTTGGATCTGAACATTCTCTGAAAATACACAGATCTTCACTGGGATTTAGAGAAGACACAGTGTTTATTGCCAAAGCTGTCACTCTTACAAAGTAGGTGGATTTAACAACAAGTTGGTATGTCCTACTGTTCCATCTCTAAAGCTGATAAAATCATGTACAACAACAGTTTGTCATTGTTTTACAAGGCACATTGAAATAAGAGGAGGGCAGCCATTTGCACTTGTGTTAAACATTCAAGCAAATATTAAAACTAGTTCATTTCCAGAGGTGTGAGTGAAGACGACAGTGGGATGATGTTGGACAGCAATGAAAAGAAGTAGGCTAGGAGGTGCACTGGAACTGAAATAGCAGGGACCAGATCTCATCTGGAACTGATTGGTTTTACGCCGGTGGTCCCAGAAATTTGAACACTGGGCTCTCTCATGGGAGTTGTTCAGGTCACATGGAAACTGAAGGTCAGATGCAAGCGTTGACAGACATTAGGCACATGAATTAAGGTGTGAATGGAAGTGAAACCACCTGAGACAGTGTGTAGGGATGGTATTATATCCAATCTTATACACAAAGTTTGAGTTTTTTGTATAAGGAGACACTAGATTAAATATTGTCTTATTTACTTGGTAACTTGAGAAGCTATTTAACTCAGAGGCTTTATCCTGTAAGTCATATGATTTAGTATGTGGCTTCTCCTCTAATCAAGTGTCTGTGTGTCAGTAGACGTTCACCACCCAGCCACAATAACATGCTCTCCTCATGTGTGTGCGTGCATGCCTGCCTATCTTTTGATAGAGTGACTGGAAATGGGAGCCGACCTTAAAAATGTGATGGATGAGCGGGTTGGATGCAGAATACTAAGTTCGGCACAGCCCCCCCGTTGGCTTATAGCTTAAGGTCACATCACAGTGGCAGAAACGAGAATGGGAAGCGGGAAAGAAAAAAAAAAACAACACAATTCATCTTCACTGATGGGGCCTGGACCCCTGATCCCTCATCACGATCCTGTCTCTGTCTTCTTGTGTTTTCACGTAGCAAGATGTGTCACGACGAATTAGGCGAACTCACTCTCTGGTAATTGGTTTCTGGGGAAAGGTTTTTAGGCTGACATTAGGGAAAAGGGTGGCTTCCTTCTCTCGCTAATTGAGTCAGTGGTCAAAGAACATGGCAGAGATGTTTCTCCACTCTGACAGTGGCATTAAGAGGATCGCAGCTTAGAAAGTTTCCGTTGTTCATTGTCAGGGTGTTGAAAACCCGTCCGGCGTGCCTTCATGTTCAGTGAGGGCATGCTTGTAACATTAAACAGACAGATTAAAAGATAATGCGGGGAATGAAAGCTCCTGTACCTCCTGCTTCCCATTTGTTTAAGATAACGTTGAGGCCGATGTGTCATGAGGGACTGGTCTTCTTGACCTTTAGATAGATAGGAGGAACCCAAGCTGTTCACGGGGGTGAGGAGAGAACGCTCACACTAATAAGTTTGCACATGTATGCTCATTATATTTTCGTTACAGGGCGTAAGTTTAACACATTCATCACGCGCCAAATGGAATTCAAATCACAGACTGATTTACGAAGGGCAGGTCTCAAAAGGCTGATGTGTCTGCACCTGTAAATGCGCTCATGTGGGTGTGTTTTATGATGTGGTTGTTCACTAATTCAATGTGTGGCTTCCGCATCTCGGATCATAAATCTGTGTATGTGTGTGTGTAATCTACACACAGACATCTTCGCAGAGGAAACACACGCGCTAATAAGCAGACCCAGCTCATTATTACTAGAAATATCTCAAACAGTGGTGTTGTAGGAGAAAACTAACACTGAGGAAGGTGACGTAAATAGATCTACAGGTGGGATTTCGAATAGATTTTGTCAATGTATTGATTTGTGTCAGTCTTCAAATTTTTCACTCTTATTTATTTCCCCTGTAATACATTTTTATCTGTGAAAACCAACTGATAAAAGTTGTTCGTAAACGTTTTTACAAGCGCACACACCTGGACCTGGATATGCGATAGTTAAGAGGAACATTCAAAGTGATAACAAGCTAATAAGAGAATAAAATAGAAAGGAGGATAACACATTTGCAATTTGCTAATTGTGCAAGCTCCTTTGACGTCTCATAGAAAAGTGCGCATCACGACAAAGATGTGTTAAAGAAATACAAAGCAGTTGTAGCTGCAGTGTGAAAGTATAATTTTGAATACTGGGAAATGTAATGAGTATTTTTTTTACAATCTTCATTTTTGTTTTAACTCTCGATTAATTATTTAAAAAAATTTGCAGATGAATTAATAATGAACAGAAATCATTAGCAGGGGTCCTAAGTCATAAACCAGCATTATTCAGTAGTAGGAGTGAGACGTAGAAAGTAGAGCACAGACAAAGAACATTTTGTCCTGTGATTTTAATTTTTCATGGAGTGACTCTGACACATCTTTTCACTCATCCACAAAGTGCAAAGTCATTTCAAGGCAGTGTGAGGAACAACACTGAACCAGTTCAGCCTGGACTCAGAGTACAGTTAGTGAAGCCAGTCCAGACAGCGCAGTGATTAGTGAACCTGCAGGGTACAGGTGGGATCCATTGATCTAACAGCAAGCACACCTCAGCTCAATCCACAGCAGCGGTGCTCCCTGGTCGGCCCAGTACAAAACAACAGGCCACCAAGTTCTTAAAGTTAACAAACAAGTGGGCTGTTTGTCAGAGCCTTCCAAAAATGATTTATATGGCCCCGAAGGCACAGTTTGGTTTCTGTATCTGAGAGCACACACAGGGAGGTCTGGACCATTGTGGGTCTCGGTACAAATCTGTCAGATTCGAACACATCTTTCTCAGTGCACCATACAACAACTTTTTGTGGACAGGGTGGACTCTGATGATGAAATTGAAGAGTTTTTTATGCAGAGTTAAAGAATTACAAAACTGTGCATTGAATACAAGAACAGGCTGTTTGAGGAAAACAGAAATACTTTCTTTGTTTCATGAGTGGCCTGTGTCCTCAGTCTGAAGGTCAGCTGTTCTCCCTTTTTTTAGATGTTCATTGAGGTACAACAGGCCATTTAGGGTGCTCACAACTCGGACAGAGTGCTAAATTTATAAAAAGAAATATATTTTTTAGCAAAGTTGATGTGAAGTGCCCAAAGCCGTTGTACTTTTAAGGTAATGTGTGTGCAAGTGTGTAAGCTGCCTCCTAACGGTCAATTCAGAAACAAGAGATGCTGTGAAGAGAGTGGTTTCCTAATAAAACTTTAAGCTTGATTTATTAGGCATGGCTGAACAGAGGACAAGTAAACAATGTGAAATTGGTTTGCTGGTTGGGGCGAACATCAGCAGAGGTAGTACCTCCAACATGCTGGTAAACATCAATGTCTCTGTCCTGAGAGATGAATGTTGTTGACTGCTTGCTTCTCTAGTTATACCAACTTCAGTAACGACCACACGATAGCAATACACAGTGGTCTGAGGAACTAAAAACAAACCTCAACCAAAACGCCACTCTATAGCCACAAATAATGCTCAGAACAGCACCTAACTTCATCAACAGGACATATAGGGTCCCAGCCATAGTACTTGCCACCAAACATCTTTTTAGCTTTGCATAATTTCTTTAGCAAAGAGACGAAACACAACTCACCTACTCTCCTCCAGCAGCCGCCTGTTTGTAGCGAGACCTCAGGCCAGTCCATTACATACTTCTGTGGGGTGACGCAGCTCAAGGAAGAACATTTAAGATAATTTCTTTATCATTTCCATGAAGTAATTATCAACACATTAATCATTTTACACTGCAGATGCGGTAGTTCTTTTGCCTTAGCGTCTCGGTCTGATTGCATTTCCATGAAGAAATGATCTTAAATGTTCTTCCTTGAGCTGCGTCACCCCGCAGCAGTCGGTAATGGACTGGTCCGAGGTCTCGCTACAAACAAACAGCTGCTAGAAGAGAGTAGGTGAGTTGTGTTTAGTCTCTTTGCTAAAGAAATTAGGCAAAGTTAAAAAGATGTTTGGTGGCTAGTGCTGTGGCTGGGACCCTTTATGTACTGTTGATGAAGTTCGGTGCTGTTCTGAGCATTATTTGTGGCTATAGAGTGGCGTTTTGGTTGAGGTTTGTTTATGGATCCTGAGACCGCTGTGTATTTCTGTCCTGCAGTTGTTACTAAAGTTGGTATAACTAGAGAAGTAAGCGGTCGGCAACATCCATCTCTCAAGGGGATGTCTAACTCTGTGTTGCAGTGTGTTTGACCCTAAATTAATTTTATGCCGGAATATCCCTTTCATCCTGTTTCACACTTCTGCACTGATGTAATTTCACAAATTCAGAGATCATATAAATGTGCATTTTGTTTAATTCCAGATTGCGAGGACAGAAAAAAACCTTGATGTCGATGTTTATTGCTTTCATGCACCGAATACCTCTTTCTCTCTCTTTCTCTCTCACTTCATTACCTACGCACTCGATTTCCAGACATCATCACACTCAACATCTGGGAAACAGTTAAGCCACAGTTGCCCTTGAGCTCCTAAGTTTAAAACGGGCATCGCCCACATTTATCATGTCACCATCTCATTTCCTGTCAGTGGAGTGGTGGAAAGTGGCAGGATTAAACACTCCTCTGAGGAATGAGATCATTCGGGGGCTTTAGAGATGCACCCGTAATGCCATTTGATAACCAGATAGAAAAAGAAGAGACTCAGGCAGATGAAGGACTGATGGATAAGTCCTCAGAATCAAAGGATGGATGCTAAGACACGCTGCTTGTCAGGATTTACAGGCTCTCGTTTCGTTCTAGGTGGGCCGCTGTGCTGTGCTGTGAATTGTAATTGTTGGCAGGGAGGGATGTGGGCTGTTGGTCCGGTGATATCAGAATCAGTTGAGACATGAACTCTGAGGGCATTGTGGATTTAATTGTCCAAAAAAAACAAAATTTCTCCAAATCAGGCAGAAAAATTCTGACACCCATGCCCTATGCCAAGGATTTGGTCTTCACAGTTTCAAAACATCCCTATACCGAGTGTCCTTTAACCTCCATTATCATTTATATTTTGTCTCGATGTGTTAAAGCGATTTCCTTTGAGCAGACAGATTTTCTACCTCACAGTTGGAACTGGTCGGTCTGAGACAGTGTGTGGGATATTTTGCTTCCTATTGTCAGTACAAAAAGTGAGAGGTGGACTTGTTATAAGCCGTGGTGCATGGTGCGAGCAGGGTCAACTAGTTTTCTCAAGTTATTTTCAGCTTCCAGGCTGTGGCATGATTAATCAAGCAAGGTTACAGCTGCAACTGTAGCCAGGTCAAAGAAAACCCTCTTTTTTTTGGACTGTTATCTCCTCCATATCTGCATGTGGAAGAAGTTAAGCTAAAAATATGAAGCTCTGAAGATCTCTCAACCTTCAAGCATTAATTTGTTTTTAATAGTTTAAGGTGAAAACACTCTCTCTGTTGAGGTCTGTTTGTACCGTAATGACTCAAGTATGGGAGGACACAGATTTGAAGATGAAACTCCCTTTTCTCCTTTTTAAGACTAATTCAGACTTTTTGAAAACCAAATGCAAATGTTTCTGCTGCTTTGATAATTGTTTTCTTGGAAAAAAAGCATCCAAATTTGGCGTCAGTTTTTAGTTAAATGATCCCCTTTATTTATTACACCTTCATGAACTGTGTCACTCAATCTTTCATCGCCATTGCACTGTAGTGACGGCTGGTCTCAGTGGCGCTACCTGTTGTTACAAACACTAACATTTGATTGCTAAACTCTGAATTTGAAATGCTTTTTCCAGATGCATGTTAGAGATGAATAATATTTTGGGCTGGGACGATATGCTTTTGTCCCGATTGGACTCTTCTACGATTTTTTTGGATGCCGATTCAATTTAAATTGCAATATTGTAGATTTTCTTGATTTTTAGTCTGCATTTTTAACACCGGTGAAACAGTTGAGTGATTATGATTGTCTACTGACAGTATTTCTCCAAAAAAGACACATCACATAAAAGTCAGTTTTGAAGATTTATTCTTCAATTTGCAAAACAAAAAAAGATTTTTGAACATAAAAATTGATTTTAAAATCATAAAACAAAAAATTGCGATACGTGACTCGATTTTTTTCTCCCACTCTTAGTAATATCTTACATCTGGGTCAATTCAGGAACTTTCATTTATGAACATGCATGGTTTCTAGATTCCAGGAAACTCTCCTAGAGTCTGTACTTCATTTTTTATTCATATATGACAAGAAAAAGATTTTCACAACCTGTCGTTTTTGATTAAGTTGTGCATAAATTAGATTTTTGCATAAATTAAACAAATTTCACATTTTGGCTCCATGAACCTTCCTTAAAAACCGGTGAGTGACATGATGACTGAGGCTTCATCCATGTTTTAACAGTTTGCTTTAAGTTATCAGTAGTCAGGTGGGGCCCTGAGTGCAAGTCCACAGGCTGGGTACAGAGTGGGCCCAGGTATCAATCAAACACAGAGCGCTAATTTAATGTGTCTAAATAGATGCCTGAGTTTGGCACCTGTACATCCACTAAATTTGATGAAAAAAGGAGAAAGCATAAATGTAAGAAACTGTAGATTGCATTGCATCATGGGAACCTCGAAGCCGATGAGCTAAATATATTGATACAGTGAGTCACTATCTTTTCTGGCTTTGTAGAGCAATTGTGTCATCACCCTATTTCCACATCAAATAACTCAACATGGTTTCCTGAGCTTTCGGTAGGTTAAAGATACGACAGGTCTCCGGTACGGTGACACTTTTTTTTTTACCGTTTCTTCATGAAAAAGTTCAGCTAAAAACAGATGAGTGGAACAGTTACCAAATGTTCATTAGTCAAGTCCATCATACTGTGTCCATTTCTGATCTGATATTTCTGGAGATGATCACAGGCACTTGTCATATCCTGTTAGTCATCGGGAGCAGGCTCCTCATCATTGTCAGAATGAAATATGGCTCCTGTTCTGCATTTGGCTTCTGTTATTAGGGCGACTTTTGATTATGTTTAGATTCTGGCCAGGATCTGGACTCCTCTCATGCTGCTGAATTTCATTGTAAAGTTACCAGAGCTTATCTTTATTCTTTATCTTTGAGCTCAAGACGTCGACTGAAATGAAGAAACTCTTTTGCATTTGTTGCTTTGGTTAAACAGTGGTTGTTGATAACACCCGTAACACATGCTTAGACTTGGCTGACATAACTTTCATTTACATGGAGCCAAGATGGGAATCTGACGGATAATAGTGCATATCCGTCAATGTGTTTGTGCTTTTCACGTTTAATATTGGCACCTAGAAAAGAGTAATAGACCCTCAGTAGGTTTTTAATAAGCAGAGAAGCCATTGTGAGGTAATTATCCACCACCTCAGCAGACTTGTAATTACTCTGGCACTACACTCATGTCCCTTCCCTGCAATGTGCTGTATCCGAGGAGCAAGAGCCCATGGTGTCTAGAAAACATAAGAAGTCAAATGGGGATCTGACAGACATTTCCCAGAGCTGATGTGTGGCTGTGTGTGTGTTTGTGTGTTAGTATGTGAATGTTTGGCGTGTGGGCGCTCTTGCTGCGAGCTCGCATCAGTGTGGTTGGCCGTGTTAAACTAAGTGGGATCCGTTTCAGTGTTGACGGTAAAGCTCTCGGTTTCATGTAGCAACTCTAAATTGCTGCCAGTCCATCCGTGAAACTGGTTGCAAACAGAAGACATGGTGTGATGATGAACATGAATAATAAACAGGGGCTTTGCAGAGGCAGTGTGGGGAGAGAGACAGAGCGAGCGAGTGTGAGAGAGAGAAATCTGTATGTGAGGAAGGACTGTGCTCTGAAGGTGAACAAGTTGCAGTGTGTAGAATAGCTTCGCCTTTCAATCTCAATGTGTATCAGCAGAAGGCCCATCGCTAAATTGCTTTCAGTCAGAGGTATCCAAGGATCATGAAACAAGTTTTACATACAAAAATACCCATGGTACCTTGGCTTGTCGAGCTTCAGTGGTTCTGACAAAAAAGATTAATTTGCCCAAAGCTTGTTATCAGCTCAATCAGTCAACTTAAGGTTTCAGTCCAGCAGGAGGATGCTCAAAGTTTAGCCAAGCCAGAAGTTTTCCTGCCTGGAGAGGGAGACTTCAGATAGACCCATAACTCACTGGAGTGGTTTCTCCCATTTGGTTTGGGGATGCCTTGTAATGGAGGAACTGGATGTTTCTGGAGGAGGGATGTCACCACACCTGCCTTAAGAAGAGAAGTAAATAAACATACTGATGGGTGGGTGGATGAATGGATAGATGACGTTAAGAGGCAGAGTCAGCAGCAGACTGATTTCAATATGTCAAGATTTGTTTATTTGTCATGTGGATGTTAAAGAAGGTCAACAGTGCAATGAAATGCCCTGGATGAGAGCACCGCTCGACTCAATGGAGCACAAATAAAAACACACAATAAATACTTAAGGGAATACAATAAGATAAAGTAAAGATGAAAAAAATTATATATATTAAAGGCGTATAAAAGTATAAGAGAAATATTTACAAAGTGCAATATTTACAAAGGTGCTGAGTGAGAATGTATGAAATGGAGGATAAGTCAGTGGAATAAATGAGGTGTGAAAATTGCCATATTGCACATGATATATAATGGTGTACTAATTGCTGTATTGCACATGGTATTGCACTATCACAGATAATATTGCACAGTTAAGTGGGTTATTGCACAGAGTATTGTCCGGTGGTACAGTCAGGAGTTTAGTCAATTACGACTGATCCCAAACATGTACAAGTCTTATGACAGTAGGTTGTCAAACTTTACAAACTATGAGGGAATGTTAGAAAACTGTGGAGACAATGAGTTTTTAATCCAGATTAGGGATGGTACATGGGGCAGATTTTTGTAGCAATTATTTTAATTTCAACTAACCCACAAGTGCGAATTAAGCACAGTTTGCTTTAGGGCTGGGCGATATGGCCTCAAATCAATATCACGATATATTGACACAGAATATACCGATATGGGCAAAATGACGATGGTTAATGACGTAAATTTTGGTATTGATAAATTTTCGGTTTATCCCCCAGCCCTAGTTTGCTTAACCCAACTATCAACACCCTAACATGTTAAGAAACTTAATTATTGTCTTAGTCAGGCTTAAACTTGACTTATTAAAATATATGTTAACACTTTAATTTGGCTGAAATCACACTAAATTAAACTTCTCATAGTCAGACTGGATAATGAGGTTTTATTAAAACAAGATCTGGTCTTCATAGAGGTAGTAGTGGTGGCAGCGGGGGTTGTCTTATAATTAAAGTAGTTTTAAAATCAAACCAATATGTGACTTAGCTGTGCTGCGTTTGAAAAACAAAAACCTCCATTTTGTTTTTTTCAGTTTTTCTCTGCAAACTTTTCATTCCAGTCTGCATCAATTACAAACTATAAGCTATTTGGAAATGATTGCACTCAAATGAAACCCATTAAATAAATCTAATCACAGTTATTTTCCTCTGCTTGATCATCATCAAATATTGCTCCTGTGTCTGTTTTTAAGAACGGGCAACAATGCTGAATTCACATCATAATTTATGTCAGACTTAGTCATTGAATCCACAATATTTGCCAAGTGAAAGCAGTTAGAGGGCTTTCAGCTGCGACTGTAATATAAGTCAATAGTTTATCTCTGTATCTATGCTCATTAGTGAAATCTCCAGGCTACCACACTGCAGATTATTGTTTTGTTTTGGAAGATTGAGATCGCCTAAGCACTTTGCGAGAGCCATTAAAGTACCATTTCCTTTACCAGAATCCCTCCACAAGTCATCCTCAATGAGTCTTTTCTAGTTGTTGGATGCTTTTATGTTTATAGTCTGAGAATGAAGTGTTTGTTTTGGTGTAGAGGAAGGCAGTCAATTCTCCTTTTATGTGTGGGATGGCACTAGTTTTTCTCAACATAAACAGCCCCAACACTTCAAGCAATTATTGAAGCCATATGTCATGTTCTGGAAAAGCGAGATGACGAGTCCAGGACTGAAGGTTTATTTTCATCATTAATTAATATTTATCACTTAAATTTCACAGAGTTGTGAAAAATCTAGATTATCTGCTAATGATGATAGTCAGGTTTATGACACCAGGAAATAGTCACTTATTCAAGAGACGCATATGGGGAAAAATGTGGAGTAAAACATGGCTCTTGCTCTTTTTTTTAATCAATTTATTACCAATTTATTGAAGGCGACCCCTCAAATGAACAAACAGTCAAATGGCCCTATAAAGACTTTCTTGGAGTCTGTATCCTTATTCCTTCACAGTGAACTTGACAAGTTTTCCAATACTCCCAATATATGTAGTGTTCCCATTAAAAATACATCAAGTTAAAAGGATTTACACTCTCACTTTAGTTTGTTCTGCCCCCTAAAAGAACTTTCATTTCTTTTTCTTTTTCTTTTTTTTTTTTTTTACATTAGGAGGAAATTAAAGCCATATAACATGTGTGCTCTTAGCTTGAGACCCAAAGCAGCTGGTGGCATTTTGTGTTTCATTGTATTGCCACTAGAGCTCACTGTTAAGCAGAACAGTACATCTGCACCGGGCGTTATCTTATCCTTTCTTTTTCTCATCATGCTCTCCTTCATGGAGAAACAGTGCAGTTCATTTCAAATAACTAAAGACGTTGGGAATTTCATCTACATAGAAGCGTCAGCATATAGTTTACTCACAGAAACAACATGCCAAACATCACATACAACATCTATTTAGGTCTATGTAAATCAACTGTTTATAAATCTGATGATGTGCCATGCCATGCCACATAGGGATGCACGAAACAGAATCTTTTGGGCTGATTCAGATAAAAATACCATGAATATAAACATGTTTGTTATCATTGCTCTGAACACAAAGGACAGTCTGGATGTGTCAATTCCCTCCTTCCTCCCCTAAAATCTGGAGCAGTCATGTCTTTTTCATGTTAAAGTCTTCCCCCAGACACTGGACCATCAAACTAATCATTCTCAAGAGTCTATATGTCACTGATGAGGCTGTCAATCAGGCTGTGAATCCATGTAGAGATCATGTTAGACAAGAAGGGGAGGAAGGGATGCATCTGCAAAACAGCAGCAGCTCAGGATGCTAATAGCTGGCGATATTCTTGGACTTAGGTCGTAAATGGTGTAAATCCAGCTATTTTATTATTAATCGCTCTAGCTTTGGGTTAAGAGCGGTAAGCCTTCTGCACTTCACAAATCGGCTCTATAGCACCCGCTGTTTTATCAGCGTTAGTGCTAGCTGCGGTTGTTTTTTACTTTCATTTTCTGTCTTTTCTTTTTTGAATAAAATTCTGGTGGTGCAATTATAAAAATAAACAAAAATACCCTTTGTATTGGGCCGATACACCGTAAATCTCTGAAGACACACTGTACTAGAGCTGGGCAATCAACTGAAAATTTACCGATACCGAAATTTATGAGAATAACCAGCGTCATTTTGCCCATATCGGTATATTCGGTGTCAAAAAAATAAATAAATAACAGTTGGTTTTGGATGCGTGTAGGTAAGAGGGGAAAACAGGTGAGGAGATGGAGGACGGTTCAAAAGTTGTAGCGGCTGTAGCAGTGGCTGAAGTAGACAAAGTTAATGTGGGAGGGGGTGAGCAGCTTGTGGAGTAGTTGTCGTCCATTTATTGCTACTGAGGTGAACTGCTCAATATATTGTGATATTGATTTGAGGCCATATCACCCAGCCCTACACTGGACTACATATTAGAAGTATTAACCTATGGCTCTCGAGTTTATTTGTGCTCCTGTTTTATTGGGTGCTTGGTAACCCTTTATGCTCCACTCTGCTGTGAGGTTTTCACTCTACAGACTTTCTTTTTGTTCATCTTTTCAAAGCTTGTCCACGTCTCTGATTGATGACTTTCTGATACTCAACGATTCGATTCTAGTTCAGTCGACAAGTATATCTGAGATTGCTCGATTCAGTCATGCTGACGATGCCTCTCAAAAACAATGACTACATTGTAAATATTTCAACTCTAGAGGTATGTTTCTGGAAGTTACCCCTTTGTGTGCAGGTGAACTTTCGGGGAATCAGGTGCAGACATGGAAGTTGGACAGGAACAGTTTGGGGTTAGAGAACAAAGATGAGTGAGGAGAGGCCATTTCTGGAAGAGCCACTCCGTCATTAAAGTAATATGACAAGTGTTCGCTTTCGCCGTCAAAAGACCCAGGGAAACAATCCCCCTGTTACGAGGCGCTGGCAAGTCCGGGCAACGGCAGACAGGTAAATTGACAGGCCGGTGGATACAGAATGAGTTGAAAGCGGTTTACAGAGAGTTGGAAAAAACACCCAGGGGAAAGTGTGGGAAGTGTTTTGCAGGGGAGAGAGAGAGAGAGAAAGAGAGAGGTGAGAGATAGACTTAGAGAAGAGTAATAATGAAGAATGAGAGCAGGTGGGAGGGAGCTGTCAAACCAGAAGGAAAGTGATCAAGTAGAGGTGTGTCTCCCAGGGAGGTAGAGGAATAAAGGGACAAGCTCAATGTGGGAAAAAAAAAAAGCCATGGAGCGACTGTTTTAATAACTCCAACTTACCACGGGTCAATTGAGACGCCATCTCTCCCAACACACAGGTGCCTTAATAAAAGCACAGCACATCACATCCAATAACTCACAGCGAAAAACCAATGAGGGGCTGTGACAGACATATGAGCCAACACATGGATCTGCCTGCCGCTCTGAGGATGGTGGTACAGTCATCAAGAGGAGCAAAAACAAAGGAATCAATAGCAGACAATGGCAAAGAGACTTTATTAGTTCCATCTTATACCAGGTTAATGAATCCCAATGCTGGTACATGAGCCTCCTGCATGGATTTTCCCACTTCAACCTTTCCATCACTTCACCTGAGTGTTTTTCATCTCATCATTCATCTTGACTACCACAGCCGTCATCACTCTCTACTACCGTTCCCGTGTGAGTTAAGCTCTGCGTCGAATGAAGGCTTGAACATCCTTTTTTTCCCCCCTCTACTACATGCTGCTTACGTGCGTTGTGACATATCATGGAAACCACAGGTAGTAACACTTTAAAGGCTGTCAGTCACAACATAGCAACATACCTGCAGGGATCAATGTGTTCATCCAGACCTTATTCTCAAAAGCAGAAAGACAAGACAAAGGTAGTCTTACTATCTTTAATTCTCGCTCTTGTTGACAAACCACATGGTTCCCTCTCATGAATTGCCGCCTCGACTCAAGGGTGAAGTGAGAGTTTAAAATAGCAACTTCTTCAAGCTCCCTGGGTGATTTTTGCAGGGGTACTCTGGGAAATGTAGTACTGCGGGTAGTGATAGAAAAGTCCTGCTCTGTTCCCTTGTTTTCTCCCTGTTGAGTAAAGCTCTAAAGTCTGCTGCTGACGTTAACTTGACATCCTGTGGTAACCACACTTGGAAGACTGTCAGTCACAGTTCAGAAATAAACTCACAGATATAAGGTAGAAATATCAAAACAGAAACAGGCTCTAAAGGGAATTTCTTACAATAATCTCAATATATTTCCTCTTTCTCTAGTTGGCAAACCACATAGTTTTCCTCTATAACTTCAATCTTTATGTAAGAGTGATGCCGGTGTTCAAAACAATAACTGTTGTTTCTCCGCACTGCTGCCTATGTTGAGCTGACACACTGTGGTAACCACAGATCACAACACTTTAAAGACTGTCAGTCACAGCTCAGAAATAAACTCACAGATATCAGTTTTTGTTCATCCTCTGGGAGAAAGACAGAAATACTTAAACAGAAACAACCTTAAAAGGAATTCCTAAATATAATCTTGCTATTTTTTCCTCTTGTTCTTGTTGACGAACCACATGATTTTATTCAGTGATGCTCTACTTTTATTTTAGTGTGATGTTCAAAACAATAACTCCAGATAGAAGATAGACAACTTGACATTTCTGTATTTGGAGGAGAAGGTGGAACCAGAGAGGACGGAGGAGGTGGCAAACATTGAGCCAGTGGTTTCCAACCCTTGTTTGGCCTTGACGTTTTGATACTCTGGCATATCCCAGATATTAAAACTCAAACATGTTGACAAAATTGATTTTTTTCCAACCATGTAATGATTATTATACCATGTTGCATCTAAGACCAGATTTTGGTTATTTGATAAACATTATTGTAGTAGAATAGTGGGTGGGAATCACTCGTGGCCCCACGATATGATATTATCACAATATTTGGGCCATGATGCGATATTATTGTGATTTTTAACATTTAGCAATAAAGTGATTACTGTGTTACAATTTATTGCGATTTATGCAATTTTTTTCAACTGTTTAGCTAATTTAGCATTTAACTGTCCTTTATGTTTGTCTTATGTACGCTCAACTTAATTTTCATGTAGCACATTTGCTAACCTTATATATATATATATATTTGTTCTACTAACTTTCTCCTGCTCTGTGAAGTAATCTCTGCCAACCTCACTGGACAAACTGTTGATTTTATTTTTCCATTATCATATATTTGACTTCGTATTAGCGATTAATTTGAAAGAAACAATACTTGGTAAACGTGACGGTAGGATATATCACCAGACAAAATATCATGATACGATGCTGTATCGATTTCTTTCTCCCACTCCTTGTAGAATAGCCAGGGTAAAGCATGAAAGTGAGGATTTTATTTACAAGCGGAAGGTAATTACAGCAAGATGAGCTCAATGTAAACCATCTATCCATCCCTCTGTCCAAACGAGTGCAAGGGTTCAGCCTTGGCCGATGACTGATGCTAGATAATGTCAAATCAGCAGTCTTTTTGTCCAGTATCCTGTGATTTCTAAGCCCACAACAAACCCATCTTCTATGAACTTGGCAACAAATGAATGTTAACCACTGAAAAAGCTCATGAAAAGTACCTCCTGCATATAAAATATCAAGTCAACGACATTATAATTGCACCCATCAGCTTTTAAGTACACAGACAGCCACATTATTAAACCATTCCCAAGATCATTTAAGTAACAATCCTGTTAGAAACATAGCCCTGAGGTTAATTCTACGGATTGCATTAGCTGTAAAAATGCATGACAAAACACATCAAACGCCTTTAAAACAGTGTTCATTTCAGTGGTACTAATGGGCCTTTTTAATAGAGAGGTTGATGGGAGTTTTTGGCCTCAAAGCGCAGTGCGTTTTTTAAATGTTTTAAACTTGGCTTCCTCTTAAGTTTGAATGAGCATCCTCCCAAAGCTCCCTTGCTGCTTCCATTTCCTACTTTGGATAATGTAATTTTAAATAAAGCAGGGAAACCTTGCTCCATGCAGGGGTTAGTGTCAGGTTCACACACACAGAAACAGATACGTCATAGATCCAACCTCTCCCCTCCCCCTCTTTGGCTTCCACATCATGACTTTTTCATCAACTCCCTTCAATTAAAGATGAAAAACCTTGGCTTAACTTGCGCCAGTGCACAGGATCACCTTGAAATCTGTTCTGTGGGCCGGATCGTGATGAGCCCCACTGGCAGGATCAGTCTCTCTGTTTTGAAAATGTGGTTTCAGATTTGTTTCTCCGAGTCACAGCTGGAGGAGAAACATTATTTCTGTAAAGCAGCCAGTCAAAACAGATTTGAGGGGATTTGTGGTAAATAATGCCTATTTTGTAACATCCAGCATATGAACTGAAATCGTGATGATGGCCTCAGTTAACATTAAAGGCTCTCTCTAAAATGCAGGATGAGATTGCAAAAAATTCACATTTGTCCTTTTATTTATCCATCCTGGGAAAAAAAGACACCTAATAAAGGACACATTGTCACGAGCTAGGAGGAGCACATATTAGTGTTTTTAAATAACTGCTGAGTCATTCGGCATGAAAGGACTAAATTACCTCTAATCCACTTTCTCATTGTCTTATCCTGACTGCAGGAGGTTAGATGAGAGCTCACTTTCTCTAAATGATTGTAACTAATTTTAAAGTGATTTTCGAAAGTAATTACTAAACAGAAGTTTACTCCCTTAGTAAAGACACCTTTAAAAAAAACAAAAAAACACTGCAAATGATAGATATTTACTCTCTGTTAAAAACCATAAAATTATACTTCTGTTAAAAAGCAATATAAGGATCGTACGAAAGAGGATTAGGGCCACAAGACGAGAAAAGAAAATAACTACTGAATTTTTTTTTATTTCCATTTCAAGATTAACAGGAAATTTCGATATTTAAGTCAAAATTTTAAAAAGTCGAAATTTCACTTAAATCTCAAAATTTATTTTTTTAATGTCGAAATTTCAACATTATTCACAACATTTTGACATTTTGTAATACCCAAGTTTCGACTTTAATCGAGAAATTTTGATTTATAATCTAGAAATTTCAACTTTATTGACACAATTTCGATTTTTTTAATCACAAAATATTTACTTTAATCTCGAAATTTATTTATGTAAAAAATTTCAACATTATTCGCGACATTTTGTAATACCGAAATTTTGAATTTAATCTCGAAATTTCGACTTAATTGACAAAATTTTATGGTTTTTTAATCACAAGATGTTGACTTTAATCTCGAAATTTATTCTTTGTCGAAATTTCAACATTATTCACGACATTTCGACATTTTGTAATACTGAAATTTCGAATTTAATCTCAAAATTTCAACTTTATTGACATAATTCCATTTTTTTAATCTTAAAATTTCGACTTTAATCTCGAAATTTGGACTTTAATCTGCTTCCTGTAATTATTTTTTTTCTCTTCATGTGGCCCTAATCCTCTTTAGTAGGATCGAGAGCTTTTTCGACAGGAAATTTGAAGTTATTTTTCAGAAAACTGAGTTGAAGCCAGCTCAAATAATATAGTAGGAAATAAGTAAATAACATTCAGCTAACTGTGAGTTTGATTTCTTTTTGTTTAAATGCCACAGACGTGAATACAGAGCTGTGGTTACATCGATTTAACCTTTGATTTGACAAAGGTGTGATGTTGCTGTGAATGCGTTAGATTCCTGTAATTCTAGTAAAGCGCTCAAGTCAAACAACCTGCTTTAATTAACACTCACCAGCAACCTGATCTCACATACGTTCACCAACACTTACCCCAGAGGACCTGTGACTTTGACATTACAGCAGAGCTGAGCTGCTGCCGTCGATTGGTACTGACATGATCAGTAAAGCAAATGTGGGGTTAAATCAGCTTTCCTCATTAGAGGCCCCGCTGCAAAAATCATTGTTTTAAAAAAAAACGAAGCAAAATAATTGAAAAGTCGACAACAGCTGTCAAAGGGGAAGTTTTTTTTGGAGGCAATTATTATATTGTTATTTTGTTCTCCAGTACCTGAAGAGACAGAGACGGCTTTGGCTGATTAAAGCTAAAAATACCAACTATTTTCTTTTTCTGGTCTAGGTAATGACAATGACATACCATATGAAGACCACATGAATGCTAAATTACCATCAGCAGCTATCATAAATTTGTTTGTTTTGAAATTAAGACTTATGTTCACTCTTCGCCGGTGTCATTATGTGACTGTATTGATATAGACAACAAACCTCCATCTCCTCTCATTGTAAAAAATAAAAGAAAAAGGAGATAAACTTTCATCTCAGAGAGAGAGCTGGTGATGTAGTCTGGAGTCACGGCGTGCTCAGATCTGACTAGTGGAGCTGCTGGATTGAAGTCACATCCTTTCATTAACTGAACTTCCTGATTAAACAGCTAAGATCCCTTTAGGCCGACACAGTCCACATAAGAACAGACAGTTGTGTTGACTGGGAGCAGAAACACTTAGTTGCAGAAACTTCAACCAGTCTGGAGTTAGTGTTTGTTTGGTTTTCTTTCACCATGCCTCCTCTCTGGTGAAGAACGCTGCAAGAGTCCCATTTTTCAACCCAGTCTTCATTCATGATAACACATCTCTCTCTTTTTTGGACAGTTGTGTTTGGTGGCTCTTCCTCTCTCTAATTTGACCCATGTCCTATCTGCTGTAATGGATGAAGCAGCTTTTTCTGTGATGGCTTCTATGGTGCTGTAATGATGAAGCAAAGGGGATTAGATGATTCACAAGTGTAAAAAAAACACCATTATGCCTTGAATGTTGGTGGGTTTGCAGTTGAACTCCTTGCCCAGTATTTATTCCTCTAGGGGAGCCAGTGTAATTTGTTTCACTTCCATTTGGAGCAACGTCCTTACATTTTATTTACGCGTTACATGCCAGTGTGTAGAGATCTGTCTGCTGAATCTGAGGATTTTAGGCCTGCAGTCACCTCTTACTGCCAAACATCTCTGAGCTGTGTGTGCTAATGCAAGCATGTCAAGAGGGTTACAGTAATGATGCTTACATCTTACTGCCTTTTTAGTCTCTTCGTGTGTTGAAGTGTGCTTGTTATCACCAAACACACGACACAGCTATAGTACTGCTGAAGCTCACTGGCTTTGTAGATTTCTATTTGAAATAGACAGATTAGTAAGTGGTTGGCTGGTTAATTGAGTTTAAAAATGGCGTTTTGACATAATTGGCCAAAAACTTTTTACAATTGATGTAGTTAAGTATTGACGGTGTAGGTACCAGGTGTGCTTGGGCTCCCAGATCGGGCCCGGCGCCTGTTGATGGCGTCATATAATATGATTGGCTCGAAGTTGGTTAGATTGGAATTGTTCCGAACAAGTTATGGATGCAGTTTTGGTGGGATTTGGTTTCATGGGATTGTAGTCCTTTGGAGAAAAACATAGATGAATTTTTCGGAGCAATCTATCGCTAACATCAGATGGATTACCGCCTCCTTTTATGTTGCCAAAGGAAATGTGGAATAAAAGCAAAACCATCTATTGCTAAATGGAGATCCTGCGTACATCTTTTTTTTCTTTTTCATTTAGAAAATCTAACAAATACAATTAAAAATTATAGTACAGTAAGTTGAATTTCTCTGCATTATATGGGGACAAAGGTTCAAGATGAATTGAATGAACAAACAGAAATAAATAAAACTGCAAGGGGATTTTGCCCAAGCACATTTAACGTATTAAATGGAGCGCAATATAGTTTGTACGATTGGACTTGCCGTAGGGTGACGTCTTCAACGGGCGCCTTGGCCCCGAGCCGATCTTGCAGCCCGAGCACATCTGGTACCTACAACGGCAATATCAGCCGTTTTCTGAAATCATTAGCAAAAACCCCCAAATCTTTGTCTGCCCATCAATTCATTACAAATCTATCTAAAACATTAAACTTGCCAAGATCAGATTATTAGATTTTAATGCACAGGGAACAGTGAATATTTGCATGACTTTCTTTTACTTCAACCTCAATAATTATCTCTATTTTTCCTTCTGAGCAATTTTAGATTGCTGGTCATAAATCCAAAAGTGCCCTGTGGCAACATTAAACTGAGGCAAATATTAAATATCAACGTGTATTTGATAAAATGTTCACTCAGGTTCAGTAATTTTATTTTTCATTTGTTCTTAAGTGTTATTATTGCAATGTTTCCTAGAGCTTTGATTAATGAGCTTTAAAGTGACAGGTTAACATATAAGCAGAGGATGCAACATTACCATGGACACTGGTGCAATCTCTGACTGTATCACTAACCGTCTAACAGATTTACATTAGATTAAAATACTACTTATATGTAGAGCCAGATTCAGATTTTCAATGGCATGTTTTGAAAGCTGTTAGTCTAAGGTAGTTTATTGTCTGACCAGTCGTTTGATTTTTACAATAGTTGATCGCTGGTTGACTTTCAAAATAGTCATGAAAATACAGCCCTCATGTTCAACAGCAAACTTTTGAGCAAACAACAAATTGAGGGGTCATCAAAATTCACACAGTTGCTAATTAAATGAACCTGAGTATCAAATATATCAAATTTCATGTCAGTCCTTTCTTACGCCCAGAAAAAGCCCGGTGTATGTGACACTTGAAAAAGGAGAACCCAATCTTAGGACTGAAACAAGGCCAAAGTCAAAAGGAGAGACGCACAAAAGCCTCCATGCAGACTTTAATGATTGTTTAAGTGTGACTTTCATTTACTCCTTTTGCACATGTTGCTGTAAATGTTCCAAATCCACCCATGTATCAGGAAAATAAGTTGGCATACACACATGTGTGAGGATATGCTTTGTCGTGACACATATCCAGAAAAAAAAAAAAAGTCAAATGCTCTTGTGAAAAGTTGAGAAAGCACCATTACTCATAGCTCCTTGTTGTGTTAATGGCCTTTTGTAAGAGCAGGACCACCTACTGTATTATATTGCTCTGTGTTCATCCATGAGTGTCTGGGCTCAGAGAGGAGAACTGGCTGATCCACTGAAGGGATGACTGATCAAAGTAGTGAGGAAACCCTGCTGATTTAATGAAACACTAAAGTGGTGGGGTGAGGCAGTCCACATTTGTTACTTTGTTTGTGCTTGTTAATACCGTCTGTGCTCTACACTATTTGGTATCAAAATGAATAACTATCGCAGGTGTTGGTTATTGGTTTATCTTGGCCTGTTTTATTTCCCTCTGTGGAGCAGTGGAGATGAAGCTTTCTTTTGTTAGTTTGAATATTACATTTAAATTGGTTTAAGGAAACAATATAACCGTGGAGATATACTTCTGCTAAACAATACAGTACTTTCTTAGCTGCTGTAAAACACTGTACTGAGTGCTGAAGGATGTGCAGCCTGCCCTGCAGGGTCATTTGGCCTGTGGTGGAGTGATATTTCTACTCCGTGAGGCAGGTTCTGTCAGAGCGCTGGCTGTTCTGCCAGAACTGGGATTACTATTTGCTCTGTAGCCCAATGATGCCAGATTTACTGGTGTAATAATTTTGGAATATTGTCTTGCATGGTTATTACAAACAGAAGGCATCTTATGTATATTCATGCACAAACAAGAAGCCGACTACAACTATAATCTGTGTGTTTTATTGACATTGAGAGAAAGAGCACCACAGATGTTTACTTTGCTCTCCATCAAATGAGATTCTTATGATCCGGTCATGTACTCTATAGTAAATTCAGTAAATCTCTGGCCAAATGGGAGCTCAGCTCTCATGATAACAAGTCTGAGCTTCATTACGGTAAAACAGTAGCTTTTTTTTACTATGGTGTTGTATGTACACAATCTTCCCTGTCTGGTTAGTCTTTATTTGTTCTGAGAAAACAGCAAAAACAAACTTCTGAGGGACGTGTGTTAAACAAAGCAGAGAGAATGAGACAAAGGAACAGTCAGACTGATACTGTGAGTTTTGGACCACATAATGAGCAGTTTACCTTTTAAGTCACAAACTTACTTTTTCTGTGGTTTATTTATCTCCGTCCCAATGTTTTTATTCTAGAGGCCCCCATAGAGCTCAGAGTGAAGCTCAAACTTTGAGTAGAAGTGGACTGATGTGAATATCATCTCACAAATAGTCTTGAGTTTGAGTTACCGAAAAATCTCAAAGGGTTTACAAGTTGTCAACACTGAGCCGCGGTAATGAATACACTTGGTATGGTTGCTGTAATTAAACACGTGTCAGTCATCTTTTTATTACCACTGTGTGTACTTAAATATTTTATATCTCATCCTCATAACATTTAATTTATTCTGAAGAGAGTAGAACAATGTCTGAACAACTTCCTGAATCTTTTTAGTGAGTATTTTTTTTGCATATGATTGACCGGACCTGCAAGGATACATTTATTGACCGTCCACAGCGTGTCAGCAAGAGCTCGTCACTCCAGCAAACACATCAGAAGTAAGACATGAGTATGAGTATGAAGCAGTGTAAACATGGAGGAGTGTCGTCGGTCAGAACCTCTTACCTGATGTGGTTGAGCAACATATGAAGGCTGTAGCTCCGAGAGTCTGGAGAAAAACTGTGTAGTTGTCAACAAAATAACTGACACAACATTCAGGATGCTGTAATCTCTCTCGAATTTACAAGACTTATGCAGGCTTTGTAAACCTTTAAAACTTGAGTTAAACTTTGGTCCCAATTAATAGGTCTCTTTTAGGGTTCCTACTAGGACTGGGATGATATGCTTTTCTCTCGATTCGATTCTTCTACGATTTTTTGGATGCCAATTTGATTTAAACTGCGATTCTACGATATTGTTGATTTTCTCAGTTTTTAGTCTGCATTTTTAACACCAGTGAAACTGTTGAATGATTTTGATTGTCTACTGACTATTCCAGGAACTATATTTTCCCCAAAAAATACACATCACATGTAAGTCAGTTTTTAAGATTTATTCTTAAATAAAAAAAAAAAAATCAATTTCGGAACATTGAAATAGATTTATAAATTGTAAAAAAAAAAGTTGCGATACTTATGTGAATCGATTTATTCTTCCACCCCTAGTTCTTACGCAAGTATATAAAGTATAGAAACAAATTTGATCAATCTCCTGGTCTTCAAAAGTATGGAAAATAAAATAAAGAATGGAAAATAGTTTATGTTTCCAGACGATTACCACACTTCTAAAGTACTGTTTTCTAAAGTAGAAAAATAGGTATTTCCAAAAATAATTCTAAAAAATTGGGTATGGAAAAGTATGAAAGTTACAACTGTGTCAGAAATCTATTTACTTGCAGGATGCCGATGAAAGTTTTGACAAACTCACTAATTAATTGTACTAACTGCTAATTGGAACATGTGATTATTGGTATAACACCCAATCACTTACTCAATGTGACAGTTTATCGTTGGCACAGACCAGGAGGTCCAAATATTGTGGTTTTATGAACCTCTCGTTGCGTTTAGTGTGTGTACTGTCTTTATTTCCTAGCTGATAAAAACAAATAGCTATGTTTTAATTGTTTACTGAGTATCATCATTTCTCTCAGCGGTTTCCTCCTGTGCACGTGTTGGCAGGCTAGAGCATTACATAGTGTTTGTCTGTGAGCTCATAAACAAGATCTGGTCTTTTTATAAAGCAACAAAGCAAGCTGTTTATGGTTACACTTTTGTAGCCAAAGACACCCCACCACTTGGCATGCAGATAGAACAAGGAGCAGGGGAAAAACACCTACTAGGTAACACAATGAAGAGAAAACAGTAAATATTGAAATCTCTGTGTTAACTGTGTCAGATAGTGAAGCTTTAATCAGAACCTAAAAATACGAGATTTGCGGCAAATTCTGAGGATGTTCTGAAATGTGTTGGACTGGCAGCCTGTCTCTTCTGCACACCCGGTGCTTGTTGGGTCTGGCTCCAAACCCCTGCAACCCTGGATTAGAGCGCACCAGAATAAATGGAAGAACAGAAAACTGTGCCCTTTTAAAAATGCGATTAGTTTGCGACTGTGCATCTCTGACAATGGTGTACACTCCACGTGAACGCCGAATAGGTCAGGATTGTTTTTGGTAACAGAAGACATCCTGGTGTCACACATAGATGAAAAAAATTAGCTTCAGCTCAGGGTGAGAAATACAATGATCAACACTGAGAAGTGCCGAAAGTTGGAACTTTCTTTAAAATGTCACCTCTTGGTTTTTTAATTTCAATTTTAATTAAAAGTCTTGTTTTTGACCTCACCAAGAACTAACTCTGCTTCAGCATAATACTACCTTATCAATGTTCTACTTGGTGAAATGTCTGTGACATGGTGTCTGTGAACTGCACCTTTTAACAAATGTATGTGTGCTCAGGCTGCAGACACCTGCAGAATGAAGAATATTCACCCTCACTGCGAGTACGCCTCGTGGTTTAGTCCTGAGTGTTCATTAAGGTGATGCAACCAAACTAAAAGTCACATCTCTCCGCAACTTTCAACCCAATCAAACAAAAACAGGACGTGGGCGAGAACAGCAATTCATCCAAGCTTTTTGAAAGGTTTGTAATAATCCTTGGCAGTGATTTTCCTTTTAATGTCATTACTCTTTACAGAAGCGGCTGAATGCCATGGTGCAAAAGAATGGTGTGTCCTTGGTTGTTGCCTGACAACCAGAGCTGTTTTGTACTAATTGAATTGCTATCCTTTATAATTGTAAGACTCTTCTCTTCTGTGCCTCACTTGCTCAGCCAAAGGCAGGCAGGTCTGCAAAAATCTCCTATAAACCTCCTTTTAGACGTATAATGGAGGAATATTTGTTTGTTTTGAAATTACAACGAGAAGCCCTCTTACTGATTTTGTCTTTGTTGGGGGTCCAAAGCAACATAACACCTCAATATGCATATTGATTTATTTTTATTATCATTCTTGAACTCCTCCCACCCAGATCAAACAAGGGTCTCGCCTCCTGAAGCGCTCTCAACTTTTATTTAGATCAGACAAGCTTGTGATTCTCCTCAGTGTCAGTCTGTCTGCATTCAGAGTCACTCAGCATATTAATGTGCAGACTGACAAATCCCTCAAAATAACAACAGTGGCTCCATAGCTTTGCCAAAGTCCATCAATTGCACAATAAAAACACAGAAACAACACCAAGCAGATGAAAGCCTGTATGGGAAATGTCTATAGACTGTATATAGTATGGACAACGTGACTCCGCCTCCTGTCATTGTACGAATTTGAAGCCAAAGTATGCCCTGTATTCCCGGGATTTTCTCCATTTCCTGAAATCGGCATTTGCGCAGTAGCGTTCGTTGGGAGAGTCGCTGTGATGACGCTCTACTCAGACAGCGTGTCCTCCAGATGATCTATGCAATCTACATACACCCATACGCTGTATCGAGTGTCAATCATAGAAAACATGAACTCCTAATAACCTCTAAAATGGACATGTCAACATCACAGCTTATATTCTGAGTTATAAGTTATAGAGTTATGGAAAGTTACAGAAAACTTATATTCTGTATGATTACTTTTTTAAAGTTTGTCCACAGCTTCATACATTTTGATGGAGGATGCGGGGTTTATGACCTATACTGCAGCCCGTCACCAGGGGGTGCTGTTCTCGTGGAGGTTTCACCTAACCATTCTATATACAGTCTATGTAAAATGAGTGAGAGCAGATTCAACAATTCAAACACTCCATCTGATCATGGTCGATGGATCAATTCACCCCATTTGACTTTTGACGATACATTTCAATTACAACTATGACTGGCTAGCGGTACTAGAGGGACACTGAGGAACGACTGCAGTAGGATTTTTCCTGTGGGGACGATGAGTTGCCATACGAAGATCACCATTAAACCATTCATTTGGGACTGGTCACTTACTGACACCCATGCCGCTGACATGGCAAAGAAACTGTAAAAGACAATAGACCTCAAATACTTCAGTTTACTGTTAGATACGAGAAAACAGTTCCAAATCACAGACAACACACAAGAGTGAATTGTTGGATGTATTTGTCATATTGACTATCCAAAAGGACTGGCTGTTTGCGCTGAACCAAAGCCCACTCAGATTAGAGTTTTTCCGATTCGGATTCCAGTATCGGATATTGTACCAATGCTGCTGAAAATAGTGGCATCAGTATCGGCGAATACTGGAGTCCAGGCACCGATCCAATACCTCGTAATTTATTAAATTAGTGAATTACTTCGGGTTAGCTCCATTAGCTCTGTTCTGTTTCAACTCCCTTTTTATTTAAAAATATTGTGGCTCTTTTTTAATTTTTAAAAAGTAATTATTCCTAGATTTATTTAGTTAAATTGGATTTGCTGTTTTTTTACTACTTCTATTGAAAAATAAATGGCTTGAATTTGCTTTATTTATTTGTGTTTTACAAAAGAGTTTAACCTGAGATAAACCTTACCACAATGATAATCATATCACAATCATGCAGGCCTGGTATGATGTATACATATTTTTATAACATACTGGTATTGGATTGGCCGATACCCACAACGCAAGTATCGATATCGGTATTGGGAGGGAAAAATTGGTATCGGAACATCTCTCACTCAGATACCATTAGACTGCTTAAGAAAACAAGAGGGCTCCAGACACCAGTAATTGTTAGTTTCCTTTAGATCACATAATAAATCTGACATGTCAATGGAAATTAGTCTCAGATACTGATTCACCAGTTATTTCTTCTTTTGATGCTGACCTGCTCCACCACACTTGTCAGAAAGAAAACCGTATTCTCAGAAGTGACCTTAATACAAGCCGGTCTGGAGAGTAAACTTAAGAAGTGAAAGTCATAATGAAAGGCTTCATATACTGTAGAGTGCTGCTATTATCAGCAATCTGACCTCCCCCTTTAAACGCCTTTCTATTTTCAGGTTGAGCCCACTCACAGGCTTGGCAGCACACTGAAAGGAGGCTTTGAGATATCACATATCGCATCACTCCAATCTGCCGTGACACCAACACGCTGCTGCGCCAGTCAGAGATGCAACCCAGAATATTCTCAGGGAGTCCTTTATAGCATCAGATTAACCCGCAGAATTGGGAATAAAACAGCAGGAAGACCAAATAATGAAAAGTGTTGGAGTTTGTTGTTTTAAAGCACGTGGTATTGAGAGGTTCTGCACCATTGGAAAATTACAGCAACTGTGGTGACAACTGATTCCACTCAGGTTTGGTGCATTTGATGTACATATGTTGAAATAACAGGGTTAGTTGGGGTCCAGTGTAGGAGTAAGACCCTGGAGCCCTGCTGACCTAGAGGTCTAGGCGCATGCCCCAAACCATAAGGTTATTCCTCATGTGGTTTGTGGTCTTTTGCGGTCACTCCCTGCTTTTTCCACATTACTAGATGTCTTATCTTTGCATAAGACCTCTACTTAACTCACACCCAGCTAGTGTACCCAGTCCCAGATATTTAGAAAGCAAAGGCACAAATTTAATAAACCAGAAAAAAGATATTCAGCTATGGCAGTATTTCAAAGTATGTATAAATGTGGGCATCGGTTAGAGCTCTTGTTTTTGCTTCTGTCCGCCTGACCTCTCTTTGTCTGCTGGGACTCTGGATATTTGGCAAACACGTCAACTAGCAGTCATGTCACATCCGAAAAGACTTTTAAATATCATTCTTTATCCTTCTGCTGTTATTGAAGCTGAATGCGTTTCTCTCTGGCGCTGGATATTTCAGTGTCGCACGCATGTCGTCGGTGCTTTCTGTACATCTTTGAATGAACCAAATAAATTGGTTGTGTAGTCGGTGATAAAACGTTTTGTTTTCTCACCACAGCTTACCGCTCAGCGAGCCGCTCCCAGGAGGAATCTCACCTTGCCTGCTTGCAAACTTCTAAACCAGGATAAAATCCGTGTGGCGTCACATGGATTTGTTTCCATGGCGTTCGATTGCCCCTTGTGGATATGTTTCCATGTTTTTTGATTTCCTCGTGTGAGCCGGTCCCCTGTGGATCTACAGTAGTGTATTTTAACTTGTCTCCACTGAGCTCAGTATCACATCAATTTCTAAGAAGTGGAGCAGAAATAGTGGTGGCAGTAGTAGATTATATTGACTGTCTAGTAGGCAGGTGGGCTGAAAAAACCCTGCATATAGGAGGCTCTATAACTCTTTCTAAATAGAGTGTAGAAAAAGAAAAAAACATGTCAAATTTTGCTGCCGGTTTCTAAGTCAAATGGATTAATCATAGAATCAAATTTATCAGTTTGTATGAAACTAAAGCAGACTAGATAAAGCTGAAGCAAATTAAACCATTAAATGAGAGATATTCTACAACCTTGACAAAAATTAATTAATATGAAAACAGAAGTGCCTCCTCAAGTTCTTCAGATCAGAGGATAAAAAGGTCACGGTCAGAGCAAAACAGAGTAAACGTGACTCAGAAAAAGAGGAAATAGCCACAAATGTTTCTTTTGAATATATGGGAAACATTCACGTTTCTCTGGATAAAAGGTCAAGCTGCCGTCATTCAGGTTTTGAAATGTTAACGATGAATCGCATCATGATGTTTAATGTGAAAGAAGAAACAAAGGAGCAGACATTACATTACCATGTAGACATCACACTTTCTGAGTATAACCGCATCTCTTTCACACCATGTTGATAGTATGGCGAAGCCAATGCCAGCTGTAATGCAGCAACTATTAGCGTATAGGTTTGCTGCGTATAAAAAGTGATACTATTGTCACTTGTTTTGAGTCATACTTTTCTTTATACTGGGCGATTTTTGATAGATCTCTAAATCAGATATTTTCCAGAAATAAGACCTCGCAACTCAAATGGGCGTTTGATCTATTTTTACTTAGGGAAAATAATCATTAATGACTCCTTCACTCAGTTCAAAAGGTACATTCCCACCATATGTTTTGTTAATCTAAACACATAATTTTAAATACACCTACATGCTCTAAAATATATCTCGTCTATGGCTTGCTGCATTGTGTTAGAGGAGGTGTTAGTGGATCTAGGTTATGATTTGTATGCGGAACAGCAGCAACATTGCTCTTATAAAGTATCTTCATGTCAGAACGGTGCAGAGGCATCCTTTGTTGTTAAATATTTAAAGTTTCTCTCAGATAATACAAAAAAGGCTTCCGGGCAGATTTGTAATTCAAATTGGACCTGGAGGATGTGTTTTATTCTCAGCATCCTTTCGTGAAGCTGCAAGGCAAACAACAACAAAAGATTTGTACCAACTTTGTGCCGTTGTGTCGTGATAGCTGTATCCTCGTGCCTCTTTGAAGGCCTTCGCTCTGGTCTGGTTGTACTTTTCTTTCACACATAAATAGAGCTGCACCTTCCATTTTTACCCCGTCCCTAAATGTAACCTCACCCCAACCCAATTACTGTCAGACTCCTTTCTGCAGCCGAATATGCGTCAAGCCTCCGCCTTCGGTCCCAGGTTAGCTCACTCATGTTTTATTGATGTGTTGCTGTTATTTGTTTGTTTCTTGCTGGTTCCTCCTGCGTCTGGGGCAAACATGACGCACTCGCTATGTAACAATCTCAAACAAGGCAGCTGCTCATCTATAGCGAGGACAGACAAGGGAACAGAGTCAAAGCTAATATTGTCTGAATCAGTGAGTGTTGTCCTTTGAGATTTTTGGCCTTTTCCCCATGTCACATGACCCCATGACCTGTTGGCTTTCTCTGCAGTCTGTTTGCATGATACCATGACCTGGCACTTGTTAGCTCCCAGACTGTCACTCTAAGAACATGATCCTGGGCTTGTTTGCATTGGTCTCAGTCTGTTGGCAAGAGACAGCCTGAACATACAATGTACATGGTAAATGAGAAATGCCTTCCACTGGTCCTAAGAGGGGGTCAGCTCCTCCTTTTTTTTTGAACAGCTGATGCAAATGCCGATAGTTTGAAAGCAGATCAGTTAAGGTTTATATCACCCTGATGTTTTTGGTTTAGTTTTTCTTTTCCATTCAATAAAATACGTACAAAGAAAGTTCCTAAAATTCCTAACTGCATGCTCTACTGGAGGGTACACCTGAAAACTAAGGCTGTGTGCACCCACCAGGTTTTAAGAGTTGTATACAAGAGACATGGTAGCAGTCACAGAGGTTTCTGTTTTGTTCGTTCAGGGTGTCCCGGTGAGTGACAAACTCTTGAACCAGCTTGGCGACAGATGACAGAACCCACATTGGCACCGACTCGACACAGTTTCTCCAGGTGGGCTCAGTCATAACAGTCCTAGACTTGTTTTTCATCTAGTTCCACAGACTTCCACATCCACGTATAGTAATGAACTCACCTATAGCCAGTTATTTTGACATGCACCTTTGTAGTAGCTGCATTTGTACCTTCTGCCATGATTGTTCCTGCTGCTGTCAGATCCCCTCTTCTTCTGTACTCCCCCTGCTGTATCTGCATCTTGCTTTACTTTGCATTTATATTTATTTCAAAGATCTTAAAAAAGCTGCAGAGAAGTGATTTTGATGTCCATAAAGAGAAGAGCAGTGGAAAATCCCCTGCTCATGAATCTTTAGTGAAAGTCTGAGTATCGTGGTGCAGATGGGAGGATTGCAAAGTTTGATCAAATGCGGTCTGACAGGGAGACAGACTGATGACATCAATGCTATCTAAAGATCAGGGTCCAACAACTCATTTTGTTTGTTGAACACAGGAAGAAAGTTCATTGGACAGACTCGCTGACGTGTAAAATTTGTGAATGAGAAAAGCTTTTAGCGTGCGGGGGAAAACGGGAAATGCCCTGAAATTGAATTCAGTTAAAATTGAATAAAGGGGGAGAGGCAGGGATTCACCAGCAGACGAGCAGAAGAGGAAACGTGAGAATACTGTGCATGGTTAACCCTGAACTTCTATCAGAGGCTGAGGTTCCTCTAAGAGCTACAGATTGAGGAGAGGTACAGATTTTAGTTCAGACTCTGGACATGAAATTTTAAACAGAAACTGACAGTTAGGGATATTCACTTTGTTTTAAATTGAAGGTGCAGCAGTAAGTCATCCAAAAGATGATAATCACATCTTGGTTATTAAAACAATAAATCTTAATTTTGATTAAATCAGAAAGAAAAAGATATAATGTGAGTGAAACTTCTGCATCCAATCCAATCCAATCCAAGTTTATTTATAAAGCTCATTTTAAAACAACAAAAAGCTGACCAAAGTGCTGTACAGTAGAAATAAAAAAGAACAATAAAGACAGACTATCATCACAAACAATAAAACAAAGACACAGGACCACATTAAAAAACAGCGGGACATGGTTCAATAAAAACACGATTAAAAGGCCAAGTTCTCAAGAGTTGAAAGCCAAGGAGTAAAAGTGCGTTAAGGCGCAGCAACGGAAAATGCTCGGTCACCCCTGAACTTCAATCTTGACCTTGAGACAGTCAGAAGGTACTAATCAGAGGATCTGAGAGTCTGAGATAAATACAGGGTTTTAAAGGTTAGAGAGATAAGAAGGAGCAAGCCTGTTTAAAGATTTATACATTAATAACAAAATTCCTAAATTAATCCTAAAACCCAGTCTCAGACAGTACGATCAGACCCAATCTGATCCCATCTCAAACTTCCACGAGTCCATGTAGCACTTTGCAGCATTTAGCAAGTTACAGTATCAAGGAAAAACTAACTTTTAACAGACAGAAACCCTGGAAACCCGCCTCATGTTAGACAACCATCTACTGAGACTGCAGAAAGATAGTGCCAGATAATGGAACAAGTATGTGTACTATTAACAGAAACAGCATGTTGATGAAAAAATACTGACGTTCGTTTGATTTATGGCAAATTAAAATCAACAGGCCTGCAGTTAGAGCAAACCCTTTGATGTAAATGTTGAATAAGACACATTGAAATGCACAGGAAGCTACAAGCAGCCTAATGCAATCCATCCTTAAGGATTTACTCAGGATTTTGGGGTGGCACCTAAGCTCTAAATTTGGGCCCAGAACACCATGAGTCCACCCCTGCTGCCATCAAAAATCTTCCATCCCCTTTTCAGCTCATTACTGCACATTTCTACGCATATAGAGGCACTTGTTGTGCAAGATTCTGAGTGCAAACACAGGACCACTCTGACAACTACAACACATGCTCACATGGCAAAGTTATAGCCAGATGTTGTTACACATCCAAGTTGAAGCACATCTGCGCAGCATAGGTTTAGCTGACGCCCATAACAGCCTGAGAGTTATAGCCAATGAACGGCATACCGAGCAACAGAGAGCACCAATTTCTCTGGCGGGCGTAGAGATTTACTGTCTTTTCAAGCGGCAGTTCCACCCCATTATTATGTGTCGACCCCGCTTCCATGTGACATGAATGACTTCATCTAGAGCCGCGAGTTTAGGATCATGCAGCACATTAAGGAGACGGGTATCTTTTATGAGTTTCACATTGTAAAAACAGACTCCTGTCTGCAGTGAACTTGTCATACTTCATGGATAATACATGGAAGCGTAGAAGAGCAACAAGCTTCTTGATCAAAAACAGTTCATTTCACATCATCTGTAACGGCCTGCTCAGTGGCTTTCTAAGCTCTGGTTGTGTTCTATCTGCTCTGATTCTGCATCATAGTTTGTTGTCTTATTTAGTGCATGTTAAAGGGATATTCCAGCGTAAAATTAAGTCAGGGTCAAACACACTGTAACACTGAGTTGGACACCCTCTCAAGAGATGAATGTTGCCGACCGCTTGCTTCTCTAGTTATACCAACTTTAGTAACGACCGCACGATAGCAATACACAGGACGCCACGCACTCAACCAAAAAGCCACTCTATAGTCACAAATAATGCTCAGAACAGCACCTAACTGGGTTTATACAGGCAAATGAAGCTAACATGTAAAATTGCATAAGCAGAAAATGCAAATGAAGCAGGCATTGCTATTGACAGCCCTACCTGTAAACTGTTAATTAGAGAGAATTAAACTGAAGATGCATTTGTAGACACCTAAATAGCATCTGTTTTTAATGTCAATGTATCCCTTTTGCTGTCAGATCATCGTTTGCGTGTTTACACATTAATTCAGGGTTTAAGCAGACTTGATGAAATCAAATCCCCATGTAGGTTTGTATCTAACCTCGGTGGGCAGTACATTATTTGTCACTGTCTATTCCTGTGCCTGGCTGTAACATTTAGCCCTGTGTATTACAGTAAGCTCAGCTGGGGTGTGACAGCAGAGTGGCAGAAGAAGCTAATTGGTCCAAGTGATGTGTCAGAGCAGTGCAAGGCTCAGCTGAGAAGAGCTGAGGAGGTAGCAGCTTCTGTCAGGCTCTTACACCTGCACTATATGCAGTGTGATGGCAACTGTCATACTGTATAAATCAATTGCAGCTTAGTGAGGCTGTCATGTGATCTCCTATATCCACATTAGGCCAGAAGGCCGGGCAGCCAAGGGTTAGGAAATTATATGTTTAGCTGCTCACAGATGGAAGAGGTGTAGGATGCACCTCCTGGGGCCTCTAGTTCCTATATTTTCTCTTTTTAAAAAAGTTTGCTCTCTGTTTGCAGAAAAGTCATGTTGCATATTCTGCATTCTGCAAACAGAAAGCAAACAAGGGCAGAAGGTATATATAAAAAAACCAACACAACACGCACCTCAGCAGAAACAAAACAGAGCAAAGTAAAAAATCCTGACCGGCTGGTGTACATTGACGTTTCTTGACAGCGCGCTCACATCCAGACACTTCCGAACACCAGGGCCCCCGAACAGCGTCCGAGGTTGTAACCTAAACAAGTTATCCAGAAGCAAATCCAATCAATAGACCTTTTTATAATTTGGATCCACTTTTTGCTCACAGGGTTAGCACCTTCAAATGGACACCAACATTACTTGAGGCCAGATAGCTTAATTCCTGGATGGGGTGTAAAGAGGGGCCAAATAGCAAATGTTTGCCCTGTGGCTGCCAAACACAATAAACCTGTTACAGTTACTTCAGTGGGATATTATTAAAGCGCAACCTCAGGGGTTGACAGAAAACAGAGTCCTCAAAAGCAACACAAAACCCTACACTTTAAGAAAAAGAAGTGCGTTTAAAGTCCCACTCTGATTGTTTTTTTTTTTTTACTACTTAAAGTGTTCTCAGTGGTCATTAAACTGTGATTATGAAGTTTTTAGCCAAAATCACATTACCTGTGTCGTTTTCAAGGGCTTTTCTTCTGCAGAGCTCCAGTAGCTCATTAGCAATTTGCCTCTGAGTCAGAGATGGAGACACTGTTGCTTTGCACACTGCTCCTCGAGTTAGCTTGCTGCCAAATATTGCCTGTGTAGTGGAAGAAACAGGTAAAATGGGAGCTATTCAGCCCTTGGACACTATTGTTTTTCGGGACATGATGAAAGTCGATATCATAATAAGCTTTCTTACAGGCATTTCAATCCGGTAACGCAGATGCTTGTTTCGCGATTGTCCTCCTTTATTTTTCCGAGCCTGGCCTGCATAGCGGGGCTCTGGGGGCGGAGCTTGGATTTGTGACTTAGGAAATCCCACTGTTTCCGAACCTGCCATTTGGGTCTGTCAGAGATTCACAGCGAATTGAATGTAGAAATACTCAGAAATGTAATTTCGCACTTCTTTTTGTCAAGATATGTCCTTTAGTATCAGAAAAATGCCATATGAATGTATAAAAAAACTAGAAAATCATGGTTTTCGTCGGAGTGGGTCTTGAAACATGGTATCAAGAAATTACAAAACAGTCTGATTAATAACAGACAAGAAGCAGGATGGTCGACTTTTCTATTCACTAGATTTTTATTGGTAAAGAGGTAATTTAAAAACCCCTTTTTTATCTTAACAATGAGCTACAACAGAGACCAGTGCATTCACACATCAACCAAAGCACACAACCTGCTGACACCATTAAAAGTTTGCCCACAGTTATTGTGCATCACAAGCAGCCACATAGCTGGAGGCTGAGGTTAAAGTTAGGGTTAGCGTCCTCTCCCATTAGAGTATAAATGTGCAGTGAATCTGATGAATAGTGTAAAAGCACCTTAAGTGTTTTTTGGTACTGGTCCATTTATTATACGTAGCCACACAGGCCAGGCTCTCACTTAATGGTCCATAACCATGCATTCATGGAGTTTATGGTTTAATTGAAACAAGTGACCGACTGAGGTGAGTCTTTGTTAACAGGTTGAAAGTAGTCGGATCAAGTCCCACAACTTTGAACTTTATGATTAATCTATCGTAACATCAGGCTGGAAAGGCTGCAAGCTGCACATAGTGAAAACAGATGGATCTAGACAGAGCTTCACAGAAACAGTGTATTTGTGGACTTTGCTGAAATACAATAGACAGAGGTCAAAGCTCTCCTGTCTGCTGCCATGATGGATGTTTTTTGGTTTCTTTTTTTTATTGTGATTTATATGAACAGTGTCAATCTCACAGAGAGCAATATGAGGAGGAAGAGTTGTTGACCTTAACTAACTTTTACTCAGTTTCATTAGTCTGTTTCTGTGACATTTCTTTGGCTTGCGAGTGATAAGCTATTATTTTGGAGGTCAGCATTAGTATGCATCAGCTCGTCGTGCTGGGACTTGTCGTGTCTGTAGACTTCAGTTCATTACTCTGTTTACTTTGGTCAGACTGAAACACTGAAGGATGAGGAATTGAACCAGGAGTCGGGTTCGTGACGCTAAACGACCGAGGAACACGCAACGACACATAACGAACACTGCAGGTTGTACAACAGAACAACAACTTCTCCCCAGAACAACATGATATTATACCTTTAAACTAACTATTAATCACACTGTTTTCATTAGTTATATCAGCAAAAGCTTACTTTGTTGCGTTTGGAGTAACAGGATATAAACTCAACTATTGTACATGTTTTAAGAAGTCTTTTGTACTCAAATGGGGTTTCTCTGTATGTTGCTTTGTCTGTTACTGACGAAGCGATACAACACCGAAATATACGACAATAACTGATTGTCAATATATTTGGTGTCAAAAAAATATATAAATAATAGTTGGTTTTGGATGTGCGTAGGTAGGTTATGGTTTCATGTCCCTTTAAGACGCTGTCCTACATCAGAGACGTGACTCCACCCCATCCAGTCCATAACAAAGAGGGAAAGACAGGTGAGGAGATGGAGGACGGTTCAAAAGTTGTAGCGGCTGAAGTAGACGAAGTTAATGTGGGAGGGGGTGAGCAGTTTGTGGAGTAGTTATCGTCCATTTATTGTTATCGAGGTGAACTGCTCAATATATTGTGATATTGATTTAAGGCCATATCGCCCAGCCCTAGTTTCCTTTACTTCACTTAATCAAATAGTTCACATTACTGTTTCAAAAGTTCCAGTTTAGTGCTACAGAAAGTATCCTAAAACAGTCCAGTCTGCATAGTACAGTATTTGGTGTAGTTTGGTGCATTAGTATTTTTCTTCATTGATTTCTGATGCAGTGGAAAACTTGTTTTGGTATTTTTGCACCATAGTTAAACTACTTTGAGGCCGCTCTTCGACAAAGTAATTTCCCACTGTCACTTTTAATATCAAAGTGATAACCCTTCTCTTGTTACCTAACCCTCAAATCAACATGTCTGGTCAAAATATGTCTTTTTTTGGCTCTAATTCCGAAGTAGAAGTTGCAGGGAGACAGTATATAGATGCTCTTAAAGACAGACTGTGTTTTATATAAAGTCCTCTAACAGTGATTCTTACAGCCTGTCATTGCTGTCACTGGCTCAGATTCAGGTGTTGTGAATATAGCTTTAAGTATCTGTGATATCGTTATGGGCAATGCTGAACAGCGAGTGGTTTGTCAGTCAGTAAGAGATAAAAGGAGGTGATTTTTCTTAAGAGAATCGAGGATACTACACAGGTATGTACAGGGAAGGATCAACACAGAGATAAAAGCAGCAAATTGACTGAAGAACGTACTCTCTGTAATGAACAGTGACAGAGCACAGAGGAAAAGACAAGCTGAGATTTGTTGAAAACTGATCCTGATTTTGCCCTTCCCCTCCGAGACAGCATGTTACTATCATTCCATTTATAAAATATAGATGTAGACGTGACTATATGTGTTCCATTCAGTGAATAAATGAGGTAACATTTGACTTTATCACTTAAACCTGCTGTTGGCTTATTATTAGAAAAATAAATATATGTAGAATTATCCAATTTAAAAAGCTGTTTTCCTAACTTGTCTTTAAAGTAGTGCTCACGTTGGCTAGGTCAAGATCAAAACAATACCAAGCATACCACTTTTGTCCACAAGGGGCCGCCAAAACTAACCTATAATGAAGATGACATTTTGTGCTTTATTCAAGCCAAAAACTCATTATAATGTGTAAAAAGACAACTGATACTGATCTATAATACAGACATAGACTGTATCTACTATGGACAACTTTGCTCCGCCTTCCGTCATCATACGATTTTGAAACCGAATTGCTCTCAGTATTTGCAGGATTTTCTCCACTTCCTGGAACCACCACTAGAGCAGTAGCATATGCAATCTTTGTATGCCCACAGGCTGTATCAAGTATCAATCATGGAAAACATGAACCCCCTAATAACTTTTTAAAATGGAGTTGCACAGAAAAAAAGACCAGTCTTACAAGAACTACATGTCAACATCGCAACCAGGGGGAGAAAAATTTATATTCTTTGTTAAAATTTTCTAAAGTTTGTACACAACACCATAGGGATTAGTGGAGGAGGCAGGATTTATGACCTATACTGCAGCCCGTCACCAGAGGGTGCTGTTCTCATGCCGGCTTCACCCAGCGAGGAGGCAGATGACGTCCATTCTATATACAGTCTATGAATACAGACAAGAGGAAGAGAGACAGAAAGAAAAAAACTCCACGTTTGTGTTACAGATTCATCGCACAGGTAGACACGTTCACATGCACACCAGAGAATACAGGATTAAAGCAGGTCGAGGTATTTGACCCTGCAAAAATCCCTCTCACACTTGCAGATTTAGGGGAATTTAAAATGTAAAATGCAACACAGATTATCACAAACTGTATGATAATTTGATTTTACTGTCAAGGCCAAACCACCCTGCAAACACATGCGAACAGCAAACCCTTTGTGTGTTTTGTGTCTGACATGCGTGTCCATCCTCCGCCGTGCAGCTGCAGGAAGTTAAGCCGAGCTCAAGGACGGCTCTGACTTTTCCTCCAAATCTAAGGATTTGAACACAACACAGAGCGCTTAACAAGCTGCTTCTCCAACCTTCACATGCAACCTTTGATCCCTTAAATCCGTGTGTTATTAAACCTACTGTAGAGCGTGCTTTGAAAGTTACTCTCTTTTTTTAATGCTACACCAAAAAAATCTGATCGTAACAAGAAATCTGATCGTGTGGGTCACTTCGAATTTGAGTACACCTATTTTAAGACGTGCTCTTGATGTGAGCTTTAAAAGGTAGAGGTTCTTTTTATGTATTCTGACACGTGTCCCAGATTGGCTCTGCTTTGGTCTCGAATTTTGTGTCCGGCAACAATTTCTTTTTAAAGCATTTGTTGTAATATCCCTGGAGACATGTATTTGATAGATGTTTTTGTCCTTGTAGGCAGAGCTGTTTTCCGCACAATGAAAGCCTCCTCTGAATTAATTGATTCATTTAGAAAACAATACATATTAATAGATTTACAGGACCCGAGAATCAAATGCAAATCTTATCTGAATGTTTCCATACAGAAGGCGTTGTTGCTGCATCTCATTCTTCCTCCTGTTTTACATTTTCTTGTGCAAAACATACAAAATAGATGACCCTCAATATCCGTCTTGTTCCTTTTTCCCACTACATCCTCTTTATCTTCTGTTCTAGCCACCTCCACCAGACATATTTATTTATAACAACGCCTCTTGTGCAAACAAGCGATTGGCAAGTTGAACAGTGAGTAGTTGTGCAGCCAGCTCAGAGACATCAGGCAGTGCAAAGCCTTTAACACCACAGTTTGTGCGAGCTCTTTAGATCCCACCCAGCCACTGGAAGTCTTGGGTAATAAAGCAGTGCCCAGCGCAGGCCTCTGGGGACAGGCCGCTGCCTGTGTGACTCATCCTCCAAGGCAGATCTCTTCCTGGTTTCTTTCCATTAATAACCATCTGAGCCCGTCTGAACTCTTGTTTCTAATAGCTTTACACTCCCCAGAAAGGAAAAAAGCATCCATCCTAAATGTTGGAGCCCAGAGGCAGCAGAATGAATTCTTCTTTTTCTGCTGTTTTTATGCAAATTCGAGACTACTTAGTCTATGTATATCATGTTACTAGCTTCCTCTTACTCTCAGCTGAAGTAAAAAAAGAGACGGAGGAGCTGTATTGATAGCAAAATATTTTTAGTCGCTGAAAGCCAAGTTCTTAGGGAACTTATATAGGGCACGCTGTAGGTTAAAACATGCACATACAGGGAGCACTCACCTTCAACTGGTTCTTAGTGTTTGATGCATACGCACTTTGCAGGATTCAAGCTCAACGCTGGTTTGTAAATGTCATAAACATACACTCAGTCTTCATGCACAGAATCCAAAATGGCCTGAGGAGGAGTGTGCCAACTTCATATCTGCTCAAAATATGATTCACTAAAAAACAAAACAAACAAACATTAAACAGAATTATAAAGAACATTCTGTCCTGGAGAAAACAGCAGAGTGAAGCCCGTGTGTTTACATGGGAAAGTGTAAACAACAATCCTCATTCATGTCATGAAATAGCTTCTTTTTTTTCTATTTCTTTTTTTGGTGCATTGTTTTGCTGCCAAAGTGAAACTGGAGGGAGAACAGGAGAGGAGGAATCCCACATTCAGTGACGACGCTCCTCCTGTTGTCTATTTATTTCTCTGTGTGGGCAAAGTTGATGCTTTAAAATAACACCAGGAAACCATTTTTGATCCCATCAGACCCCTTATTATAACCTTTAATATAAACCTTAGACAAAAGGTGGTTATGTATAGAAGGGCCTAAAAGATGTCAGCAATTTCTGAGTCAGGAAATCAACCACTTTTGATCATTGAGTTTATATTTATTGGCCTTGATAATAATAATGGCTAAAATCACACCGAGGTAATTCTAATTGCAAAGAGTTTTATCATTTTGCCGCTCTGGGTGCTCACGGTGGGAGTTGTTGGGTCTCTGTAAATAATATTAGACTAGACTCGCTCTATATATAGAGTTTCCTGAGATGGTCTCTGTTGAT